TGTCACAAGCTAGAGCCGATTTGGTGATTGACCATCCATCTCATTCTCTCTCTCTCTCTCTCTCTCTCTCTCTCTCTCCCTTTTCCGTTTAGATGGCGCTCTATTATCCGTAGCTCACAATATACTCGCACCACTCCAACCGTTATTCTCCTTTTGGATTTTTTGCATTCTCGTCGGTTCCTTAGCGCAACCTGTCTCTTGGCCCGGCCCCCGTCTCTCTCGACCTTGTGTGCGCCCGTCAATGGTAGAGTCTTGTCAACTGGGGTGGTTCCGTGGCCCTAGGGCGTCATCCATCCGGATCAACTTCCGTCTATTGTTAGCCTCAATTTCTTTTCTTTTGGATTCTTATTTTCCCGTCATGGTTGTTTCTATCCCCCCTCCTCCTTCTTCCCTTCCCGTCTGGTCCACTCACGACCAGAGAGTATGAGTGCTGGGTCCCCGCCCCCCCCTCCCCCCATCGTATGTACGTACATGGTTACTATGTACGACAAGTATGTAAGTATGTACATGTACTACTTATAGCAGATAATACGTGCACGCAGTTACGGAGTTTGGGAGTGCCTACAAATATCACATGTGCTCACTCTATGCTCGGTACTCGTGAGAGTCCAACGCGATGGGAGGATGCTTAGAGGCTCGATTGCATCTTGACTCGGTCCACACACACACCCCTGTCCTCGCCGTCCCATATCCACCACACTTCTTCTCCTGTCAGCCTGTCAAGTAGCATCTTTCACTCTCTCTACCACGATTATGATTATTATCATCTATCAACATCCTCGCTTTCTCTCCGTAGCTTGGTGGGGCGTTACGACAGTACTACCGGAGTACGAGGGGGAAGAGCAGAAGAGAATGAAAGAAGAAAGAAAGAGAGGGGAAGAAAAAAAAAAAAGGTAGGAGAGGGCGGGTCCCCGTCAATCTTTGATGGAATGGCTTCCGCTTTCGTACGCATCTTGGTAGTACGGGTAATAATACTGTTGCTCTCGTACGGGTGAGGTATCTGTACTGCTACCGGATGCTCCGTGCAGCCTGGCGATGCTAGGAAATACTTGATATATGTACTCGAACTCGTATGCCAGGAAAATCCGGGTGGATATCTTGGTCGTGCCCTACCCACAACTAGCCGCAGCCGCAGCAAAGCCAGAGCTGTTTTGGGCCAGAGCCAGCACTTGATTCGGCTTCCTATTCAATCGCGTTGACCTGTCAGGAAGCTCCATGAACCTGAGCTTCTCCAGCTTCCGACTCATAGTCGTGCGAGACAGCCGTGAGGTTGTGAGAGGCAAGACACGCGCACAAACACGCACAGACACAAACATACACCACACACACACACACAGACGGACAGAGAGGGAGAGAGGGAGAGAGGGAGAGTTGCGTCTTTTCTTCCGTCTGTACTATATTCCCTCACTGTACTCTGCTATGTTGTGAGGGTATAATCCCGCTTTCCCGAATTGGTTGCCGTCAATTCTTTTCCCCCTTATTCCTTGACTCTTCTTCTTCTCCCTGGTCTCTAATAATGCTTGTTGCTTTTTTTATTTTCTCCATTGTTCACTTGATGCAGCCCCCCCCCTCCTCCGTTCTGCCCGTAACCCCCCGGGTTGCGGATCCCGGGAATGTACCTTTTCTTGTATCTGCTTTCCGCCCCTCCATCCATGCTGCTCTCTCATGCGATGCGAGAGCGGGAGCGCGAGAGAAGAGTGAGAGAGACCGGGGAGTGGGTACACGATACGTACTATTGTGTACTGACAAGTCTCTCTCTCTGTGTGTGTGTGTGTGTGTGTGTGTGTGTGCGCGCGCGGCGCGCTCCGTTATAGCCACTAGTGAATAGGGAATGAATCAAGACAGTTTGACGGGAGGACGAAGGAGAGATGGAGAAAGAGACATGTAGAAGTCGAAGCCTCCCTCTTCCTAGCTACCGTGTGCGTAGCGTCGGACGATAGACGAGATTTCACCGCCGCAATACGGGGTAATAGCACACAATGCGCGTAGACTGCTGTCCCGTACCTTGTATCGTAATTACCGAGTTGCGCCTGGATCTGCCCATGTCATCGGCCTCCTCTTCTCGGAAGCCCATAGGGCAACAGAGTGGAGGGAGGGGTGAGAGAGAGAGAGAGAGAGAGAGTATGTGACAAGACACCACACACCACACACCACACGCCACATATATACTACACACACACACACACACACACACACACACACACAATATATATATATATATATATATATATATATGTACAAGACATAACTGAAAGAAGAGAGCCGGCCGGACACTCCCACCCCTTTCAACTCTGCCATGTCCCTCTGTAATACGGTATTATACCCCATCCTGGGCCGTCCTGGGCCATCCTGGGCCATCCATGAGCAGGCACACGCGCCCAATCCAGACTAGACCATGCATCCATGACGCCCACGCTCCGCATACCTCGAGCCAGTCCCCGTCCCGGATCACTCGTCCGCCCTCCTCCGTTAGCCGCTGGACCCCCTGTCGATGCTAGTTATTAGTCTCGTAGTGGCAACCAACTCATATCGGTCGGTCCAAGGCGCGCTCCGCCATGCCCACACCCACCACCATCATACCGAGCGAGAGTACGACGACACACACTCAACCCGCCAGCTTCTCTCACTCCTCTCCCTCTTTTCCCTCTACGTATCCTGCTCCATAGTATAGGCAAACACCGTCCATCCATTATTCATGATTACAGGACAGGGGTACCACTGACTAAGAGCGACCAAGACACCCAAGACCCCCAGAGTGAAATAGGAATAAATCAAGTAAGAAGTGAAATAAATGCCCTGACCATGCTGTGTGTGTCCCGTCTCCTTCAGAGGCGGGGAGGGGCGGACAGGACCTACTTCTAAATGCCTGCTTGTCGTACAATTTTTTAATTTTTTAATTTTTTAATTTTTAAATCTTTTTTATTATTACTTACATTGTACATACATGTATGCATGTATCTTGGACGTACATCTCTCTTCCTCCCTCCCGCACAATCTCTCATACTACACACGTCGCATAGTCCTGACGTTTCGCTGCGCGTCGCCGCCGTCCAGAGGCTCTTCTACGCAGACACTATACCCGTACATCCCTATATACCCCTTCTTCCCTTTTCCTCCACTTCGCAACCAGCTAGGCCGGTTCGCATACATACTCCATCCTCCTCCCCATATCGCGACGGCCTTGCCTTCCCTGTTCACTCCTCCCCTCCACTATCCGTGGCCCCCCTCCCCTCCTCACACCATACCCCTCCCTCTCTTGACAGGAAGGCACGGCTCATAACTGTTACAATATCTTCCTTCAAGCCGAGGAGACTTCTGCTGCTGTCCAACTACATTCGGCATCGTACACTGCTGCTACCTTCTTTCTCCCACAAGCCTCCCCCATCACTCCTTTTCTCTTCTTGGGAGGAGGGCAGAGGACTCGTCTTGCTCTTCCGAAGGCTTACCAACCGGTTCTCTTGCTCTTCACCGATGGCAGAACCATGCATCTTTTGCTGTCCGTAACCCCAAGACTCCTGCCTAACCCCCAGACAACTCGCGGCACTGAACGATTTGGGGGACGACATACAAAGTCGCCGTTGGCCCTACCTGGTTGGCGACGAGGCAGCGCAGACGCCGACAAGATCTGCTAGACAGGATAGAGAGGAGAGACAGAGAGCAGAGCAGCAGGGAGACAGCTTCCCGGTTTCCGGGTTCCCACACTGTCAGTCGACTGCATATTGCTCTGCGCGCAGGGGAGACACCCAACCACGCGCCCGCCCGCACCACCATGGCTCAGGGGAATGGATACACCGCCGATGCTTGGGCAGCCATGGGCCCCTACAACCAGAGCCCATACAGCAACAGTCCCATGAACGAGTACGGCAGCTGGTCCGGGTATGTGTCTCCTCATGGCCTACAGTCGGTCGAGGCTCTTGACAGGATGATGCCTCCCGCGCCTCAGCAACAAGATCAACAACAACAGCATCAACAGCAGCATCGAGAGCAAGAGCAGCAGCAGCAGCAGCAGCAGCAGCAGCAGCAGCAAGAGCAACAGCAAGATCAGCAGCAGCAGCAGCAGCAGCAGCAGCAACAACAAGACCAGCAGCATCAGCATCAGCATCAGCATCAGCATCAGCAACCACCGGCCTTGTCAACCACACCCACTCACCAGATGATCCAACCAGCACCGCCTCCTACCATAGGGCACAACCTTCAGCAGAACCATCACCACCAACAGCGGCCGCAGCAGACGCGGAAACCCCAACGGCCGCAGCAGCAGGGGAACTCGCATCATCATCAGCATCAACAGCTTCCCATGCTCACCACTACATGGCCCAGCCAGCTCACCAACCCGACCCCGCAACAGCCCAGCTATCCAGCCCCTCCGCCGCCCTCCATGCCTCCTGCGGTGGCAGAGACCCCCGTCACTGTGTCGAGACCCGTCGAGGTCCCTCGGACCGGAACCCTGCCCAGGAAGACGCTCAGCATGGAGCAGAAGAGAGCCATGTGCCAATACTCGGAAGACAACCCGGGTATAAGGCAGATGGATATCGGGAAGAAATTCGGAGTCGAGAGAAGGTACTTTCTACACAGCCCTCCAGTTCAACCCCCCCCCCCCCCCCCCCCCCCCCCTCCTTCTCTCACCACCTTCGCTCGAGCTCGTCCCCACCCATAGCGTGGACGAAGACGAGACGAGGAGACGGATGACGAGTGCTCTTGTTGCTAACCTGCCCACCACGAAACAGCACCGTCTCAAAGGTCCTTCGACAGAAGGATCAATACCTCAAGCGAGACCAAGAGGATCAGTCGTCCTCCAAAAAGGCAAAAGGCAGGCACCCAGACTTTGACAGAACCCTGAGCAACTACGTCAGGAGGCAGCAGCAGCGAGGAGTCGAGGTCAAGGACGAGGAGATCATCAAGCATGCCAAGCTCTTCGCCCGAGCCAGTGACAATCACGAGAGCCTTGTCAGCAGTCTATCCGGCGGCTGGCTTCAAAAGTTCAAGCACAGACATGGGATAGGGTCGGGAAGGCTGATGCGCCGGGCATCCGACACCAACATACCTGACACCATGAACATGTCGACGCCCCGGATCAGGCAGAGAAGGCGAAGTGGCGATACGGCTGCCGACGCCATCATATCGCCCATGTCACCGCCGCCAGCGCACATGTCGCCCTTGTCCGAGGCGGGAAGCGAGCAGGACGATATGCCCCCCGAGGGGTTGGGGCTGGACTTCTCCTACCGACCGACGGCCTCGCAGTCGGCCACGTCGCTGACGAACGACGTCTCGTTTTCCCCCGGCGGCGCCTTTACATTTTCGCCCGATCCAGGCGCAGGGGGTTCCTTCGCTCTGAGCCAGCAGATGGGGTTCGGCTCGACGGCAGCAACAGCCGCAGACATGCTCCAGAATCACAGGGAGAAGAGGAGCAACACGTTCCCCTCGTTGAATATCGAATCAGTCAACGGCATATCCGCTCCCGATCCCATGACACCTCGCCATCTTTCATCAGCCTCGACGCTCGACTCTCCCCTCTACGGCCAACGTCCCTTCCCGATCGACACTTCTTCATCTGCTATAACGTCACCGCCTACGCTGCACCGTAGCGCCAGCAACCAGAGCCTGACGGCACGGTCCAACACGACACCGGTTGAATCATCGCCCGTCTCTCCCTCTCACGAGGATGCCCGCCGTGCTGCCAGCACGCTCCTCAACTACATCCAGAATATGAGCTCCAACGGCCAGTTTGAGCAGAATGAATACCTGATGCTGGTGCAGCTTACCAAGAAGCTGCAAGTGCACCAGCATCAGCCTTCGCGGTCCATCGGTGGGCTTTCGAGGATTCCAGAGGGGGAGGGAGAGTTGGTGACGCATTCGCACACTATCTCTCCCGCGGAAGCCCACGAAGATCATATTGGCTGATTCCAGCTCTCCCTCCCCATCCCCTTTGGTCTTCTCTGCTGCGATCCCTTCCTTGGGCGGTATGAAGCACCTGGTGTGTTTCTCTGCCCACACTTCCTTCTTCTTTCTCTTACCTCATCAAAAATCTCGCCTCATCTTTCTATATTTTCTTGACTGTTATTTCTCTTTATTTCCTTGGTCTTTTTCCTTGATAGGTCTCTCTGGCAAGCGGCATCAAATGGGTTGTAGGTGGGGATATCGGTAGGGTACGCGCATACGCAAAATATGAAACACTGGAACTGGAAGAACGGGCAATATCAGGGGTAACATGGAGGCAACTCCGGGACATTTTTTTTTTTGTGTTCTTCTTTTCTTCTTTCTATCTTATATATTCCTCTCTGTTGAACCTGGCTTATTCTTTTTATATCTTATCTTACATGTTATACTATAAGGCGGAAAGGCACAACACTCAGACACAGACGGGACCTATATTTTGCTCTGGCAACAGGACTTGGGTCTTACATATCGGCAACGAAACCGTCATTTTTTTTTCTAACTCCAGCAGACATGGGAGACGCGCAAGCGCATCGGATATAGCAGTATATTATTTTCTTCATCTCTGTTCCTCATCGTACTTGGAAAACGTCACGTTGAACAGGTGCCTTCACCGGTTTCCGTTCCTGTTTCTGCTTCTTCTCTCTCCCTTTTGGACACGAAAAGCGTCTCGGGATGAAATGTGACGACGGGAAACTGTTGGCTGGGACCCTGCCGTTTTTTCTCTCTTCTCCTGTGACACATGCATGCAACCGTGCATACGCTGGCCATGTGCATAAAGGTCACATGGACGGGTGGCGGCTGCTTGATGATGGAGAGATTACTTGGTAATAATGGAGAGTGATCATGGACGCAAAGATTGAGGCAGCCAGTACCAGCTCAACCCGTAAGAATACGCGGGAGATAGGAGAGCATAGAAAGGGTTCTCGTAGTATTGTTTCTTCTTTTTGTTTTCTTTTTTGGAAAAAAAAAAAAGAAAAGGAAAAAGAGGATCAATCACCATTACTTCTTAAGGAAAAATAAGGTGATGGTGGTGGTGGTGGTGGTGGTGGTGGGGGGGGGGGGGGGGGGTGGTGACATGGAATTAGAGAAAAAGGGAGAAAAAAAAGAGACTTGGGGGAAGAAGGAGAGGGGGGAAGGGGGGGGGGGACTAATTAGCCAAGACGATCATCTAGTAGATCCTGGACGCTCTTATCAGATAGTTCAGGGATGAGTCTGACTAGGATGAGCTCCAAGATCCCGTAGAGTAGGTGTTTGTTACAGTATTCGTCTGACAAGACGTCCAGGAGACCATCCATCTCGTCAATCATGCGGGATTCATCCTCATTCTCATCCTTGTCGTTGCCGTTGCCGCTGCCGTCGCCGTCGGACGTATTAGCGCCACCTCCACTGCTGCTGCTGCTGCCGCCGGCGCGGCGGCTGCTTGTCGTGGTCGTGGTCGTGGTCGTGGTCATGCCGCTGCGGAGAAAGCGGGAGGAGAAGAGGGTAGCCCGGAGAGGGAGGAGGACCTGGCCAACACCGCCGCCGAGGTATATTGTGGCCACGGGTTTGGGCAGGAGGCCCCACAGGGCTGTGGCGGCCCTGCGACGGAGGGCGACAAGATCCTCTTCCGTGGCGGGCGGGACCAGACTCGACTTCCCAGGGGCGTTGTTGGGGAATAAGGCGCCGCGGATGGAGCGCAGGGCAGCAGGTAAGTTGGATGGCGACAGGGAGGATCTGATCTTGTTCGAGAGAAGCCTAATAGTTTGCATTAGCCAAACAATTCCACCCCCCCCTTTCCCTGTTCATCATCAAAACCTCCTTCGTCATCATCATCATCACACATCCCCTCGGCTTGACACCTGCCCTCCCCTCCCCCCCAACCCCCTTTCTTCCTGGCTTTAGGTCATCGGGCAGTGGTGGGTACGGGACGGGAAGGGAAAACGGCGCGAGGTGGGAGGGGGGGGGGGGACAAGATGGGAAAACAACATCTCGTTGATGAAGAGAAACCTGGTTAAAGAGAGAAGAAGGAAAAAAAGGCGGAGCAAGCGCACACACGCATACACGCACACACGGACAAGGGTCGGCGCGTAATCGCGACTTGCTGCTGGACGAGGTCGGGGCAAAGACCAGACGGCACTACCGTTTGATTGGCCAAAACAACCATGTCCCCCTCCCAGAGAAAGATCGAGCCTATATCTCTCCTTCACTGGTGTAGGTATAGTGTTGGCTAAGGAAGAGGCCTAGAAAAAAAAAAGTGCCGAGTTGCGGCTAAGGTAGGGATGGAAGCTGGAGGTTTCTGTCTCGTTTATGTGTGTGTGTGTGTGTAGGAGGAGGAGGGGGGGGGATGTTGGACAACAACGAGGCCATACAAAGTTCACAAGTTCATAGCCTTGTAAATGTGCAACTGCAACCGGATGTGACGAGGATGGAGAGAGGTGGGGAGGATGGAGACGGAGGTCGCCGTGGTTGGATGGATATGTAGATGTGGCTTACCTGTCAATGGTACTATCGAGACCACCGATGCGACCGGGCCCGTTGACAACGGCATACTGCATCAGTGACAAGAGGCCGTGTAGCCAAGGCATTCTCGGGGGAAGCTCTATCAGTGTGGCGATGCATGACCAGACGCGGAAATCGAGTATAGGAGCTAGACTGCTGTGGTCTGTCGTTGGCTCGCCGGCAATAGCCGCCTCCGGGAGCTTTTGCTTCTGCTTCCTGTCCTTGTCTCTGGCGCCCGGCGACGAGAACCGAGAGGGCAGGGATGACGAGTCCACAATGGTGGTGACCAGGAGCCGGATCAACGAGAATACGAATATACCTAGGTTGATCAGGGAGAGGAAGAAGGTATGTGTCGAAGACGAGTTGGCGGGTTTGTCGTTGCTGTTCTGTGATGGGAACTTCACCCGGCTCGCGCTCGGCGCCGCCGCCGGGTCGCGTCTCTGGTTCACTACTCGGGCCAGGATGACGATCATCTCCCACATCATCCACGGCTGGGCCAGCTTCTCGGCCACTAGGTTCCCGATGATCAGGTCCGACAGGATCTGACCCACCAGGGTCGTCAGGCAGCCGTTCTCGAGGTCCTCGGTGGGCAGGAGCACGGCTAGTACAGCCTGGACGAGAAGCTGCCTGTAAACCGTCTCGTTGCGCTTCTGCTCCTCGACCGACTTCTCCTCCTCCGGGATGGGGACGGGCGACAGAGCCGGCAGCGGGAACAAGCAGTGGTAGGCCTGTCTGGTGTCTACCTGGACGGGGGCATTGGCCACGGGATGCCGAGAGGCTCGGTACGCTGTTGCCCGCGGTCAGAAGCAAGGAATCGGTGAACGTGAAGGGGGAGTGTGTAGACCTACCCACCATGTGCCTCTCAACCAGGTCGGGTATCTCGTCGAGCAGGAGACTCTCAAGGTCAACCTTGCGCAGGCGCTGCTCAATCGCCCTCGTGCAGTGCGCAACGATGTGCACAATCTCGGCGACAAACGCCTCGTCCGTGGTGATACGCCCGTACCAGCTCTGCACAAAGTCCCGTAGGATGATTGCCACCAGCGCATATAGCTGCAGGTCGACGTCGTTGCGGCTCGTGAGCGGAGGTAGGACGTCGTGGATATCAGACGAGCTGCCGTCGCGGATCTTGTTGTCGCTCGGGCACAGGGTGCGTCGGATCAGCGACGTTGTCACCCGGTCTGACAGCGGATCGGAGGTTGACGACGACGCATTGCTGTTATTTCCAGCACCTGCACCTGCTCCTCCGGCTGTATGGCTGCTGCGGCCGCGACGGTGGCGATGACCTGTCGTCGACTTGGGGCGAAGTGGAGCGGCCGCCGGCGCTGTGGCCGGCGGAGCGGTAGTAGCCATCGGCGGCGGTAGCTCTCAAAGTCTCTCCGGTGCGCCGGGGACCACCATGGCCTCCAGCGGGAGTTATGCGTCTGACCTCGTGACTTGTCGTCGTAGTTGGGGAGAGAAGCTGTCGTGGTGTTTGGATTGACGTTGGGACCACCATCCAAAGAGAGCCGCTAACTACGTAAGTTGGCTGCAGGCGAGAAAAAAAGGGTGGGGAACTGTTCTGCCCCTCCCTCTCTGAGCTTCAAACACTGCCAGTGGTGTTTTTATGCTTAACACAAGTCAACTGCATTTTGATGACGTCTTGCAGGACACTCACTTTTCTATATCGAGGTGTGTATATTGGAGTTCGGCTTCCTTCTTTCTTTCTTTTGTTACAAGGTTACATGCTGCCAGACAGACTGGTTCGATGATGTACAGATGGGCAATTCTACGATATTACCGGCAACCCCTTTCCAAGCAAGTAATATTACACGGTGACTTCTTCTTTCTCTTCCCCCCTTTAAGCGTCGCGCATAGTCGTCTCATATCTAGCAGACAAGAGCGGTTAGATATCGTCACCGGACATATATCATCGGTAAAACAGAGTGCACTGGGACATACCTCTTGCCACGGAAGGCCCACACCCCCCAGTTTCCGCAGCTGATATCCTGCGGGTCCATGTCGTTCAGGTCCCAGCGGAGACTGCGGAACTTGTTCTCACCAGGTTCCAGGAGAACGTCAAACTCGCCGTTGGACGTCTTCTTGACCCACCCAACGTCGCGCTCCAGGTCTGACTGTGTGTAGCCTGTGCTGATGATGGGCACCTTGGTCTCGAGTAGCTGAGGCAGCGTCTCCTCCCACTCGTGGCTGCTGGCCGGGTGGCCGAGACCTGGGTGGAATAGGACGAAGCAATCAAAGTAAGGGTCGTAGGGCGCGAAGTAGCCTGTCTTGTGGATCGTGTGGTAGTAGTCGACAATCGTGCTGATCTTCATGCGGTGCGAGATGCGGTCCTCGACCACGGCCCCCCACGGGTTCGAGGGGGTGCGCTCCGGCAGCGGGAACTCATCGTCGCGGTTGGCCATGCTCTCCGGTCCGATGAAGATGAGGTGGAAGCGGGCCTGGGGGAACATGTACGCTAGCTGCGTCCACGTGCTCCTCGGCAACGAAGACTCAGCTCGTGCTCCCAGGATGAAGATTCGCACCGGGGGCGCCTCAGGCTTCAGCTGGTTGACGCCTGCTCCGCTACCGGACTTGGGCTGGTGAAGGCTGTAACGAAGAGCTATACCGAGATGGTCAAGTCAGCACGATAGCTCCTCTCGTCGTTTGGAATAGCAAGCATGTACGTACCACTGAAGCTCTTCAGGCCTTCCGCCGTCAATCGCTCTCCGTCCTTCATGCTGTAGGGGCTCAGCTCGTGTAGAACGCTGCCGATGGTGACGGGGTACGTGAGCAGTCGGGTAATCTGGCGCATCGAGCGGTCCGAGTTAACGGCGTCAAACTCGCGCGTGTACATGAAGGTGTCCCAGTTGGTCATGTTGACACTGGCTTCGTCTAGCTGCTGGGTGGGCATGATGCCCTCGGTGAAGATGCGACCGGAGCGGAGGTCATGGTCATCCTCATTGATCTGACGCAGCGTGTCGCACACCTTGAGGTGGTTCTCGTAGTCATCCATCCAGTGCTCCTTGCTGCAATAGACGGCCAGACCACAGTCCGGGCACTCAAAATCCACATGAGCGGGGGGTTCGGTGCCGCTATTCGTCGCCGCAGCTTCAGCATTGGAAGCAGTCGTGGGAACGCGCGTGTGCTCGTGGTGAGGGTGTGGGCAGTAGGCATGCTGCTTCATAAAGGCAGCACGGTCGCGAAACTCGGCGACCGGCGACGTGCTAAAGGGGTGGAAGAGGTCGTTCTCAGCCAGCCTCAGCGGAGGAGTTTCGGGCTGCGACTTGGCGGTGGCGGCGGCGGCGGCGGCGGACTCGGCCTTGGCAGTCGTTGTGAAATCCCTCTTGAGAGAATCCGAGTGCTTGGGAATCGTTGAGTGGAAGCCTCTGGCATGGTGAACCGTCGCAATGGCAAAGATCGTCCTCGCCGTAACGTGCCGCGCAGCGGATTGTCTCCTCAGCGATGCGGAGCAACGCCCGCAGAGGCTCGAAGCCGCCCGACGCAGTGATGGCTCCATTTCGAGCTGTCGGGGGAGAAGGAGAGAAGAAGGTCGATTGATCAAGACTTTTTGTCCTGAAGACAAGTGGTGCGAAGAGCAATAATATTCTTTTGGCGTGGGGACTTGAAACTCCATCTAAGCAAAAAAAAACGCTCGGGCCATCACCATCACGCCAAAGCATCCGGGAAAATTATTCATCCCCGCTCCGTCCTTCAACTTTTTTTTCTAGTAGGCAAACAAGACCTACCCACCACGCACCCCAAAAAACCGAGCTCTTCTATCTCTCTTTTGTTTTCATCGCGCCATTGGCCCTCCCTCTTGCTCAGGAAGCGCGCTCAACCTGATTCATTGAAGCCGCGCAGGCTCAAACTGCGCCTAGCCAGCGAGAGAAAATGGCGACCACCTCGAATATGTTCCTCTACTCCCTAACGGTGCAGCCTCCCAGCAACGTCGTCCAGGCGGTGCTTGGCCAGTTCGCCGGCACCAAGGAGCAGCTTATAATCACCGGAGCTGGCTCTCGTCTGACCCTCCTCCGTCCTGATCCTCAGCAAGGAAAGGTTGTTACCCTTCTTTCACATGATGTTTTTGGCATCATCCGTTCCCTCGCCGCCTTTCGCCTAGCTGGCAGCAATAAGGGTACGTCTCCTCATCCAACCCCCGAGCAAGCTATCTTGGAATCACATAGTGATAATCAACAAGGGGCCCGTCCCTCCTTTGCTACCCCCTCGCCGTAATGCCAAGCCTGGCTACTCGGCTCAATTCTTCTGGTGCGGAGGCGGACGGACAGATTAGCCATGTGCTTCTTCAATCCTTTTCCCCCCTCGGACCCATCGAGCTGACCAATTGGAAAACAAACAGACTACCTAGTCATCGCCACAGACTCTGGTCGCATCACCATTGTCGAGTATCAGCCTGCTCAGAACCGCTTCCACCGCTTGCATCTCGAGACGTTTGGCAAGTCGGGTATTCGCAGAGTAATACCTGGCGAGTATCTCGCCTGTGATCCCAAGGGTCGTGCGTGCTTGATCGCGTCGGTGGAGAAAAACAAGCTCGTATACGTCTTGAACAGGAATTCACAGGCTGAGCTCACCATCTCCTCTCCCCTCGAAGCTCACAAGCCTGGCGTTCTCGTTATATCAATGGTCGCTCTGGATGTCGGCTACGCCAACCCCGTCTTCGCTGCCCTCGAGATTGACTACTCCGAGGTGGACCAGGACTCTACAGGCACCGCCATGGAGGAACTCGAGACCCAACTTGTCTACTACGAACTGGACCTTGGATTGAATCACGTCGTTCGAAAGTGGTCAGAGCCTGTCGACCCGACAGCATCGATGCTTTTCCAGGTGCCTGGTGGCCATGACGGGCCTAGCGGTGTCCTGGTCTGCGGTGAAGAGAGCATCACATACCGTCACTCCAATCAAGAGGCCTTCCGAGTGCCGATTCCGCGACGCAGAGGTGCCACGGAAGACCCTTCGAGGAAGCGCACAATCGTCTCTGGTGTCATGCACAAGCTCAAGGGGAGCGCTGGCGCATTCTTCTTCCTCCTTCAGACCGAGGACGGTGATCTATTCAAGGTCACCATTGATATGGTGGAAGATGAGGAAGGAAATCCAACGGGAGATGTTCAGCGCCTCAAGGTCAAGTACTTTGACACGGTTCCTGTCGCCTCGAGTCTCTGTATCCTGAAGAGTGGTTTCCTCTATGTCGCCAGCCAGTTTGGCAACTACGCCTTCTACCAGTTTGAGAAGCTGGGCGACGACGATGAAGAGGTGGAGTTCGTCAGCGACGATTATCCCACAGACCCACAGGCTTCGTACGAACCTGCCTACTTTCATCCCCGTCTAGCAGAGAACCTGGCGTTGGTGGACAGCATCCCAGCCATGAACCCTCTGTTAGACTGCAAGGTTGCCAATGTCACAGGCGAGGATGCCCCCCAGGTCTTTACAGTCTGCGGTAATGGTGCCCGGAGCACCTTCAGAATGCTCAAGCACGGTCTCGAGGTAAACGAGATTGTGGCCTCCGAGCTTCCAGGTATCCCCTCAGCGGTGTGGACGCTTAAGCTGAGCCGAGAAGACCAGTACGACGCCTACATCGTCCTGTCCTTCTCCAACGGGACGCTGGTCCTCAGCATCGGCGAGACTGTCGAGGAAGTAAGCGACTCTGGCTTCCTCACCAGCGTTCCCACCCTGGCGGCGCAGCTGCTGGGGGACAGCGGCCTCATCCAGGTCCACTCCAAGGGCATCCGGCACATCCAAAAGGGGCACATTAATGAATGGGCTGCTCCACAACACAGGTCTATCGTGGCCGCCTCCACCAACTCTCACCAAGTTGCCATTGCCCTCAGCTCTGGTGAGATCGTCTACTTCGAGATGGACTCGGACGGGTCGCTGGCCGAGTACGACGAGAAGAAGGAGATGTCTGGCACAGTCACCTGTCTCAGCCTGGGTGAAGTCCCCGAAGGCAGGTTACGAAGCTCGTTCCTCGCTGTCGGGTGCGATGACTGCACAGTCCGTATCCTCAGCCTCGACCCTGACTCTACCCTCGAAAGCAAGTCAGTCCAGGCCCTGACGGCGGCTCCTACATCCCTGGCAATCATTGCCATGGAGGACTCGTCGTCTGGCGGCTCGACACTCTACCTCCACATCGGCCTTCACTCAGGGGTGTATCTGCGAACGGTTCTTGACGAGGTCACTGGTGAGCTGACTGACACACGGCAAAAATTCCTGGGGCCCAAAGGCGTCAGACTGTTCCAGGTCACCGTGCAAGGCCGAACCTGTGTCCTCGGCCTCAGCTCTCGCCCATGGCTCGGATACTCGGACCCCATCACCAAGAGCTTTGTCGTCACGCCGCTAAACTACGTTGACCTGGAGTGGTCCTGGAACTTCAGCAGCGAGCAGTGTGAGGAGGGTGTCGTCGGTATCCAAGGACAATCTCTCAGGTACGTGTTTTCTCTCTCTTGCTCTTTCATTTGTTTATTTTTACGTGTTATATGATGAGAAACTGGGAACCTACGCCCAAGGGCAATGAGGTCTTACGCATTTTACCAATTGTTCCTACTGATATGCATGCCATCATTCTTACTCTCTTGTCGGATACCTCTACATCAAGGAGAGATGTGCTGATACCGCCTCTGTCAGGATCTTTTCCATCGACCGACTGGGCGACAACCTCATTCAAACTTCTGCCCGGTTGACATACACCCCCAAGAAGCTGGTCAAGAACCCTGACCAGCCATACTTCTATACCATAGAGGCGGACAACAATGTCCTGCCTCCCGATCTGCGAGAAAAACTCCTGAGCGACTCGGGAGCCGTCAATGGTGATGCCAAGGTTCTGCCCCCCGAGGATTTTGGATACCCCCGGGCAAATCGTCGCTGGGCATCCTGCATCAGCGTCATCGACCCGACAGGCGAGACACCGGAAGTGACACAGACGATCCACTTCGAGAATAACGAGGCAGCTGTCAGCGCCACCGTTGCGCCGTTTGTCAGCCAAGACGGCGAGAACTTCCTGATTGTCGGTACGGGCAGAGACATGGTGGTGAACCCCCGCAGCTTTTCCGAGGGTTACTTGTACGTCTACCGCTTCCAGGAAGACGGCAGGGAGCTTGAGTTCATCCACAAGACCAAGATCGAGGAACCACCGCACGCGCTACTGGCCTTCCAGGGGAAGCTCCTGGTCGGTATCGGCAAGACGTTGCGGCTGTACGATCTCGGCCTGAGGCAGATGCTTCGCAAGGCGCAGGCCGAGGTGGCGCCGCAGCAGATTATGACTCTCAACACGCAGGGCAACCGCATCGTGGTGGGCGACGTACAGCAGGGCATAACGTACGTGGTGTACAAGCCTGCGACCAACAAGCTGATTCCCTTCGTAGACGACACGATTGCTCGCTGGACGACGTGCTCCACCATGGTGGACTACGAGTCGGTGGCGGGCGGCGACAAATTCGGTAACATGTTTATTGTACGGTGCCCGCCCAAGGCAAGCGAGGAGGCAGACGAGGAACCCAGTGGGCTGCACCTGACCAACGCGCGCGGCTACCTTCACGGCACGGCGCACCGGTCGAGCCTCATGTGCCACTTTTACACACAGGACATTCCCACCAGCATCGCAAAGACAAGCCTTGTCGTCGGTGGCCAAGACATCCTGCTGTGGACCGGGCTCATGGGCACTATTGGTGTCTTCATTCCTTTTGTCAGCCGCGAGGACACGGACTTCTTCCAGAACCTCGAGCAGCACCTACGCACTGAGGATCCGCCCCTGGCCGGAAGAGATCACCTCATCTACCGTGGCTACTATGCTCCCGTAAAGGGTGTAATCGACGGCGACCTGTGCGAGAGGTATACCCTGCTGCCGACGGAGAAGAAGCAGATGATTGCCGGTGAGCTGGATCGCTCGGTGCGCGAAATCGAGCGGAAGATTTCGGATATCCGGACGAGGTCTGCATTTTAAAGAAGGAAAGAGAAGGATTTGATAATTAGGTGTTTCAGCGACGTCTTTATTTTTGCTTTCTAATGACCACATGTACACTACGTTTTCTTCCTTTCTCAAAGAGAAAGAAAAACACAGAGGAATAATTGGTGTGCGGGATGTATCTGCTGGGTGTCCGACTTGGGTGTTGATAAAGGGAGATGGGGTTTTTGATTCACAGTGCCATACACCGTCAATTTTTTCATCCCCAGGTACGGGAGGAGATATCATATCTATTGTTTTGAGGTGGACCCATACAAAGAGAGAGAAACAACCCCAATAACAACCAGAAGAAGAAGCATGCTAAAGCAAATGCGCAGTATAATATTGAATAGGGAAGGGCCATGCCTTATTACAGACCCCGCCAAAACGGACCACGATGCTTCTTCGGCTTGCTGCCATCCCCTGCAGGCTTCCTGCTCGGATTCCGCGTCTCCCACGTCTCGTCGGCAAAATAAGCCTCCACAGCGACAGGGAAGTCATAGCCGGCATTCTGGAGGTACAGCTGGGCGACGTCGTAGTCGGCCACCTTTGTCGACGTCATGAACCGTCTAATCTTGGACTTGCGCAACTCCTCGTCCTCCCCACCCAGGGGCCGGGGCGACAGGCTCACACCCGCCTTGTAGAACTCGTGGGGTATCAGGATCGTGCGCCGGGCCAGGAGGAGGTGGTCGCTCGTCAGCTTATTAGCGCGGCGGAGAGCCGCTGCGGGGACACCGTAGCGCAGGGAGAGCGAGGTGATGGTGTCGTGGTTGTGGTCGAGGAAGTGGAGGGTATCCTGGCCGGGCTTCTCGTCGTCGTCATCGCTCGTAGTCTGAGAAGGCTTCTCGTCGGGACTTCTGCTGCTGCTGCTGCTGCTGCTGTTGATGTCGTCATATGGCGGGGGGTCTTCGAAGGCGGTGGGAGAGGACGTCGATGCTGCGGAGTAGTATGATGGAGGATCTCGAAGGCCTTGGGGCAGAGGTGACGGCCCGGAAGATACTTGGCAGTACGGACAGTATTCGGCGAAGCGTATGTTTCTCTATACACGCCCACACGCACACATACACACACACACAGGCATGTCAGTATCAAGCTGGGATTCGGGGTGTATATAGGAGATATGGCCGGGTCGTACATGGATGCATCCTCCGCATATCACTCTGCCGCAGCACGCGACACGGCGATTTGGAGGTGGTGCCTCCTCCGACGGATATGGCGGGGCAGTCGAGAGGATCCGGGCGCAGGTACAGCATGACTCTGAATCCATCATGGCTCTCTTCTCTCTCTCTCTTTCTCTCTCTCTCTCTCTATCTCTCTTTCTTTCTGTGAAGTTAGAGATTTTTATACGGTATCTGAAGATATATAATGGACAGTAAGTAGTAGGTTGGATAGGAAGACTTGCGTGTGTGAGGAGACGACGGAGGAAACGGCCGCCAGTCACCTAATCCGCGAGTTATACTCCGCCAATTAGGTCATGGGGCTCTTGGATTGCATGACTCCACGGCGCATGCCCGAATGAGCGGCTGATGCACTCGTAGAGCGGTTGTACCGTTAAGCTGGAGATGAGAGAACAATATCACTAGCTGAAAGAGAAAATCAAACCTATTTTTGTTCCTTAGTTTTTGTTCTGTATATTGTCGGGAATGGGCCCCCAAGGAGAACGGGCTACTAATAAATGGGGCGCCATATATACGGCATGACCTCACTGTCCGCAAGCAAAGTCATCGCGACGCCAGGGTTCGGCACTCTTTTTCTACTATTCAACATTTCTCCATCATCCCCCCTACCCTACCCCACGACCACGACAGCTGACAGTCATACGATAAGCCCTAGAATTTTTTGAACCTAGCTGCTTCATCTTCCCCTCTTCTTTTTTTTCTCTCTTCTCTCTTCCCTCCGAACCGAAACGAACACAGACAAGCGCCCACCATGAGCAAGCCGCTCTCCTTTGGGCTCAACCTCACAAAGAAGCCCAGCCAGACAAAGAAGACGGCACCGCCGAGGCGGAAACCCATGTTCGGCGCAGATGACGACTCAGATGATGACGGCGCAAGCGGTGACAAGGACGGCGGTGCGGCGCAGATACAGGAGGTAGGGGGCGACGACCTCGACGACGTTGTCACAACAGCAGTGCCTCAAGAACCAGCATTGTCGTCACGCCGGCCATGCAAACCAAAGTCGTCGGCACCATCCCAGCCTCCGAAGTCGAAAGCCAAGGGGCAGCCGAACCTCATGTTTGGTGACCTGTCGAGCTCGCTGACGTCGCGCAAGAACGCCGAGGCAGCGGCCAAGGTCGACGCCAGCGTCTATGAGTACGACAATGTCTACGACTCACTCAAGCCCAAGAAGCCCACGGCGCAGGCGGACAAGGACCGACGGCCAAGATACATGCGCGGCCTGCTGGACGCGGCCGAGGTGCGCAAGCGCGACGCGCTCATCGCTGAGGAGAAGAAGATTGCGCGTGACCGCGAAGCCGAGGGGGAGGAGTTCCAGGACAAGGAGAAGTTCGTCACCGAGGCGTACCGCAAGCAACAGGAGGAGAATAAGCGACTGGAAGAGGAAGAGAAGAAGAGGGAGGAAGCCGAGACCAAAAAAAACCAAGCCGGCGGCATGTCGGGCTTCTACAGGAACCTTCTCAACAAGGACGAGCAGAGGCATTCCGAGGCCGTCAAGGCTGCCGAGGAAGCTGCTGCCAACGGCGGCAAACACGACAGCAATAAGGACGATGAAGAGGCAGCACCACCAGAGCACAACGAGGAGACGAGGCGTGTCAACGAACTCAAGGAAAAGGGCGCTGACATTGCCATCAACGAAGAAGGTCAGGTGGTGGACAAGCGCCAGCTCCTGAGGGGAGGTCTCAACCTGAGCGCAAAGCGCAAAGACCCGGGTGCCCAGAAGGACTCGAGTACGCGTCCACCGGATATCAGGGAGCGCAAGCCGGCAGCGGGAGGGCCCAACGTTGGAAGCAAACAGGCTATGAGGGAGAGACAGTCGCGCATGCTTGCCGAGCAGCTCGAGCAATCAACTAAGCGGTCGAGAGAGGAAGCCGATGCTCAACGGGAAGAGGCGGAGCGTGCAGCCAAGAGTCGCAAGACTGAAGGCGAGATCATGAGTGCCAAGGAGCGCTATCTTGCCAGGAAGAGGGCTGCCGAAGAGGAGAAGAAGAAGGCTCGATGAGCAGGATAGATACTTTGGGGGTCTATATATATATGTACAGTCACACAATGAAAAAAACAAGATGGCAAGACTAGTAGCCAGCCGGGCCAAGGGTGCAGGTTGCAAAACTTCTTGTATGCTCTTTTCAAAGCATACCCGAAATGATCTATACATGGACCAAACATCGGCCTTCTATACATGGTGAATTATACACTGGCCCTCGTTTATAGGGGCCATTGAAAATGGTCGTTTTGCCGTTACCCAAGGCATTTCCCTCCAGCCAAATAGTATACATGGATGTTTCGTTTTCCTCCAAAAAACCTCCCCCTCTTCGCAGTTTACATGCCGTCCCATCTTTTTATTTTATTGCCGTCGTCTCAGGTAGTGTGCTCGGGTATGAGAGAGAAGGGCGCTTAGAGGGACGAGCCTTGCTCCTTGCGTATGCGGTCAATGTAGGCGCTGTTGACCTGGTTCCAAGCAGCCATGTACTTCTCCATGCATGACGTGACGCAGGTGGTCTCGCCGCTGGAGACGGAGGTGCCGGGCTTAGGGATGCACTTTTCGAAGCAGTTCTCCTGGAGTTTCTGTTTTTCGGAGGACAGTCAAATTTCGAATTCCATTCGTACCATCTAAAGCCAGTCTATTGCCTTTCTCTCTAGCCTAAAGGGAAATGAGAAGTGCTTTACCTCGATGAGAAGGCGCGCGTTGGCGAGGTTGGTCTCGTTCGTGACCTGCTGCATGACAGCTTTCTTGACGTCCTTGGAGTCCATTGTGCGGGTATATGTTGGGGGGGTGGTGGTCTTGGGAGGTTCGGATGAGTGGTTGTTAGAAAAGGGTTGATTTGATGATGATGCTTGAAAAAAAGCCGTAATGGATTTGGAGCTCAGGGTGGCTAACAAGCCTGTTGTGGCTGGTAAATTTTTTTCCCCCCAGTCCTTTTGAAAATGTGGCGCATAAACTCATGGGGTTGGTACCTGGAGGGAGAGCGCCCCAAGAAGCGCCTGGACTGCAGCAGTAGAGGACAGCTGTGCTAAGAGCTTTGTACCCGTGTTTAGGCGTGTTTCCGATTCACTTACGGGATTCCAGTCCTCCACCGTCCCTCGTGTTCTCTCTCTCTCACGCTCTCACAAGATCAACGACGGTTATCGTCCCTTTTCGTCCTCCTTCTTAGCGGTCAAACACTGCTTGGACCTTTGTCGCCAACGGCGTCTGGCGCAGCCCTCTTGGTTCTGGCTTATCCCTAGGTTTCGCTACGACGGCATAATCACGATTTCCTCGTCCTCCCACACACACACCTCTCATCATGCGGTTGCCATGGGTATCAGCGGCGCTGTATAGTGCACTCACTTGGACTGCTTCGGCGGCAGCCCCCGATGAGGATGATATCAAGACGGTGACGGTATGTTGCGCCGCTTGCAAGTCAATGGCGTTGAAACGTCAGAGGAGGCTAGGAATGAAGCTAACATGATGGGGGTATACAGCTTAGGACGCACAGTCTCGAACAGGTAAAAGACGGTCCCCAAGACGATTCCTCGACTCCTACCACACTTCGACCCGATAAGGAGTGAGAGATGAAGAAAAAATAAGACTGACGAGGGTGGACTTGTTTAGCCTTACCTCGACTCCGACATGAGCAGCCGATGGTTTGACTTTGGCGGAGACACGATTATCCGAACAGACTCGTAGGTCTCTTCTCCTCATCTTTAGGCGCAGGATACCCGTGTGTGGTGGTGCGAGGCAGAAAGAGGGAGAGAGGGAAGGCTGACAAGAAGGTGAATAGGTACGTTCGGCTGTCGTCGGATCGGCCGTCGCAGTCCGGATGGCTGTTCTCGCGCGTGCCCCTGACGGCGACCAACTGGCAGGTGGAGGTGGAGTTCAAGGTCACAGGAAAGAACCAGCTGTACGGAGACGGCATGGCCATGTGGGTGACTCGGCAGCGCGGGCAGCTGGGAGACGTGTTCGGGCACACGGACAGGTTCGAGGGTCTGGGCATCTTCATCGACACGTATAAGAACAACCGGCCGGGCGTGGTGTTCCCGTACGTCATGGCCATGTTTGGCGACGGCCAGACATCGTACGACAAGAACACGGACGGCAAGTCGACGGAGCTGGCGGGCTGCTCGGCCAGGGGCATCCGCAACGCCAACCGGCCGACCAGGATGCGCGTCACCTACTTCCAGGACAAGCAGCTCAAGCTGGAGCTGCAGTACAAGAAGGAAAACGAGTGGCAGCTCTGCTTCGACATCGACAACCCACCGGCCATCCCCAACATTGCCTACCTGGGCTTCAGCGCCGAGACTGGCGAGCTGAGCGATAACCACGACATCATCTCGGTCAAGTCCAAGAACCTGTACATGAGCCCGGCGAGCAGCGCCGGCGCCGCCAACAAGGCCAAGAACCGCACCAAGAACCGCAAGCCCCTGGCTAAGAAGGGTGGCAGCTGGTCCTGGTTCTTCTTCAAGATTGTCATCTTCTGTCTGCTCGTGGCTGGTGGATACGTCGGGTACACTGCCTACCGTGCCAGGACCAGGTCTCACCGTTTCTAAACCTTGAGACTTTTTTTTTTTGTCTGTCTCCTCCCACTCTTCTAGGTTCATCAACGAAAGGGTGGATGATTTCTATACTTGTTGTGTGTACAAAACGATCGAAGCGGGCGGTGAACATGTGTAGAGTGGAACAAACCAAGAAAAGATGCAAAAAAGATCAGCATAGCTTATGGGGTTGGCAAGGGTCCTATGGAATAGGAAGGGAGGGGGTTCGCTGGAAAGCAGTCGTTTATTGTTGTTCCTTTTTTTTTTTTTTTTACTTTCAAAAATTTTTTTTGCATCTTTTTTCGAAGGTGTCGAGTATCCGGTTAGCAATTAGCGAATTATTAGCACTTGGGCGCCGGCATGGGAATACCAGAGATGACATGCACGAGTATTTGTAGTTCTACACGTCAGATGTCTCCGCAAGTGGGAGTTCTAGCTGGCGCGGTGCGAAGCTGCAAGCGGAGTGATGGTTGGAATGTCGGTACGAGCACGAGACGTAGATATAGATGGGTGATGGCGACAATACTGACCACGATTTGCCCAGCCCCCAAGTACCTGTGGGGCTTTGACCGCAAGAGGATGAACTGACAGAGCAATAATCTGTAGAGGAGCTGAAGAATTGAGATGCGTAGGGAGTGGACCACCTGGATACTCTACTATCACAGCATATGTGTCGAGGCTGATTGATGGAGAGGGCAAGGCATGTTGCAACTCACACATCCGACACGACCGTAGTATCATTACATGTATGTAGTGTCCGGTGGTCGATGCCTGCTCAGGAAACCCCTTGCAGACCTGACTATCCCTACCTGAGTACTTGTTGAGTATTGCTCCGTATGTGTAGTAGTAATAACGAGTAATAGCATCCCTCACTCCTTGCACAGACCGACTCAGCTTGATCCGGAAGCAAGCTTGATAGTATTATCAACTAGGTAAGTTGGTCCTTTTTTTTCTTTGGGATCCCAGCGGCATAAATCTCAACCGACAACTACTCTTACTCGTATCGTCCTGCCACCTGCCGCTTGCCACCTTTTTCTCTCCGCCTCTTCACCTTCTCCGCCTCTTCGTTTTCCCTCCTTCCCTCTCGCTTTCTTTGCTCCTCTCTGTTGTCTTTCCCCCCATACCCCGACCCCAATTGAGACTGGAGAATTACGTCAACTTCTTTCCCTCTAACCTCTCCTCCCCCTCAATTGCCCAATTCCACTCCACATTGAGCCGAACGTAGGTTCAACAAAGTGGGTTCCTAGTTTCTTCTCTTCTTTTCCTTTCCCTTGCTCTTTCCTTTCTTTTTTTTTTTTCCCTCTCTCCCTGATTCTTCTCTTTATTTCCATCATCACTCTGTCCTGTCCCTCTCTTTCTCTCTCGATCAGTCCTCTCATGCCCTTGACCAACCAACCAACCAACCAACCCATGTACCTCTGAGGCTCGGGCCTTGTCTCTGTGCAGTGTGTGTGTCTGTGTGCGTGTGTGTGCTGCGGCAATTTGTCAATTGACTCGAGCGACGTCAACAGCATCCATCTTACCCCGTCTTTTTTTTTTTGGTCCGACCCTACCACTACTGCTGCTGCTGCTGCTACTGCTACTGCTGCTGCTGCTGCTGCTACAATTACCCCTCATTACAGTACTTGTAATACACCTAACCTTGGTAGTATAGTTTATTACTTCCAAGGTCACCATCATACCGATACACACTCCCTGCACAAGAGGACGGAAAAGTAAGAAGCATTAAAAAATGCCCTCCCTCGGCTTCCTCAAAAAGAGACGCACAAAGGGCTCCACGTCCGAGACCTCATCTTCGCATGCACACAAGCACCAGCAGCAGCAGTCTGGCACCGGCGCGGATCGATCGGGTGTCGCTGGTGGAGAGGCACGAGGAGGACAGCTGCAGCAGCAGCAACAGGCTGCAGCAATCAGCGGGGCTCCTTTGTCTGACCAGCCTTCCCCCCACGTTGCAACCACGAACACGTCCGAGCAACGCTCTGCAACGGCAGCGCATTCAACCTCGTGGGCTCAATCCGACCCATCATCTCGGGAAGCAGGATCAGGAGCAGGAGGGGCAGCCGAGAATGACGGTCTCGCCTCTGTCAATCACAGCAACAACGCCAGCACACCTTCGCTAGCCAGAGCCATCGCCGAGACCAACACCCCCGGAAGCACGGCTAGTCCTGGGACGGATCCGAACGCGATGCAACAGCAACAGCAGGCCGCCCGTCCTCTCCCGCCTAATCCTCCTCCTCGACAGCAGCAGCAGCAGTCAAGCATGCAGCAAACTACAGCCATGGGTGCAGTGGGAGCGGGCCACCAGCAACAGCAACAGCAACAGCAACAGCAACAGCAACAGCAACAGTACCAGCACCAGCACAACCATCAGCACCAGTACAACCATCAGTACCAATCGAGCCAAAGTTCGACGGCCCGTATAACAAAGGGAAAGTATACCCTGGCCGATTTCGAGATCCTTCGAACATTGGGTACCGGTAGCTTCGGCCGCGTCCACCTCGTCCAGTCCAAGCACAACCAGCGCTTCTACGCGATCAAGGTGCTCAAAAAGGTCCAGGTCATCAAGATGAAGCAGGTCGAGCACACCAATGACGAGCGGCGCATGCTCAGCGACGTGAAGCACCCCTTTCTCGTCACCCTCTGGGGCACGTTTCAGGATTGGAAGAATCTATACATGGTCATGGACTTTGTAGAGGGTGGAGAGCTGTTTTCCCTCTTGCGCAAGTCGGGGGTGAGTCTCATCCGTCTCTCTCCATGTGAAAGAAGAAGGAGAAGAGAACAATACTGACGGTGCAAAAAAAATGAAATTAAAAAAAAATTAAAAAAAAACCAGCGCTTCCCAAACCCCGTCGCTAAATTCTACGCTGCCGAAGTCACCCTCGCACTCGAGTACCTCCACTCCAAAAATATCATATACCGAGACCTCAAACCAGAGAACCTTCTCCTCGACCGGCACGGCCACCTCAAGATTACCGATTTCGGGTTCGCCAAGCGGGTCCCGGACAAGACTTGGACTCTGTGTGGTACCCCGGATTACCTGGCGCCCGAGGTTGTGTCCAACAAGGGTTACAATAAGTCGGTAGACTGGTATGTTTTTTTTTTTACCTCCCTCTCCTGTCACCCGATGTATGAAGATGATATGAAGGGGGTCGGAGGGGGAGAAAGAAGAGAAGGAGAGGATTGCCAACCAACTGACGAACCACAGGTGGTCCCTTGGTATCCTCATCTACGAAATGCTCTGTGGATACACTCCCTTCTGGGACTCTGGCTCGCCCATGCGCATCTACGAGAACATCCTCAAGGGCAGGATCAAGTACCCTGCCTACATCGCCCCCGAAGCGCACGACCTCCTCCAGAGGCTCATCACGGCCGACCTCACCAAGCGCCTGGGCAACCTGTATGGCGGGTCTGCCGACGTCAAGAATCACCCGTGGTTCCACGAAGTCACATGGGACCGGTTGGCCCGCAAGGATATAGATGCTCCGTACACGCCGTCGGTCAAGGCGGGGATGGGTGACGCCAGCCAGTTTGACAATTACCCCGAGGAGCAGGAGAAGTATGGACTTACCGATGGGAATGACGAGTAAGTTTTAACCCGCTCCCCTCTTCATCCCACCCTTATATAGCCTTCTCTCCTTTCTCATCCATCGGTAGTCTAATCTTTCTTTTCTTGCAGGTATGGACATTTGTTTACCGAGTTTTGAATGGCGAGAGCCGGAACCGATGCGTGGCACTATTGCGTGTGTGTCACAGGAAGATGTGATCTGGCCAAGACAAAAAAGAAGAATGAATGGACGGCGGCGCTTTGGGCGACGGCGGGTAGGATAACGGATAGCCGATGGACGGACGGCCACTTTTGATGTTCCTTTTTTCCCCCATCTTTTTTGCCTTCCTGCGTCCCGGTTGGGCGGCTGCATTAATTGTACATATGTCTTTTAAATCCTCTTTGCTCATTGGCATTGAATCTCGGGGAAGCAAGAGTCACCGACAACTGAACATATATACTACATTCTACCACATCTTCTACAATCTCGCTTGACATTTTCACTGACGTACCAAATAGTGTCCCATTGCACCAGCAATGCCCATACTTTTACATATTACGAGCACATCTGTCAAACAATTCCCGCGCTGGCAAAAAGAAAGGCTGAATTGCAACTTGGCAGGAGGAAAGAAGCAGAGCGGGTGGAGGCCGCCGTCCGGGTTTCCCGCCCGGACCAACCATGATGGAAAGAATCGGGGGCTGGGACAAGGGGATCTTGCAGCGGCGCAGCGGTGCAGCGGTGCAGGACGGAGACAAACTCATGGTTGCAAATGAGCTGTGGCCCTTTGTTTCTTTCAATGCATCCTCTTTTCCTACCTTCTTTCCTTCTCTCCTCTTTCCCCTTTGGATCCTCCTCTTCTTTCCTTTTTTTCTCTCTCCCCCGTAACACTGCGTAGTGGTTGAATAGCTGATACCACCCACCATGGATGAGTACATGTTTCACTCATTTGTCGAGGATAGCATCGAGGTAGAAGAGAGTACGAGTTACCTTGAGATTTTGAATTATTCGGTAAGTCCATCACATCAGGTTTGCACTTTTAATATATATTTACTAAACTATTCAGGACCAATCATACAATTCTTGTGAACAGCATCCGCTTACTCTAGATGAGTTTCGCAACTTTCTCTACCGCAGGGTATGTGTTTTAGGGGGGGGGGAGAGGAGGATAAATGTGAAGCAACTGAAGATGGACGGACTGACAATGATAATAAGGGAGCATTTGAACCGCCAGGAGGACTGCCTAGGGGGGTCAAGCTCGTCAATGGGTTGCGTCTAATGTAGGTGAACCGTTGCCGTCGTGCTGCGATTGTGTGCCTGTTCTCCGACTGACGGTGTACGGTAAAATAGCATCCAGTCTGATGCCCAGCATCCCAAAACATTTGACCCCCAAATCATCTCCTTACCCAAGGATGTATACAAGGACATGGTGCAGGTCATGAAGCTCCCGTACAAGGGAATCGAGACGTCTGCCGTGGTAGGGCCATTCTTCTGGAGTGTCATGGACGGAGATGACGACGGCAAGGGTCCCCATCTGAGTAAGTTCTCTGCACGCACGAACATGCAATATGTGTGTATATGTATCTAACCCCCCCCCCCCCCCCCCCCCCCCCCCCCTCATACGATAGAGATCATCCACCGCAAATCCGATGTGCGTAAGAAGGGCAAAACCCGCGGCTGGGAGATGATGCTCTCGCACTCGCTCAAGACGGGCCTGACGACCGGCTACATCAAGGGCACGCCGAGCTCGAGCGTGGCCAAGGCGCTGCGGCAGGCCGTCGCCTGCGCCCACGAGGTCTCGCACCCCATGTTCCTCCCCGTCCTGATGCTGGGGTACGACCTGGGCACGACCAACGACCAGAAGCAGCGCGACGCGCGCGACTGGATCCGCCGTCTCGAGAATGCCGTCAGCATGCGCGACGAGGTCCACGAGAGCGAGACGTACTTCCAGGACGGCTTCCTCGAGATCGACGGCCTCAGCCGAGACCTGGTCGAGTGCCACGGCCACGTCATGTGGCGCAGACCGCAGGCCTATACCGCCGTGTGCGCCGAGATGGACGTCGCCATGGACGCCTTCTCTAGGACGAGGACGGCCATGCTGTCCTCCTTCCCCCGGGAGGAGGAGGAGGAGGAAGAGGCGGCCAGGAACGCCGCCGTCTCCAGGATTCACCACTCCCTCTCGTCCCGCATCAGATTCTACAAGGTCAAGCTCAAGGGCCTGGAGAGTTATATCCATACTACCCTTGCGCGTCTCAAGGTCCAACGGGAAGCTGTAGGTCGCTTTCTTTTTCCTTCTTTTTCTCCTCTCTCTCTCTCTCTCTCTCTCTCTCTCTCTCTCTCTCTCTTCTTTTCTTTATCCCCCCACCACTTCACCACTGTCATACACCGAGAGCTGCAAGGTTGGACTGACACATAACCCTCGATTACCAGCTCTACAACATCATGTCCCAGCGCGAGGCGAGGCTCAACCTCGAAATCGCCAGGGAACAGCGCCGCATCGCCCACTCGAGCAAGAGGGACAGTACCGCCATGAAGACGCTGTCTCTCTTGGGAGCAGTCTTCTTACCGGGAACATATCTCGCCTCCTTTTTCGACATGCCATTCTTCAACTTTGAACAGCGTACCGTCCTCCCCCTCCCTCCCTCTTTTTTCCCCCTCCCTCCCCGGCACTCCGAATCCTCTCTTGCAGGTATACAGGGGACGTGGAAGCTATTTTATCCTTTACACTGACACAGATACAGGCGCAAACCCCGTCTCAACAGAGCTGTGGGTCTACTTCGTCGTCACCATCCCCGTAACGGCCCTCATCATCGTCGCTTGGCTCATCTACGAGCGTCGTCGTGAGGCTCAGCACCGCCGGGACGACATAGATCTGGAGCGGAGTATCGACAAGCTTGAGAAGGACATTATGCTGCATATGCGTACCAAGACTATGAGCAAGGCGCACACGTGGAATACCGCGACGCAACCGCCGCCAGCTTGAGGACAGACACAAATCACCAACGTTCTGAATACATTTCACTGTATTTTATAATCCGGAGGATTCATGATACCCAGGCTTAAGGGAATAATTGGGCCAAAAAAAAAAGTAGGAGAAAGACAAAAAAAAAACTATTATAGATTAACATACAAACACATATTCGCTCGTAAACCCAAAACTCCAGGCCATGCGCTCGCCGTTGGCACACTGCCTACGGGCCTATGACTCATCATGCCAAAGACAAAGAATGCCCACAAGGGAAAAAAATTAAGGCCATTGGGAACGTGGAGAGAGGAAACGCTTGGACCATGTTACAAGCGGATCGGACTCTCCCCACCGAACCACCGTCGAAAGTCAGAGTTGTTGTTGCTGTTGCTGTTACTGTCGTTGCCGCTCTGACCGGAACGCTGGGCAGGAGAAGAGCCAACGTCGTCGTCGTCGTCGCCACTCATCCACTTGGGCTTGTTGATGGCCTGCCCGAAATCTTGCATCCATCGCGGCGTTTCGAACGTGTCGAAGGTGTTCTTCATGCGGTGGCCGAGGATGGAGAAGAAGCCATCATCTTCCGGGTCATCGACGCGTGGCGACGCCCGGGAGGACTGGCCGGGCCGCGGCCTGTTATTGTCTGACGAATTGACGGGCCAACGAGCTGGCGAGCGGGCTGAGGACGATCCCGGGATGCGCGCGCCGGGGACCGATAGTGTTGGCACAGAGCGGGTGCCATTCCCCGAGGAGATTGACGCGAGCCGCGAGAAGGCCTCCTCGCGACGTAGAAGAGAGTTGCCGCGCAGGTCCCGTTCGATGAGGTCACGACCTTCACGCCAAGAGCCGGTTCCGTAGCCCGTCAGGTTTTCCTCCTCGTCGTCAGCCACGTCCAGGCCCGCGAAAAGCCTCCTGACACGCCCGTACAGGCCGAACAGTGCGGCCAGTACAGGGATCAGTACAAAGGCGGGGTACAGGTCGTCGAACCACCGACCCAGCGGGGTCAAGTCAATAGACTCGCCGAGGAAGCGGTAGAACACCGTCTTGTTGTAAACGCTCGGGGCAAGAAGCGTGAGAAAGTTGTACGAGATGGGGATGCTGAGCTTGGCAACCTGCAGTGCGTACCAAAAGGCCGACTCGTACGATGTGTTGCGCTTGACCAAGGCACGGCCGCGCCACACCTTGACTTCGGTCATGGACATCAGAGCCGCCGTGCACATGTAGCAAATCCACAGCGACGAGATGGCTTGCCCGGCAAAGCCAACCTGCGCCTTCTCGCCGACCCAGTGGTGAATGACGGTCAGTCTAATGACTGACAGCTTGGGGAAGGCCAACTTGATGAACTCGGACCACACAATACAGGCCGACGCACCCGCCAGGACCACGCCCAGAATGAGCTGCATGTACGGCAGGATGTGGTAGTGCAACAGGTAGCGCGTGTAGGGCGTGATGAACTTGGTGCGCTCCCAAGCGCCGGCGTGCGGGTCGGCGTCACCAAAGTCGAGCTTCTTGGATGTTGCCGAGTCGATGATAGTCTGCGTCTCACCCGCCTCCTGTACTAGCCGGTTCCATTCGTCGGCGTACCGAGACCTCTGGTACTGCGCGCGCATCAAGTTACGCGTCAGGTCGGCTAGGAACTTTTCTGTAATCACCGTCGGGATGATGCGGCCAGAGCTCGGGTCGATGCTAGCCGGCGGCGCCTGGTGGTCTGTCACACTAGCCAAGTCCTGCAGCTCCTCGATCCAGTCGCGGAAGTCGACGGCTGAACCGACCTTGCGTCTCCCAAGCTCTGATACCTGGTACTCAATCTCCTCGAGGCTCACCAGCGAATCCTGCATGCGCTCGTACAGTTTGGGCGCACGAGACTGCAGACGACGTAGGCGGCCCGTGATGCTCGCATTACGCATCAGACGCCTTGGTAAGGACACTAGCCCGTGACCCATCAGGTAGATGGCCAGGACTAAACCGAATACGTAGGACAGGGCCATGACGAGACCCTTGAGCGATTCAATGGAGAAACCGTACGAGATGAAGACGTAAATGAGCCCGACAAAGCCGGCACCCAGCATCATGACCATAAATTGCGCATTAGCTCGGAGGGAATACCTGAGCTTGTCCATCGGTTCGCGGTACCCAGCGTCGGAAAATTCCTCGAGGATGGGAAGGAGGGCCCTGCAGAGTGTTTGGTCAGCCAAGTCCTTTGTTCGTTCTCTGTGTACGATACAGTGCGAGCTAGAGCGTCGAGGGTCTTACCAAGTCAAGACAAATGTCAGCCAGTATGTTATCCTCCACGAGACGAGCAGAACCCTTTCAGGCAACCATATGCCTCGAGTAGCCTCATCGTCGGTAGTAGCGCTCGAGGCGAGATCAATGGGGACGAGGACGATGACGATGGCAGGAAGCCATAGGGCGAAGAAGATGGGAACGAGGTAAAAGGCGGGCGTGGTTCGAAGCGGAAGATAGTAGCGCAGTATGGCGAGGACGACGAGCGAGATAGCAATGAAGGCGAAGATGGCAAACGTCGCCGAGCCTACCGGAGAGGCTGTGCTCGCAACGTCAAGCATGATTGGTGTTATCGTTATGATATACGGGAGATTCCATGCGAGCAAACGAGCAAGACAGAAGGAGACAGAAAGATGGACTAGAAAGGTTTTCTCTATAGCGTTATTGTAGTGTCAGAAAGCAAAAGATATCCTCACGATGGAGATGGGGGACGACCAACGGTACAGCTATATTACCGACTGCGGCTTAAAGTCTGCGGATGATATGAATGCATCCAGGGGTGTGGCGGTTGATGGTGACGTGACACACGCACGAGTTACTAAATTTGGTTTACCCTAGAGGACACTATTGATTACGTGGGGCGGCGGCTTTTGACCGGATACGGGGTTCGTATTCTTATGCCTTATGTCCAAGGCATAAATGCCGTCCCGCGTACAGTGCTGTACCTTCGCGCAACGCGCTACATAACGCGCTTTCTTAAAGTACTCCACCATTTTTGCAAACTGTAGAACAGCTCAAGGTGACTTCACATTGACCGATCGACTTTTTCCTATCACATTATTTACTGGGCTCCTCGCTATCATCTTCCACTTCACCTACGAACACGGAGGCCCGGTACTTATTTTCGGTATTTACGTTCAAAACTCGACGCTTAGCTTCCTGCTCGCGCGCCGTCTAGCAACCATGGCGACGGTGCCGGACCTCGAAGAGTGTAAGGCTTCTCTTACTGGATCTCGCTCGGAAACAGCTTGGTCGGACTGATACATCACAGGGTTCACCCACTCCAATGATGCTCTGAACATCAGCCTCGTCGCTCCTTCAAAGTCTGGCCTCCAGTCGGTCGCGGCCTTCCACCCCAACTTTACGTATCCCATCTTCGGCGACGAGGAGCGCATCTTTGGCTACCAGGGCCTCAAAATCAACCTGCGCTACCGCGCAAATGATATGCGCCCGCACCTCAAGGTTTCATACTCTAAAAAGTTCAAGCCCGTAGGCGACAACGAGCCCACGGATATTGCTGCCATCCTCAAGGAGGGCAACCACTTGCCCAAAGGTTAGTCTCGCCATCACCATTCCAATTTTCGTGTAGCACAAGCTGATGTATGTTTCATGTTGCAGTGGCATTCGTCAAGGAATCCGACTTTGAAGACAGCTCCAAGCAGCTCGCCGAGAACAACTGGACTCCGCCCGGTGCTCTACACGACTCGTTCAAGGGCCCAGACGGCTTCGAATACGAGATCTGGAAGGGCGACCTGACCGACCCCGCGATAAAGCAGCTCAATAGCCGCGTCCAGATCATGGTGCCTCTCTTCATCGAAGGAGGATCGTACATTGGACAGGACCCCGACAGCGACTCGTCCGAGCAGAACATTACCGATGCTAACCGGTGGACCCTATTCTTTCTTTATAGAAAGGACAAGCTCTCGGAGGGTGATGGAGCCCAGGGCAGCTCCTACGTCTTTGTCGGATACTCTACAGTCTATCGCTTCTATTGGTTTCAGACTCTCACGCCCCCGGCTTCGCCTGCTGGTGATGGCGGTGACAGCTGGGAGTTGCCCAAGGGTGATCTTAACCTGGCCGAGCTGCCTTGCCGCAGCAGGCTGTCGCAGTTTGTCATCCTGCCTCCGTTCCAGGGCAAGGGCCACGGCGCCAATCTGTACAAGTCCATCTTTTCACACTACCACAAGCACGCGCAGACGCAAGAGTTCACTGTCGAGGATCCCAACGAAGCATTTGATGATTTACGCGACATTTGCGACATGGAGTTCCTCGAGGGGCTGCCCGAATTCCATAACCTACGCCTCGACACGACCGTCACCCTGCCCAAGACGGGCCCAATCCCACAGCTGATTGTCGGCGGCGACAAGCTCGAGGATATCCGCCGCAAGGCCAAGATCGCATCTAGGCAATTCTACCGCGCCGTTGAGATGCACCTCATGGCCCAGCTGCCTGATTCGGTTCGCCCAACCATGGACCTCGACAAGGAAGCGCCCTCGCCCACGAGCGCCGAGAAGTACCAAGAGAGACTGTGGCAGCTCGTTGCCAAGCAGCGTCTGTACCGCCACAACAAGGACGCGCTGTCACAGATGGATTCTGAGGAGAGGATAGAGAAACTGTACGAGGTCCTGACAGGCGTCGAGCTGGGAAACGCTCGTATCCTAGCTGCTTATGAGCGTGCGATCAAGCATTCCAAGTCGGAGGTAGCACCTGCTGCCCATGGGAAGCGTAGACTGGATGACAGCGAGGAGAGCGTGAGTAGTAAGAAGGTCAGGGTGTCTGACGCGTAAGGAATGACGGTGGTTTCGAATGGTGAATCAGGCGTTAGGGCGGTAATACCTAGGGGACAGTATGCTTACTTTCAAATGTACATTTACAACGGTTTAATCACCACATGATTACAACGGAGTCAAAGAGGTTCTACCTTTGTCTCTCTTTTGTCCTATTAATATAGAAAAATCTTAGAACCTGGTGCCATTGACGTTCTTGACGCCCTGGCCAAGCTGGCTAGCAATGACAGTAGCCTCACGAACAGCCCTAGCCATTGTGCCACGAACGGCACCCTCTTCAAGGACGAGTGTTCCGCCAATGGTGCATCCACCAGGGCTAGAGACCTTTTCGCGCAGGATAGCCGGGTGCTCGCCGCTCTGGACGAGGGCGGTGGCGCCCCTCATGGTCTGGGTGGCCAGGCGGATAGCCTCGGCGCGGGGGAGACCCATGGCGACGCCGCCGTCAATGGCACCCTCGAGGACCAGGGCGAAGAAGGCGGGGCCGGAGCCGGCCAGGGAAGTGACGGCATCCATATTGGTGGGGGGGAGCTCGACAACGTCGCCGATCTGTTTGAAGATCCAGGTGAGGAGGGTGTCCTCGTATGGGGACATGGGCGGGGAGGGGGTGGCGATGATGGTCATGGACTGGCGGACCATGGCAGCAGTGTTACACATGGCACGGATGATGCGGCACCTCCCATCCTCCTCGGGCGTCACCGTCGGGACGGACCCGTGCAGCGCAACCTCCAAATCCTCGACCGTCACGCCTGCGCACACGCTGACCAGGATAGTGCCCCGCAGCGCATCGGCCATGCCCTTCTCGCCGAGCACCCCGCCCACCATGTACGGCTTGCACGCCAGGAGGACCACGTCGGCACGCTTAGCAGCGTTCACATTGTCGTTGCGCACAACCTCGACCGACGAGGAGTGGTCCTTGAGCGTCGTCTCGACTCGCTCGGCTGACTTAGCGCTGCGAACACAGGCGATGAAGCGCGACGGGATACGCTCGGGGAGTGTCGTGCCTTCAGACTTTCCGGCCTTCAGGTCGGCAAGGGACGATAGGACGCCGTTGACTATGGCGGTGGCCAGATTGCCTATAGAATGTTAGTCGACACATTTTCCTCTGTTTCGTCATATGGGAGAGGGGCACAAAAGAAAACATACCGCAGCCCAGCACCGTCACGGTCAGACCGTCTTTTCCAACAGCAGCCGACATGTTCCCTGTGATTCAAATAGGCACCGGGTAGTAGAAAAGAGAAACGAGAAGGTTGAAAACGGAGAGATGAAGGAAAAAGAGACTCGGGAGTTTGTATGGTGGGGGTTCTGAATTGCTTCGAATTCGGCGCCAGAGCTACAGGGTAGAATCGCTTGGTTTTTGAGGGTATGGAAAAAACATGTACGAGATCACTAATACAGCTGCCACCAATCGACTCATGAACCGAACCGGAGAGGTCATCTGAAGTTCTCATGCCAAATTAACTCGACAGCCGATACAACCCACCGAAACTAGCAAGATTGTCCCCCCAGAAGTGGTAACAGTAGCGGCCAGCATCGGCAGCCGCAGCCGTGGTGGTGTGGTGGCTATCTCCGTATGTCGGCGCCCCTCTCCCGGGGCTTTACCGAGCGGAGCTTTCCCGAACAAACAAGGCCATCTTCCTGTCACTCTGCTACTAGTCTACGAGTCGCCGAGAGTAGAGTAATACCAACGACGAGCTCCACTTCCTCTCTCACACACTCCACACATGCAAATCAGGACCTTGGTATGGGACTCTTGCTGGGGGACGACATCCTATGCCTTGAGCTTTTGTAGCTCTACAATTACGCGAGAAAACCCCCGCTGCGTCTTCACAGCCATCAAGAAGAGGAGCGTGCGTGTGGATGCTATAACCTCCTCCCGGACTGATTACCATGGCCGATCCTTTCGAGGTCCGCATGAGGTTCTCCTCTCAACTCCGAAATCTCAACGCGTCGACGACTTCGGCGCAAAAGGCCACCCAGTATGCCCTAAAGTACAAGGATATGGACGAGGACCTGCACTCGTGCATCCTCGAGCAGGTGGAGGGGGTATGCATTTCACCTAGGCCAATCGTCTTTCCGTCGGTGCTAACCCTTCTATGAATATAGAATAACATGAATACGCGTGCAAACATCATGTACTTTATCGAGCACTTTCTTGACTCGGCACAGAGGGAGGGTCACCCGGTCTACATTCGTATGATGCAGCGTGACATTATTCGTGTTGTGGATGCTGTTGCACCGGATGATGGCACCGGAGCGGCCAATGTCAGGGTCGTGCGTAAGGTACTGTCCTCTACCCTCCCCCTTTTATTCTTTATCTTTATTTTCTATTCTTCTACCGATGATTCGTCTAACTTCAGGCCAGGTTCTTCAAGGGCTTCAGGCAAAGGGCTATATTGAGCCCCAGGCCGTCAGCCAGATTCACGAGGTCCTAAAAGAGCGTGAAACGACGGCAGATGATCTTGGCTTAGCGTCGCCGTTGGGCGACGACGTGAACATGGCCGATACCTCCACCGCAGGCGCAAAGTCTGGCCATCGCAGCGGGCAACACCAGAGGCTGGAGAAGCGCCACATCGAGCAGCGCATAGAAGAGGACCGCGAGCGACATAAACGCGAGAGGGAGAGCATGTGGGCCATTCCTGCCGGCCCCGAGGCGGAGATGAAGAAGCTTTGGGAGGAAACGAGTGATTTCGGCGAGGACGATGACAGGCTACTGGCTGACGAGGCCGAGGATTTTGCTAAGGAAATGGAGACTAGAGGGTGCCCTCACCGGCCAGCCCCCGCGGATGCTGTTTGGGGTTGAGACACCCCATCTTGATTTCTTGTTAATATGCATAGTTATTCCTCCCTGGCGTATCGGTGGCATGGTTATTTCGGGGGCGTTTGATGCAATAGTACTGCTGTTGATATGAAATTGTATATTAGAAATAAGAAGACTGGAGGATACTGACAAAAGGTCAAACATACCCATACGAGCGCTTTCGAGAAACACGAAATGACCAAAAACATGAACGTAACGTCTTCTTTTAAATACTAGTACAGAGATTGGTTTTTTTTGTACAGGGGACAATTGCCGTCTATCGTGGTACAGTGGTGCTAAACGTAGCCAGCCCGTGACACAATTCTTTCGTTTTTTCCTCCTCCCTTACTCCATGATGACAGTGGCGCCAAGCTCCTTCATGGTGGCAATCATCTTCTCGGCATCCTCCTTAGGCACGTTCTCCTTCATCGTCTTGGGAGCGGACTCGACAAATTTCTTGCTGTCGACCAAGCTGAGACCCAGCAGGGCCTTGATCTCCTTGATGACCTTGGCCTTGCTGGCCGTTTCAAACTGTTGCAGCTTGAGGGTGAAGAGATGCTTCTCAGCGGCGGCGGGGGCAGCCTCCTCGGCCTCTTCAGCGGGGGCGGCAGCGGCAGGGGCGGCAGCGAAGCCACCAACGGGCAGGTCGGGGATGTTGAGCTTGCTCTGTATGCAGTAGCGGAAGATTGTGTCAGCGATCTATTCTCCTCTCCTCTTTCTGGCCAGTGCGGAAGAAAAAAAAAAGGACACACGTCATCATCATACCTTGAGGGTAGACACCAGGTCGGCAGTCTCAAGAAGCGTTAGCTGGCTGATCTGGTCGACAATGGTATCGATCTTGGGGTTGGCGGGAGCAGCGGCCTCGGTCGAGTTGAATCGCCTCGTCGTAGCCGAGACGCGCAGGGTCTGGGGAGCGACACGGGCAGAGCGCAGCTGACGGGCGCAGGAGCGCGCGGCGTATCGACATGACATGGCCATTGTGCTTGTTGGCGTGGGAGTATTTGCCTTTCGAACCGGGCTGAGGGAGGGTTATACAGGAGAACGGGAAGGAAAAGAAAGTCGTGATGATTCGTCGCGTGGTATTAGAATGACCGAACCTCCTTCCCAAAGATTTTCGGAGCTTCGACGTTGGACGAGGGTCTGTAATTCTCCATTTTGATTGGCCCGGATATACGTCGTGCCTTTTACCGACCTAGACCCCTGCAACGCTCACAGTCGTCGTTATCGCGATAAGAAAAAAAAAAGTTATTGACTGCAGGCGGAATATCGAGGGTGAAAGTTACATACAAAATCTTGTACTTTCTTTATACCACCAAGTATATATCGGCCACAAGAGCGTCATCATGGCGGCGATGGACGTCTCAAGGCAAAGGAGATCGCTCCTTGGTGATGCGATCGTTCTGAACCAACTGCCGGCTGAACTACGTCAACTCATAGAGGACACTACTGCCACCAAAATCCTCGACGCCGTCTCAGATGCCGCTCTCATCCCGATACTTACAGAACGCATTTTTATTCATTTTGAAGCCGCCTTTCCCGACATTTGTGCCCGTTGGATCCTCAACTCGGGTAGCAGCTCTCGAGTACTCAGCGCCACATCAGCATTGGCCAGGCTATTACCTTTTGCTCCGTATCTGTCGGCTTTTCTCGAGCAACCTGCCGTCGACTCTGCTGCCTTGGGTCAAGCCCCTCATCTTCACATTCCTCTTCCACACCTAGATGCTGTCCTGCGGGAGGTGGATGGGAGACATCTTCTTGAACACCTCATCACATTATGGAGACTCATCAGCTTCGATTTTGCGAGATTCAGCCCACATATCTCACCCGCCCTCATCCAGAACCTCTTCGCCCACGACGACAGGCCTGTGCGGTACGTCGCTATTAGAATCTTTTGCCTCCTTCTTCATGCCTCCGACTATAAGCTGGAGGCTCTCATTAATGAGCACGTTGGAAGGAATGATGCTGCCATTGGAGATTTGGACGGCGTCTCGGTCGACTACGGCTTCCTGTCCCTGCATGAAAATGCGCGTGTCAAGAAGGCCGTCGCCCTCCGCGAGCAGCTCAAGGCTACTGCTATCGACGAGGAAGAAACTCCCGTTATGCAGACCCTCACGCCTTATTCTGTACCATATGGAAGCGTTCTACTCCCGCGACCTTACGGACCGACTGGTAACCCATCCAATCTAGTCCGGACCGCCACCACATCCAGGAACCTCGAGAATCTGGCCACTCTTCTGCGAGACAACGATCCAATCCTGCTTCATGGACTTTCGGGATCCGGAAAGACGTCGTTGGTCCACGAGGTTGCCCAGCAGCTGGGAATGTATTCCAACATGGTCACACTGCACTTGAACGAGCAGACCGATGCTAAAATGCTTGTCGGCCTGTATTCGACGGACACAAAGCCTGGAAGCTTCCAATGGAGACCAGGTGTGTTGACAACCGCTGTCAAAGAGGGTCGATGGGTCTTGGTAGAGGACCTCGATAGGGCTCCTACAGAAGTATTGAGCACTTTGCTGCCCTTGATTGAGCGCAGGGAGCTCCTCATTCCCAGTCGAGGGGAGCGCATCCAAGCTGCGAGTACCTTCAGGCTCTTCGCCACACTGCGGAACTCTAGGGGCATGAATGGGCGCGAAAATCTTCCCAGTATCGTGGGAATGCGATTCTGGCAATCGATGCACGCTGAGCCATTGGCCGAGCAGGAGCTGGAGGAGGTCATTCTCAACACGTATCCAATTCTTCGCAAGTTTGTACCTGGTATTCTCGCAGTTTATGGACGTCTTTCCAGGCTCGGCCGCGACCCCACGTCACCCTCCGCGAGCCGCAGTCTTGTTGACCGCCAGATTAACCTCCGAGACCTCTTGAAGTGGTGCCGGCGCCTGCGGGAGTGTCTCTCTAACGCGGGGTCGACCATCGGAGACGAGCCTATCACCGAGACGACCCGTGACTGGATGTTTATGGAAGCTCTCGACTGCTTCGTCGGAAGCTCACCTAACGCCGAGTCGAGCAGGAAACTGGTTTATGCCATTGCCGAGGAGATGCACCTAGCTCCTGAACGCGCCGACCATTATCTCAACACTTACACTCCGCTACTCGACGAGAATGATTCGCGATTTGACATTGGACGAGTGAAACTACGAAAGCAAAAGTTGACGAGTCGTATGCAGCGATCGAAACGACCTTTTGCAAGCACAGCCCATGCCAAGAAGCTGCTTGAACAAATTTCTCAAGCTGTCAAGCTCAGCGAGCCGGTCCTTCTCGTCGGTGAGACAGGTATCGGGAAGACTACCGTTGTTCAACAGCTGGCCGACTCTCTGGGCCATAAACTTGTGGCAGTGAATTTGTCTCAACAGAGTGAGGTGAGCGATCTGCTTGGTGGCTTCAAGCCAGTCAACGTGCGATCCCTCGCCGTACCCCTTAAAGAAGAATTTGAGGACCTCTTTGCTGCTACGGGTATCTCTGTCTCCAAGAACCAGAAATACTTCGAGCAGGTCGGAAAGTGTTTTGCTAAGGGCCAGTGGTCCAAGGTTTCCAAGCTCTGGAAGGAAGCTCCCAAGATGTTCCTCAAGATTGTCAGTCAACTAGAGCAAGCGGAGTCGCAGTTGCATGATGATACGAAAGAAGGGGACGAACAGCCCGCCAAACGTCGGAAAACCCAATCCAAGCACCAGGCACTGCTGGATCTGCGCCCAAGGTGGGACTCGTTTTCCAAAAAACTCGAGCAATTCGATGTCCAGATCTCTGGCGGCGGAAACACCTTCGCCTTCACATTTATGGAAGGCAACCTCGTCAAGGCAGTGCGCAATGGAGATTGGGTGTTACTGGACGAGATCAACCTGGCCTCTCCTGACACCCTCGAAAGCATCGCAGATCTGTTGACTGGTCCCGCCGAGCGCCCCTCCATCCTCCTTTCAGAGACTGGCGAGATTGAGAAGATTGTCGCTCACCCCAATTTCCGCATATTTGGTGCCATGAACCCTGCCACGGATGTCGGCAAGCGCGACCTCCCCACTGGCATTAGGTCCAGGTTTACTGAGCTCTATGTCCACAGCCCTGACACGGATCTCAAGGACCTGCTGACCATCGTCCGGACATACTTGGGAACCAGCAGCAGCAAGCATGACCAGGCAGCAGATGACATTGCACGCCTCTACCTCAATACCAAGCGCATGGCAGAGGCCAAGAGGCTTGTCGATGGTGCTAACGAGGTGCCACATTTCAGTCTCCGTACGTTGACGCGCGTTTTGAGCTACGTCAACAGCATCGGCCCCCTCTACGGTCTTCGACGAGCTCTCTACGAAGGTTTCTCCATGGGATTCCTCACTCTTCTCGATCGGGACTCGGAAAAGATGTTGCTTCCCATCATCCATCATCATCTTTTCGACAAGCAGGCAAATGCACAGTCTCTCCTTTCGCAGGCGCCCAAGCATCCCGATGATGGGAAGCCGTATGTCAAATTCAAGAACAAGAACCGAGACCGGCAGTACTGGCTGTTCCAGGGCAACGAGCCTGTCGTGGAGAGGGATGACTACATCATCACCCCCTACGTTGAGCGCAATCTACTCAACCTTGTACGAGCAACGTCGACACGGCGTTTCCCCATCCTAATCCAAGGCCCGACATCTGCGGGAAAGACGAGTATGATCGAGTATCTCGCCAATTTCACCGGAAACAAGTTCGTCCGTATCAACAACCACGAGCACACTGATTTACAAGAATACCTCGGAACATATGTCTCCGGTGCAGACGGCAAACTGCGTTTTCAAGAGGGTCTTCTGGTTCAGGCAATGAGGCAAGGCCACTGGATCGTCCTGGATGAACTCAACCTTGCGCCTACAGACGTTCTTGAGGCTCTGAACCGTCTTTTGGATGACAACCGAGAGCTTCTCATTCCCGAGACCCAGGAAATCGTCAGGCCTCACGAAAACTTCATCCTCTTCTCCACCCAGAACCCTCCTGGTCTCTACGGTGGCCGAAAGGTACTCTCTCGCGCATTCCGCAATCGTTTCTTGGAGCTCCACTTCGATGATATCCCCGAGGACGAACTGGAATTCATCCTTCAGCAACGCAGCCGGAACACCTCCCCACCGGACTGCCGTCGTATTGTTACGGTTTACAAGGAGCTGTCCAGGCTGCGCCAGACAAGCCGACTTTTCGAGCAGAAGGACAGTTTCGCAACTCTGCGCGACTTGTTCCGCTGGGCATTGCGAAAGGCAGAGACCCGCGAAGAGATCGCTGCTCACGGATTCATGTTGTTAGCCGAGAGAGTGCGCAATGAGGAAGAGCGTCTGGCAGTCAGAGACATCATTCAAAAGGTCTTCAAGGTCAATATTGACCCCCAGGAGCTGTACTCAGCCGAGAACGCCCCTGAATTGATGGGCTTGAGACGCAAAGGGAATTCTCAGGGTGTTGTGTGGACACATGCCATGCGCCGTCTCTATGTCCTCGTTTCCAGGGCCATGTGCAATAACGAGCCTGTTCTCCTTGTCGGCGAAACTGGCTGCGGAAAGACGACGGTCTGCCAGTTGCTTGCCGAGGCTCTCGGGAAGCAGCTTCACATAGTCAACGCGCATCAGAACACCGAGACGGGAGATCTTATCGGTTCCCAACGGCCCGTTCGTAACCGTGGGGCCATACTCGACTCTCTGAATGCAGACCTCAAAATGGCATTGGATGATGCTGGGGTCTCGTATGAAGGATCTATAGAGGACAAGCTCGCTAAGTACAAGTCACTCGACAAGGAAGCGCTCTCTTCGATCTCCGCAGACATCCGTGAGCGCATAGCCTTGAACGAGACCCGGAGTAAGGCATTGTTTGAGTGGTCGGATGGTGCTCTTGTGGAAGCCATGAAGGACGGCCACTTTTTTCTTCTCGATGAGATCTCTCTTGCCGACGACTCTGTTCTGGAGAGACTCAACTCCGTACTTGAGCCCCAGAGGACTCTCCTTCTGGCAGAGAAGGGAATCGACGACTCGTTTGTCCGAGCGACCGACGGCTTTCAGATGTTTGCCACCATGAATCCCGGCGGCGACTTTGGCAAGAAAGAGCTTTCCCCCGCTCTGCGGAACCGTTTTACGGAGATATGGGTTCCAGCCCTGTCTGCTGACGAAGACATCTACGACATCATTCAAACCAAGCTGACCAAGGACTGCAAAGATCTTGCTGATGTCATTGTCCAGTTCGCTACCTGGTTTGGCGAGACGTTCAGGTCCTCCTCCTCGACGCGCTTCTCCATCCGTGAAATTCTGGTTTGGGTCGAGTTCATCAATGCCTTCCACTCCAAGAATCGCATGGCTGCTCTGGTACACGGAGCGGCCACCATCTTCATTGACAGTATTGGCGCAAACCCCTCCGCCATCCTCGCCATCGACGGAGAGTCAATCGCCCAACAGAGGACTAAGTGTCTCCAGAAGCTGAGTCAGCTTGCTGGTCACGACGTGTCTGAGATATACCAGATGGAGCCGCAGCTTTCGATGGACGATACCTCGATATCGATAGGCGACTTCAGCATCCCCAAAGCGGCGTCTGGGTCGGCCGAACCCGGGTTCGCTTTCCACGCCCCCACGACAAGGCTCAACGGAATGAGGGTGCTTCGTGCGCTCCAGATGCGGAAGCCCATTTTGCTGGAGGGTAGTCCTGGTGTCGGAAAGACCACCTTGGTTGCTGCCCTTTCGCGTGCATGCGGTCAGCCCCTGACAAGAATCAACCTTTCGGACCAGACTGATCTCATGGACCTTTTCGGAACTGATGTACCCGTGGAAGGTGCGGAGGCGGGCAATTTTGCCTGGCGCGATGCGCCTTTCTTGCAGGCCATGCAAAAGGGAGAGTGGGTACTCTTGGACGAGATGAACCTGGCTTCGCAGTCGGTCCTTGAAGGTCTCAACGCCTGCTTGGATCATCGGGGAGAGGTGTACATTTCTGAGCTGGATCAAGTCTTCAAGCGCCATCCCGACTTCCGCCTTTTTGCTGCTCAGAACCCTCATCACCAGGGAGGCGGCCGCAAAGGTCTTCCCAGCTCTTTCGTCAACCGTTTCGTCGTCGTCTATGCCGACGTCTTCACCGGCGAAGACCTCCAGCTCATCGCTGCGCATAACTTTCCTGATATGCCGGCTCAATCTATTACGCAAATGATCCAGTTCATCTCCCGCATTGAGCATGATCTGGCCACTGACAAGTCATTCGGCTCCCAGGGTGGACCGTGGGAGTTCAACCTTCGTGATGTGCTGCGATGGCTGCATCTATTGAATTCCCAGGAGGATCTTCTCCAGGCTGCACGCATGGATGATTTCTTGGACCTCGTCGTCAGGCAGCGCTTCCGGACACAGAAGGACCGTGATCAAGTCAGCCGACTTTTCACTGAAACGACAGGGGTTGAGCCTCGTGTCCGCAGCCTTTACCACAACATCAGCGCTCTGTTTGGCCAGGTCGGCCTAGCTCTCCTGAACAGGAATATCGACCTCCAGCCTGAGAGGCTTCCCAGCATAGATACGAAGCCCCGCCTCCCTGAGCTGGAGACGCTGATGATCTGCGTCAAGAAGAACATTCCCTGTATCCTCAGCAGCCCGTCAGGATACGGAAAATCATCTCTTTTGGAGCATGTTGCCGCACTGTCGGGAAAGCCTCTTGTCGTGTTCCCGATGAACGCTGACATCGACACCATGGACCTTGTTGGTGGCTTTGAGCAGGCAGATCCCCTGCGGCAAGTCAATGCCACCTTTGTGGACCTGCGCGAGAGCCTTCAGAAGTCAATCATGTCCATTATGCCCGGCCAAGTCCCAGTGGAAGCTCTGCAGCTGTTCCATACGCTCGAGCGTTTCGGAGGCAGCATGGACAGTATCGACATTATCAGATCATCCATCGACGCGCTTTACCAGACAATCCCACATAATTCCGAAGTAGGAAGAATCCTGACATCGGCCCTCGAACTTCTCAATGGGCCACTCACTTTGGCTAACCCCCGGTTCGAGTGGTTGGACGGTGTGATTGTCAAGGCGCTCCAGACCGGTCAATGGCTTGTTCTGGACAACGCAAACATGTGCAATGCCTCAGTTCTCGATAGGCTCAACTCACTTCTAGAACCTAATGGCTCCCTAAGTATCAATGAGCACTGCGAGCCTGGAGGCGAGCCAAGGGTTATCAGACCTCATCCAGACTTCAGAATCTTCCTGACCGTCGACCCCCGATACGGCGAGCTTTCTCGGGCTATGCGAAACCGTGCTGTTGAGATTTACATCCACATTTCCCCTCCGGCTATTGATCCCTGCTACAACCGCATTGCCCAGATTGAGAGCGCACTGCAGAGGTTCGCGACCATCGAGAAGGCCGTTGACTCCGCCCCGTCAACAGTCTCCCGGAGTGACATTACCGTTGTCTCCAGCGATGTTCTGACCTTTGACGACTTTGGCTTCCTCGAGCGTTACGCAAGTGATTCCAGGAAGCGACAGCCGGACACTATCGAGTTCCACGAACGCCTCGATGAGCTTCTCGAGTTCTCGCGGTCCACGGTTGGCAGCGGCAGCATGGATGCCACAGCCGACATTTATTCTCAGCTCGCCAGTTACTCGTCGCCAGGCCTATGGCACACTCAGCCGATCCACACTATGACCAACATCATTGCGACACGCTTGATTCCCAACAATGAGGAGGCACAATGGCTTGGAATACGTTACGAGTTCAGCCGGGATCTTAACCGACTGCACAATCTCATTGAAGGATACCGGAGAAAGGCCCAAGGCGGGAAAATTGCTTCTCTCAGTCGCCTGGAGAGGTCGCTCATGAAGGACCGTGTGGCAGCTGTGTCGAAGGACACCACAGTCAACCTGGCACCCTTCCTTTTCTTTGTCTCCTCTGTCATGATGGAGTATCTGCGTAATGGTCATTCATCTGCCGTGTCTTGGAAGGATGCCTGCCGTTTGCTACGCCTGGTGAACCGCTACGTTGAGAGGACAATTTTCCTCAGCACCGGAGGTCCCTTTGATGACGCCAAGTTCCAGGCCCATCTGGCCCATGGTACAGACATCCTCCAGGAAAGACTTCAACTTCTCCCGGGGGAGTCTGAGAAGGCTTTCATCACAAGCATCTTGGACCAGTTGAAACATGATTTCACCGCTGGATTCAGGCTGTCCACAGGTCTCAGCATGGAACTCCTCTGGAGGACATTGAGGCCGACACCGTTCAAGGATGAGGGCGCTCTCAACAGTGCCGTTGAGCTGGAGCAGCTGGCCTCGAGGTTCGATGACCTACGCTGGAGGACTTCCGCGTCAATCGCTCATCTCTGTAACGCTTCCTCTACCTTGGAGAAAGCATACAAGCTTGTCAAAATGACCAATGTGCCAACTGAGGAACTTGTCCAGGCCCTTTCTACAGAGATTCAGTTGCTGGAGGCCCGCGTTGGCGTTGATGCTCCCGAAACCCGACCTTTCTTCTCCGACTCGTTCGATCGTTTGAGGCAGCTTTTTCTTCTCAAGGAGGCCCGTGCAGGAAACATCAGCGACCGGGTCTCCCGTGATCTTCTCATCCTGGCCGATGTGCCGACAAAGACTAGCATGACGATGGCTGATACCGACGCGACATCAGCTCAACTCCAGCTTGTTAGCGCGTTGGCTTGCCAAGATCGATTTACGTGGGATGGGAAGCTCGTGCCGTCACTTTGGACTAAGGTCCAGGGCCTGGGATCGGTTGACCTCAATTCATTGGCAATGCTCGAGGTCGAACTGCCCATTCTTGGACGGCACCTGACATTCCTTACGTCTGAAGTTGCCTCGGACCCTCTGCCCAAGCTCAACGATTTGTTATGGAAGCTTCTTCTTCAAGTTTTTGAGGCCCACGGAGAACAGTTGGGCGGCCTAGTGACTGAGGCGTTTGCGGACGCCAAGCAGCTCGCGTCTCAAAACTCCGGGTTGGTGGTGGCTGACATGCCCAGCCTGCCGGCGTTTGGGCGCCTCGTCAACGGGATTGAAGCCCAGCATTTCCGTGAAATTGCGGAGACCAACTTCATACCGGCAATTTCATTCATGGCCTCGGCTGAATATTCCGTCGGCCAACTGTCGTACCTGTCGGCCATGGCTTGGACTCACTTCAGCATTGGCACGGTGAAACTCTACGTCCCGGACCGAGTTTTTGATCCACAAATCCGACCGCAGATGGAACGTGAATTCTTTGATGACATGCAGAGCCACCTCGGAGAGAAGATGCAAGTTCTTCGAGCGTTCGAGGAGCTCTTCACTGGACACGACACCAATACACGAATTGAGCTGCTCCGGGACGAGGCTGAGCGTCTCGGCCCGCTACCACCGGCTGTCCAGCCCGTTTTCCGACCTCATAAGTCGGAGCTAGGAAGGCTACATGCCGAGTTCTCCAACATTTTGAAGGCCGTTGAAAGCGTGGACATGCCCGAAGGCCACAAATCTCTAGAGACAACCTTCTCGCCAGACAATGATAAGCTCCAACTCGTCAAGGACAACGTCCAGCGACTGGCCGAACGACTTTCGAGCCGATTCGATGCGTACCAGGATATGACTCTGCCGACCATTGCTCTCCTCAGATGCCTCTTGATCGGCTTGTCAATCTTTGATACTGTTGCCCGTGATTCTGTCTCGCCCGTCACAGACGAGCTTCTACAGGTCACACCTTTCTTCGGTGGCTCTCACTGGAACCCCGATGTGCCCCCAAGCTCAGCCAAGAACTTTGAGTTCCTCGATGTCATGACTCTATTCGTTGCTATCCACGGCATCGAGAGCCTGAAATCCGACCCTCGCCAGTCTATTTTTGAATGCTTCCACTTCTTCTACCACGACTGGAACAAGCGGCTAGAGGTTGATCGCAAAGCCGAAGAATCCAAAGCCAGTCTATACCGGTTTCGTGGTAGCTTGGAGGACGAGGAGCAGGTAGACGAGGAACAGTTCCACGAGCTCTTCCCTGGCTACGAAGATGAGGCCGTCACCTCCACCGCTACGAAGAAGAATGACCAGGTTCGTGAGGTGTCTGTCAAGGTGGCGAGGGCGCACAGAAGGATCTTCCTGTCTCCACCCAAGCCGTCTGAGGCCATGTCGGACCTTTGCCGATCTGTCGGTCAGCGCATCGCGGATGAGACGCAGCAGCAACTATCCGTTGGCGGAGGTATTAGCCGCCGGATACTATCTGGCGCCCTCCTAATCATGGACGAAAAGAAGCAGCAGCTCTCTGCCCCCGAAGCTTCCCGCTCTTACAACTTCTATGAGGACGAAAACCTCACCGAGGCACGACAGCTTGTCTCGCTCGTCAAAAAGATCAAGGGCCGCTTCAGGGACCTTCAGCGCGTTGACGAGATTGGACATATGCAGCCGTTGGAAGATGTGGTCCAGTCCTGTGACAAGGTCCTAGGGATTGTGCACACGGAGCCCCTCGCAAGAATCCTGCCCAAGGTAGAGCAGCTTCACGCCCACGTTTACGAATGGCAGTTTGGGGGCTGGGCTAGCCGAGCTCACGCTGTCCTCGAGTTGCACAACTCCTTGACTGATACAATTATTCGCTGGCGCCGACTGGAGTTGTCCACATGGAGCAGACTGTTTGTGACGGAGAAAAAGAAGTGCGAGGACGATGCCTATTCGTGGTGGTTTGTTGCGTACCAGGTCGTCATTGCCGGTCCGCTCTCCATGATGGAGTCGGAGACGGATCTTACAGGCTATTCAGTTTCTCTCATCGAGAACCTGGAGCTCTACTTCTCAACTTCAATAGTCGGCCAGTTTGGCGCGCGTCTCGCTCTTTTGAGGCAATTGCTGAGCCACCTGGCTCTCCTGGTGAAAGACTACCCTTCCCTTGATGTCGTCCACATTGCCGTTGCCAACTTTGTCAGCTACTATTCTCGTTACGAGTTGGTGGCTGCGGAGATCATCCAGAAGGGACAGACGCCCATTGATAGGAAAATGAAGGACATCCTTTTAATGGCCAGCTGGAAAGATACGAACATCAATGCCTTGCGGGATAGCGCTCGCAAGTCTCACCTAAAGCTCTTCCGTCTTGTCAAGAAGTTCCGCGGCGTTCTCGGTCAGGAAATGAAGACCATCATTGACCAGGGTCTCCCCGATCAGACCTTTGGTGAGAAAATCAGGGAAGTCGAGATCGTGGACCCTGTCCTTCCCTCTACAGCTCTTGAAGCCAAGCTCCAAGAAGCCATTGCGCCCTGTCTCGACAATAACAGGCGCCTGGCAAACGCCCCCACGACGGTATCTGTCATGACCCGTGTGGCTCGGAGCCCGGAGCTAGATACCGAGATTCCGTCGGCTCTGGAAGATTTTGTGTCGAGCCTTGGTGCTTCAGTGGCGGAACTGCGTAAAGAAACGCCGCCTTTCTTGACCGAAGAGAACAAGGAACATATCAAGCATCTGAAGACGAGGAAGAGGAAATTATTTGCCGAAACCTTGAAGGATCTGCGCAAGATGGGTGTGAGGTACAACCTCCCGCAGGATCGATTGGCAGAGCAGGGGACGCTTGCCATCGCTCTGGCGTCAGCCGCAGACGCCCATTTCGACGATAGCTCTGCGATGCATGCGGCCCTCTACTACCTGCACAAGACGCTAGACCTCGCACCCAAGGTGAGATCCGCTACGCGGGAGCATTCCGAGGAGCTGACTCCAGCCGAAGTTACAAGGAGTGTGGGCTTCATCGAGGGCTTGGTCAACATGCTCCTGAGCCAGCGTAAGAGGCTGAGCTCCGTGACCCAACCTTTTGCATCCCTGCAGACCGAGCTCAACAGGCTACGGGCCTTGAAAACGATCAGCGACGGGAATGACGACAACTACAGCCTCAAACAGAACTTGAAGCGCAGCAACTGGGACCAGGTATTGCCTTGGTTAGTCGAGACACTGCACTTTGCCGTGCAGCTTGTCGAGACCCACGGACGCCTCGGAGGGTCAGCCCACGACGAGGTGGTGAAGCAGCTCGAGTCTTGGGCTCTGCGATTTGACGAAAAACTAGCCAAATTGCGCGATCTCGGTTCTCTCCCCGTCGGCGTGACTACCACGGCCCACCTGGAGCTGGAGACGGCGCTCCTGGTTGATGTGCAGATGCTCGAGGGCGCCCTTGATCAGATGATTATTGAACATCCCAACCTTGCCTTCATTCTCAGCCAAGTCAGTCTATGGTCGAAGCCGACAGATACCCTACTTGAAACCAACGCCACTCCTATAAACTTTGAAGCCTTTGCCGATGTGGTGTCCACCCTCTGCGACACAGTTCTTGTGGCGGTTGAAGCGGCAAAGAAGGCCGGTCGGGACGTCCCGAGGAACACAGAAGACGTCGGTTGGCTGGTCCGCCACGACGATGCATTCGCATTGATGGTGCGACAGCTTCACATGAACGATGTCACCAAGGGTATCACAGACTGCCTGGAGGCCCTTGGCCGGGTCCAGATGGACGCTCCTGGAGCTAGCTTGGCCGTTACAGGTGTTGCCGGTCTGGTGATACCGATTCTCGACCAGTTCGTTGCCATTTGCCGCCAATCTATCCACAGGATGGTCAACATACATCGCGCTACGGGCAAAATGGCACTGCATCTTAGTAAGACGTTCTCGCAGATGGCCTCTCAGGGATTCTGTACCCCCCAGGAGAAATCGGATGAGACATCTGGTGACAGCGGCAAGGTCGAAGCCGGTACTGGTCTTGGTGATGGAGAGGGTGCCGAGGACATCAGCAAAGATGTGCAGCAAGATGAGGATCTCTCTGAGCTGGCCCAGGAGGCTAGTAAGGAGGAGAAGAAGGATGAAATCGAGGACGAAAAGGATGCTGTTGACATGGCAGATGAGGAGCTCGAAGGTGACATGGGCAGTATCGATGGCAAAGATGACGACAAAGAATCGCAGGATGGAGATAAGGAGGAGGAGGAGGAGGAGGAGGATGAAGGCCTCGACGAGGAGGCAGGCGACGTCGACGACTTGGACCCTACTGCTGTCGACGAGAAGATGTGGGACGGAAAGGATGAAGAGGAGGCAGAGAAGGATCAGCAAGGAGAGAAACCCAAGGGCGAGAAGAAGGACGACGAACAGATGGCCGCTGAGGGCGAGTCGAAACAGGAGCAAGAGCAAGCGGAGAAGGACGGAGACCAAGACCAGGAGCAGGAAGGTGAAGAGGACAACGAGGAGGATCCTGAAGAAGCAGATGCAGAGGAAGAAGATGTCAAGGCACAGGGTGAGATGGAGAAGCAGGAGCAGACTGCCCAAGAAGACGAAACCCTTGCTCTCCCTGACGACTTGGAGCTCGACATGGATGACAACGACGCCATGTCCGATGACAGTGACGATCTTGACATGGGCTCCGAGGTTGAAGATGAGCTGGAGCAGCTCGAGGAGCAGCTAGATGCTGCTGAGGAAGAAGACGAGGGCGAGGAAGGAGGTGGAAACGCCCAACCGCAGGAGCCAGAATCCAATGAGACCGAGGAAGCCCAAGAAGAAGAGGAGCAGCCTGATCCGGAAGATGATGTTATCGGCGGACAAGACGAGGTCGAAGATGAGGCTAAGCCCGAGAAAGAGAAGGATGAGGACAAAGAGACCAAGGATGAGGCGCCGCCGCCAAAGGATAATGCTGTCACGGACAAGGAGAACGCTGCGCCCAGTGATGTCAAGACGTCGGGCCTGGATCAGACCGGAGAAGAGTCTATGGACCTGGACGAGGAGTTCCAGGACAGCGCCGCGCAGCAGGAACAGGGCGACATGGGCAAGGGCGAGGCCGACCAGGATGCGTCTGCCGGTAACAAGGGCTCGGCATCCAACGCCCAAGATGCCCGGGACAATGAAGAGCAGGAGAGGGATGCCGAAGACGAGGAAGCAGCCAGCGACCCATTCAAGAAGCTCGGAGATGCCCTCGAGAAGTGGCACCGCCAGCAGAAGGACATCCAGGAGGCTCAGCCTGAAGACGAGGCCGACCAGCAGAAGCAACAGCCGGATGCCGACGATCAGGGACGACGAGAGTTTCAGCATCTACAGAATGATGACGACGCTGCTGATGCGCAGGCGATGGGCACGGCCGACGACGAGGAAGCCCAACCCATTGACGAGTCGATGGCGATCGATGAGGAGAAGGAAGACTCCACCAGCCGCCTCATGGAAGAAGACAACGATCAGGTGCCCGACGAGGATGTCGATGGGGACAAGAAGATGCAATCGGAGCTTCCGGAGCCCAAGGACAAGCATCCTAATAAGGACCAGGACGACGGACGAACAGGAGTCCAGACACGACAGGGCGACTACAACCGAGAGGAGGTGCCATCCGACGCCGAGGACGAAGACAAAGCCAAGGTGGGCGACGAAGACAAGGACGCCGCCGTCGAGGAAACATCAACCCAACTGTCCTCCACACACCTCAACGAGGGCGAACGCGAACTCCGTGACTTTGGCGAGTGCATGGAGCAGTGGGCCGAGTTCCAGAGCAAGACGCATTCGCTATCGCTGTCCCTCACGTCACAGCTGCGGCTAATCCTCACACCGTCTCAGTCGACCAAGCTGTCCGGGTCGTTCCGCACTGGCAAGCGGCTCAACATCAAGCGCATCATCCCGTACATCGCGTCGAGCTACAAGCGCGACAAGATCTGGATGCGCCGCGCCGTGCCAACGAAGCGGACGTACCAGATCCTGCTGTGCGTCGACGATAGCAAGAGCATGGGCGAGTCGTCGTCGGGCACTCTGGCCATGGAGTCTCTGGTCATGGTGTCACGGTCACTGACGATGCTCGAGGCTGGGCAGGTGGGTGTCATGGGCTTCGGGCGCGACGTCTTCATGGCGCACGGGCTCACGGAGCCGTTCTCGGCCGGCGACGCGGGCGGCAAGGTTCTGCAGAAGTTTGCCTTCTCACAAGACCGGACCGACATCGTGCAGCTCATGCGGCAGACTATCGAGACGTTCCGCACAGCCCGCCAGCAGCAGCAGCACCAGGGCGCCACAGACCTCTGGCAGCTCGCGCTCGTAATGTCGGACGGCCTGACACCGTCGTCGGCTCACGACGAGATCCGACGCCTGCTGCGCGAGGCGGCTGAGGAGCGCATCATGGTCGTCTTCATCATCATGGACGACACGGGCAACAAGAAGGGCGACAGCGTCCTCGAGCTCAAGGAGGCCAAGTTTGTTAACGAGGGCGGCGAGTCCCGGGTTGTCATTGAGCGGTACCTCGACACGTTCCCCTTCCAGTACTATCTTATTGTGCACAATCTCGAGGAGCTGCCCAGTGCGTTGGCCGGTCTTTTGAGAACATGGTTTGCCGAGGTCGCGGCTTGATACACACGTGGAATATGGTTATTCTTGTATGATGTTATTCTTTGTTTGTATACATCGAGAAAAGGAGTTTGCATGCTTTCTTTACTTTTTTTTTTCTCCCCCCCCTCCCCCCGCTGTGTAATGGTTTGGTTTCATAAATATTTCATTTGCACAGATTTGGTATATTGCTATATACCATGGATAAAAGTTTGTGGTTAGACGATTTATATTTCCTTCTTGTTCGTTCAACAATTCCACGTTTCCACCCCCCGTATATCCTATTGTCATGGTTAGAGTCACTTTTCAATGACTGTCGATGTTATTGCCAAGATCACACTGATGTTACGAACGGTAGGGGAATGGTTCTTTTTCTAGCAGTGGTGATCTGGTATTGTTAATAGTAGGAAGATGGAAGAGAAGGCAGGATATAATATTATTTGGTGGCTGCGCTAGCGCTATTATTACCGAAATAGGAAAAGAAAAGAGGGGGCTGAAGACAAGGGAAGAGGGAGGAGGAACTGCTCCTTCCTCTTGCTTGATTGAAACCCGATATGAACCAGACTCGGGAAGGTGCATACGTGGGGGGGGGGGGGGGCACTTGCCTCTGCATGTTGCATAGACAGACGTCCACTATTTGTCATTCTACTAATTCTACGCCGTAATAATATATAATCCTACAGTATCACTACTACTACTACCAAGGATTCCACACGTTTTATCAAATTTTCAAATTTTCATCCCTCACTCTCTCTCATCCTTGCCGACATCAAGGGACAACTGACAGCTCCCAGCTTTTCCCTCTTAACACCATCCCCACCACTTGATCTCAACGCCCCTCCTTTGCTGATTAGAAGAGTGAAGGGGGAGAAAAATGCGACTAGTCGCAGCTACGACTTCAGCTCTCAACACATGTATTAATATTAGAAATATCGTTACTAGTATTATTACTGCGAGTGCTGTTACTACTGCCACTACTGCCACTACTTATAGGGCCTTTGCACCTCAACTCCCCGCTGTTGCTGCAGCTGTCGTCAGCGTTCCTCTCACCGGGCCCCCTAACCGGACGTCGACCTCGTCATTGTTAGTATTACCTCCCGCGGCAAGGACTGCCGCTGCCGCTGGTGCTGCCCCTCATCGTCACCCCTCACCCGCTCGCCATACCATTGCCCGCATCACCACCAGCATCATCAACCGACGCACCATGGCCACCACTGCCAACGGCAGCAGCCCCGTCGCGGGTCTGCGAATGGGTATGTCTCTTTCCTCCATTTCCGTTTAATTGCCCGGTGGTGCTTCTCTCTCTCTCTCTCTCCCTCTCATTCAGTGAATTCGCGCTCACCAGATTTACCCATAGAGAACCCCGTCATCTTGTGAGCCTCCGTCCCACTCCTTTTAGATCTGCTCTCGTATCTAACGCGTTGTGCGCACAACAGCATCTGCGATATGCAGGAAAAGTTCAAGTCGGCGATTCACGAATTTGACAAGATGTAAATGCACACACACACACCAACTCACTTCTCTGCATCTCTCCCATCCCACAACTGACACGCAACGGCACAGCATCCTCACGTCTAAAAAGCTTCTGAGCTTCGCGCGGAATTTCTCTATCCCTGTCCAGACAACGACCCAGACAGTCGCCAAGCTCGGCCCTACGGTCGCCGAGCTGGCCGAGATGCTCCCCTCACCCCCCCACGACAAGACCCTCTTCTCCATGGCGATCCCCCCGATTCGCGACGCCCTGGCTCCCAGATCTAGTGTCGCCCTCGTCGGCATCGAGAGCCACATCTGCATTACCCAGACGGCACTGGACCTGCGCGACGCAGGCCACCACGTCTACGTCATGGCTGACGGCGTGAGCAGCTGCAACAGCGCAGAGGTCACCGTCGCCCTTGACCGCTTGCGCGCAGAGCAGGGCATCACCGTCACCACTAGCGAGAGCTGGATGTACCAGTGCGTCGGCGACGCCTCCCACCCGGGATTCAAGGGCCTGCTCAACGTCGTCAAGAACTCGTCCGCCGATACCAAGTCCGTCCTGTCCTCTTTACCCCCCAACATCTGAGGACCATTATGACTACTACTACGCACATGACGGAATACAGAACCAACAAACTAGCGTAACGACAAAAAGGGAAGAAAAAAAAACAAAAGAGGGAACATCAATTCATTCAAATACTAAAAAAAGAGAGGGAATATGGAAGCAAAAAGGGCAAAAGGGACTATACGCAGATGGGATGGAGGGAAAATGGCATTTCCTATCATGTATCATGATAGGATTCGTGTTGACATTTCAAAATAAATACCCATTCGGAGATATTCATCATCATAACCACCAAGGACCCATACTCATCATCACAAAGATAAGGTTTGTTCATTGTGTTTTTCTATTCCGCATCACGCTTCAGCTACTGGCGTAACAAGGGGGCACTCGTCCTACCAAAAAAAAAAAAAACAATGCTTGTCCCAACTTCTCGAGAAGCCCAAGAATGAAATCTCATTCCATCTTTTCTTTTTTTTCTTCTTCAGATCACGACCCTCCATGACGGGCCGTTCCGTGCCAAGGTGTTGTTCATACGACGCCTCCGTCTGACCGCACCCTTTACCGGCTTAACAACAGCAGTGGTAGAGTCGGTACGGGCAGCCCTACTCTATTGAGCTGTCGTCGTCGACTTGGGTTTCACAGGCGATCCCATCCAAGAGAACGCCATTGCCCCGCCTACGGAGTTCGCTGAACGGGAAAGTGTCTGCGATTGCGACTGTCGCGTCGACTCTCGACCCGCCGAGGACTTGGCTGCTTCTGATCCGGAGCTTGCTGCCCGTCTCCCCTGTTCCCAACGGCTGGTGGGCTGCGACTGCGACTGCGGCTGCGAGGACGACGTCTGCTCGCCCGGACCGGCGCTGGCGCTTGCCTGGCTCTTGCGGCGTCCTTCACGGCTGCCTGTTCCAGCCGTGGGCGGCGGTGGCTCGTAGGATGCGCCGGTCCTGGCTGAGGTGGACGATGCCGATTTCTGCGGCTTGAGAACCTTCATATTGCGACCGCCACGAGCAGCTGCAGGTTGGTAGCCGCTGAGGGGGCCGTCCACGCCGCCGCTGCCGCCCGTGCTACCGGTCCCTTGGCGCCAGGAACTCCAGATGCCGCCTCCGCCGCTGGATGAAACCTTCTGGCCGCCTGTCTCCGATGCGACAGATCCGTCTCGCTTTGCTGATCCTGCCTCGTTGTTCCTCGACTTGGTGGACCTCTCACTCTCACCGCCCGTGTCTGACGCGCTGGCTGGCGGACCCGTGCTGCTACGTAGTCTGCGTCGGGGCGCTTCCGTAGGCGATACGGCGCCGTCGTGCTGGTGCACGTGTTGGTTATATGCTTCATGGTCATCGAGGCTTCTGGCTAGGGGGCGCTTGGGCTGCTGCTCATCTGCCGGAGTCTCTTGGGCGTCCGCCAGGATGAAGGGCGCGGCGTTGGCGTTGAGCCTAGGCTTTTCGGGCATGACGTTGGTGGTGCTGATGTTCTCGAAGCTAGTCTCGTCCTCGGGTCGCACGAACGGGACTCGCAGACGCGACTTGTCGTCTCCGTACAGGATCATGGTGTTCCTCGAAAACATGATGTCAGCTGAATGCGCCCTGAGCGCGTCGCTGCCGATGAAGATGCGGACTCCGCCACCACCCTCGCCAAGTGTTCCCGGCCCATCTGTTCCTGTGATCTCGAAAAGCACGGATATGAATGGGATGGGTCGGTCAAGACTGGGTGACCGACCACTATGGTGGACAACGACTGCCTCGGAAAGATAGACGTTGAGGCGGATGCGCCAGGTGCCATCCGCCCCCCGCTCGGCCTCGTCTCCCAACCCGAGCTCCTTGACAAGCGAGTCATCCACCGTTGACTTCTGCGATCCCGTGCATATGTCGGCATACAAAAGCGTAGCGTGGGCGTAATTTGTCGTAAGCCAACACCGTACGATCGAGGGCACGGTCCCCAGGATGTAGAAGGCGGGGGGCGGTCCGGGGATATCCAGGGAAGAGTCGTCGTCATCCTCCACGGCAAAATTTGTGTCGAGGCCGAGGCTGCTAGCCTGGCCTGAGGCCATAGAGTGGTGAGAATGTACAGAGTGGCCTGCCGAGCTGTGCCTGCCGTCGGATTTGTGCGAGAGTGAGCGCTCCATAAAGAGACCACTGCCCGGTCGAGCTGGCGTGAGGTCGCCTGAAGGACGTCTGGTGTGGCCGGCCCAGCTCGAACCGTGCAGGGCACTTTCGTCAAAGCGAACACTGTTCGCCCTTGAGGCGGCGCCACGTCGAACTGGCTCCTCTTCAGCAGGACCAAGATGCAGTGAGCCGAGAAGCTGATCGCCTTGTTCGTCAAAGTCATCAAAGTCATCTGGTTGAGAAACAGGACCTACGGGAGAGTCGTATTGTTAGAATAGGCAGAGACGGCGCAGGGACGGGTGTGTAGAGAGACGCATAGGCAGGTGAGAGGCTGAGACTTACCGTGTTGAGGTGTGCCGCTGAGGATGCCAGGAAAAGGCGAGTTCCAGACAGACTTCAAAGCGGCATCATCTGCCTGGCGCTTCTCTAGTCGCATGAGGCGTTCGGCATGGTTGCTCTGGGTATAGTGCACCTGCTTCACTTCCATCTGTAAGGTGTACAGATCCTCAGGTGTGATACCAAACCTAGGATCCATCACCGATGGCTGTGATTGTGCAAAGGCTGGATTATTCTCGCGGTACCCGGTAAAGGCAGGGCAGGATCGACGCGTGCCAATGCTACCTACACAGGACTATCCGGCCGTTGTCTGGACCGACCTCGAAAGCCCCGTGATGGTGGTTCACGAGGCCTGCCTGCCCACAGGGCAACCCCTGACAAGAGCCGCGAGGTCGACCGGCATTCACAGCGCTATACCAGCGGAGGCGCTCGTGCAGGTCTGCAAAGGTGCGAGCAGGTCGGGCTGTGAGGCGGAATGACGATCAATGGCGTGGTGCGGAGTGTCTGACAAGGGAGCCGGGGTGACGAGGTATGACGACAGGGGTTTGACGAGATGGCAATGCGGCACCCGGGGTTTTCGAAATACAGCAGTTGACCTGCTTGCGTGTCGTGCGTTTGCAAAGAATACGGGTATACCAGAGGGCACGTTCACGGTGTGTCGTTTGAGCGAGCGGGGGGTGTCTCGGATGGACAGGTATCGATTGCTAGAGTATTGTTGTACTGCACTGAACTTGTTGCTGGTGGTTACTTGTAGACGCACGGCCCGTTCGATTCGTTGCAAGTTGGACGTAGAATAGGGATGTCAGGGAGATATTGAGGGCGGGGAGAATGCGAAGGGTGGTCGTGGTGGAAGCTATTGGAGGGAGGACTGATCGATTCGAGGGATCGATCCAGTGCGGGCGTTGCTGGTCGGGAGTACTATCTTCGTCGAGCAAGAGGATCGGGGCTGAAGAATGTGGAAGAGCTCATATAAGAGGAAAGCCTGGGTTATCAGAGGAGGGAAGGGGCGGGAAAGATGGGTGCGGAGAGAGGAATGACGATGCCGACGAGTGGTGGGTTTGTCTGTAGAGCTTCAGGAGAGAGATGAGAAAGGGTAGTGATAGATCAATAGGAGCTGGACACGATTAATAGAGGGCCCGAATATGGAGTATTATTACGACGTAAGGTGGACGGGCGGCACGACCACTGGAGGTCGGCCGCGTTGGTGGAAGTTGTCCCCACCGCAAGTCGCCCGTAAGTTGCCCGTCCGGGCGTGTGCGATGACCTAGAGCGGAGTGCTATTACGGAGCATTACAGCACGTCGATGGGTAGACCAACGGCTCCATATAGCCAACGTCTGTGCGCTGTAGGGGCTCTAGGGGGTCAGTCACAGTTCGTAGCGGGCAGAGGGAGCCACTAAAGTACCTAAGCTTAGGCCACCTGTAATCACAAGAAGTGTCTGCCTGAGTAAGGATATGTCTCAATCGCGGTTCCATCGTGTAGTATTATCTGACTTCACCAGTGACTCTGACTCTTCGTACAACGCACATCTGGTGCGTATACATACTACTGGAGTCTCTGATCGTTGTTATAGCTACTCTTATTTAGAGGGAGGAGCGAAGTACTAGTATATAGTCTAATATAATCATATAATCATATACCTTGATGTCTTACTCTATAATAGCCCCCCCACGGCTAGGTCTTATTAGAATATCAGGTTTCTTGATTCCTATTGCAGGTACGGATCAAGCTTCCGGCCGATAAAGCATGGTTCCTGCTGTTCCTGCTGCCAAGTTTGTGCCCTGATATCAATCATTCGTCTTCATAGTCATCCTCACCAGCACTGTCCTTCTAGTTATCCGGAATCTCGGTGACGACCTCCACCCTGTTCATATTCTGCCAAGAGGGGAACACGTAGCCGGCATTAGGCGGCAGGCCCTCCCACTCCTTGCCAATGTGAGGACGAATTATGTCAAAGAAGATCCGGTACGCCTCCCCATTCATGTGCAGTCCGTCGGGGAGGAGCGTGTCCAGCCCGCCGGCCTTACCGTTCTCCGGGCTGCCTAGCCAGGGCCCACCGGGCTGGTAGTCATCTGGAGACATGGCAATGGCCTTATCCATGATGGCCTGCCAGAGGTCCACCAGCACAACTCTATCAGGGTTCTCGCGGGCTACCTCGCGGGCCTTCTCCGCATACGAGGCACTGACGGCCGACGTGCGTATCGACGAAGACAGCCCGGACTCGGCGTCGAGCTTGCTGTGCTTGAGCTCGTCCACGGGCGGAGGCGTCACAAGGAGAATAATGGGCTTATTCTTCTTGATCCGCGGGTGGCTGATGATCTTGATCAGGTTCTCCTTGTACTCATCTATCGGGACGTGCTGCTTCGTAGGGGAGAAGGGCAGCACAGCGTCGTTGGCTCCCATCAGGATGGCCTGTAGCGTCAGGTCAGCACGTAATGAGGTTCGCATCGTTCACAGCGAGCGGTACGTACGACATACTTAATCTCCGGAGTGTTCGCCGTCGGCTCCGGAAAGATGCGGTCCATGTACTCGATCAGGTTCTTAGTATTCCACCCAGAGAGACCGCGGTTGATGACGTCTAGCTTGCGGGTGCAGACTAGCACAGGTCAGGTCGTGCTGGCTCGCCCGAAGCAGTGAGGGTATCGAGAGAACATACGACTCTGGACAGCGGCATTGAACGAAAACCCATCCTGAAGGGCTATCGAGTTCTGGAAGAGAGAGTCTCCCAGCAAGACGAGCTGAGGATACATCATCTGTAGCCGATTAGCAGTGGAAATGACGCAGACGAGGGCTGTATTCGACTTACGGCCATGATTTCTTATCGTGGTGTTTGTGTGAGCATATATAAATCTGAATATGTATATGTACGTATGTATGCCAGGGTATAGCAGCTAAGAGGATGATGTGATGTAAGAACCAATGATAAAGTAAAATCTCGAAGGTGAACGGATGATGACTATTATAGCTCCTCCGCGGGGCAAGGCAGACAGTGGTGGGGTTGAAGGCCTGGCGGAGATTATTATCAACCACCTTCTACTCCGTATTACTATGGCACTAAAGTGAATAGCACGAGTACCAGGGTATTACTACGGGCATCAATGGTATATATATGTTGTATAGATATATCGGAGAAGTACAGAGAATGAATGAGAGTACATTTCGATAAACTGACAATCATCCGTTCAGACGAAAGTATACAAAAAATTGTTTGATAATATTGAGAGGCACCAACACGCCGAGTTGGAACGGGTCTCCACTTAAATCATCGCTCTTTATCGATAAAGAAGTCTGACTATGATCTCCGACAAAAAATTTCCTGCGCAGAACAATTTAGTTGATCGTCAAGGCTTCAATTTTTTCTTTGTTGCTAGCCTCGCTCAAAATAAAAGACAAGGATTTGACGCCCGCCCAATTGGCGAACTCCAACCGACTGTATATATATCCCTTCTCCTCAGCGGATCAGTCAAAAAGAGTCATGGCAACCTCGCTCGCTGCCCAGTTGGCGCAGGTTGCCGCCAACTCCAAGTCAAGCCTCAATGTCAAGGCACAAAAGGCAGCCCACTCCAAGTCGCTGATCTGGGAGCCTCGCGTCGCCGCCTCACAGAGCTATCAGTCCCTCTATACGACGTGCCACCAGGGCTTTGAGGATCTGTGCCACCTAGACGCCCGCTTCGCACGATTCCAACACACAATCTTCAGCGAGGAGAGCCAGAATCAAGACCGCACCCAGCTCACCGCGGCTGAGAATGAGGAGCTCGACCGTCAGGTAGATGCCTTCCTGCGCCTGGCTGGCGGCCGTTTGAGGCTCATGCCTGCCATAAAGGCCATTGAGTGGCTCATTCGTCGCTTCCGGTAAGCGGCTCAACCCGTCGACGGCTGTAGCGCATTGTTACCAGTACTGACCGAGCGTTTTCATGTAGGATTCACGAGGAGAACACGGCGTCTCTGCTCCACACATTCCTCCCCTATCACTCTATCCCTGCGTTCGCGACGCTGTTGTCCATCTTACCGGCACGGATCCCCCAAGGATTCCGTTTCCTCGACCCGTATATCCGATCTCTTACGTCGCCCCCACGCAACATTTTTGTCCACCAAGCTGTCCACCACCCCTCCTTCTTGACCGATGTGTCCGAGTACACTCTCGAGTCCTGCCGCCTGCAGCTGCAGCACCCTGCCCTCATCTCCTTCTGGGGCGGGCTTCTGACCGAGTCCATCAGCGGCATCCTCGACCGCACAAAGTCGGGTCGTGCTGCCATCCAGAGCGAGAACGACCAGGCTTTGCTTCACAGGCTCGGCCCGATATTTGCCGAGGCCCTCGTTATGAAAAAGGTACCGACTCTGCAGATCGCCGCATACATGGCCCTGGTCGTCTTCGTCTCCAAGGGAAACCTGGAAGACGTCGCCGTCACGGCTTTTATGGAGCAGACGGTCCTCGGCTGGACCGTCGATACCACGCGCCCCGGACTGGTCTGCCTGGCTATCATGGCCCAGCACCGCTCGGCCAAGCAGATGAGCGGAAAGGTCACCAAGGCGCTGCTCAAGGTATCCAACATTGGTCCTCTTCTTGTCGAGATTGGCCAGGAGCGCAGGGTCGACAAGCTCGCCAACGGACTCTGTCTGGCCCTGATCGAGCGCTTCTCCAAGAAGGGAGACTCGAGGGGTCTTCCGACCATCATGGTCATTCTTGGCACCCGCATCTTGAGGGACAAGCAGATTGCCGTCATTTTCAAGTCGCTCCTCCTCACAGCCCTCAAGCTAGAAGACTCCAACGACAAGGATGGCGCTCTGCGTCGCGATCTCGGCTCCGCCTTGATTTCTCTGTCCCAAACTCCTGGTCAGTCAGGCGACATTATCCAGTCCATCATTAAAGAGGTCGATTTTGACATCGAGGAGCTCGAGATGAAGCTGGACCTGTCCTTCCGATCGAGGAAGCTCCCGGCCAACATTCCCGATGACGCCTCCGAGATCAACGGCGACGCTAAGCCTGCACCACCCAAGGACTTCGATGCCATCATCGGCGACCTGTCGAAGCGGAAAGAAGGATTGTCATCGTGCTTGATCTCTAAGCCCGATGAGATCTTTGACGAATTCAGCCACCTGTTCTTCTCCATCGTGTCAGAACAGGCGCATGATTCACCACTGCTCGAAAAGCTCGACAAGAGCCCCAAGCTAAACCACAAGACGGCCCTCAAGGACTGCACCTACTTCAGCTTCTTCATCAGGATATGGTGTGGTCCCTACCCGGCCCTCGCACGCGCTGCTGCCCTGGAGACGGCCAAGAACCGCCTTAAGGCCGAGAGTGATATCAAAACAGATGTGCAGGCCCTGATCCCCTACTGCATCGCCGCCCTGGGCGACCCGTCGAGGCGTGTTCGTCAAGTCGCTGCTGCTCTTGCTACTGTGGTCGCCAACTCGTATTCCCCAGCCATCCTCAAAGGCTCCAACACCTGGGGTGCCGGTAGCTTGTACGGTAAAGGTAACGCCTTTACCGCCATCGGGGCCGACCTCGCCGCCAAGCTGCTTCACCTGCAGATCCTCCCATCTCTGGAGGAGTGCATCATCGACCCCGCCCACGTCTCAGCCATCTGCGCCACCTTTGTCGCCACGGGAAAGTACCATAAGACGCCGGATCCCAGCATCGAGAAGAAGGACCACATCTCCGGGTCAGCCCGGTCCTCACTCCTGTCTTTCTTTGCCTCTCACACCGTCTCTACCCCGCTGCTCCTCGTCAAGGACAGGCTCCTCCGGTTCCTCAACGAAGCCCGAGGCGTGGCCGGCACGAGCCGTACCAAGGTCCTCCTGCCCGCTCTCCAGTGGTGGGCAAACCTCGACAAAGACGAGGCCCCGCGACTGTGCGAGGCTGAGCACCTCGACAAGGCTGCCATCAACGCCCGTTTTGTCGAGATTATCGTGCCCAACGATGTCGACGGGCTTGAGTACATCCTTGAGTTCATCAAGGACCCCACCAAGCGCGAGAGGGATGGCCTGGTGCAGGCTGTCTTTGCCCGCCTGAGGAAAATGTGGCCCTCCCTCAAGGACGATGTCAAGTTCATGGTAGCCGAGCAGCTCCTAGCCATCTCCCAGGAGCCTGCACCTGTCAGCGGCAGCGGCGAGGCTTCTTCTGCCACCGTTCCTGCCGAGGCGGCCGATCTGCTGCAGAACGTGCCCCTGACGACTGGCATTCTATCGGCCTTCGTCGACTCCATCAAGACGGGCACCAAGATGATTACGGAGCCGCCGCCTAACAAGCGCCGTCGCACAAGCTCCGGTGAGGCCAACCGCGGCCTGATCACGCAGGTCAGCCCAGAGCTGAGTCTGGCGCTGCGCCGGATCACCTTTGTCCTGCAGCTCGTGGAGAACTCGGACCCCGTTAGCCATCCGGAGCTGATGGGTGGTCTCTTCACTGCCCTGTCGGAGCTGCAGCACTTCAGGACAGTTGTCGGCTCTGAGCTCGGCTATTTGCAGAACCTCATTCTGCGCAGTCTGCTCGCTATGATGCCCGCGTACAAGGCGAACAAGAACCTCAAGATCTCGGCCTCGGGTGGCTATGGTGACCTGCTCGTTAGCTGCATCCAGAAGTCGTCCAGCCCTGTAGTTCAGAACGCCGCCCTGCTCCTCATTGCCAGCTTCGCCACGACGGCACCCAGCCTAGTCCTGCACAGCGTTATGCCCATCTTCACATTCATGGGCACGTCGGTTCTACGCCAGAGCGACGACTACTCGGCTCACGTGGTGTCCCAGACCATCAAGGAGGTGGTCCCGCCGCTTATAGCCTCGCTGCGTCAAGGCAAGAAGAGCCCCGTTGCGGGTGCGTCCGAGATCCTCGTGAGCTTCACAACGGCTTACGAGCACATTCCCGCCCACAGGCGCATGGATCTGTTCCTGGCGCTGGTTGAGACCCTGGGCCCCAACGAGTTCCTCTACGCCCTAGTCAGCATGCTCGTCGACCGCTACGGCGCCAGTGATGCGCTGCTGCAGTTCACTCACGAGCTAGTCAACCACTTCTCGGTGGAAGTGCAGATGGAGACCCTGGTCAAACTGCTGAACCTTATCTCGGACCTGTTCCGCTCCAAGCCCGGCATCTCGTTTGTGCTGCTGGGCATCTCCGAGGACTCGGACAAGGACGTGGAGCAGATTGCTCTGCGCCAGCTGTCGGCTTTCCCTATTTTCCTGTCTGGTAAGAAACTCAAGGAGCAAATCTCGGAGCTGGTCGACCGCGACGACATGGAGGTCGCCGAAATTCGCTCGCTATACGCGACGCTTCTTGAGAACATCCTTCTGCTGGCTGAGACCGTCAAGGCCAACAAGAACCTGCACTCGCGCTGCGGGGCTGCCCTATCCAACCTCCTAAACTTGCTATCCATTGGCGAGTTCATCAAGGCTGTCGAGAACCTTTTAGACCGTCCCGATATGGGTCTCCGCCAAAAGGTGCTCCGTGCCCTCGAGGTTCGCGTGGACAAGGAGAGCAACACGGACGCCGCGTCGCGCACCGCCCTCCTGGCCTTCCTTCCCCAGCTTACAGCCACGATCCGCGAGTCGCCCGACATGCGCTACAAGCACACGGCCGTCACCTGCGTCGACAAGATTGCCGAGAAGTACGGCAAGAAGGATATCGAGGCCGTCGTTGCCGCCGCCGAGACCATTGCCGGAGAGCACTGCCTCGGCCAAGTCGACAGGCGCCTGCGTGTAATGGCCCTCCTGTGCCTCACGTCGCTCGTCGACGTCCTCCAGGATGCCGTCGTCCCTGTCCTCCCCATCGCTATCCCCCGCGCCATGGAGTATCTTAGCTCCAGCATCCAGAAGGGTGACGATGAGCCGGATGACGAGCTGCACTCTGCCTGCTACGGCTTCGTCAGCTCCCTGGCCGAGCATCTGCCGTATATGCTGTCGCCGTACGTGGACCGCATCCTCGATATCTCGGGCACGTCGGCCGAGGCCGGCCTCTCCGAGGACACGGACGACAGCCGCACCAGCTGCCTCCAGGTCCTTGCCAAGCAGCTCGAGGCCAAAGAGATCTTCGCCAGCTTCGAGAGGACTTGGGAAAAGACCGTGGTTACTGGCTACAAGGTAAGATATATTCCACATCCGCCCCCCCCCCCCTTCCTCGCGCTAGATCGGTGAAGACTAACTTACGTATCAGGCCATGGCCGAGCACCTGGACATCCTGGGTCTTTCGATCGACAAGCACTCCAAGTCCACCATTGCTAAGAATTCGTCCATCCTGACAACTCTCATCATCAAGGCCCTCGACCTGCGTAGGCTGAAGAACAGCCAGGGCGAGGCGGATGACGAGAAGGCTCTGAGCCGCATCAGTGCCATCGAGGCCAACGTGTACGAGAAGACGCTCAAGATGATCTACAAGCTCAACGACGCGTCGTTCCGCCCCATATTTGTACAGATTGTGGAGAGCGCAGAGGCGGGCCTGACTAAGAGCGACAAGACGGGTCGCTCCCTTCGGCAGTACAGCGTGTACGGCTTCCTGGAGACCTTCTTTGGCAACCTCAAGTCGATTGTGACCAATTACTCGACGTACGTTGTCGACGACGCGGTGAAGATCCTGGAGGGGACCAAGCTAGGTACCGGTGCGGAGGCGGAGCAGCAGAAGCTGTGGGCCCGCGTGCTGGCGACGCTGTCCCGCAGCTTCGAGAACGACCAGGACGACTTCTGGCAGGCGCCGGCGCACTTTGGTGCCGTGGCCCCCGTCCTCATGAAGCAGTTCTTGCACGCGCCCACGGCTCTGTCCGGCGTCGAGGAGGACCTGGTGCCGACCGTGGTGGAGCTTGCCGCCGCGGCCGACTCGCAGTCCCACCAGAAGGAGCTCAACGCTGCTCTGCTCAAGCACCTCAAGTCGGAGCAGCGTGAGGTGCGCCTCGCGGCCGTCAAGTGCGAGCAGGCCCTCACCGATAGGCTAGGAGAGGAGTGGCTGGCCATGCTGCACGAGATGCTGCCCCGCATCAGCGAGCTGCAGCAGGACGACGACGAGGAGGTGGAGCGAGAGACGCACAGGTGGATCGTCAAGATAGAGGGAGTTCTTGGGGAGAGCCTGGACGCCATGTTGCAGTAAGGTTTGTGAGGTTGATGGAAGAAAAGCGATTGACATAGTACTTTGCATATTTTCCCCATATCGCTACATTAGAGTAGTATTACACCTGTTTGTCTGATCCACCAATGTTGTTTTCTTGGTAGGGAGTTTGGATGGAATTTAGTTTTGACATATTCGTCATGCATTGCACACGACACCACGCTCTTCAATCTCATCTGTACATGAGGTTAAACCCCCGGGCTTATTCGCGTAAGCCCGCCACCTAGTGCATAATCCAATACACCCTCGACGGTGGAAGCGTGGTTCACCGTGGAGAAATCGACAATGTGCACCATATGAACAAGATGGCAATAGCCATGAAGTCATCACTCAGACCTTGCGCCACTCCCAGCTGACGACCATGTCAACGGGCCACCGGGCATCGGCGGCCCTTGTCCCCCCGCTTCGCTGTGCAGGACGCCCACGTGCTCGCCCGTGGACAGGGTGGCGACGGCACCGCTGCCGTCTTAGCCGGTGCCCCTCTTGTCCTTCTCTACGTAGACCTCTGCCACAGACCGCGCACCCTCCGCGTAGCCGCCCAGCTGGATGTCGGCGGTAGTCGCCGCTCCTGAGACCGACGGCTGTGGGGCTCGGGCCGGGGTGATTGTATTCCGGGGGAGGCTGGCCCTGACCCAACGAGGCCTCAAAGGGTGGGGCAGGAGCTCGTCTTTTCTCGTCGGCGCAGGAAGCCATCTCTGTGCGGATGTTTGTGGGTTTTAGGAAGACGACCTGACCTGTGTCTTGGGAATGGATCGTCAACATGGTCAACCTGATTCAACATCCACGGCGACCCTTTACGTCTTGTAGTAGCAACGGTCTCGGATTCGGATATGCGTACGTCTGCAGAGCCATAGTCAAGTAATGCAATATGACGACGAAGCTAGCAAGCATTGTCCCATGCTGGAATCCCTCGCTTCCCCTTGGCGCCAATTGTTACTTTCTTTCGCCTCAGGTGTTGCCAACCAGTTGGCACTGAGCCTCCATGGCGGGCGGGATGATGATCAAAAAGAGTCTCCCAGACTGATTACAGTTCGGGTCAATTGTCTATACATGCTACCCGTAAAGATGGTAAACCTTCAGCTGTCGGCTTTCTCGGTGTTAATACTACGAGTCCTATATCCGTACTGTTATGGAGCAATTCGTATCTGACCAACAGGGCTGCAGCATCCGATTCATGTTCTCGTGGCCGCGTTTCTTCGTCCTCTTCCTTCCTCTCATCCGTTTCGATACACACGCAACTGACTCTACTTATCAATCAGTCCACCCTAAAACGCCCAACGCCCAGCTCACTGAGACGACTTCGATCGCTTCACTAGTGTAGCAGGATACGACTACAGGTACAGGGTACAACCGCGGGAGACAAGTGGTCAAATATAACGTATATAAACATTGTTGCTATGCTGTAGATGGTGACGGGGTCGTGTCTCGGGGCTGATAGAGCTGAAGTACATCGGAATCGGCCTCGGCCAGGCTCCTATGGTATGAAATCTATCCAAACAAAAAGAAAAGCTTTCTATTACATGTAATCTCCTACCCCAGTCTATAACTTTTCGTTCTTCCACTTCATACGCCATGTCTCGCAGTCCACATGTCTAGATATAATGGGTTTGGTGCCCTGGACTGCGAGTGGGGGGGAAGGAACACCATGAAACATGTCGGGAGGAGGGAGAGGGGGGGGGGGGGGGGGGGGGTTCGAGGGGTTGAATTTGTTGGTTTGTTGTTTTGAGCGTCGAGGATTTGGTTTAGAACCTCGAAATGTCACGGCCAAAGAGCCAATTAATGCACCAGTACACGGGGACGAGTATCTTGTTACGCAGACTCATGCTGCGGGTGAGGTAGGCAGTGCGCCAGAGGACCCAGGCGGCGCGACCAGCCAGCTCGTCGGCGCTGCTCTGGTGGATGGCGCGCCAGCCACCGATGTAGGCCATGACGCCGAGGTTACGGAAGCGGAAGGGGACCTCATCGTGGTCGCCCTTGTTAAGGCGCTTTCCGAGGTAGATAGCCTGCTGGTTAGCAACCTGGGCCGTGGGGGGCAGCCTCGAGTCCTCGATCACGGAGCAGTCGCCGATAGCGTAGACGTCGGGTAGGGTACGCCTGTTCTTGCCGTCGGGGCCATCCTGGATCTGCACGCGGAGGTGTCTGTCGACAATGATACCGCCAGTCCTGGGGTCACGGGCGAGCGTCGTGGTGCCACTCTCGCCGATATGCTTCTCGTGAAGCTTCTTGAGCAGGGGGTTCTGGGTCAGACCGGTGCTCCATACGACGACGCTGGCGGGGATCTCCTCAGGCTCCTGGGCGAAGCGCATCATGAGGAAGTCGTCCTCCTTGCGTAGGCGCTGCATGGCGTGCTGGGTCTTGATACGGATGCCCTGGCGGCTAAAGGTCTCGGTGGCATAGTCGGCAAGCTTGCGGTCGAACATAGGCAGCACCTTGGGCGCAATGTCGTAGACGGTGATGCGGACATAGGGGATCAGGTGAGGGTACAGGCGAGCAATGTCTTCGTGCACCAGGTCGTGCAGCTCGGCAGAGAACTCGATACCAGTAGGGCCACCGCCGACGACGGCAAAGTGGAGGAGCTTCTTCCTCCTCTTCTCCGTAGCTGTGGGAATAGCAGCCTTCTCGAAGGCCTGGAGGACGCGCAGACGGATGGCGCGGGCATCACCGACGTCGCGCAGGAACGAGGCGTGCTCGCGAACACCCTCGATGTTGAAGGTCTGGCTGGAGCAACCGACAGCCACGACGAGCTTGTCGTAAGGAACCTCGTACTGGCTCTCGTCGTCGACGGCAGTAGGCGCGTTGCCTGTGCGAGAGGTGACATCGTCACGGGTGTTGGGCTGGATACGGACGACACGACGATCAAAGTCTATGTCATTGACCCAAGCCTGATGGAATTCGGACAAGCCGAGGCGGCGGACGGGCTCGACGGCAGTTCGGAATTCGAGAGTACCGACGGCTGTTCCGGCTAGCAGAGGGGTGAAGACGAAGTGGGAGCGAGGCGAGACGATGACACGGTCACTCGTTTTCGGCGACAGCGTGCGGCCGAGGGCGTAGCCAGCCCATCCCGAGCCGAGGATGACGACGCGCTCCCTCTGGGGCTTATCACCATCTGCTGGAGGGGAAGTCAGGATCTGTATCAGAATTTTCTCTGAGAGATAAGAGTTGACATACTTGTGCTTGCCCACCGCACACGGCGAGCCTGAGCCTGGTGGGCAGCCAGGCACTTGGGAACCTGTGCGAGGCGCGGCAGGATGCGCGACTCGACTCGTGACGACGCCAGCATAGGCATGGCGAACGGCTGATCTCCTTTTTGGCGAAGGCTGTTTTGTTTAGGAAAGAAAAGAGAACTTCCCAGACCAGTTTTCCAACGTTCGAGTATCAGGAGCACCCTTGGTGTCTTACACACGCGCTGATGTCATCAGACTGCTTCTAGGAAGTTCGCAAGGGAGAAAGGAGGGAGGCGGGAAAAAAAATAAAGAAAAAAAAAACCAGAAAAAAAGAGAGAAAGAGAAGGAGTCGAGCTTAAGCTAGTACGGATAATTGCGATGCGGCTCTACCCACATTATCAATCAGTGACATCCACTTTAAGGGGGTCATTGCTAGGTCGGTGAGGCCAATAATCCGACAAGCGGCCCATGAAGATTCTTCACAAGAGTGCGAATACCGGAGCTCAGGACCACTCGAAGCGGGTTATATCGGAGTACGGAGGACCCAATTTATATCTCGGGACCCTTAGCTCGATGAGCAGTGGATCGGTGGGTCATGAGCACCGGGAGTAAAATCTATCCATGGGCCATGCGGCTCTGCGAGAGAGAGGAAGAAAACAAATGCAGGAGTGCCGCGTGCGACAAGGATAGAGTTGGCATGCATTCGCGGCAGGAGTCGCAGCAGGGGTCGTCAGGTGTACTGTCCTGATACAGGTAATATAATATCATCAAGGCTTCAACGAACAAGATGATATAATCTGAAGCAAAGAGAAAGAAATACTGACAAGAAGAGAAGAGTCTCGTCAACCGAGTTGCGATCGCTCTTTCCGTTCGTGTCGAGGATTCACTTCCTTCCTTTTGTCGAGCAGGTGGTTGTGACGGGCTGTTTTTTTCTCTGCCTTCTTTTGGCAGGAGCGGTAATAAAACCGCACCTACCTTATTATTTATTGCGCTAGTAATACCTCCCAATCGATGAGGTCATCCTGGTCAACAGCGGGAAAAAAGGCAAGCCATACCCCCTCCCCCAGACAAGAACGACGATGACCTCAAGAGTTTTGAACGACAGAGATAATGAGGATTAGCTATCCATCTGTATCATTGGGTCATTGCAAATTATCCCCAGCGTTGCTATCATATACGTATAATAGCACTTTGTTTTCTTCTTTTTTTCCGTGCATCTTTTCACCTCCCCGTTTTTTTCCATCCTCGGCTGGCCACCCCTGAATTTGCATAGCACGCGAAAGGGTACACAATATACAGGTACGTACTCTGTACACTGTTTTTTTTTTTTTTTTTTTTCTTGCCCCTCCTCCAGGTGGTCCGAACGTCGGCCTCTTAGCCTTAGGCAGCCTCACTAATACCACTCATTCCATTCTCTCATCTCACCCCCGTCAGTACATACGACGAGTAGGGATAGTGAGTCCGACGTATTGAGAGCAATACCAGTCTTGCAAGAAAAGGGCGCTGAACACACAATGGCGAAGCCTTCGGTCGACTACAGCCTCTACCTGGTGACGGACTCGACACCCGCCATTCTCGGCGACAAGGACCTCTGCCAGGTCGTCGAGGCCTCTCTGCAAGGTGGCGTCACATGCGTCCAGTACCGCGACAAGCATAGTCCCAGGGATGTGGTCGTGGATACAGCAAAGAAGCTCCACGATGTCACCAAGAGATATGGTGTGCCCCTGCTAATCAACGACCACGTCGATGTGGCCGTCGAGGTCGAATGCGAGGGTGTCCACATTGGCCAGGATGACATGGGTGAGTAGAGAGAGACAGAGAGACTCTGATACCCGTGCGAGAACGAATGATACTTGACAGCTCTGGGACATACGTGACTGATCTCGAGGGCGACAACGCAGAATTCCAGAGGGCTAAGAAGCTGCTCGGTGACAACAAGATTATCGGTGTCACAGCTAGCACTGTCGATGAGGCCAAAAAGGCTGCCGCCGCTGGAGCTGACTACCTGGGCATCGGTACTGTCTATGCCACGTCCACGAAAAAAGACACAAAATCTATCATCGGCCCGGGCGGAGTTAGTTCAATCCTTAGCGCACTTGTCTCGGCTGGACATGGGTCCATCCAGACAGTCTGTATTGGGGGCGTCAACACGTCCAATGCGCGTCAAGTCATGTCCCAGAGTGTATCTCCGCGCAAGGCTCTCGATGGCATCGCCATTGTCAGTGCCATTGTTGCTGCCGAGGATCCGGCCGCTGCCGCAAGGGACCTGGCCGGCCAGGTCATCTCAGCCAAAGTTCCAGATGTGGTACGTGCAGTTGCGGATAAGACACCCCTGTCACACAACATGACCAATCTGGTGAGTTCCTCTATTATAAGTCTTTTGCTTTTGAATTGCAGCATTCTTGGAAACAGCCGCAACAACTGCCAACTTTGCGCGTCACATATAACTGGCAACCGAAAAATGAGAGAATCAAGGAAGAGAAATGAAGAAAAAAATTGGAAAAAAAAAAAAAAAACTAATACGAGTGACCCTCCCGTAGGTGGTTCAAAATTTTGCAGCCAATGTTGGGCTCGCCGTTGGAGCCAGCCCCATCATGGCCAACTACGCCGAGGAAGCGCCCGACCTGGCTAAGCTTGGCGGGGCTCTTGTCATTAACATGGGCACCGTAACGCCCGACGGACTCAAGAACTACGCACGGGCTCTCAAGGCGTACAATGAGGCTGGACGACCCGTCCTCCTTGACCCTGTTGGGTACGTGCTTTCGGCTTCGGCCCCACATAATAGGAAGGCCCATCATATTACACGAGTTGGCGTTGCTGACAAGTTGGCATTTCTCAGAGCCGGTGCTACTGCCGTCCGTCGCGGCGCCGTCAAGACCCTCCTCTCATCCGGGCATTTTACCGTCATCAAGGGTAACGAGGGCGAACTTCTGACTCTCCACGGCGTCTCGGTCACCCAGCGAGGGGTTGACTCCTCGTCGGATCTCAATCTTGCACAGAAGGCCCAGTTAGCCCGCGACCTCGCCCGTGCTCACACCCCCTGTGTCACCCTCCTGACAGGTGTGACCGACATACTGAGTGACGGAAAGAGGACGATTCGTGTAGACAACGGTCACGAGCTGCTGGGTATGGTTACGGGGACTGGCTGCACACTCGGCACTACAGTAAGTGCTATGATTGCAGCATACCCGGCCGACACCCTGGTTGCGGCCGTTGCGGGTACTGCCATGTTTGGTGTAGCAGCCGAGATGGCGGCCGTGAGGGCCGATGTTCGCGGACCCGGGACATTTGTTCCCGCCTTCATTGACGAGCTGTACGCCATCAGGAAGGCCACCTCTGACGGTGACATGAGGTGGTTGACCATGGTCAAGATACGAGTCATTGATGTCCCAGAGGCATAGGCAACTGTCACAACCATGAGCCGAAAGAACAAGAAAAGTATAAAACAGCAAGACGTCGTTCTTGAAAATTACAACCAAGGAATATCCCTATGATTACCGAGAACAATTCAATTTTTCCTGCCGTTGACGGTGTGTGCCGCTCAAATCCCACAAAACCAGCAGACTCCGTTCCGGTGGCCCGGTGTTGTTTTAATGGCATGTAGCCGACGACAACCCCGACCAACCATGCGGGACGTTCCAATTGACTGTTGACTCAGGGCTCCGTAACTACTACAGGTCCCTGTGATAACCTGTGGGATTGATAGTGCCCACTGCGCAAAATCGGCACATGAACAGCCTTGCGGAGAACCACGAGTAGCGTTGGGGCCTGGCCAGCCAGCACGAGTATGTACGCGAGAACGATTACCGTTTCAAGAAAGCCAATCAATACCCCCTCCCCGGGGCACCGGTGCATCCTGTTCCGGAAAGAGAAGAGGCAGAGAAGAAAAGTCCTAGCCAAGAGCCCCACGAAGCGAATTCACTACCCACGTTGTGCCCCATCCCGAGGCTGTCTGGGCCTATGGCCGCTCACGCAGTAGTAATCCGTCTAGAAAGCCCCAAGTTCTCGGAGTCTCATGTAAAAGGGACGAAGGTGCGGAGAGCGGGCGGGCGGCTGTTGCGGCTGTTGCGGAACCGCAGACGGGAACCGCTCTCTCCACCGCACAGGAACGATAAGAAGAATTGTCTCTGCGAATATCACTTTGGATCTACGAGTTCGGATCCGCACCCGTGTTTTTTTTCATTCCCCCGTCTTGCGGGGTGGCGGCTGGAGAAACAGGAATCTGTCCCTGACCTGGTCACTATATATTTGTGATAGGGTTTCCATCTGGGAAGGCAGAGGAACAGAACCGGACACGCGCCCCGGGCTATAGCCGGCGCGGCTCCGAGGTGAGCATGTGCGGGGGACGGGGAGTATGAGAAACATTACGTCGTACCAAAAGGAGCGATAGGCGGTTTTGCATGCCGGGAAAAGGACTACCCTTCTGGGCCTTTTCGTAATCGTACACGTCGACTAGGGGACAGGAAGGGGGTAGAGGATATATTGGAAGACAGCCAATGACATATCATGTACGGCACTACGAGGGCATTAGTATGTGTTTGCGCTGCAGGAATGATGCGCCGTGACGTTCCTATCTGTGGTACGGTACCTGCATGTTGTTATATTCAAGAAAAAACCCTGGACCGAGCACGTTGCCATTTACACATCACCTTATTCCCGCGTGTCATTACACACTGGGGAGAGAAAAAAGGAAGAGCTATACTGTCGTGGCCTGATGTCCGTATGTGTCGTTAATACTCGTAAAGCAGAAAATCATCGAGATCGCCAGTGCCACTCCAGAAAGCATCGCTGATGTAGTCTCGTAAAACAGTATCATCCACATCAACCATGAAACTGTCACCATCGACACCCCCGGGCGGGACAGGATGAGGGGGCCCAAGGGCTTCCATGGCTGCCAGGCTCGCGGGGGTCTGCCGTTGCTGTTGCTGCTGCTGCTGCTGCTGCTGCTGCTGATCGGGAGGCCAAGACTGGCTCCGGGCCTTACAATCAGCCAATGCCCTGGCCATTTCGGCGCGGACCCGACTTCTCAGAGCGATGCACAGCTTCAGCAAGCCCTCTATAGGATCGGAAGGCTTGTCCGCAAGAGCGCTGCCGCCGCCTTCTTTCTGACGGCATGCGTTGCCGTCACTGTCGCCAGAGCCACTGTCCTGCTGCTTCTCCTTCTGCTGCTGCTGCTGCAGCTGTCGACGCCACGAAAGCAGTGCCGTGGAGGAGGTGCCTCTGCGCCTGGTCTCGGCCAGATCGCCCAGGTGGGACACGACGCTATCCATTATGTTGGAGAAGGTCAGCTCGCGCTCGATGTGCTCCAGGTTCCACCCCGGAAGACGGAGGGTGATGATGCGCATGCCCGTGAGGAGGGCGTAGGCCAGGTCGGAGCTGTGCATGGCCAGGAAGGGCGGGCGTTCGGAGTCATCCCACAGGCGGAGACGGGTGGCGAAGAAGTCCCGTAGGGAGCAGACGCACGACCAGAGGAGGGCGAGGCGGTCGGTCGGGGGCAGGACGGTCTCGTTGCAGAGCCGGTCCGAGGCTGCCCACTCTGTCAGGAGGATCTCGGCGACGGACAGGAGGCTTTGTAAGATGGCTGAGGGCAGTGTCAGAGTTAGCTTGGCTGTTTACATGTCTACGCCTGTGCATACGATATACACCGAGGTAGGTGGATATATATTTTCAGGAGGTAGGTAGGGAGGGGGGTGAGAGCAAGGGACGAAAACGTACGATCCTCCCCGATTTTTGGTGTAAGTGACTGTCTCAGAGCGTTGATCCGGTCCTGGAATGACCGTACGACGATGGTGATGGGAAGCTGCATAGGCTGCTGGGCGCCCGGCCCGTGAGCCAGCGTGAGCGAAATGGACTGGGCTATCAGCTGGGCGCGCACAAGCTTGACGAGGTACTCGTCGGATTCGTGCTGCTTGGCTGCTTCAAGGATGCCGCATGAGTTTTCGAGGAATGACGTGCTCATCAGAACCTCTGTGTTTTTGTTAGTAGTCAGGACTCTACACGCGCGCACGGCATCGATTAGCCCTGTACATTTCAGGATATACGAGAGGAAAGGTGTGTTGGGTCAAGCTCACAATGTATTTAGGTAATATGTCCCAGCATATGCCCTTAGATGATCTAGATTGGCGTTCTGCGCCAGGGCCTGCCCACCCAGTCCGAGACTGAGGCATGTCGATCTCGCCAGGAACAGCATGTTCATCAACACGGGGCTCTTTAGATGAAACCTGTTACCTCATGTCAGTATAAACTGGTGGACGGGCGGTTTTCAAGGGGGGGGGGAGAATGAAAAGAGGATGAAAAAAGCCACTAGAAAAAAAAAGCAAGATGGTATAGAGAGGAGAGAGACACCCACCAGGAAATAAGTACCAACATAGCCTGCAGGAGATCGCAACTCCTCACACACTCAAACATGGCCGCACGCACGACATCACCCAGAAGCTCCCCGCCGAGACTCCTGTGCCGCGTCCCATTCAGGAAGCAAGCTGCCATCATGACGGCCTTGTAGAGGAACGGTCTCTCCCTCTTCATCTCGGCGGCACTCATGTCCCTCGGTATGACGACAAATGGCAGCAGGTGCGCCATGAGGGTGTTGTACTTTTCCAGGAGGAGCTCTGACTCGTCCAGGGTAGGCCACATTGAATCTCGTGATGCTGGCAGCGGTTCTCTCCTTACCGGCGCTGCTACCGCTGCCGACGATGCCGGCGATGCAGCTGACGACGATGCAGCCGCTACTGTTTCCTTGCTAGGCCAGGGCGAGGTCGTCTTCTCCCAGGCGAATATGTGCTGCATGAACGAGCCGGTGAGAAGGTGATGAGTGTGGTGATGGCAGGGGTTGCGGGACGCTGGCGCGGGTGCGGGTGTGGGCGATGTAGATGACGACGACGGCGGCCATGTCACGGAATGTGTACATAGAGATGCGGTGACGCTGGTCTGGTTGTTGCCCTGCTTCTCCCTGGACGGTGCCGCGCCGCCGGGGGCGGTAGCCACGGCCCTCGCCCCCTCGAGAACGCGTAGACGCCTCTCCAGCTGTGAGAGTACAGATTGGCGGGTGGGATTCCGTCGTCGCGGCGGTACCGGTGCCCGCGGGATACACTCCCTGCATAGACGGTGGCATCTAATCACGAATCAGCTCATTTTGCACCGCACAAAGCATCCGACACGACACAGTTTCGGGCGATGCAGTTACCGTGCAGTTCTTACCTCTCACATTTCCCTTGCGCCTCTGGTCCCGGTATACACCTGGACTTTGCCTTGGCGCAAGCCACGCAGGCCAGCGTTCGCTTCATATTGCCCGTCATGGCAGTCCGGTCAAGGCAGCACTTGTATCTGTCGATTGGATCTCCGTAACATACAAACTGACGACGACATTGGGAAACAAGTGGACATTGCAATCGAGAATCTGGAACATGTGAACAGAAAGAAATAATGAATCCCGCATATGATCGTCGTCTTAATCTATGGTACGAGTCCAACCAAGTGAGGTGGACCGGAGCGGAGGGCTAAAATTGGTCCGTCTCTCCGTCGGCCTCGTGACGGTTTGGCGTGTAATCCGGAAATACATAATCCGGTCCGCCGGTTCAAGTTTTTTCCGAGTTGCTTGTCTTTACTAAGACCTAGTAGTACTGGAAGTATTATCAGCAACATCACAAAGGGCAATATGGCAAGGAACGAATGTTTCTTTGTAAAGTCCTGTAGAGTAAGACTCCTCAAACGAGAATTTGTCATTTGTTTGCTTCCGAATATTCCTCTTTGCCAAGGACTCTGAAACGAACGGCGCGCGATGAACGTATCCAAGCAATCGTCAGTCGTATACTCTACAGTGGCAAAGGCGGAAAATGGAAAAAAAAAATATAGAGTGGTAAATAGGTATGGTAGAATGTAAAAGAAAGGTGGGAAAGGTATTCTTTTCATTGGAAAAGCATCTGTTCTTTGACCTTCCCATCACCGAGGGCAGAAGAGCAAGATCCGACGAGACAGATCCAATCTATGCGGTAGCCGTGGCGATGCGGCCGGCGGCGCCCTCGCGCTCGAGGAGAGCCTCGGTCAGACGGCGGGGGCTGGCGCCCTGGCCGGCAGAGACGCTAATCTCCTGGGCGGCCTTCTCGATGCCGAGCTGGACGTTGGTCCAGAGGGGCTGGACCTCGGGGGCGCCGGCCTCGCCGACACCGATGAAGCCACCCTCGGCGGCCCAGTCAGAGGTGCGCTTGATGCCGAGGCGGGTCCAGATCTCGTCGACGGCGCGGACGAGCTCGTCGCGGTGCTCCCTGGTGTGGCCGGGGGTGGGGGTGATGCGGAGGCGCTCCTGGCCGACGGGGACGGTGGGAAAGTTGATGGACTGGACGTAGATGCGGTAGTCGTTGAGGAGCATATCCGAGGCCTGCTTGGCCAGTTCGGCGTTGCCGACCAGGATGGGGATGATGTGGGAGGGGTTGGGGATGACGGGGATGTCGCGCTCCTCGAGCTCCTCCTTGACGGCGCGCGTGTGGAGCTGCTGCAGGCGGCGGTCTCCGTCGTACCCCATCTGGTACTCGATGGACTCGTTGGCGCCGGCCATGGTGGCGGGGGGCAGGGTAGTGGTGAAGATGAAGCCGGGGGCGAGCGAGCGGATCATGTCGACGAACTTGGCGCTGCCGGCAATGTACCCGCCGACGCAGCCGTAGGCCTTGCCCAGGGTGCCCGTGATGATGTCGATGCGGTCCATGACGGTGCCCTCGGGCCTGCCCTGCTTGTGGGCCTCCCAGTCAAGGTGCTCGGCCACGCCGGCGCCGTGGGGTCCGTACATGCCGACGGCGTGGACCTCATCGAGGAAGGTGATGGCACCGTACTTGTCGGCCAGGTCGCAGATCTCCTCGATGGGGCCGACGGAGCCGCACATGCTGTAGACGGACTCGAAGGCGATGATCTTGGGCACGTGCAGCGGCAGCGACGCCAGCTTGGCCTCGAGGTCGGCGACGTCGTTGTGCTTGAAGACCATCTTCTTGGCGCCCGAGTGGCGGATGCCCTGGATCATGGAGGCGTGGTTGAGGCTGTCGGACAGGTAGACGGCGTCGGGCAGCTTGCCCCCCAGCGTGGCCATGGTGGTGTCGTTGGCGACGTAGCACGAGCTGAAGACGAGGGCGGCCTCCTTGGCGTGCAGCCTGGCCAGGGTGGCCTCGAGCTTGACGGCGTGCTGGTTGTGGCCCGAGATGTTCCTGGTGCCGCCGGCGCCGGCGCCGTACTCGTCGAGCGTCTCGTGCATCCTGTCGAGGACGCGCGAGTTGCGGCCCATGCCCAGGTAGTCGTTGGCGCACCAGACGGTGACGCAGTCGTCCTTGGTAGCCATGTGGGCGCGGGGGAAGCTCTTGGCCAGACGGTTGATGTTGTTGAAGTACCGGTACGACCTGTCCTTGTGCTTCTTGTCCAGCTCGCCCTTGTAGAAGGCCTCGTAGTCGAACTTGGCGGCCGACCGGCAGCCGTCGGCCGAGGTGAGGGGCGAGGAGGCACCTGTAGCGGCGGGCGGGGAGTGGTTGCGGTCGATGACGGGCGAGTCGACGGCCCTGGCTCCGTGCTTGCTGCTCGTGTGCATCCTGGCGGCCCGTACCCCGGCGGCCCTGAGGCGAGAGGTCGAGGCCGAGGCCGAGGCCGGCGAGGTCGACGACATGGCGCGCAGCCCGGCGGCCGCCCCGTGCTTGGACACCTGGACGGCCATGGCCCTCCCCATGACGGGGCAGCGGTTGGCCAGTACCTGCAGGTTCGACATCCTCCCCCCGCAGGGCGACGAGCCGGCAGCCGGAGCAGCGGGAGCGGTGACGGCCTTGGGGCGCGACGAGGTCGAGAGGGCCCTCAGAGTGGCGGGCGAGGCCGTCTTGAGGAAGGGGCACATGGCCTTGGATTGGCGAATGACTTGTTCCATGGTCAGCCCAGGTCAAGTTGAAGGTGTATTCTCTTCTTTTCTTTTTGTCCTATCTTGGGTGTGCAATTGGTGATGATGATGAGGATTGAAGCAGCGTTGGTACGAGAAGAAAAAAAAAAGAGAGAGAGAGAGAGAGAGGAAGAAGGAGGAATAATATTTCTTTCTACTAAAGATGACCGGTTCTCGAACACACCGTCCCATTTTTTTCTTCGCCCTCTGGGGCAATGGGGACACCCTTTCCAGGCCCTTGATGGGCTCTCTCTCTCTCTCTCTCCGACTTCCGATGAGACTCTCCACCCCTCCAATGGTTCCAAGGGCCCCCTCCCCCTCCCCCTCCCTCCACTATTATCTACAGGGCCCTCCTCACTCTACTTGTACTGGTGTCTGTCTCCTGCGGAAAAAAATGGAAGGTGGAGAGAGAAAGTACATGACTGAATGTATCATTACTGTCTGTACTCCCGTATTAATATCCGTAGAAAAGAGAGGGAAAAAAAAAAGTAAAGGGACAAAAAAAGAATACGTACCTCCTTTTTCCTGACATTCGGCCGTTCCTTTATTGGTCCATCTTTCCTCAACACCGCCAATTTGGAATCCGATCTTCGAGGCCTCGGGCATGCGCCAATCCGCTCTAACCGTTTTATCCACCAATTTCTTGCTTTTAAATCGACTCAGCCCTCATGTTGATGTTACTTGTCATTGTTATTGCAGACTTTTGTTTGAAGATATCTCTCAGCTCCCATGACTAGAACTGTTTCTTCTCACTACTTCTTCTGTTACTTACCCTATACTACCCCTCCTCTCTCTTTCTCTCACTTACGGATACATCTTCGACAGCTACCATCACTGCTGGTGCTCCGTCATTAACCGTCCATCAATCGTACGACTTCTCCTGATTAATTCTACGGTAAGAATCAATCCTTCTTACGGGGATGAGGCTAGAATGTGTGAAAACTTGACTCTTTCGAGTAATACTAGGCCATGTAATGACAATTCCACATCACCTTTCCACATGATACATTCAATTACTCTCAATAAAAGAGGGCTATACTATCAAGATAAGACGTAGAAGAAGAAAGATTCAGAGAAATGACTCCCCAACCCGACTTGTCCATACATCTCTCATGCCCCCCCCCTTCAACGCCTAGCCAACTTTGAAAAAAAAAAGAAAAAAGCAAAACATGGGAACTCCTCGCTGATCTTGGATCCCCTTACCGTTTCGTCATAGTGCCCAAGTGGTGATATGCAATGATACAAGAGAAATTTTAAGGCCTTGAGTAACTTCTCGCACCCCCCTCCCCTCCCCCCCTCTCTCTCTCTTTTACTCGCTCACGCTCAGGCCCTCTTCTCGGGCTCATATACGGTCAGAAACAGCCGCAGACTGAATTGCGGCCCACTCATCGGCGGATCTGTCAGCTGCTTCGTGAAGTCGTCCTTGCTAAGACCATCGAGCACCTTGGCACGCAGCCGGAGCTGATCGCCAGGAGCAGTAGCCAGGAGCGGCGGCGAGAGGAGGCCGGAGAAGACGGCAAGGGCGAATCGGTCTCTGGTCATCATCTCGTTCAGGGTGCGCCACTGCTGATCGTCGGGGAGGAAACCCTCTGCCATTGCCTTGCGGACCTTGTCCACCTCCCACATCACCGACGTCACCATTCCTGCCGGGTCCCGTCCTTGTAGCTCCGGCGCGCCCTTCAACCTCGATGCTGCTTCCTGTGCTGTCTTCTTGAAGTATAGCCGGCTGGCGTTTGACGGCTGGTTGAATATCGGCCTCCCGCCTTCTCCTCCGCCCCCTGCTGCTGTTGATGCTGCTGCTGCTGCTGCTGCACTGCCATTGCCGCTGTCACCTCCCTGTGAGCTGCTGTGCCCACCTCCATCCCGTTGATGCTGTCCGAAGAAGGTGTTGGCTCCCGCGACGGGTAATGGAGGCGCCGGGACCCGGCCAGAAGTCTGCTTAGTCACCTCTTAGAAAGGATGGTTCTGGTTTTTCTTCTTCTTTTGGATTTGTTTTGTTACGTGCAGTTGCAAATTTATTGCGCTTGGTTGGGTGATGGGGTTCGTACCGGAGTCGGAGCGACCGATTCGTGAACCGGTGCCCTGCTGTCCTGTTGATACCTGGAATTCACAGCGTTGGGGTTCTCTGTCTGGGTGCTCGGCGGTCGCGGCGGCAGCGCCGTCGTCGTCGTCATCGTCGTCGTCGTCGCCGTCGTCGTCGTAAGATGAATGGGGGAGCCCTTGGTACCTGCCGTGGATGCGGAATCTGTTGTCGGGATCGCCATCGGCGCCGGCTTCGGCAGCAGCGCAGATGCCACCTCTGGTATCACCGCAGGCCTGGGTGTCGGGTTGGTCGACGGCATCGGGCTGGCCGACGACAGCGGCTTCGGTGTCGGGCCCGCCGTTGTCGTCTGTGTAGGCCGAAATGGGGCTAACCATGCTGTTGCCGCCGCTGGCCTCGTCATTGGTGGCGGCGGCGGCCGCTCGTAGCTTGCACGCGTCCCCGTCATCCTCTCGTACTCTGCGGGATTCTCCCACCTGAGCTTGTTGAGGCGTACCAGGTCCTGTGCTTCGCGCTGCTCCTGAGCCGTCAGGTTGGTGTCCTCGTCCTCCTCCTCGAACGTGTCGGTCGAGACGATCTTGGTGATGCGCGAGCCGCCGGGTGGGTGCTGGATCAGGCTGTCGAGGATGCGGTCCTTGCCCACAAAGATGCTCAGGTCCTCTTGGCGGACATCTTTGATGGGCCCCAGGAGGCTGGCGTGCCTCTGACCCCACGCAATCGGGTTCTTCTTGTCGACGACACGCGAGGCCAGCTGCGTCTTGAATACAGACTTGCTCTGCATCGCCTCCTCGAACGTGCCCGCCACGACGAGATGGTAGACGAAGACGGTCTTCCTCTGCCCTATACGGTACGCGCGCCCGACAGCCTGCTGCTCGTCCACCGGGTTCCACTTCGAGTCGAAGATGACGATGCGGTTGGCCCCCTGGATATTGAGGCCTACACCGCCCGCCGTCGTTGATATCAGGTAGACCTCCTGGCTACCGGCGTTGAAGTCTCGAATCCTCTCCTGTCTCTGGTCTATCTTTGTACTGCCGTCCAGACGACACACAGCTCGCTTCTGGAGCTTCAAGAGGTTCTCGAGGTAATTCAGCGTGTTGCGGGAATGCGTAAACACGAGGACCTTGTCGCCCGCAGCACGAGCCTGGTCTAGAATGAGAAGCATGTACTGCACTTTGTGAGACAGCAGCGGATCAATGTTATCGGTGCGCTTAGTCTCCCGCAGGGCTGCCGAGATGATGCTGTGTGGGAACGAGGGGTGGTTGTCCGGCGAGGCCTTGACCTCCAGCAACTTCTCGTGGAAGCACCGAGGGTGGTTGCAGATCAAGCCCAGATTATTGACGGTGCTGAAGATCTTGGCCTGATCCGTCTTACCCCCAGCGCGCGCAAGTTCATCGTCAGGGGTTGGCCTAGCGATCCCACCAAGATACAGTTGGTACAAGGTGCGCTGCATAGATGTCGGTGGCAGGGTTACCACAAACTCGGCCTTGGGGGGCAGGTCGTGGGCCAGGCACGACTTGATGGTGGCCCTGTCAACTTTTGCGGCGACTGTCGCCTTCAAGACTTGGAGCACCTTCAGAGCTCTTCGTCTGTCTGATATGGGACTGTCGCGGTCCAGCCCAGCTTGAATATCTCGGACGTAGACTTCCCGAAACTCCGACAACGGACCCAGGAAGTTGGGTGAAACCCAGTCAATCATTGAATAGTACTCTTCGACATTGTTCGCGAGTGGTGATCCGGTAAGCGCGATGCGTCTTGTTGTCTTGAACCTGGAGCACATGCTGTTCAACTTGGTCTCGCGATTCTTTAGCCTATGTGCTTCGTCAGCAACGACCATGCTCGGCCTGTTGAGTAAAATATTCTCCGCCTCCTCATCCTGTGCGACGTTCAAGAGCATGTTGTATCCGATGACAAGTACACCGCCAACCTCCGCCCATCGCCTGACTATAGCAAGGCGCTGCGGGACCTCGGTCACTGCATCCAGGTGAGTAAGGGGGCCCAGGGACCCGGACGGTGCCCATTTCAGCAATTCGTCCATCCAGTTGTCCACAAGCCCAGAGGGACAGAGCACGATTGTCTGCGACGTCCGAAGATCTTTGGGGATCTGAGATGCCACCGAAGGGTCCGACGACTTGGCAGCATCGGCAACGGCGACGAGAAATGTGATGACTTGCATCGTCTTTCCGAGGCCCATGGTGTGTGCCAGGAGGCAGCCGTGGCGGTGCTTAGTGTCGAGTATGATTTGGTTCCACAGGAACCGGACCCCTTTGACCTGGTGGTCCTTGATTGACTTGCTGGTATTGTCATTGACGTAGATCAAGGACTGGCCCTCCTCCTTAGTGTCGTTGATGATCAACCGCGACTTGTCCTGGGATACGAGACCTGAGTCTGCCAGTGTAGCTTGCAGCCTCTTACGGCGGGCTTCCTGTTCCTCGGCACGTTTCTTCTCGTGCTCTCGCAGGTCGACAGCGTCCTTGTTCCGGATTATTTCCCTTGCAGCCGCCTGGCGAGAGGGAGTGGATTCCAAGCCAGCGCCTTGCTCGTCGCCGTCATCTGGTAGATCCACATCAGATATATCGTGGTCGCGATAGATCTGGCTCTCATGGGGGAAGATCGGCTCGCTTGCTTTTATGAAGGCACAAAATGGGTCAAACCAGATATTCCGGCTAGTTCGGATCTTTTTGGCATTCCGGCTGCTCAACGAGATCATCCGCTTCTGTCCTTGGGCCTTACACTTGACAAAGCTGAGAAAAATGCGGCATATGTCGCTTTTCAGCATTTCCTGATCTGACCCCTCTAGCTGAGCTGCATTGGTGGGGGGATCTGAAATGAAGGGGATGACGAAGTCGTCCCACACTTCCTGAGTTGAGAAATCGTTGAGCGTTTTCAGAATCCAAGACCGGCGGAAGAACTGAATCCTGCCTAGGATATAAATTACCAGCCTCCACCTATCGTTTTGCGAATTCCAGAAACCTCTGTCGACGGCGCATATTGCCTCCAAGGTGCCCAAGCTCTCAAGGGAAGGTGGCTCTCCAGGTGCGGAATTCTTGTCCTTATCAGCCTTCTTTTTCCCGGCCTCGAGCTTCTCGAGATCCTCGGGCTTGGGGGACTGGGGCTTTCCCGGTGAGGTGAGATCAATCACTATCCTATCGCTGATATCGTCATGCCTCTCGCTCCTGCCACCGGGCCGAGTGGCCCCGACCTGGGGATGTCGCTGCTTCTCAGCCTTGATCGGGGTGGCCGGGGATGTCTGTTCGATTCCTTCCATCTCATCCACGTGATCCCCCCCTGCGGACCTCTCTTCTTCTGGAGCCCCGTCATCAGGTAGTCTCTGCTCAGACGGGAGCATCTCTTTGGCCGCTTCCTCTGCGGAGACCTTCGCAACGGAAATGCATCCCCCGGTGCTCTTCACCCTGGGGGCGCATTCCACAGGAAGCGCATCGTCTTGATCAGAGACAATGAAGTCATCCAGGTCATCTTCATAGTCGCTGCTTGTCAAGAGCTCGGGATCGTTTGTACTAGGTTTGGGTTCCTTCGGCTTCCGGGGAGCCGGAGGCGGTTTGGGAGGCTGAACTCTCGATTCCAAAGTGTCGGCCAGCCAGAGTGCATGGAGTTTTTCTTTCAAGCTGGGCTCAAGGATTTGAGCCTGGAACTGGACCTCGTCCCCAACCTGCCATTTCATGCCTAATATTTCAGCAGACAAGGCCTGGATGCGGTTGTGAAAATACTTGGCCTGCGACCGCGCATGCAAAGCTTCCTCAGCTTTTGACCCACGGCGAGCAGCAGATGTCCACAGCTTGTATGCTAGTCGCTCGCGTTGGGCAAGCTTTGTGTCCTTCCATTGGGCTGTCATTCGCTCGACTTCACTGTCCAGAATCTCCCTGACTCGTTCTCTGGTCAGATAGTCCATCAGCCTCTCGTTCTCCTCGTTTCCCATACGCTCCTCTTCCATCTCCCTCAGAGTTTCTTCGTCCAGCTCAGAGGGCAGATCAGACATTTCGAAGATCTCTTCGTCTCCTTCAGACGATGTTGATGACATGACGTCCTCTCCATTCCGTAGACGAGCCTCCTTTTTGCTGTTATGGAATAAAAATCGCTTCATTACACGGTGGACGGCGATGCGTCGACCAGGAGGGAGGCGCAATGGTAACAGGGTCGCAAAGTCACCGTTTGCGTAGCTCTGAAACCGAGTGCTTATCTTACCCTGAGTCGACTTGATGAAGTCAGATGAGATACTACCAGTGCCGATATATGCCCATTCCGGCTGACGCTCCCAGGGAAGTCCCAAGGTCTGAGGCTTCTGGCTCAGATTGATAGGTTGCATTCGTCTCCGTTTCAGAGGCGGCTCATCCTCGGTTGGTACCAGTGCCTGTGTATCATAGGCCTCATTAGATGATTTCCCAGCAGGCATGTGCTTGCGCTCGGGGCCTTGGGCGGGTTGTTTGCGAGCAGTGACTTCACCGTCCGTACGTGACTCGGCTGGAGATTTCTCAGAGGGTGGGTGCTCTGTTGCGACTTGGTGGTCCGGGGTCCCCGCATGATGCTCGCTGGTTGGCTTCGCCGCCGGTTCATCCGCAACGAGCTCGTCATCCTCAAGGGCAAACAAAGTCTTCTTGCGGAAGGCAGAAAGCCACTGTCGATACTGCTTGCTCTCGTCGCACAGGTCAACGAGCTTCTGAGTAAGTGAGACTTTGTGACGGGCCAGGCGGATGCCGAGGCACTCCATAAGTTCTTGACGTGAACATGTCTCCGCGAAAGTGAGGAGCGTCTTGCCGTCGAATTCCTCTTCCCTCAGCTTAGCAGCCAGGGACACAGGATCCTTGGTCCACGAACTGGGAGCCACACAGAGGGCATCGACGACGGCATCGACGTCCCATAAGAAAGGATCCTGCTGTGGCGCCATAAGCCCTTGTACAACAGCCAAGAGCGTCCGTGGTCAGCTATGATAAAGGGTGTTAGTGTGAATGAGTTGCATGTCGACCCGAAGATCCAGAAACGCAACGCACCTCATAACGACGCCGCAGAACGCCCTTTGGATGCTTCTCGATAGAGCTCCGATCCGAAATTATCCAAGCGTGCGAGATAAAAGATGCTGGCAAGACGCACCGCAAGGTTTCGCGTGTGGTTTATCCTGATGAAGTGAGATGACGCGTGATGGGGGATCCGCCGTGTAGCCGTGCAAATATCAGTCGAAAGGTTTTCAGAAGAAGATGGTGATATTAATAGGCCACAGCACGTCCTTACAGTGGATAATATAATATTTAATAGTGGTAAGGAGCCCAGCGGGCGTGACAGCTGGCGACAGGTGCGAACGCCTGCTAGGAAGAAGAGAGAATAAAAGTAAACCTAGCAAAGAAGGCAGAAAATAGTGCGATCAGATGGATAATGAAATAAGTGAAGGAACTCGTCTTCTCTCTTCGTCCTGTTTGTTTGCTTTTTCCAAGTGTAGGGAGATTGCGCCTATGATCAACTAATAGGATGATGCATCTATAGCAGGTGCTGCAGATGTCGGTTGGGCCTACAGTCAGCCCGGCGTTAGCAGCAGCCCACCATTGGAGCTTCATGGGTAATTACTACGCTCATTATGCAGTTGGCCCGTTTAGGGGAGGATTGACTTTGGAACAAAGTGATATTGCTTTTTCTTTGCTTTAACTAGGTATGTTGCTCGGAGTAAAGACCAACGGCATCTGCACATGCGAGAACGCAACCCACGAGAAGGCTGACTCGGAAACTCATATGAACTCGCTAAGGGCTTTCCGAGAGGGCGAAACGCTCACAAGCTTTCACATGGGCGGCAACAGATGGTTCATCAGTCTCTAAAGAGATGGGGCCAAGGCTAAGTCATTATTGGGGAAGGATCGAGTCAGTGATGCACAGTCATATCTTGTCCCTCCTTGATTCGGATAGAGAGAGAGACCGGGAGAGAATGACGGGAGATGGTGGAATGACGAATGCTCTTTCCATGTTGAAACCAGGAACCCTGGTGGTCTGTCGCCATCGTGCTGGTAATAATAATACACACAAATGCCCCGCCTCCAGATCAAAAGACTTGGACAAACACCAAGACCCGCTTCCTCCGATTTGAACAAACTCCATTAATAAGCACTGCGACTACGGACTTTCCATTTTGCAACCTTGGAATCTGTCGTTCCCATACTTCAAGTATATACAGTATATACAAGAGACGAACTTGCTAAACTAGAAGTTCCTATTCCAACGGCTCGAGTGGTGGACGGGAAAGTCCAACGCAACAGTAGCAGCAGCAGCAGCAATTGTCACACAATCGCGGGGTACAAAATGGCCTCACTCGCTCAAGGGGAATATCCGCCCCAGCTAAAGGGTGAGGAGCAGCGGCATCTCATAGACACTGTCAAGGACTGGACAATCGGCAACGGTCTAGCCGTTCGGCCCCCCCCCGCCGTCATCCCCAGCGAGGTCGATCCCAACGGTGTCTCTGCCGTCAGTGCGCCCGTCACTCTCTTCCCCAGCCCGTTCCCCCGCGTGTGCTTCGAGCAGGGTGTTCTGGCGCAGAAGTCTTACAATGAGCTCTACTCCGCCGTCAGTCGTGACGAGAAGTTTCTCGAGGAAATGGTCAAGGAGTAAGCCGGCCACACTGCCAGCTTCGATCAACGCACATGCACTGCTGACCTTTATTACCAAACGCAGAGTAGCCGGTGGCGATGAGTTTATCGGTAACCTCTGGAAGATCCACCTCAAGGTCAAGGAGGAGGGATACACGCAGGTAAGCCACAAGATGGAGGCATCCAACTAACGTACGATACAACGTGATCCGGACGCTCGGCTGACCCCTGCTCCCAGCCCTTATCCCTGGGTCTGTTCCGTTCCGACTACATGGTCCACCAGGACTCTACGACTACCCCGCCATCCCTCCAGGCCAAGCAGGTTGAGTTCAACACGATAGCTGCGTCGTTCGGAGGACTCTCGTATCATACGTCTCTGCTTCACAAGTAAGATTCTCTTGTGTTACGATGTCCTTCTTTCCACCCTCGGCTAACGCCATAGTCCAGGTACCTGGCCGACACGGAATACCCGCTACTGCAAAACTGGGTATCCGACGTGCAGCAGGACCTGCCTGAAAACACGACGACAAAGGGCTTGGCGCAGGGTATAGAGACGGCATTCCGCGCATATGGCGAGTCAGAGCTGGGCCATGCCAAGTGCGTCGTCTTCCTAACGCAGACGGGGGAACGCAACATCTTTGATCAGCGCCACCTCGAGTACCAGGTGGCCAAGGCTCGACCGTCATTCCCCGTCTTCAGGCTCCCGCATGCTGACCTGCTGGAGCACACGTCCCTCGCCGATTCTCCCAAGCGCCAGCTCCTATACCGGCTGCCGCGGGACCCGTCCAAGGTGTACGAGGTGGCAGTCGTGTACCTCCGGTCCGGCTACGACCCGTCCGACTACCCGGACCAGGCGGCCTGGGACGCACGGTACCAGCTGGAGCGATCGGGCGCCATCAAGTGCCCCACAGTCCTGACGCAACTGTCGGGTACTAAGAAGGTGCAGCAGGTCCTGGCCACTCCGCGAGAGGTATCGTCCTCGTCGGTGTCGATCCTGTCCAAGTTCATCAAGGACGACACGCCCGCTGCTGCAGAGCTGTACAAGACCTTCACAAACATCTACCCGATGGACACGTCCGTGGCTGGGCTGGAGGCGCGCAAAAAGGCTCTCGACCCAGAGCTAGCCAAGGCCTACGTACTCAAGCCGCAGCGTGAGGGAGGCGGCAACAACATCTACCGCGCCGCCATCCCTGAATATCTCAAGACGGTTCCCGAGGAGCACTGGGGCTCGTACATTCTCATGGAGCTCATCACGCCGCCACCCGTGTCAAACATCATCCTGCGCAACGGCAACGTAGAACAGGGCGGTGTCATCTGCGAGCTGGGAATCTACGGCACCTGTCTCTGGGACCAGGTGACGGGCGACGTCAAGCACAATGAGCAGGCGGGCTACCTCTTACGTACCAAGGGCGACCAGAGTGAGGAAGGCGGCGTGGCTGCAGGGTACGGATGCATGGACAGCTGCGCTTTGATATAAAAGAAAGAAAAAGTTGAGACTATTTCGCATTCCTATATTAGAAGGGGGGTGGGACATTCAACCATTGGTATCAATAAACATGACGATCCCATATTCCTCCTCTCCTCTTTCGTACATTGTAATTGGTACAGGGTTGTTATCAACAAAGGGGAGATAATAATCGGGGTGTGGGCGGAGAGGAGCAGATATTTCCATCATCTGCGCCTCGCAACCTATCTTCGGTATCATCCAGGGGTTATCTCAAACCCAGATCTTACTCCGGGTTGGAAGACGTGGGGCGCTTGAGGACCTCGATGCTTCCTGTATAGCGGTAGGTCGTCAGCGAATTTGCTTCCCAGCCAGCCAAGGACAGTCACGGTAAGAGGAGCCAACGTACGCTGGGTAATGTTCAGAGCGGAGCGGGTGTTGCCCTCGGCATCCTGGTACGAGTTGAGGGCGGCGTCACCCTCGACGTAAATCATGGAGCTGTATCGCATAGTAGTTGGTATCAGCTCCCACAACGTATTTCTGTTTCATTTGGCTCCCTTGATACCAGGATTGAACATACCCCTTGGGCAGGCTGAGCATGAAGTCACGGCGGGGACCCTCGACGAAGGATCCGACGCGAAACCAGCTGGTCTGGCGGTTATCCTTGGGGCCAGAGTTGCTAGCGACGGCGTAACGAACGACCTCGCGGCCGGTGCTAGTCTGGTGCAGCTCGGGGGTGTCTGCTAGGTGGCCGATGATGGAGATCTTAGCGATAGATCGGGGGGAGGTGGTGCTGAAGGAGCGGGCAGCGGAGCCAGCGCCAAAGACGGCGCGGCGGAAGAGCATAGACGAAGACATGTCTGATGTGTTTGGCACGCGCGCGGGGGGGGGGGGGGGAGAAGAAATGGGCCTGGGGATTAGAGAAGAAAAGAGTACCGAAAGGAACGGGAGAAATAGGTGCGTGTGCGGCGTGACGATGATGGTGATGATGAGGGGAAGGATTGGAGAGAAGCCCAGAGAAGGGTGTTCTTCGCGAGGGCAGGGCAGTGCGCGTCGGTGACGCGATTAGATTAGCACTTGAGACCGAAGGGTCGTTGGGGGGTTTACAGCTTCTGATTGGTTAGTTGGGGCGTTGATGGGATGGCGAAGGCCTCAAGAGGAGGAAGATGCATACCGGAAAACATGCTTTTATCCAACATGTATTTAAAGAATAAGCTACCCCTGTATCCATACTCTCACGCTTCCCGTAAACGACAACACATGATGATGGCCCGTAGACGCAAATACATTAGTCTCTGCCTACGTATACGTCCTGGGTCGAAATATGTATGTGTCTAGTTGCTTGCTTTCCTACACAAGGGGAAAGAAATCTATCTACGAAGCTATTTACAATGGAGTGTGTGACAGCAGCTAGGGTTTGCTTAGTCATGCAATCTGTGTGCCACACTCTTCAGCTCAAAGCAACAACAAGGAGCTAGTATGGTCGTCGAAGAAGAACTCCGCGTTAGAAGAGTGTTCAAGTTAGGATGTAGGCTTTTACTCTCATATACATTCCGTAGTACTCACTGGTGTCTGTGCTACCAGTTTGCCGCGCTGTATTCTGTGCAGGTACATCAGTCTCAGTGTAACCACATAGAAGAGGTGTAGCGACGCTCACGATGTTACGTGAAGAGGTTGTAGATCCGATTGCGGCCTCTGGGGTCCTCAATAAGATTGAATAAGTAGCGGAAAAGGAAGTAAACACACACGGAGAGATCTCCCCGACCCAGATACCAGCCAGAGCATATTGTCATGGGGGTTACCTGTATGATTGATGACATCTTGGCCGTGTTAGTCGGCGTCCACTAATATATGTTCCACCTATTCGCAACACCCCCTCATGATGTGATGGTAGATAAGCGGGCCAGCAAGAACAAACATGTCAAGAAGAAAAAGAAAAAGAGGGAATTATGGATCGTATATGAGGTGGTTGATGGGGCAAACCTTGCTTCCCTGCGTGGTCGTCGTTTCTATATATTGCATAGTACGTTGACATTGAAGAAACGGGAAGTACCGCTTCTCAAAGCGGTTGTCAATAGAAGTTGTCAATAGACGGGAACTATTGTATTATATGCACCACCGACGTCTTCAATACAGATTGCCGACTTGTCACCCCTGGCTCACACGAGCGAACCAACTCTCCTCCCCATAACAATACGATTGATCTGTTTCAGGCGAACTCTACACTGCGTGCCTATAGTCTAGTTTCCACATCTCTTCTCTCAGTCTCATCACCTCTCTTGAAGGCCGGCTCGGCGTTTGACGGCTCATGTATGCCACTGGCGCTTATTGACAGCATTGAACCATGGATCGACAATCAGCAATTGGGGGAAGAGGAGCGGGAGACAAAAAAGAGAAGAAGGGAAAAGACTATAGACCAAAGAAGGAAAATATAGCTTGTTCGTCTCTTCACGGGGGCTTTATAAACGTCTTCCATCCCGCACTGACCCTCTCTCCCTTTTCCAATCTGGAGACAGCCTACACATCTTCAAAGCACGGGGCATCATCCGCCACTCTCAGGAAGAAAGCAGGATTGCTGTAATCGGCTTACGCACCCTCTATACCTTTCTTGAAAGTTTCCCATTTAAGAAAGACATACATACCATACGTCCATCATCTTTCTCAACAGTCGTGCGTGGAAATGGACCAGTCGGACGCTCGTGGCGAGAGCCTCATCTTCAAGGTTGCTGTCCCGAGCGTCGACCCCCCCTACACCAATCCCGCGCTGACAGCCAACCTGGTCTTCCGCGTGGCACTGGGCATCATGGCCAACGTGGTGTGTCTCGTGCCTCTCAGGCTCCTCCACCGCGGCGGCGAGCTCGCCGCCGTCGTCTTCATCGTCAACATGGAGCTCAAGAACATCGAGACAGTGGTCTTTGCCCTGATCTGGCGCAACGACGACATGGACAGCTGGTGGGCCGGGTACGGCGTGTGCGACGTGCACCCTTACTTCAACAACTTCGTCATGACTCTCTACGGCACCTGCCTGCTCGCCATAATGCGCAACTTGAGCCGCCAGGTCGGCCTCATGCGCGCCCAGGGACTTACACGTGGCGAGAAGCGCAGGCGCAACCTCGTCCAGGCTCTCATCATGTTCCCGCTGCCCATCCTGCAGGTCGCGCTCACATGGTTCCTCACCGATGGCAGGTATGCCATCGGCACGCTCGTCGGATGCACCTGGATCCCCGGGGCTTCCTGGATCTACCTCGTCTTCATCATCTTGCCACCTATGATTGTCTCTGCATTCACAGTCTTCTATGCCGGTGAGTATTACATCACTCACATACACGCACACGCACACACACACACACACACAGAGAGAGAGAGAGAGAGAAGAGGGAGATATAGAAGGCAAGAAAGGGAAAGGGAAAAAAGGCTAACATTGTTCAACCAAATAATTGTTCAACCCCCCCCCCAAAAAAGTCCTCACATATATCCGTTTCCGCCAGACATCAATTGGCAACGACGCCACCCTCTCCCGCAACAGACTCGTCAACCACCGTGCTCAGCGAGCTCGCCGACGTCTGTACCAGACCATCGTGTCCATCCTAGCGCCCTACTTCCCCATCGTCCTGGCTATCGGCATCATCAACATCATGGACACCGGCACCATGACAGCCTACGACTACCAGGCCATGCACGACCGGCAGATCCCTTTCCCCTGGAGCACTATCCTCTACTTCCCCTCGGCGGCCATCGGCTTCGGCTCCATGAACATTGCGTACATCTCCATCCTGACCTCCATACCCGTCTTCATCTTCTTCGGAATGACAAAGGAGGCCCTCAACAGCTACAGGAGCGTCCTCGTCCGCTGCGGCCTGGGCGTGTGCTTCCCCACCCTGTACAGGGAGTACGATCCCGACCGGTCTCTCCGCTACGCCGGCTTCAGCGGCAACAGCAACAGCAGCAACTCTCATGCCAGCAACTCCCTTTCCACTGTGACACAGCAAAGGTACGGCACACTCACAATCTCACCTCTTCTACACTACCTACTCCCCCCCCCCTTTTGCACACACGCATGCATGATGCTAATGCCGGGATGGCATTGGACGCAGATCCTTCTTCAAACTCAATACCATGTCCGTAACACGAACCCTCGGTTCGCTCAGCTCCGCCTCAGGCGACCATGATCTGGAAACCGACAACAGCCAGAGCTCGCACCGTCTTACCACTCCTCTCCAGGCAAAGATGAACACATCAACAACCCACTTGAACAGCACTTCTCTCTTCCGTACTCGTCTTAACATGGGTCCCATGTGGACTAAGCTTTTAGGAAGCAGTAGCAGGAGCAGTCCTTCCCAGAAGCTACTGCCTGTCTCGGCAACAACAACAATAACAACAACAACAACAACAAAAGCAGCAGCAGCAGCAGCAGAAGAAGAAGAAGAAGCGGCAGCGACAGTACCGGAACCGGAAGTCCGCCACGGAGAGTCAAGTATAGATACGCGCATCTGGAGCGACGAGCTGCAGCCATCCCGAACGGAAGAGGTGTCACCGTCTTCGTCGCCCCAGCGGAAACATATCCTCCAGCTGCATAAGCCATCCGGGGACGATGATTGTGACTGTGAGATTGGCAGCGTCCATGTTGAGACGAGCCTGACCCGGCAGATATATCAGACCAGACGTGGATTCCCCTGATTACCGCCTCTTTCGATTTCTCGAAGAAGCAATCGTTTCAGTTGCCTTTTTGTTTTCTTTCTGCCCTCTTCTTGTCTCGTTTGCTTTCGCATTTCCCATTTTCCCGGTCTTCTATCTGGCATTCATTCTGCATCTTTGATTTGTTTCTTAGAAGATTACAACATCTTGTACTGGCCCCGGCGTTGAGGAAAGGAACAAGTGAAATAGCTTAATACAATCCAATAATACTCATCTCAACACATCTCCCCTTAATTCACATGCGCCGACTGTCTTTCGTTCAAGATTTGATCCGGCGTAGCTAGTTATACTACATCATGCTACCTAACCTGGGCAGTAGTATCAACAGTTTTGTCTTTCAAAGCCTAGGGGTAACGTGCCATAACGGGAAGGGTAGCGTGATTCGGTCAAAAATTCGTTCATATTATTCAGAGGTCTCTAGTCTGATTTGCTTCGTGAAACTATCTTCTCCAGCTTTTGTTTGTTATATCTGTCGTCATTTCATTACATCCCAACTCTGACTTCCATTTCTTCAGCCTTGAGTCAGGTTTATATGCTTCCCTATCCTCGTAACCACGTAGCATGATTTGAAAGGAAGTAGAAGAAAAAAACAAGACGGGAAATTGTGGTACCAATCAAGTTCATGAAGGAAAGAAGACAGAAATAGGGCATCATAGGGTGGGTTATTAAGATAATGGAAAAGTTATGCAGGGGTGGAAGTGGCAAGGAAAGAAAAAGGATAAACGAAACGCTTAGAAGCTTATACGTAAGGAGATGAAAAGCCCAATTATTCCCTGTTGGCGGACTGCTGCATACGACGGATGGCCTGCCGGTGGGCATCCAGAAGTTCCCCGCTGCGCATGCGCTCGTCAAACACCTGCTCGGCCCATTGCTTCTCGCGGAGCTTCGCCTCCTTCCTCTGGATCTCAGCCTCTTTCTTTGACATGAGCATACTGCGCTGCGCCTGGATAGTCCTCTGCACATCCTGTTGCCCATTGCCGGCCAGGAGATTGGGCGTTGAACCGAAAGGCGTCTCGCGTCCCGAATTGGGCACTATAGGCGTCCCGCTGCGCAGGTCCATGGCCACCGAGCTGCGGAACTGGGATAGCCGTGCTTCGCGGGCGGCCGGTGAGATCACAGACGAGTTGCGTCGACCAGGCTGGGGCGAGGAGGATGTCGCCGGGTCTTCGTAGCTGCTATTCTTATTGTTGTAGAAGTCATAACCGCTGACGGGGTGATGCGTGGATGAGCGGCGTCTCTGTTGCTGCGGTTGCTGGGCCACAGATGGCATACTGGAATTGCGCTGCATCATCTGCCTGCGCTGACTGAGGGGGATGTCGTCCGCGTCTGAACCAAGTGCGCCGGATGCGTAGGGAATGCGATTGCTATATTCGCCGCCCAGCTCGCCAGAAGCCTCCCGCATCCTCGATTCGGGGCGCGGAGGCGGAGATGCTAGCAGGCTCCCGTGCGACTTGTTACGGAGGAACGTCTCCCTCTGGGCAATCAGCGTCTGGGGACTAGAGAAGGACACGATGCCAGGGATAGATTGGCGGGGGAAGTCTTCGTCGCCAGAGGCTTGCCTCTGCGGGGCGGCACTGATTTGGGATCTCTCATCGTCTTCGGGGATGGTAGCTGGTCCGCGAGCCTCGCGTTGCTGGGAGCTAGGGTCGAATGTGAGCGAGGCCCTGCGGAAGTTTGAGGCTGATGGCGTTCGAGACATGACGCGACTGCTAGAAGCGGGGACAGGGTGACCCGACAGGGCGGCGAGCGCTTGCTCTCTGTCAGCATTGGCGGTAACCGGCAGTTTATGGAACGTGGGCGATGTGGGCGACTTCCTCTGCGACCTCCGCTCAGTCGTCGACAAGACTGACGTCTGAGAGTCCGATCGCAGGATGGAGATGGGTGGCACCCCGCCATTTCCTGCACCCCTCTGAAGATCATCGACGTCCAACGGGGCGGCCCGCTCCTGCCTTCTCGTTGACTTTAGCGTGGGAGACATCTCGACTGCGTGGGAGACGTCGACATCGTCGGGCTCGGGAGCATCGGCGTAGCTCAGGTGCTTGGCCCATTCGTTGGTGCGGTAGGATAGGGCAACTCGAGACAGGGAGGACGGTAGATGGCCCTTGGTCAGGCTGGTGGGTGTGGACAGACCGGAAGAGTTAGACTTGGTCTTGTCGGACGGATCCTTTGCTGGAGTCTGTCCGGCATCAACGTAACCCTGTTTCTCATTTCCATGCTCCCCAGCATAGGCACCGTCTGCCTCTTTCTCCACAGTTTCGGTCGACGCCTCGGCTGCTGCCTGCAGATTGGTCGGCTCAACTGCAACCTGGCTTTGTGTTGAGAGTGGCGGAGCTGTCTCGTCCTTGGCGGTAGTGTTGTTCTCGAATGCCTCTACATCTCCGCCCTGTTGGCTATTAACCGACGTGTGACGGCTGCTGGCGATGCTGGCGATATCCGCATCACTCAGATCATCGAATGTGGCCGCAAGGGACGACCTGGCGTCATTGCCGTCCTCTACCTCCTCCACAGCCACCCCGGCCATGATGAGCTCCTCCGAGCTCTCGCCTCGTTGAAAGGACGAGCTGTTGTGACCGCCATTCGACCTCTGCGACAAGTTACGTAGGATACCAATAGAGCCGTGCGACAGCCGCTTGGCAAATGATCCTTGGCGAGTGGGAATATGTGTCGGATCCCTGACATCATCATCGGTCGCAAACGTGGCCACGGATGAACGGTCGCCCTTTGACTCGGAATCTCCGTCGTCCTGAGAATAAGGCACAGCGAACGGCAAGGGTACCACGGCGGGGGCGTCTGGTACCGAGGAACATTTCTCGTTTTCGGCAGCAGCGCCCGCATTGATGGGCAACTCAGACAAGGCGGGGGTGTCTGGGCTCTGTGTCTCATCGGTTGCGTCGGGGTCGGAATCGGGGCAGTGGGTCTCCATCTCCCGATTGTCAGCAGCGTCCGCGGGAAGGTCGTCCTGTGCGATGCGGACTATCACCTTGCCGTCCTGATCCTTCTTTGTCAACGGGTCAACGGTGGTCACGACACGGTCTGAACCAGACATGTCGCAGATTTCGACAGCACCATCTTCACGGCCACCGTCATCAACGTTGTTAGCGCAGAGGTGACGATCACCGATCTTCTCCCCAGAGCTGCCGACACCTTCTGAGCTTGCAAATTGGGAGTCGGCGTCGCTGCTTTGCTGTTCACCGTCTCCATATACACGCTCCCATTCTTTGCGGTCGCGTACGTTGGCGTCCTCGACCTGGCGACCAATGTTGGATTCCTCCTCCTCAAGGTCTCGCTGACCCCGGGCACGTTCAGCGGCGCGCTCAGCACGCTTCTCGCGGACAACCTTCCACAGTCTTATCTGTGAGATGATACCGACGAGTGTGATGATGATGATTGCGGCCTCTTCAGCGCGAATGCCCTTTGTAACAGGGTATGTCTCTGTGCCGAGCGGAAACAGGTCGTCATTTAGGTGCCAGACGTAGGCCCAGAATTCCTTAAGCCCCGCGCGGCTGAAGCAATCAATGCCCAAAACGACGGCCGTAGCACCGGAGAAGGATATGGTGAGAATGAGTGCCCAATCGCGGGTGTAGTGGTTAAAGTAGAAGGCAAGGCTACCCACGGTGAAGCAGGCTATAAATATGGCCTTGGTGAAGACTGTGTGGAGCAGTCCTCCCGGGGAGAGGCATAGCAGCCACATGCTCAGACAGAAGCCACCGAGGGCGCAGGATAGGCACTCTGTCAACTCCTTGAGAAATATCGAGGCGGTCCCCAGAGCGCATCCCGAAAGGACGACGGCAGCGACGTAGCCACCCTGAACGCTGAGCTTAACGGGTACGTTCATAACGTACACGATGAGCACCGCGATGCCGAGGGCGGTCGCACAGGCCGTGGAGAAGAAGGTGTGAACCGTGCGATTTCGTATACCGATGAAAGTGTAGGCGCCGCCTGACACGAGCAGGATAGCACCTGCGACACCCCATCCTGGAGTGATTCGAGGCTTGAGGGGCAGCTGATCGGGGGGTATAACCACTGTTTTCGTAATGTTAGCAGTCAGACCATCATCTTCGGAGCGGGATGATGAAAGAGTCATACCATTTGTGAGGGTCGAGTTATCGAGAGGACCGTCGGTTGAGATGACGACAGAAGATGTCGACTCGGGCTCTTCAGTTGAAGTCTTGGTAGGGTTGTCTGTATATGAGGCGGTTCTGACGGCCGTTTGGGTTTTATCGTTATCCGAAGCCGTTCCCGTCGCCGTTACCTTGGACGTTTCTTGCGCGTTACCGGAGCTAGACCTCGCATCTGCAGTCTTGACAGTGTCTTCTTGCCGGGCCACTAGGTTGATGTGTTTGGCAGCAACTAGCTGCCATACTAGAGTCAGGCACAACAACAAGCGAAGCTGAGCGAACGAGAGCAACATGTCGTTGAATTGGTGCGATGTATAAGCCGGTCGAATAAGCAGATCGCAGAATCGAACGAATGGATAAATGAAAAAGGAAAGAGTGACGCCGATTAGCGAGACGTCGGTATTATGTCGTGACGATGACTAGCAAGCATGGCTCGAAGGACCTCCTTCTTGTCAACGTCGAACAAACAAGGTAAAGGAAGTAAATTGAATACGAGAATGTCGAGGAAAGAAGCTTCGAGCGAATGAGCGACTAGGGGAGAAAACACTCCAAGGCGGGTAGGCGGGTAGAGGATGGAGTTAGTTACGGGCCTAATCGGCGGCGCACATGTAGGCAGGTCTAAGACTCTCTCTCTCTCATATGGACAAGTGATGGAAGCCAGTCAACGGCTGTTTCTTTGGCTGTGTGTGGGGGGCACTTTTCTGCATGCGGCGCCAAAGCAGGGAGGGTCCAGACAGAAAGGAGGATGACAAGGCTAAAATGAGCTTCCAAGCAGAAAAGAAAAAAGAAAAAAGAAAAAAAATGGTGAAAAGAAAGGGTGTTGTGAATTGTAATTAATCAGAAAGAGGCGCCGATCGGATCGAGAGCCTTGTAACAGTCCTAGCTGGGGTTAATAATGAAGCCCCCCCCTGTCATCTTCTCCCTGGAGATGCTACAAGCGAAGACGGTGACATTGAGACCGAGTACTCGTTATACGTTGTAGCATCCTGTATGACAATGCGATCCGGGGTTCGGATCAAAATGGAGCTCTATGTGATAAGAGAACTTGAGAGAGTGACATGCTTGCTTACGGTGAGGAAGCCTCGAAAAGGAAGAAGACAAGAGCATTGACATCCTGGCGTGACGGTAGGACGAGTACGAAAGAAGGTCAGTTTGCGCTTTCCAAGGTTGGAGGGTCGACTTACAAGTACAAGCGGGAAAGTGGAGACTAGTAGTAGTAGTTTGTCTTTGGCCCATTCGGGAGTTCTTGGCGTGCTCTTGGCCGATCTCCTCGTACTCCCGGTTCTGTACCCAAGTTGAAGAGGGGCGATGGGGCGATGGGGCGGGCGGAGGGGCAGGCCGCAGCCCCGGGAGAGGTGGGGACAGTAACCCTCCCCCTCCCCCCCGATTGACAACCAGGTTCAGGCCGAGAGACGCTTTGGCGAGAGAGAGGTTGGGAGAGAGACAAGAGAGCTGCAGTCATGTCAGAGCCAAAGTCGTTGCTGATACTGCTAACGGTAAAACGGCAGTACAGAGAGCCGGATGATGGCATTCTAAGTTTTTGGCTTGTGCTCGTAGCGCGTCGTGCCTTCCAAGCCGCTGGAAACTCGAGTGCTCCTTCCGTTTGTACCAGTACCATCAGCTGATCTTGGTAGTCCTAGTACTATTACATGTGCTACCAGTAGAACCACCTGTATTACTAGCAGTATTTCGATGCAACTGCGTACGAGCACTCCTACGTCGCACTTGCCAGGATTCACCGAAAAAGCAAAGAGCAAGAGGAAGAAATTTCAGGGAAGGGACGCCCATGAGTGGGACGGCACCAGCACACACGGCTTGGCCTCTGTAATTACAGGCCTACGACATTCTGCCACTGATAACGAAAGAGGCCAATATTATTGCTACTAATAGTATTAATATGTGGTCTGTAGGCGGCAGGCATGCATATGAGTCGCAATCCCCTCCCTGTCCGTGCATGCAGGCACAGGGAGAGAAGTCTGAGGAACCAAAAAAAAAAAAAAAAAAAAAAAAAAAAAAAGACTTCTCGGACAGCAGATGGTCCCCGTCCGCTCACAGGGCTACCAATCGGCATTCTTGCTGCTCTCCTCCGTACATATACAATTGGTAGCGGTAATAGTACATACATCATAATAATATAATGCAGTGGTCCGGTCAGTATTAATACAGGTTGTACTACGGAGTATATGCTGATCCGATGCGCCATGGTCTCCCACCCCACAACCCCTGCAGTCGCAGTCGCATGGCGCCAAACTTGTCAATAGCTCCGCACCAGTAAATTAGGTTGATATGTCCCACATGCCGTTTTCGGTCCTCTTTCCCTCCCATTCATTCTTATGAACTCTCTCCCCCCCCCCCCTCTACAGCTATGAGATCACATTTTCCCCTTTGACAGCTACATCTCGTTACATGCTACTGCCTTCCTCCCCCTTCTCGCTTCCCCCATCAGCCACATAGCATAGTATCTATCATGTCGTTTGATCCTTTTCGTTGACAAACTTCTAATCATCCCACGACCAAACTCAATGGAAGACGGAGACAGAAGAACAGGGAAGAAAAGAAAAGAAAAGAAAAGAAAAAAAGAAGAGCAACATCCTTGCTGAAACCTGCAGCCAAGCCACCTGCTTCGTCACCCACCACTTGCATGGAGTAGCAGCAGAAATGATAGCCATGCCACCGTGACTGTGACTGAGCTGAGTACAGATTACAATCTTAGTAGAAGCATCCCCATTGAAATCAGGTTTTTTTCTCTTCTTCCCTTTCCTTTTGATTTTTCGGGTCGACTTCCTCTCCCATGTTCTCGGCCATTGCAGAAAGCGGTACCAGTACGACGGCGTACATGTGCAAGGTATGCATCTCATTGCCGCCTGGTTCGTCCATCTCACGCGTCGTGAGATTGCACTACTCCACAGCCAGCACGCGCTTCGCGTCATATCCTCCGTTTGGTCCGAGAGGGTATTATTGTATTACTCTCGTACGTATCACAATCGTAGAAGCAGTACTCGTAGTCAGATGGTATCCGTAATCGTATGAGCAAACCGCGTCCCTGAAAGAAAAGAAAAGAGAAAAAGTCAATCCGATGAACTGGTCCCATCATCATTGCTTCATGATCATCGGCATTGGCATACCACACCGCTCCGGGCTACAAGAAAGAGGAGTAGCGCTTTCAACACTGCTGGCATGCCGTCGTCGATCGCACGATCGTACTGCGAGTAATCGTCATCGACGTCGCAAATGCTGAAAACGAGCAGATACATCACCTACTAGCACTATTACCATGGCTCGTATTATTACTACAACCACAGGCAACTCGGACGCACCTTTGACGTGTCACTGGTGCTCCTCCGATCGTCTATCCTAGCAAAAACAAAACAAAACAAAATCGTGAAAGGGATCTTGCACACTACCTTTACATGGGAAATCGGGAGACGCCCCCGGGTCCCCCAGTAGTCACAGTAGTTCATCGCCATCCAATCTGCTCCACTGTGCTTCCGGATATGCCTCATTTCCGGGATCCACGTGACTTTCATCTAGGGGCATTGAAAGCCAATATTACGTCGTATATTAATAGGACGAAGTATTATATCACGACGTACGATAATATATGATAAAACAGCAACTTTCCAAGCATCCATTGCACGCGACATCACGCCAGATACGTGGTTGATCCAGACGAGATTCATAGTGTCGGGCGAGATAAAACTGCTTGTAGGCTGGTGGTGGGACCACTCGTACGGTCCCCGACCGCTGTCATACACACGCTGTCTATCACGGTCACACACATTTGCCATGACTTTCTTTTCTTTTCTTCTTTTCCTTTTTCTTCTTCTTTTCTCTTCTTTTTTCCCTTTCTCTCTCCTCCTTTGTCTCGTCCACGTCGTCCTGTGTCTGACAATTTGAACAGAAGGGGGGGGGGGGGGGGGGGGGTAAGAAGAAAAAGAAAAGAAAAGTACAAAGCGCACGATGTACCCGTAGACTAGGAAGGGGCAAAAGCGTAGCTGGGAATCAGATCAGTCTAGACTGCATTCGACCCATCATGCCGGCTGCGCTTTGCTCTCTACTATTGCTCCTATCCCGCATGTCGACGAGCATGATGCTGCAGCCCCCGCCGCAACTCTCGCGCGTGAACGACGTTTGACTCCTGTATCTCATCATGATATCCTCTCCTTTTTCGAAGCAACATATTTTTTCTCTATTCTTCTTCATAGCAATGCAATCATAATTCTTCCTACAGTTTATTCTTTTTGTTCCGTCTCAAACCCCTCCCCTCTCCCTCTCCGTCCCCCCAAGCACACTTAATGATACATAGACAAAAGGCACCTCAGCCATCTCAACGCCCGACGCCGTACACACACACACACCGTGCCCCCTCCCTTTTCTCCTCATCGTAGAACCCATGTGGTCACACATTGCACCTCCCCAATCCTGCTGGGGCAGCGGTGGCATACAGTTATACGAGCAGAACATCTCACCTCCGGGAAACCCGGCTGGGTACACCACCACCGCTTCGCTCACTGTGTCTCGCCATGGTCGCCGTCGCCGCCGTCACCCTCCCACCGCTACTGTTGCTGATGCTGTCACGCTTGACTGTCCTGGCGGATGGCGGTGACTGCTTACGTCCCTTAGCAACGTTGACAAAACCCTTGGCAGCATCGAGGGGTAAAAGTGCGATGCGTAAAAGGGCGTTGGCATGCCACAAGATGGCACGGATGGCCATGTCCATAATCCATGAGATGATACCATTGCCGTCGTTGTTATGGAGAGCGCTGTTCTTGGCGGCAGCGGCGGCCAGCGCGATGCTGTCGTCCAGCCGAGCCTCAACGGCGCCAAAGCGCGACTGCACCTGCATCTCCAGCAGTGTGGACTTCTTCTCATAGCGCCGCACAGCGCGATTCAGTGCATCCAGTTCGGGCTGCATCGACGCTCGGAGTTGCTGCACCATGGCCGCCTCTTGCTTCCACTTATCGGCCGTGCTGGCCACGGGGTCGTTTCTAGCTTGCGGCGTCGTCGTCGTCGTCGTCGTCGTCGCAGTAGCACCCGACGTCTCCAATCTGTCCAGCCTCTTCAGTACTTCGTCCAACTGCTTGAGTCGAGGCGAAGCAGAGGCCGGTGGCAGCTCGTGCGGATACTTGTGCACGATCCTCTGCAGATGCAGGGTGCGGCACTGCACCAGCTTGAAGACGTGCGAGAAGACTCGTAGCTCTGACGCGAGGCAAAATATCGTCAGGTTGTAGTTGGACACCAGGCCCTCGGAGGGCCGGCTGAGTTGGCTCCGGATTGCGTGCAAAAAGTAGGCGGCTACCAAGGGAAGGGAAAAGCATGATACTAGGGCGATGGCCTCGTACAGGTAGAGCTCGCGTACGGCCGACTTTTGCTCCGCCGTCATCGAGCACTTGGGAGAAGTAGTCGGCTTTTGCTTCTGGTCGGCTTCGGGAGCAAGGGCCGGCGTGGACGACCGGGGAGTGGCATAGTCGTCGTCCCCATCATCGTTGCTGGCGCTCTCGTCCTTATCTTCTTCGGGCACCCTGTCGAGCTTCTGCGATGAAGAAGTAGAAACGTATGACGGGCCTTCAACCTCGCTGTCCTCTTCAATGGCCGACTCGGCGCTCTCTTCGTTCTTAATGCGAACCTCTTGAGCTGCATGATACCAGTTCCTGAGGAGACGTCTGGATTAATAAACTTTGTTTCTTCCCCCCTGTCCCCTCTTCTCCTTCGTCTCTTTTTCTCATGAAATGTCCCCTTTCGGAATTTGTCCACGAGACTTACCATGGCTGTGTGACGGACCAGTTGAGGAAGATGCCAGCCAGCCCCAGGAGCATCAGATCCGTGACGAGGGCACCTCCATTCTGAAAAAGAACCCCCGCCAGGGCCGGCAGCAGTGCAGAGGCTAGGGAGAGCGAGGCCAGCGACGACGGCTCGTGAGGTGTCAGGTCGCCTCCACCTGTGGCCTTGGGGCTGATGATGTCGCGTGCCTCTCCCAAGCTGTAGGTGGAGCTTGGTCTGCGCTGCGGCGGCGAGGCTGCTGCTGTGGGATATGACGGCGAAGACGAGTGAGGTAGGCCATCAAAGGAGCTGGTGTGCTGCGGAGCTAGGGATGGTCGCTTGCGGGTGTTGCTGCTACTGGTCTCATCGACGGTGAATGCACGTCGCAGGCCTGTAGAGGGAATGCCACCGACGCTGAAGCTTGTCGATGAAGCTCTGGCCGTTGCATCTACCGGCATGGCGACGGTCTGCAGAATGATGCGGAAGCAGGAAGGGGGCGGTGATGATGAAATATTTGGGCGCCGTCGCCCTAGGCTTGAGATGACGCGGTTGAGATGAAGGGAGGGATCGAAGATTCATGTGTAAGCAAGGGGAAATTGGCGCGGAGAGGTATGCAGACGTCACTTTTGGGAGGGGAGGGGCGGCGGCTTCGAAGATCCGGGGAAACAAACCCAAGAGCCCAACGTATTCCGTCTTAGTTATTACAGCACATGAGTACAGCTGTCAACATTATTATATGCAATAATAGTACATTTGGCGACGCAGAGATCCAGCCAGTACGAATGGGTACTAGGTTTCTTGCCAAAAGGAAGGGTCTGTTATTACTGTCGTTCCCATCACTCAGCAGTATCATTCTTAGAGATGGTGAATTGGGCAGAGTATCATAAACCTTTGGGTGAGATGGTAACGGCTCTGCCCAACTGCCGCTACAGCACATGAATGTTCATACCAGATTAACGCACCCGTTCGTTCTTGCCTTATCACCATTGGACCAACGGGCATTCTTGTTAAATCTAGACGTAGAGGTAGAACTTCACAGTGATAGTATTATAATACTCGTATAGCTAATTATTACATTCCGGTGGTGCTGTTCGTAATTTGTTATCCCATGTTAGCCTAGTCATGCTAAGTTATGCGTTCGTACACTAAGCAACAGCGTAATTTTCCATGGGCAATAATAATACCAGCTTGTCGGTAGCAAGCTGGATACAGGGGGGACTGACGGTTAGATCACAGGCCTGGGGGGAGGCAGAGTTTTTTCTTTCATCTTCTTTGTGTAGTAATGTAATATTACCAGAAGAAAGGAGAAGAAGTTTTTCAACTAAATCATCTAGCTCTCCCGTCCTATCCATCGACGAGCACATACTCCTTCGTTGACAAGTTGCATCACCAGATGACACGACAAAGCCTACAGATACCAACTACCTACCCTACTGTAACCTTGTGAGAGAGTGTGTGGGACTGCCGTCTGTTATAGGGCACCCAACCACCAAAAGCGGGCAGCCGCTAGAACCGTTTCATGGACCAGCCCCCCCTAATCTCTGAAGCATTTTCCTCGTGCTCCTCATCCTTATCATCATCACCGCCATCTTCAGCGACAACATCTGGGAGGCAAATTTCGGCGCCATCGACAATATCGCCACCTTCTCCTCATTCACTCTCTCGCCCCCTCACCGCCAACCGCGCAGTCGTCTCCGAGCAGGCGACTGCGTCCTTGACATCCCTACGGCTCCCCACGCCCCCCAACCGTCTTGGTCTGCCGTCACCTCATCGGCCCCCGTAACGGTGTCTCGAAACCGCGGACCGGAAGCTGCTTTGGACTCCCAGATCGTACAGCCTCCGTCACACGTCGTTCTTGTTCAGCAACGCTCGACCCCTGCCGCGGCAGACGCAACAGCTGCTGCCGTCGCCGCCACCGCCCCCTCCCAACGCTCGTTTAGAAAACTCGCCTACATCCCACGTCGGTCCCGCCGCGCACCGGCATCGCGTCTCTGGAACCCGACCAACTCGACCCCTCGCTCTCCCAACCCTTCCGCCGCTGCCGCCCCTACCCATACTCAACGCAAGCGCCGCGTCTCTACGCCGCCTCCTCCCTCACTGCCCCTCGAGCACCCCGCTCTCGACACCTCGGCCGACGCCGCAGACCCCGTTGGCACAGGGTCGGCAGACTACCCGCTCCTGACGCTGCCTCAGGTCTTCCAGCTGCGCAACCAGAACCAGGAGCTGTCTCATCAGCGCAACAGTATCCAGGCCGAGCGCAGGGCGAGCAACGACCACCGCATCAGCCTCCCCTCTTCTGTGCGCGCGTCGTACGACGGAAAGAGGTCGCAGGGAGCCACGCCCACTGTGCTTGAGTTTCCACGCGAACTCAAGGACGACGACGCTCACGACGACAACGCCGCCGCCGCAGCGAGCAGCAGCAAGGATAGAAAAGGGAAGGGCAAAGAACCGACGATGGCAGACGTTCAGGACAAGGACACGGGCGATGCCTTCTCCAGGGACCTGGAGCGGGGACCAGATGGCCATGGCCACTACAACCGCCAGAGCATGACTCTCGATGAGAACCCGCCGCGCCACTCGACCGTGTCGGCCATCGGGTCGGCCATATCCTCGTCCGACTCATCCATCATGGGAGAGGACGTCCACGCCGACGAGGATTCCTGGGGCCCCCAGCACCCGTGCTACCCTCACCTCAACCCGCACGTGCCCCCCGATTCCCCCGCCTACATTTCGACACGAATCATCCGCATCAAGCGCGACTGGATGATCGAGGGTGACCTGGCACCGACATTTTCCAACCTGTACCCGGAAATCCTGGACCCGGCCGGCCTACCGGAGCACGAGTTTCGCCGCATCATCGAGACGCTCAACGGCGAGCTCATCCCCATCTTCAATCCTTACAGTGTGCGCAACATAATCGACGGGCTCATGGGCCTTGTCACGGGCTGGCTATGGGACGACTTCGGGCTCACCATGGCCAAGTCTAGGCTCGAGAAGCTGGAGGGATGGATTCAGGCATGGAATCGCGACATGCGCAAAACTATGGGATCCCAAGACGGCATCATGGCGCCTCAGATCATTGGGCTCCGTCAATCAGGATATATGACGGTATGCACTCTCCCTTCTTGCTTGTTTCCTTCTTGCGGAAGCTATACAGCCCAAGACGACAAGCAATGCTGACGAATTCCCCAGCTCGACATTCAGATACCTGACCCCGAGATTGCTGCTGCACCACCCAGCACGAGTGGCGAAGGCCATGGTTCAACAACAGCCGCGCCCGTGGATCCTTCACCGGTATCGATCACTGTCTAGATCCGGTCCTTTTTCTGCCCTGCTCGTCTGCTTTTCCGCCTTCCTATCTTTTGTCTGATCTTGCAGCGCCACGTTTGATACCAACAATGAATGCATCGATGGAGCGTTTGATTTCATTATTTCCTCTTCCTTTCTCTATTTTCTTCTGTTATCTATTAGATCGCGTGATTAAAACCTGAGAATGATGCTGGACTTGGACTTGTTTTCCTATATATTATCAAGAAAATATAATCGGATATCACAGGAGAGATGTAATTCAGGCGACATGGGACTGGTATATTGCGTGATCTGAGAAGAACTCTGCCACATTCAGAGTTTGACGTATGCGCTGATGTATGCGAATAGACACGTTGAGCGCAATGTGTTGGTGTCTATAGAGATGTATCAGACTCATGTGAAATATCCGTTCCATTCACATCCGTCTTGGGACGTCGAATTAGACCATCGATCTTGTTAGTGTAAAAAAACGGCTTGACTTACCGTCGTCAGTGTTATCAATATCAGACGATGGAAAAAACCGGGGCAAAACCACCCCCGCCTACGCATGTATTATTACCAACGTCCCGTCTGGCTTTTTCTTCCCTCCCATCCGACCTCGCACCCAACAGAAACAATGCCAGGCATTTGACCCCGAACCAACGGCTAGCCCATGGAGTTGACGGGCGCTGTCGAAAGGTCATCCCAACCTCGACCTCGGTCGCGGCCTTGGTGGTGGCGCTGGACTAACAAAGTGGCCATGTTCATCGCGGGACAGTGGCTCACCCTGGCGTTCGGTCTGGCCTGTCTGTTTGGCTATCTATTTCCCTGTGAGTCATCTTTACCTGTCGCTCTGACTTCCAGTGATGTCGTCTCTCCCCCCCCCCCCCCCAAAAAAAAAAAAAAAAAAAAAAAGAAAAGGACAGAGACGTGGTGGGCTGACTGCAATTCAGCTGTCGCGGCACATGGCGGTGCCATCCGCTCGGAGTACTCCATCGTCTACGGCNCGGTCGCGGCCTTGGTGGTGGCGCTGGACTAACAAAGTGGCCATGTTCATCGCGGGACAGTGGCTCACCCTGGCGTTCGGTCTGGCCTGTCTGTTAAGCTATCTATTTCCCTGAGAGACATCTTTACCTGTCGCTCAGACTACAAGTGATATCGTCTCACACCCCCCCCCCCCAAAAAAAAAAAAGAGAAAAGAAAAGAAAAGGACAGAGACGTGGTGGGCTGACTGCAATTCAGCTGTCGCGGCACATGGCGGTGCCATCCGCTCGGAGTACTCCATCGTCTACGGCGCCGTGGCTTTCATATTCTTCGTCAGCGGACTGTCCCTGTCGCCAGAGAAGCTCCGTCGTAACATGACGAATTGGCGGCTGCACTTTGTCGTTCAGGGGACGAGTTTTGCCGTCATACCGGCCTGTATGCTCGGTATGTGGCTTCCATGTCTCTCCGAAAACCGCATCTCAGCCCCTCTTTATTGTATGCACGGGGGGGAGGGCAGGCTGACAAGATGGAAGCAATCCTACACATCTGCCTCGCCGCCGGATCCTTGGACAGCGGAACACCTTCCGCCCCCGTGATAATGGGCATGCTGACGACGTCCTGCCTGCCCACAACCATCGCCTCCAACGTGGTCATGACGCGCTCGGCCGGCGGCGACGACGCCGCCGCCGTCGTCTCTGTCGTCCTGGGGAACTTGGCTGGCGCGTTTCTATCCCCCGTGCTCATCTACGGCCTCGTGCCGCGCGTCCAGGCCCTCGACCAGTGGAAGCCGGCCAAACCGTCCACCCTGGGGGCCATGTACGTGAGCGTGGCAAAGCAGCTGGGACTCAGCGTCGTGCTGCCGCTCGTCGTGGGGCAGGTTGTCCGTGGCCTGTGGGAGGACAAGACAGTCTGGGTTCTGGGAAAGTTCAGGCTCAATAAGCTGTCGGGTGTGTGCCTAGCCTTACTAGTGTGGTGAGTTCCCATGCGCCCTTCCTCTTCTTCCGTCAAATGCCCATACGAATCTTCATGGGGGTTGCTGACCGAGCATGCAATATACCCAATATACCAGGTCAACCTTTTCCGGTGCGTTTCAGACAGGTGCGCTGTATAAGCTGTCTACTCCCTCTGTCGTGTTCAACATCTTCCTCAACATAGCGCTGTATCTCGTCTTCACGCTTCTGTGCATCCTGGCTGCCCGTCCGCCGCGCCGTGTCGTCGACCTGGTCAACCCGCTTCTGGGCGAATCCCAGACGGCCCGTCGCTTTCTGCCAAACATCGTCCAACGTGCCCTGTGCATACGTCGTCTATCCAGGCCGCAGGCCGTGGCCGTGTGTTTCTGCGGCGCGGCAAAGACGACTAGTCTGGGTATCCCGCTCGTGTCGGCCATGTGGCACGACGCGGATAACCTCACTAGGGCGTTTATCCAAATACCAGTTCTTCTATACACCATCGAGCAGGTAAATCGCTGCACAGACAGCCTGGAGACATCATCTCGAGAGTCTCCGCTGACGGCGATGACAGGTCTTTGTTGCGCAGATTCTAGTGCACTTCTTCAAACGGTACTTGAAGCGTGATGCAAAAGACGAATTAGCAGACAATGGTGGAGGGTGACGTCCCTTCTGCTGCGGCTTCTGCTGCTGCTCCTGACATTGACAACTGACAAGGTATTTCTGGTGAGACGAGCGAGACTAAGACATAAGACATAGGATAATAAGAGGATGTAGCGGAACCACACGAGAAGGGGTAGCCGGGTCCGTTTTCTGTATAGATTCAATTCCTGCGAACAAGACCACGCTGCCTAACATTTATACTTGTGCGAACTCCCTCATTCGTTGTGGAGCCCGGAGCCCAACATTCCATCCCTTGGGGGGGGGGGGAACAAAAACAGGTAGCCAAATATCATTTCCTAGTGGGATTTCACTAGTAGGCCCTGACAGTCATAAGCAACGCTCCTAAAGCACCTCAGGGGGCAAGCTCTTACGACTATTATATCGAATAAAGGAAGGGAGGTATAGGTTACGTGGCGTGCATTCATTAATAAATCCAATCTGATATCGGTGCCTCTTCGCGCAGAACCGCCCCAAAAACTATTTGCTGTCAATCTTATATATGCTATCCTCATAGGCATCCGAAGCCATTCATATCTATTACCTAGTAGTATACAGATGTTAATATGAAGGAGCATAAGTAGTGGGAAAAGCTCAAGGTAGAAGTACTGACTGTCATCGGAAGTTCCGGTGATATACTTCCATTAAACCCTTTGGGTAGGAGGGAGTAAAGCCAGAAGATCCTTTGCATAGGCCGCCGCAGTCATGGCAGCGTACCCCTGCCAAGCATTGTTCTTGTGCGTATCGGAGTAGTTGCAGATACCGCGGATCACGATGCACGGGAGATGATTTACCAAACCAGCTGACTCCGTCTCGAAGCATAGAACTCCATGCTTAGCAGCTAGCCGATCTCGGACGTATGAATTCATCATCATCTGGTTCGCGCTGGCGATGGTCCCATAGTGAATAGCTGGGGTGAGGTCGCCAGCACCTCTTTTTTCCCGAGCCACCAGATGAGCCATATCGCTACCGCATGTGACGGCGCAGTCCTCAGACCCTCGTGGGTGTAAAAAGCTGCTCTTGTATAACTTATCGGTTGCCGACGAGGGTCGTCTGTACTTGTTCTGCACCTTGATCCTGTTAAGTGCCCTCTCCACATTGCCCTGCAGTTTATGACCCTGTTTTTGGTGTTTTCCTCGAAGCTCGTTGACGGTTGACTGCCATATCATGGGCACCGTGTCCAGACTTCTCGTGATTCTAAAGGCCTCGTTCTGAATAGTTTTTCCGTAATCATACTGGATGATACCAGGGCTGTTGTCTTTCGGAGTACTGACAACGACATCGCCAAGTCGTATGTCATTCTTCTGGCTGGGTGCGCCGCCACCAATGCCCACCATCAATCCTATACGTACATTCGGAAAGCTGCGTAGCAAGTCCCGGGCAACGGCCGACGTTGTATCTGTACCACATTCTCCTTTTGGAAGAACAGCAATCACAACGTTGTGGATTCCTATCTTGCCCAGGGTGTAGCAGTTGTTGTCGTTCGGGATGCAGACTGTCCCGTGCTCTTCATCGAGGAATGCTCGCGCCGCAACGAGTTCGGTCGGAAGGGCTGAGAACCAGCCAACGGTATACTCCCGAGTGTCAGGCATGGTCAATGGGTTGTCTTTTCGTTTTTGCTTGGGAGGCAGGGTAGGAGAATGAACGAGGACAATTGAAGCCAGAGCGATCGATGCAAAAGTAAGAAGAGCAAGAGTAAGAAGAGCGAGGCGCTGTGAAGATGGGCTCGAACAAGAGACGGAGAAACTACCGCGAAACGGTCAAATATTTATACCTCTAACTTGCCTCTGCCAGCATCATGACAAGCTATTATTAGCTACGACGTAGCAGTCAAAGGTCGCGATCTATCCAGTCATCTGGGCGGCAATGCAACGGGTCGCAACTGCGATACATATATCTGCAGTAGCCGCCAGCCGTTGATGAAACTGACTGTTAGCCAGCGTCGGCGGCCATTGCAACAAGCCCCGCAGCTCCATATGCGAGCGCATTGGGTGCGTTCCGTCTGTGATAAGAGTGGAGGAGAAGCATGTCGATGCAGGCGATGAAAACTGCCCCCCCCCCCCCCCCCCCCCGCAAGAAAAGAAGAAGCCTACAAAAACGCTGCAAGTATAACTGATATTATATGCCGGTGGTGTAGCGTGGTGTGGTGTCACACAGCATCGTCTCTACTGTTGTAATACAGCATGAGAATGAGCCGGGATCTCTCTGCTTCCAGCGGATGCCATACACGCCGTGTGACGGCTACTGATTAACGGCCAACAACGGCTGTAGATTTCAGACCACTCTCCACTTAATTAGCCTGTACCGTCAGCTGTCAGGGCCCTGATTAAACGCCAGGAGATCGTCGGATCCACTGCGGCACTGGTGGGATCTTATTGGCTACCCTACGCCCCGCAAACGCCAACATGATCACACATAAACGAGCCGGGAATATTGCATGAAAGCTGGTGCCAGGAAGCTGCACTGGAAATAGCAGTACGAAGTATTACATGTAGAGTCTTTCAGGGCCCGTTGGTGGGATCATACTGGAAGAAGGACGAAGGGAGCAGATAATCCTACGAGGAGCCATCTTTTCCGATGAACCATGGAGAAAACAATCACCTTCGAATCAGACTATCAAATAGCGGCTTCAGACTCTTGGCACTCTTCTTCGGATACCGTCTTTGCTCATCGTCATAGTCGACGTAGCACACGCCAAACCGCGTCTCGTAGCCCTCCGCCCACTCGAAATTGTCGAGGAGGGACCAGGCAAAATACCCACACACATCGACCCCGTCAAGTACTCGGGCACTCGCCAGCGCCCTGACATAGTCCTGGAAGTACTGATGACGCAAGTCGTCTTCGAGGAGCTTTTCGAGGGGCAAGTCGCTCTCGCCTCTGATACTGGTGCCTGACTCGGTGACGTATATCTTCGGGAAGCTGTACCGACGGCTGATCCACCCCATCAGGTCGCGGAATCCGGGGGCGCAGGGCCGCAGCCAGGGGCACTGGGTCTCGGGCCCGATGTCCTCGCCTCGCTTGTTGGTCTTGGAGGTGTCCAGGTTTCCGGAGAAGTCTTCGGGAGGGGCAGTCCCGGTACGGTGTCGGACAAAGTCAGCCGTGTAGTGATTCATGCCGTAAAAGTCGTTGGACCCTTTCACCAGCGCGCGCTCCTCGTCGGTAAACGCCGGCAGACGGTCGCCCAGCTGTGCACGCATCGATGCCGGGTACTCGCCCAGGTAGATGGGATCGGCGAACCAGCCGATGGTAAACTCGATCTTGCGCTGGGCAGCCTCGACGTCGAGAGGTTGCCGTGGGTCCCAGGGGTACGTAGCGTCTCCGTTCAGCACGATACCAATCTCTCCGCCGTTGGTGGCCTTGTAGTCGTCGCGGTATGCCTTGACGGCGCGCCCGTGCGCGACGAGCAGGTTGTGCCCCACGATCCAGGGCTCAGTGGCGCTGTCTCCCTCGGAGCTCCTCTGGCGGTCCGACGTGCGTCCGGGCGCGAACACTCCCACGCTGTATCCCAGGACAGCCGAGCACCACGGCTCATTGAAGGTGATCCAGTTCCTGCACTGGGGGAACGACCGGAAGCACAGCCGTGCAAAGTTCTCAAAGTCGAGCGGGAACTCGGTTCGGTTCAGCAGCCCTCCGTACCGCCGGTCCAGCTCCTCGGGAACGTCCCAGTGGGATAGGGTGATGAATGGCGTTATGCCCGCCGCGAGAAGGTCGGTGCAGAACTTTGCGTAGTGGTCGATTCCCGCTTGGTTGACGGGGTCGCAGCGCCCGCCCTTTGGGATGATACGCGTCCATGACAGCGAGAACCGGTACGCCTTAGCTCCCAGGGACTTGAGCAGCGCAATGTCGTCGGCCGTTCGGTTGTACGAGTCGCACGCTACCTCGCCGGATTCTCCGCCCGCAATCTTGCCGGGCTTTTTGCAGAATGTGTCCCATACGCTTGGGCCGCGACCGTCCTTTTCGACGGCACCCTCGATCTGGTACCTGGTATCTGTCAGTTGATACCTGCATACCGTGCATGGCGGGAGGAGGTTCGGCTCACGCGGCTGTAGCAAAGCCCCAGATAAAGTTACTGGGGAGGGTGGCCATTTCCAATGTTGAGAGAGTGTTTTCGACAAGCAATCTGGAACTGAACGAGGGGGAACTACACCAGACAGCGATCCTCTTCTTCCGTCTCCAATCCGGGTGAAGTAGAGTGGGACTGAGGCAGATGCTGCTCTATATCTCTGGGAAACTAGGGCTAGAACTGGAGCTTCCTAGATAGCAGTATACGTCAATAGCAAGTAGCCTGGCATGTAATATTGATGTTGAGATGGTTGAGTTATGGTGGGGTTATGTAGCATTTGGGTAACAGCTTACCCCACCAAAATGAGGGGTTCAAGCCTGGTGATCAACGACGGACACTTATAGTCGGCCGGAGTATCAATACTGCCAAGGACATGTTTATCCACGAATCTGGACGTCTTTCCTCACTGTACTAATTCTTTGTTTACCTCGTGAATACAAGCTCAATATTGCATGCTGATAATGATGGTGCACACTAGCTCATATCGTCATGTCCCTGCCAATTCCAGTCTAGACGCCGAAAACGAGACGCCCATCCCTCCTCCCTCTTTTGAATGACTGGTAGTAGTAAGCAGTACTACCAATCGGACCCCCAGTCCCTAGACACGGTATGCATTTTCACCGACGTCAGACCCAAGGCGCTTCCTTTTGCCCGGTGTCGTTGTCGTGTTGCCCATCTCGTCATCATCGTCCTCGCCCCCATACTCAACCACCTCCCACTCCACACGGACATTTCCGTTGCTGGACCTCTGGATACCTCTACTCTGCCGCATCCTACCCAGCCGCGTTCCCTCAACCAGTCCGTCGAACCAGGGGACACCATACGACTCGCGCAGCGCGGTACCCCTGCTTGGCCTTCTTCCGACCTTTGGGGGCGTACTGGCCGTCGCCGCTGCCGCCGAGCCGTCGCTTGCACTATCGTTGTGGCTGCCGTCCGACTCACTGGCATCGGGTATGAGACCCATGTCCTCGAGGTCGCGCAGGTCGTCGCGCAGCAGGCTGCCTAGGGTGAGGTTGATGTAGTCTGCCTCGCTGGGCGGATTTTCGGACCAGTAGCTCAGTGGAGTGCCGCAATAGCCGCAAAACTGGCGTTTGGCGTAGCTCTGGCTCGGATGCGTGTACACGCGGCGGATGAGTGTGTGCGTCTCGTCGGGGTAGAAGGCGGACGTTGTGCTGTGAAACCATGCCAGCGGCACGCGGATGTAGGCTGCGAGAGGAGTCGCGAGGGGGATCTCTGGAAAAACAACTGGTAGTCAGTATAGAGCTCTTTGTGAGACGTCTTTGGGTACAGATTGGGGGGGGGGGGGCAAGTTGTTTGTGGGGAAAAACGTACGGTGTTCTGGTTCTGTGTTGAACAGGATTTCTGCCTGGTGTAGACTGTCGCCTGGAACGGCAATGATGTAACGGTTACGGCCGCATTGGCAACCTCCACGCAGAGGTCGGAGCTCGCTCATGGTGATGATTGTCGGCTCAGTCCAAGAAGGAGGATGCTGCAGAGGAATGCGAGAGGTGATAAGCTGGAAATGGAAGAATAGAATCGAACCAGGTGAAAATGGGAAAATGAAAATGAAAACGGCGAGACGGAAAACAATGTCGGACGAGCTACAAAAGGATGACGCAGTTGTTCTGTGCTGAACATGCCACCACCCGCCCCACCTTTTGCCTCTCGTCTTGAAGGTGGGGGACTCTTCTAGAAACATGCTTTCTCATCGCCGCCCACCAATTCTTCCTTTCTCTGCAGTCCCCTATTTATTCACAATGTTTATTATCTTGTCTTGGAACATCCTGCATTGGTCCCTTTGATAGTGAATGTTTCGTTGTTCCTTTTGGAGCACGCTATGCACTGTATGGAGCGCAATCTACACTGTGCCATCTCGCCCGCGCAGCTTCTTCTTCTCAATTTTGCCCGTACTCGTCTTGGGCAGCTCCTCGAGTATCTCAACATCGCGGGGTACCATGAAACGACTGATACGGCTGTCATTCCTCGCCCACTGAATGATATCCTCCCCCTTGACCGTTCGACCTTCCCTGACCGTGACGTACGCCTTGGGTCGCTCCCCCCAGTGCTCGTCGGGGACCGAGACGACACCGACCTCTACCAAGTCATCGTGCTCGGCGAGCATGGACTCGAGAGCTACCGAGGAGATGTTCTCACCACCAGAGATGATGATGTCTTTTGCGCGGTCGAAGATCTGTGCACTGCCATCCGGGTGCCATACGGCCAGGTCACCCGAGTGCAGGCTGCCGCCGGCAAAGAGTCTGCGTGTGGCCTCCTCGTCCTTGTAATAACCCTTTGCGCAGATGTTTCCCGTAAAGATGATCTCCCCTACCTCGACCCCATCCTTAGCCACGTCAACCAGCTCGCCATTTGGCATATCGGGCTTCACGACGCGGATGGACATGCTGGTGATGAAACCGTGACCTTGTCGGGCCATCTTGGCATACTTTTCCTGAGGGGAGAGGTCGTCCCAGTCAGGCATATGGTAGGACTTGGTTGTGGGCCCATATGTTTCTGGTATGACCGTGTTAGACTCCAGATATTTCTGGGAGGTGGCACAGCCACGTGAGACATACCGGTCAATCCGTAGACGTGTACGGGGATGAGGTTGAGGCTTGCCTATCGGGGGAGGTCAGTAACTAGATAGCATAGCAGGTCTGGTAAGGGGGTTGAGGGTAGAAGAAAGGGTAACTGCCTACCATCCTTTCAAAGAGATGGCCAGATGGCGGACTGGCCGCTACCGTGACCTTGACCGGTTCCGGTAGCCGCTCGGCTTCTTTGGCAGCCACAAGAAGAGTGTTGACAGTCGGGGCGGCATTGAAGTGTGTGATTCTTTCTTGCTTGAGGAGCTTCCAAATGAGCGGGTAGTCAATCTTTCGTAAACACACGTTGAGGCCACGGACAGCAACGACAGCCCATGGGAAAGTCCAGCCGATTGCGTGAAACCTATCAGATCAAGACGTGTCAGAAATTTCAGCAGCTAGAGTGCCAGAAGAGACAGACGAAATGGGAATGCTTGCATAGGCAGTGTCCATAGATATCTACAATGGCCGGAACTAAGGTTAGACTCGACAACGTTCCCCAGAGCAGCAAGATAGGCACCGCGGTGAGTGTACACGACGCCCTTGGGACGCGAGGTGGTTCCAGATGTAAATGGAATGGCCAACATGTCGTCCTCGTTCTCTGAGCGTGAGTGCAGACCGGTCCAGCCCTTTCCACCATGTGAAGCATCGTACGCGATACCGTCGAGGATGGCCTTGTCGTAGGGCCCTTCATCGGCATCGGTGTCCTTGTCGACTAGAAGTGGCACATTGGGGTGTTCCTTGGCAAAAAGTTCGAGCAAGTGGGCATACTCATGGTCGACAATGACGTAGTCTACCTCTGCAAAATCAAAGACGTAGTTGATATCGTTGGCCACGAGGCGGTAGTTCGCGGGGACTATCACACCACCCGCAGCTACGACTCCGTAGATGGCCTCGAGGAAGGCGGGTGTGTTGGGCGCCAGAACGCCCACGCGTTTGTAGCCGTGGGATTTTAGGTAGTAGGCCAGGCCGCGGACACGGTCAGCAAGCTGCTGGTATGAGCGGCGAAGCGGCACGCCGTTGGCTGTGATATGGAAGACGGCATCTGCATTGGGCTCAATGGAGGCTGCACGCTCGAGGAAGAATGTAGGCGATAGGTGGTGGATGTGAGGAGGAGGAGGAGGAGGAGGAGTTGATGTAGCGGATCCCGCACCAGGCAAGAGGTGGCCCAAGACCGAACGGATACGAGACGGCGCTCCAGACATGATGTTTCTTGTTTCCAAAATTTCCCCCACCTATCTGCAAGATCGATGTGCAACTATGGGTGGCAGGGGTATTCTGCTTTCTTAAATACTGTGATAATCCCGGGACAACCGCACGGTTTCAATTGGGGGCATGTGGCGATCCGGGGGAGGAAGGGGGAGCGGATCCGAGGCCTATACTACCCCGCAAAATTGATCAGGGTTCTGGGGTTCCAGAGTCCCAGTCCTCGGTTCTTACGAGAAACGAGTAGCCGAGTGGGCAGATGTAAGCTCTTAAGCCTCCTTAAGCTGCATTCAAATTTCCCCGAGGTTGTTGGGGACATTCTTGGCCAATCGTCGTTGGCCGCGATGCCGAATGAAGCCGTACCCAAGACGGGCGGATCTCCCGGCCGTGTCTTGAGGCTCAGGAAGCTCCATCGAACATGATGACGTGTATGCTACGGCAATCAGGACATAGTCAACATCTCCTACTCACTGTAACATCCGTCGAATTTGCATGCTCATACCATACATCCTACTTGGATTAGACGTGTAATCGTCTCCCGTGGGGGGGTACGTCGGCTTTTACAAAATGGACATGGGGGACTGGTATTTCCTCTTTGGGCGACATCCGGCTTGCAGTAGCAGCGTCATTCTGCAGAATACGGAGTACAGGAGTTTCAGTGGGTCTATACCACTGAAGTGCATAAACATCCTCTATCTATCCACTGCAAGCTCCGCCGTCTCCCCCAAGACGGCGGCCCGTCAGTGGAGTTGCTGCGCTGCGCAGGTGTACGACTACATTACTCCGTACTCATACGCAGGTGGCCCGACCGATTGAGTGCATTGCTCCTGCCGCATCCTGCGTAATGCTGCCTCTATTAGAAACGGAAGTCACCTCCCGCTACAAGTGGGCAGCACCTGCCCTTTGACACATTACGCAACCGCCCCGACTCTTCTCCTGAATCACGTAAATAATGCAAAGAAAGGCAATGTTTATCGACATCTCAACACATTCCCGCCTCCCCATATTCCTCTGCAGTTTTTTGATACAATATCTAGAGCATACTAGCATACTTAGCATACATAATCCCGTCGTTATTCGCTTGCTAGGCTTTGTTACCTGCTATAATAGTGGACGTCTGTGTCCCTTACCATCCCGTGACGCCATTCCACCCGCTGTATTAATACCCACCACTACTCTCTAAACTCTGCCTTTCTACGCGCAAGTCTCACTAACCTACTCGGTCACGGGCTCGCATTGCATCCCGCTGCAGCGACCTGCTCATCCGCTCGTATTCCATATTACTTTGATCCAGCCGTCGAACCCGCACTGAGGTACGCACATGCTGCACATGCATCCTCTGTCTCTATCCTTCCTTCGGCCACCACGCTCACCATGAATGTCCATAGCTCTACTCATCACCGCCCCATGGCCCCTCTTAGCCCCGTTGCTCGCCCGGGCGCCCCTCGTCTCGCCTCCTACTCCCACCAGTCCAACGATAGCGACGACAAGGACTCCCTGGGCGTCCCGAAGCGAGCCCAGACCTTTCAGAATGACTCCCCGGCCAACGCTCAGCAGAACGAGAACCCTGTCCTTTCTGCCTTTGAGGTCGAGGAAGAGAGTGACCCCGAAGATGCTGTAGAGGCGACGCGTGCCTCAATTGAACTTGATGTTCTACCCATAGAGCTTATCTCTCTGACAGACAGGTAGGCCTGGCTGTTGACTGCTGTTTTCGTAGCTTCGGCGTGCTAACTTTGTGTAGCTTTATCGACTCCCTGAGTGCCAAGGTTCATCGTACGCCCCCTAGCATCGACAGGCTATCACAGCTCTTCCAAGACTTCTACGCCCAGGCATCCGGCAATATAGATACCCACATCCAGTTGCTCGCAACAAGACGCGGTCGTGACGGCTCCCCGGCTGCCTCCTCCTCTTCGATATCCTCAGCCGCCAGCCGCCTACGGAACAAGGCCTCCTCCCTCAGCATAGCCAAAGACAAGCCAAAGACCGAGACGGAGCAGCAGATGATTACCGCAGAGGAGCTGGCCGGTCGGAAGCAGATGCGCAAGGCCCTCGAGGTGAAGCGCCGCATGCTAGAGGAAGCTGTGGAGCGGAGGCTTTGCGAGGGCATCTACGATCGCATATACCGGCACACGAGCACACAGGACGAGGCTCTCGACGACAAGCTTCGTTCAAAGACCGCTGCTCTGGCCCTGGTTGGAATTGGGCCTGCCGACCTCGGCGTCGACCTTGGCGACCTACCCGACAAGACTCCCGAGGCCACCGCCAAGAAAACGGAGGATATCCGCAAGAGCTTGGCAAAGGCCAGGGCAGATCTGGCGCGGATGCACCAGTCAAGATACCCCCTCGGCAAGATCAACCATCTGAAAGCGGCCCATAGGAGTATCGTCGACACAATTGCCTCTTTTCACCCCTCGGCCTCGGCCGATGAAATTATGCCCATGCTTATCTTCACGCTCATAACACTGCCGCCTGAAGATCTCCACGTTATCAGCGACATCAGATTCATCCAGTCTTTCCGCTGGGAGCCCAAGCTAACGGGTGAAGCTGCATACTGCATCACAAACCTGGAGGCCACTATCAGCTTCCTCCAGACCGTTGATCTGGCCACGCTCCGCTCGGATGAGCAGCCAGAAGGCCCTCCAAAGGCCCCATCTCAGACCGGGACACCAAGGGCTGAGACGTTCCCGCCGGCGTACTCTCAGGGAGACACTGCAGCTGCGTCCGCCGAGACTACCAAGGACAGTCTGGCCCCGACCAAGACAAACACGGAACGCAAGTACTCGAATCCCCTCAGAAATCGCCGCCTCAGCGACCTCGTAAACACTCCTGCCCAGGCATTTGGCGCTGCTAGCGACGCAGTCTTTGCCACCGCAGACCAGGGTCTTAAGACTGTGTCGACCAGTCTGGGCGAAAGCTACAAGTTCCTGCTCGGCAAGCTACGCGAGAACCAAGACAATACACCGGAGTCTATTACGGTGCCCCGCACGCTCGCCGACGCCCGCAAGCTCGTTAGCACACCATCAACAGAGGAGGAGAAAGAGCTCGACGTTCCTGTAGTAGCCGAGGAGACCAAGGGGTCAGCTGCCCGTGAGGACCGCGTACTGAATCTGATTGGGGGGCGGCGTGATCGTAGTGCCGATAGCACTGCCGGTGGTCGCAGTGCCAGCTCTTCCCGACCCGGCCTGACGCCTCAGCAGCAACCCGCCGCACGGGGGACGCCTTCGCCTCAGCCTTCAGGCAGCGGGCAAAACACAGCAATGCTCGATCAGATGCGCAATCACCTGAGCACGTCGTTTAACCCGGTAGCCCGTCTATCCAACCAATTTGGCATGATGCGTTCTTTTGGCCGTAACGCATCACAATCTCAGACACCAGCAGCGACGGCAACGTCAACGGCAGCGGCATCTAACGATACTAACATTGACAAGGCGGCTGACGGCGGTGATCTAGCGACTGTACGTATCTTTCTTTCCCTTCTCCTTTACTCGATACACATGAAAAGCTGACACGTCCCTCCCTCCGACAGGCATTCCCCGACATTGCTGCCGCCCTGCCGCCCAAGACGACACCGACACCAAAGATTGCCCCTCCCAACAAGCGCTTCATGGAGATGCAGAACCCCAGTGACCTCAAGATAGGAGAGGTGCTGGAGCTCCTGAGGGATTACCGCCGGTTGGCTGGGGCGTTGAACAAGATGGATGCGTTTAGCAAGTAAACCTGGGGCTAGTCGCAGGACATCTCTTTCATTGCGTTGCTTCCTCTTCTTTGTTTACCTTTTCCAGTCATTACTTGTTTCTTCATTATTGTTTTTTTGTTTAATAGACGGCTCAGCATGTAGGATACCTCAAAGTTTCAAAATCGGTAGAAATGGTTTATCAACCATAAAAATAATGTTATACATCTCGAAATAATAATTTGATAGAATAATAAGAGGCATGCGTATATTTCACTTGTCAATCCCGCTGAAAACCCGACGCCTTTCCTAAATCTAATTGTAACAGAAAAATCATACAAAGCTCTTGCCCATGCTGAAAATGGCTTTTTTTTGCCACTCTACAATTCTATTGCATAATGTATGTACAGGGCCCCAAGAAGAATAGAAAAACAGAAAAGGAAAGAAAAAAGACATACAATGCTCGCTAATAAGGGTTGAAAATCCGACCAGTGTAAAAGGGCCCGGGGTAAAAGGAAATATAAAAGTAGAAGAAGGAAGAGGGACTACACGGGTGTGGTGTTAGCCCTGTGTGGAGTATGGTGAGTTCTTTCACCGGATGGCAAGGGTGCTAATCCATCAGCAGACTCGCCACGGGCCTCGTCCTCCCCTCCGGTATCGTGTCCATCATGGACGGTTGTCTGGAGGGAGTGCGCCCTGTGCGACCCGACCGACGACACGGGGAACAGGGCGTCCGAGCCGCCAGACTTGTTGCGCGTGTGCGGAGGTCGGATGGCACTGGGGTGCACGGCCGGTCCTGGGTGCAGGAATCCGGTGAGGAGGCGCCTCTCGCGGTCCATGCTGTAGCTGCGGCTGCGGGCGCGACGGCCGGTGCCCCGTTGGATGCTGCTGTCGCGGCGCTGCCGTATACCGGGGGCAACAGACGTGGAGGCGCCGGTGTTGGTGCGGGCGAACGAGGGAGGGGGTTGCTCTGTCTCGCGGGCGAAGTGGGCCTCGCTGGGGAGGATGACGGCACGGTCTAGGCCGTAGGGGAGACCACGGTGGCGGCCACGGATCATGAGAGCGATGATGATGAGCTTGCCGACCGTGTTGAACTGGGAGCACAGAGAGGCGTTGACGCCCGTGGCGCCCATGCTCATACCCACGGTGCCGTAGGCGCTGACCACCTCGAAGAGCACGTCGAACATGGCGAAATCCTTGGCCTTGAGCTTGGAACCCTCGGATATGGCGAGCAGGAAGAAGCCCAGGAAGACGTACCATAGGTCGAACGACAGCTGACGGCGCAAATGGTGGCTGACGTACGAGACGGTGTTGGAGGCGTTGCTGTCGTCATCCTCCTCCTCCTCCTCCTCGTCTTCCTTCTTGGGGTAGATGCCCAACGAATTCTCCTCATACACGTTGGTCCGGCGGATCGAGATGGCAACGGGGAAGACGGAGATGTACATCATAATCATGTACAGCACCGGCATGGCCGGGTGCAGATCGGCAAAGGGGAGGGACGAGAAACCTGCGGTGCGGGTGGCGGCAGCGTGGAAAAGTCCATTGACCACACGGGCCCCACCCGACAGGTGTTCGACGACTTCCGAGTTGAGATCGAGGATCAGGAAGAAGACGACGTCGATGACGTTGAGGAGGATCAGGATCCAAAACAGCGACCAGTTGGGTCCCGATGGGAAGAGGAGCGTGAAGCAGCGACGCGGGTGGTCCAGCAGGAACTTGAGCTCCTCCCAGAGCCCAGAGCCTCGAGGAGCAAGCGTGGACATGACCCAGATGATGAAGCGCAGCATGATGGGGAACGCAGCGTTGCCGATTATGATGAAGTAGCACATGATCATGAGGATGTACTGCGAGCTGTTGAAGGAAATCATGCTGTCGGGCGTCAGGGTGAAGCCAACGTCATTGAAGGAGACGTTGGCGGTCCAGAAGGCCCACCACGTCCGCGACACGCCAGCCTCGTCGACGACATGGCCGTACTTCTCCTTGTGCAGGATGTACGGGAGAAGAAAGGTGACGGCCATGATCTGAAAGCCCCAGAAGTAGGCCAGCAAGATGAAGGCCAGGGTGCGCAGAGACCGGTACTCGATGCCTCCAAGCTCGTCTCGCTGCTCAAGGGTCAGGCCGATGAAGTTGGAGTTACGCGCCATGGTAGGCGTGTAACTCAGGTACGGCATGTCCTTAGTATGATCGGTCCTGTCGCGGGTAATGGCCGTCTTGATGGATCCGAAGGTGATGGCCCGTGATAGGCGCCGGGGCCGCAGCGGTCTGTTATTACGTTCCCGGCCCCCACTGGTGTCCTCGTCGTGGCCATTGTCCTCCCCGTCTTCTTCCTCGTCGTCGTCCTTCCTAGTCCTGCGGCCTCTTCTGAACCTGAGGGCCTCGGACGGGTCGGTCGAGCCGTTTGTCTCGCTAGATTCCGGCGTGAGATCCTTGGGGGCTGTCGGCTCCTCAAAGGTGATGGTCTGGTTACGGACGATGTGTCTGGAGTCAATCGTGCCTTGGTCAAAGCGCGAGTCGCGGGTCCGGGACTGTCCAAGCGCATGGCCGTCGTCAGCTTCACCGTCTGCCCGTCTGAGTGTGCGCGGTCCAAGCCCTCGTTCTGCATCTCGCGGTCCCGGGATGCGGAGAACCTCATCTTGGTTGCGCTGACTTTCCAAAATGGCAATGTGCTCGGTGTGGGAGCGCGGACGGATGTGCAGCGGGTTGTCCTGGACACCGTCACTCCTCTTTGCTGAATCGGCAAAAGTGATGGCCGAGGGATGGTGGCCGCCTGGAGCGTGGCCATCTCCATCATCGGCATGTGCATCACGGCCGTCCAGGGTGCCCTCTGTGGGCAAGTCGCGATGGGCAGTTGGTGGCACCCGGTCAAGACCAACATGGTCGTCATCGTCGTCTTCAATAGCGCACTCGTCGGCTGTACTGTTATAGTTGCTGCCCAAAATGCTTTGGACATGGCGCCGCCCGCCGGGCCAATTCTGCAAGACCGTGCCGTCGTTGGCGATGCGCGGAGCCTGGCGGCCGACAATGGTGATGTGCCGACCATTGACCCCGCTGGTGCCCGTCTCGACATCTTCTCGGGCCTTTGACCTGGACATGGCCATTGTGGCGCGGCGACTGCGGGCTTCGCGGGTAATGCCTTGGAAACGCTTCTCGAACCAGTACAGCCTGAGAGCAACGACCATGCCGTGCATTGCGATGGGGTTGGTCAACATGGGAAATATGTACAAGACAACCTGCTGAAAGGTGGTGAGTTTGTTGACGTCGATGGGGTTCAGGCCAGCCTGGGTGTTGATGCCGCTGGCGAATAGCAGGGCATCGATGTAGGAGATATGCCCCTGCCCTGCGCCGTAGAGGATGATGGAGGCGATGATGGTACAGCTAATGATCCAGCAATCTGTACATCCGGATTAGCCACAGTTGTCCGTGGAAACACAGCATCGGCTGGAGGAGGACAAACAGTGTGCAGTTATGAAGTTGAAGTGTGCCTTTTTTGACGTCAGAGAAGCATAGGCAGCCTTGCTTTTGCCCTTGATAGAGTCGAGCATGTTGCCGAACATGCTTCTGAGAAGGGTGGATAGAAGTAGTATAAAAGAAGAAAGTGCGGGTGGGAAGAGTAGAGAGATTGATGAAAGGCCAGAATCGGGGGAGTTGCTGGCTGGTAGGAGGAGAAGCACGCAAGGGTATCAAGCGTAGACGAGGAATGGCCAGAGAACCTGTCAGGCGGGACTCGATTATGCTATAGCAAGAGATCGAGTGTGAGTTTCAAGGCGGCAGTTGAATCAGAAGATGTCAGTCGTGGACCTGAGGAAAGGACGCGACAGTAGAACAGCGTTGCAGATTCATGATGGGTTTGCGGGACAGCGTCGGTATTGGGAGTATAGATGTGGGAGCGCGAAGATATTGGAAGCCGTCACGATGATCAGGCAGCCATTGAAGGGTTAACCAGATGCGTAGTTGGGAGGTGCGATATGGGGCAGCGGGAATACGCAGATATAGAATTCGCGTTACTCGTCGGGAAGAGGGAGGGGTTACTCGTATAATATATTACCGATTCCGTAGCAAGGAGACGAAAGCAAAGTGGTATTGCTAGCAGGAAAAGGGGCAGACAAAAAAAAAGGAAGAAGAAAAAGGAAGAAGGGAGATCGAGGCAAGGCGCGCGCACGGGGCGGGAACCGGGCCGGCACAGAAGACGAAAGACAGGGTGCCTGACCAGGGGGTGGCTGACGGAAGTGGGTGGTCAGTTCAGCACTGGGAACCCCTGAGACTTTGTTGGTCGAGAATCGGTATAGGAGAAAAATAAGGAGAAACAGTAAGGGGAAACGGTAAGAGTGAGGGCGTGGGTGGTCGTTTATCGTCGAGGACTTCGAGATGCTATGGTGGGTGGTGTTGTCCCGGGCGGCCTCCGGCGTATTTCGGTAGTGTGTTGATGCCGAGAGGAGGACCAGAGAGGCGGGGCTCTTTCTTCCTGCAGCTAACGAGACGTCGTCTTTTGTTCCTCTCTCTCCTCTCTCTTCCGCAGGCTCCGTATGTATACGTTCGTATACGAGCAGCAGAAGGTTCGCAATCTCCCAATGGGAAGCCAGAACCTGACGTGGGAAGGCCCTGAGCAGCTGAGTTGATGATGGAGTGTGTACATGGATAGCAGATTGAATAGGAAGAAGCCAAAGAAGGAGAAGAAAAAATTCGAAAATTGAAATCGAGAAAGTTGGGGGAGGACTGAGCCGAATTTACAGATTAGCGGCGATATTATTATTTTTATTATTTTTTACTCCTCAAGGCTGCTAGTAATAGTAGTAGTAATGGTAATACAGTACCATATATGTATTAGTACGAGTAGTTTCCTGAATTGATTACGTAGTTCTTTCCTTCTTCTCCTTCTTGGCTCCTTCCCACTTATTATCCTCTTTCTCGATTTGGATCTTGGTTGAAATGGAAAGAACCACAGTCCATTGCGCCTGCCTTGTGAATTGCTTCTATCTGTGCTGCTGCTCTTATGCCTGCGTAGTAGACAGTAGAACGCATGAGAACGAAACAGAAAAGGGGCATGGAGAAACATTACAAAAGCCTCACATCATGCTCTCTAGAGATGCTACAAGACTTCGTACCGTGCCTCGCATACAAGTACCGCCTCTCTGCCAAGCGTCTTTATTTTCCGTCTGCCTCTATTCGCCCATCGCTCATCCTCCCCCCCATAACAGCCTCACGAGTCACAAAGTACCGTCCCACCTTCACCCTGTCCGATGTCACGGCATCAGTGGATCCCATCCGACCGCGTCTCAGAAGGATGGATGGACGCTTCTTATCTACAGACTACAGGTAATAATGACGATGCTGATAATACTGACTCCTGAGTGCTCACACGGGTATTGATATGTAATGATACTATTACTATTCCAACTCTTCCAACCACAGATAGAGACCTTCAGTTCAGCTTCAGGTCTCACGATACGAGTCTCACTACAAACTCTCCCATATCACCTCCCCCCTTTACCGTACTCGCACAAACCGATGGCATTGAACTATTACCCAGTAATAGTATGCAGAATGCATGATCAAGCCATACGAGTACGATAGGAGACAGGGTCTACAAATCTTTTCCCCCTTTCCTCCTTTTCTAAGTTCGTGCACTGCACTCTCTTCATCGGCTGTGGATGGTATATCCAAGTGGGAATACTCCGTATCCTTACAGTCACATGTACAATATTGTCAGTCAGCAGATATCATGTCTCCATAGTCGACGTGGCACGTCTTCTTTCCCTGGAAACCCTGTCCTCTGTACTTCGTACTCGTACACTTTTCATGATACTCTCTGTGCTTCTGCTTATGCAATGACTGCCTGCATAGTACAGCGCACAAGGAGGACAGGGACACACCCGAGGGAGGAAGGAAGAAATAAATTAAATAGTAATAGATTAATAAAAAAAAGATTTATACAAAAAGAGCAAGAAGAGGAAGAAGAAGAGGAGGACTGCATTGCCAAGGATAACAGCCACGTGTATCAAGCATTGGACTACATCTTCGATCTGTCATTATTGAAGGACGAAGGGGGGAGGAGCAAATCATCCAATCCAATTTTATTCCCATGCCGCCGATAGAGAGAAGAAAATGATGAGGCAAGAAAGAAAAAAAACAAACGCCCATCCCAGCCACCCACCCTTTCTCTGTGGTGTGTTTTCCCACCCCAAAGTACTCCGGTTAAACAGGACGAGGTAAAAAGAAAACCATTTTTTTTGGGGAAAAAATATAAAATATAAAAAAAAATACTGCACAACACCTGCAATGCGAAAAAGAGCCGGGTCCTTCCAGGCTGGAGGGAGGATGAGACAATCTAGGAGAGGCGAGAGAGAAAAGCCCGTTTCGCCGACCGACACCGTTCCGTACCTATTGGGCAGCTCTGCGGGCGTTTTCCCGCCCAATCTTCTTAAAGAATGAATGGCTCTCCTTCTTGGCAGCCTTGCCCTTCTTGAGCGTCTGGTTCATCCTCTTGTTCTGCTCGATGTACGCCATGTCCTGGCCACCGCTCAGCTCGCCGAGCGTCCCTGCCGTGCGGCGGGCGCCCTTGCCCTTCTTCTGCTTGCGTCCCATGCTTCCCGAGTGGAAGAGGTCGTCGGTGATGTCCTCGTCCTCGATCGAGTCGTTCTCCACCAGCACCTTAGCCAGCAGCTCACGCCGCTCCATGGCCGACGCGAACGCCAGCCCGGGCGTCTTCTCGATGTTGGCCAGCTGCGTAATTACCTTGAAGGCGTAGCCTTGGTCCACGAGGAAGGCCTGACGCTTCGACGAAAAGTACATCTCCTGCGTGTCCTTGGATACGAGCGAGTAGAAGAAGGCATTGAAGCCTTCGTCGTTGCGTCTCTTGGCACGCAGGATGCGTCCCAGCCGTTGAGCTTCCTGCCGACGAGATCCGTAATGCGACGAGATCTGGATCAGGCACGTGGCTTCCGGGAGATCCAGAGACGTGTCGCCAATCTTGGACAGGAACAGGGTGTTGACGTTGGGGTTGTGCTGGAAGTTCTCCAGCACCTCCAGGCGTTCCGTCTGGCTCGTACTCCCGTAGATGAAAGCCTTCTCCAGCTTGAGCGCGTACGCCTTGAGAGCGTATACGTTGTCTGAGAAGACGATGATCTTGTCCCCGCGCTTCTCGTGATAGTTGATCAAGTACTGGCACGCCTGGAATTTGCGCGGGTTCATGATGTACAGCAGATTCTTCTTGCGCGTCGGCGCCCGCAGGTACTCTTCGTAGAACTCGGTCGGCATCGGACACCACACCTCTGCGCACTGAACTCGTGCAATGTGCCCCTGCTTGGACAGCTCCATCCAATTGGCCTCGAAGAGCTTGGGTCCGATAAGGAAGTTGAGATCCGAGATCTTGTCGTCCTCTCGCAGAAGTGTCGCCGTCAGACCCAGCTTCGAGTGCGTCTTGATCGACGACGTCACCTTGCGGAAGATGTTGGCCGGTACCACGTGCACCTCGTCGAGCAGCATCAGACCCCACTCACGCCCCGTCAGGAACTTCATCATCTTCTCGGCGTCGTAGGAGCGTGCCCTGGACTGTGTAACCATTGAGTACGTCGTCACGACAATACCTGTGCTTCCGGTGAAGATGTTTCCCTTGGACTCCGACGTAAAGGCCACAATGTCATCCGGGTTGATGTTGGACCACTTGAGGAATTCGTTTCTCCACTGGACGACCGACATGGAGCTGGTGCACAGGACGATGACGCCCTTCTTGATGGTGCACGCCGCCGTGATCCCCACCAGCGTCTTTCCGGCGCCGCAGGGCAGGACGATCAGTCCACTCTTTGCTCGTCCATTGCCAAACATCTTGCTGAGGCTCTTCTCCTGGTACGGGCGGATCTGCGTGCCAGGCTTGAGGTCGATCTCCAGGTTGGCGTTGACCTCATCTCTGCGGAAGTCGTACTCCTCGAGCACCGGGTACCCGAGGTTCAGGCATTCCTTCTGCACCGTCTCGACATCCTTGTCGGCAATCTCGAAGGAGTGCGTCACCTCCTGATCGTCATCGTCCTCCTCGTTGAGGGCGGAGAACACGTTGCCCTCGTTTGCGGGCTGGCCGTCCTGTCCCTGACCCTTACCCTGCTGCTCCCCTTGCTGGAGTCCGCTGGCCTGCTTAACACCGGCGGCATTTCCGGTTCCCGGGATGACGAGCCCGCCGATCTTAGGTGCGGCTGACGTTGTGATTTCCTCCGTGCCCTGGACGCGCAGAGGTCCGATCTTGGGGTTCTTGAGCAGCATCTGGAGCATCTCGGGGTCCGGGCTCTCGACATAGTACTTTGTGTTCTTGAGCACCAGCTTCACCTTCCCATAGCTCTTTGTGCACCCCGTGATGAAGGCTCTGATCTCTTCTGGCAGCGGTGTCTTGAGGAATCGATCGAGCGTGTTGATGATATCGTTCGGCGAGAGGCCGACCGACACGGCCGCGTACAGGCTGTGCGTCGTCAGGGCGTACTCGTGCATGAAGGTCGGGCGGGACAGCGGTTCGGCGATGGTGATCAGGAAGTCCTGGGCCTGCTCGGCCAGCGGGTTGAAGCTCTCGAGGATGATCCTCCCCTTCTGCGGGTCGATCCACAGCGGTCGGTTGTGGTGGTCCTTCTTCAGGTCGAGGTACGAGAAGTCGTTGGCGCCAAAGATGTGAGGGAGCGGCTCCCGCACGTGGTGTTTCTTTTGGTAACGCTCCAGGGAGAACTGGTCGATATTCTTGTCAATGTCGCGCTCGAGCACCTCGTCCACAGGGCCGTCATCCTCCTCGGGGGGATCGCCGCCCTCAACGCTGCGAGGCGTGACAGCTCCCGGCGTCGACACGCGCGAGGACCTCCCAGCCTTAGCATCACCCTTGATGGCCTCCTCTGCTTTTCTCTTCGGCGGCATACTGGTGGTATTCGATTACCGCCCGTGCGCCTTCGTCGTAAGTTCCGTCGTGAAGGCGGCGAGCAAAGTTGTGGGGGATGAACATGAATCAAAGGGAATTTATTAGATTACGTCGTACTTCCAAATGCTCTCTGACTAATGCTGGGGCTTTGTCCGAAAAGCAGGCGACAGCCCCCAACGGCTTTGTTTCACATGGCTAAATCACACCCAAGGGTCAAGAGCAAGAGAGGGATGATGGAGAAATATTTTCGAGGTATTCTCAAAGTATTGCAACACAAATCTGCATATAGATACGTATCATGCAGTTGTTTGAAGCAAGTTCCTATCTGCGAGTATTACAGCTTGACAGGAGGAGGTCTTGACATGCTGCACTGACTCTTATAGGCGTACCCGTTATTTTCTGTCGGTTTCCACACCCCCGCGACGGCACCCCGCCAAACCCGGTTCGCCCTTTTCGCCGTACCATCATAATTGCCAACGCTCTTCAAACCCGATCACCAACTCTAGGCCAACTTTATACACAAAGCCTACAAATCTGCTGAATACCACACAAGCCACCAGTCCCATCTGCTGCTCTCAGTCGCAACGCACCATGTGGTAAGCAGTAGCCAGCCAATATTACCATCCAACCCGGCGCGGATCAGCAAAGCTCACACCGATACAGCAAGCACGTTCTCAACGCCCAAGTGGCCATCCGATCACCTTGCTGTACGTCTACTTCTACTCCTCCCCCGCCCCCCATCACATTTCCCAGTCCAGCCAGTCCTCTCCTGGCACGCAAAATTACATGAGAACTAACACAAGAAAAACCAACACCCAGGCCGCAAGTGGTTCGACTGCGCCGAATGCCACGCCGAGCAGGAATCCCACCCCCTCCAACAGACCTTTGACCTAGTCTTCGCCTGCAAGAAGTGCAAAAAATGCTTCCGCAAGGACGCCCGCGAGTTCGAGGATAGCGACGAGTACTGCCCCCACTGCGACAATCACTTCATCATCGAGGCCAAGACGCCCAAGCCCCTCTTGTCGATCGAGGGGGAGGACGCCCGCAAGGACAACAGAATGCTCAAGGACGAGAGGGTCAGGGATAAGGCGATGAAGACCATCTTTGATCCTACGGAGGGGGCCGACACGCTTGGTTGAAAAAGAGGAGAGAGAGGGAAGAGGTGGAGAAGAAGAAGAATAGGGACAACCGATCGAGATGACGAGCAGGCAGAGATATTGTCGTTGTATAATCCTCCCAAAGAGCAAAGGGCAGTGAGCAATCAGCGGCAGTTGCATTTTGAGCATACGGCGTTTGGGGGGGAAAGAGGCATGTGGGAAGCGACGGGGTTCATGGAGTGCAATAGGCTGTCACCTGGTGAGTGTTGCTCTTCATACCGTAGTGCAATATTATACGGGGTATGCGCGTGCGTATGGACCAGACGAAGACGGCATGACGAGTATTATCATTTTTTTTTGTAATGTCAGTTTCGTGAGACATGATGCCTAGCTAGATAGCGTCTTATCAAGAATTCAACTCGTTATTTCTATGTGGATTGCAGTTCTGTTCCTTAGTCGGTCGACTCTTCCTGTCCCCTCGAGGCCGTGGCCGCAGGGCGACCGCCCTTCTTCTTGGCGGCCTCCTCCTGCTTCTCCTGCTCAATCTCCTTGACATAATCCTCAATCTCATCGATCGGCAACATCTCGATCTCGGCATCGGGCGTCATCAAGGCAATCTCAATGTTCTTGGCACCCGTCTGCACCACCTCGAGCAACGATTTGATGGCCAGGCGGATGGTGGACTCGCGGTCCATGCCTTCCTTGTAGTTGCGCTCGAGGAACTCGCGGACCGTCTTGCTGGAACGGCCGATGGCGTTTGCTTTCCTGTTGTTGTCTCAGCCCATTCGCTCTCGCCTCGTCTAGCTGGAGGGGGGAGTGGGAAATTTTGTTTTGAGCACGTACCAAGCAGAGTAGATACCAGAGGGCTCAGTCTGATATAGGCGGGGCACCTTGCTGTTCTTGTCGAAGCCGACGACGAGTGTGCTGATACCAAAGGGACGGACACCACCAGCCTGGGTGTAGCGCTGCTGCACACCGGCAACGTACTTGGTGATGTAGTCGATGGTGACGGGGTCCTCAACCGACAGACGGTGAGACTGGGCCTCTAGGCGTGCCTTGTCGATGAGGATTCGTGCATCGGCGTTGAGGCCGGCAAAGGCCAGAGCGACGTGGTTATCGACAAGCTGGATCTTGGAGGGCGTAATGCGCGTGTCCTGGAGCTTCATGGCCGACCTCTTCTCGCATCCAAGGACGACTGAGTCTTCACCCTTGACACCGACGGCGCAGGTACCTGTTCAACGTTGGGGGGTGGGGTTGGTCAGCCAAACTGGAAGTTCCGGGCATGGGTGGTAGAGGGGTACTGGCGATGACTCCAACACACCTCTCTTCACAGCCTCGCCTGCGTACTCGACCTGGAAGACGTGGCCATCGGGGCTGTTCGAGAATGTTAGGATCTGCCATAGGCCGTGGTCTCGAATCGGGGTCGGCTGCATCGAACGAACCTGAAGACTAGATGTTGCTATTGTCAGCCGAAACGTCCAGTTGAAGCGGCACACAGAAGGGGGGGGTTAACTTACCCGACAGAGCTCTGTCGTATCCGGAAGCCATGATTGTTGCTGGATATGTGCGCAGACGTCTGAATAGAAGTCGATTCGAGAGGTTGACAGCGGTTGAGAATCTAGTTCGGAGAGGTGGAGGGTACCAGATAGAATAGCTAGTCGTGGAAAGGTGACGCGGTGGTGGGCGGTCGACCGATGTACCAGCGGCCAGTGGAGCTTCGTCAGTATTGCAGCCTGCACTGACGATGCTGTGTGAGCAGGCGAAAGCTTGCCCGCCGCCCCAGAGAGCGGGTGGGGTGGCGGGGCCGGATAAATGTGGCGGCGAATCCGATCTCTGTCGCCTACCATCTGCTTGAGTCCACCAGACTTGATGATACTCCTTCCCGCTCTGCGCCTCATGTACCAGCTGAGGATTCGGCAGATCTTTATGCCTAATCGGGACATGATATTTGAAGGTTTCTCTCCATTCTTCTATCTCACGATTCTATAATCATCACAACAAATTACTGCATATTCCTCCCGAGCAGACCAGCTGCCCAAAACGAATGCCTCGTCTCTCGTTCAAACAAGATTCACTCAATCCTTCGCTAACCTTGACCAACCCATGCGCATCTATTAGTACATTCTATTGTGAATTTTTTTTTGTTCTCCGCACCCCGGATTACCAGTCGGGGTGTAGCAGAAGAAGAAGAGAAACGAGGAGGGGAAGAGAAGAGTAGTAGGGTATGCCGGTATTCTTATCGAATGTGTTTTATCGAACGTGAATCGGCTCAGAACCTGGCCAGCTCGAACCAGCTGCTTCCCTGCAGTACGGTGGCGACATAACGGCCCTTTTCGACGAGGCGGGTTCTGAAACCCTCGAGCCAGAGGATCTCGAGAAGTCCATCCTGCGATTCGGCGTTGATGTCGCGGTAGAAGTTGAGTGCGACAGACATGGGGCCGACAAGGAGGTCGGGCTGAACGGTGGCCTCGAGAGCGGCGTCCAGGCCGCGGCACAGGTGACCGGCCAGCTCGGGGACCCTCTGGAAGACGGACCAGTCGGTCGTCTGGAGACTCGGAGGCAGCTCGGCCCACATCTGCGGGTAGGTGTCCATGATGGGATGGAAGACAACGGCGTAGAGGCCCTGGACGCAGCGGTGGAAGATGATGCGCGACATCCAGTAGTAAAGGAAGGCCGTGGCAGTCACGCCGTCCTTGAAGGCATAGGCTGGGGAGAAGGGTATGCCGGCGGCCTGGGACGACGGGTCGTCGTCCATCATGTTGAGCCAGTAGTTTGGCGGCTGGTCCATGTCGCCGCTACCCTGGTTGGCCAGTTCCAGCCACTGGGAAAACTGGCCCTCGAGCATCAAGCAGGTCTGTAGAAGACCCTGGGCCTGGTGCCATCGCGGCAGAGTGGCTGGGAGCGTGGAGATCTGGTCCAGCTTCTCCAGAAGCCAAGGGATCTGGGCGGTGATGTCGAGGAGTCGGTCGAGCAGGCTCTTTGGGTGCTTGGACCACGGCGTCGTCTTCCAGGCCGAGTCGGACAAGAAGGTGGCTCTGCGATTCATCAAGGCTGAGCCGACCTGTTTGTTCACCTGGGTGTGAGAAAATGATGCGCCAGTCCAGTGCTGCTCGATGAGGAATGTGTGGACTTACAGCCATTGGACGGTAGACCCTCGCAAAGAAGTGATGATCGGGAAAGGAGGTGAAGCCTTGGGGACCGAGCCGCTGCATGTCGCCAACATCGGCATCGTGCGTCGTCCCCAGCGCGGGCTGTTGCAGCCGTCAGTCAGGCGTGTGCCGGATCAGCTGGATCACGTGGACGAAGTCCTCTTACCTCGAACAAGAAGGCGCACATGTTTCCAGCGGCCGACGGGCTGGAAGCATACGAATCGGCAATGTGGACCAGGCAGCGAGCACTCGTGCTGAAGAAGCTAGCTCCCGTGATGGGCGTCTCGCGAGGGCTGTAGGCGGGAAGGTCGATGCGGAAGTCGTCGTGGCCGTTGACGTCGAGCTGGGGGCTAAGAGCGACTCCGGCCAGCGGCACCTGGAGGGCGACCATCAGGACGGGGACCTCGCCATGGCTGGTTGACATGGTGGTGTAGTCTTCCCAGGCGGGCTTGAAGGGCTGTACGGGGGCGAGCTGCTGGTGGGTGAAGCGAGCGGCGCTCATGTCAGACGGCTCGGAAGGCTCGGGGGAGAGCTCGGGAGTGCTGGAAGATCCGGGCTTGAGGTGCAGCCTCGTCTTGGAGGATGAGGACGAGGCAGTGGGAGACCTCCTCGGGTGGGAGGCGACACGGCCCTTGGACTCGGGGGTGCCGGTGATGAAGACGCGCTCCCTCTCGTAACCCTCGCACTCTCTGCCGCTGGTGATGCATTTCTGGCAGTAGGGACGCTCGTTGGTGCACTGGGAGGAGGTTTTAGATGTTAGCTGACCATTAGACAAGTCGAAAGTCCTCCGTTTTGAAGTGGGGAGGGGGGGGGGGGGGGGGGGGGGGGATGGAGAGAGTAGGCGTACCTTGACACGTCGACGTCGGCAAGTCTCGCAACCCTTGTATTTTCCTGGGACGCCAACCATGATTGTCTTGGCCGGATAACAACCCACAAAGGAAACAGTAGCAGTGACGGTAATAGCACAGAGGTACAAGAATAGAAGAAGGAGAAGGAGAAGAAGGAGGAGAACAAGGAGAAGAAGAAGGAGAAGGAGAAGAAGGAGAAGAAGGAGAAGAAGGAGAAGAAGAAGTGAATGATTTGAAGGGAGGTTTGCGTTGAAGATGATCGGGATGGAAGGAGCGACAGGATTATATATATATACATACATATAAATATATATACATATGCACACACGTATAAATATACATGTGTATATCGATGACGAAAAAAATAAAGAAGGAAGACAAGGCCACGATGTCTGTATATGCTATGTACTAGAATGGTAGTAAGAGGAGCCTCCCGAACCACCCCCCCCCCTCCTCCTCCCCATACAGACCCCGTATATATCTCTCGCATTCTAGAAGAGCACGAACAAGACCATGCAGCCTCACATGGCACAGCTCGTATACCAGTCCCCAATCCCCTCCCCCCGCGACCAATGGAAGCGACGCTGCCCTATAAGACGACGGCGGCGACCTAACCCCTTTCCTGGTCCCTGACGTCCATGCCAGGGGGCACGGTCGCGCCCTACGAATACTGTTCGTCAGAGTTCCTGCAGGTCTACATGGGAGACATGGCAACTAATATCCGTCCCACGTCAACGGTCCACGGTGAAAAGGACGAATAAGAGAGCAGTGCTTGGGGGGGGGGAGGGAGAGAGGGAGGAAGATCCATGTACAAATATACTTCTCCACCTCTCTTTTTTTTTTCTTCCCTTGTTATTGAATTGAGTATTTACCTACCAGTAATAGTACACGATAGTAATGAGAGAAGTGATCATGGTGGTCTCCAATTCTACGCGTGATTTTCATCCTCCTCCTCCGCTGCCCAGCCCTGCGATAATATAAGTCCTAGGGGGAGGGCGTATAGGCAAAAGAAAAGAAAACAAGAAACCCCCCCCCCCCCCCCCTCCTTGGTCATCTCGTAATGCCGAGCAATCGTGTGTGAGTTCGGGAAGGATTAGTCTAGCAACACCATACAAATGCAGAGTAAAGATTAATAGTAAGCACAATCAACCCGAGACGAGAGAAATAGAGTACATCGAACCCGAACCCGAAGAAAGGGAGGGGGGGGGGGGGGGGGAAAAAAAGAAAATTTTTTTTGGGAATTTTTTTTTTTTTTTTTTTTTTTTTTTTTTCTTTAAAAGGAAAAAAAACCGGGGGGGGGGGGGGGAAGAAAGGACACATTTCTTTGGACATATCTCTTTCTTCTCTATCTGATTTGTCCCTTGCTCAGGAACAGTTGCACCAACCTCTCGAGGAAGAAAGAGAGAGAGAGAGAGAGGAAAACGCCCCCAATTCCCCCCAACTGTCCTCATAGGGCTGACGAGAGGTGATGAGAGCCCAATTACGCAGCATGATTGGCCCTCGACACCCCTGTAGCTGAACGGCCGGTCGAATTGGCCCTTGTCCAGTGAGAGGGCAGATCCGGGGTGATGATGCCACCTTGACCTAGGCAAGGGTCTTGTATCCGTATAGGTACGGAGAGTACAGAGTACCGAGTACGGTGTATTACAGGTTCAAAGTATTACGAGTAATCATTACTCCTCTCTCGTAGGTAATATTATTACCACCCCCGCGCGCGCAGGTACAGGGGACGGGATTTTCATGTCGTACGACCTGGACCGAACCTTGGTCGGCCCCAAGTATGGTACTCCGTGAGGTCCGTTACGAGGCTGAGATGGTCAGGCTAATACGGTACGGTGCCATGCGGTGAAGGAGTAAAACACGTCTTCTCCTTGCTGTTGGAACCCACACAGCCACCTCGAGTGGTTGACGTTCGAACAACGCCATGTGCGGCCGCTCCCGACTTACCAAGCTTGGTTTGGCGTCTGGTCCTGCACACAGCTGTGCTCTGCATCAAACCATCCCGGGAGGGACCCGCGGGAACTAATGGTAGTGATAGTAACAACAGATATGTCGAGAGACAAAGGGAGGATCTATCTCTCTCTCCCTCTCTCTCCCTCTCTCTCTCTCTCTCTCCTTCCCTCTCTCTCTCTCTCTCTCAAAAGACGTACCGTCAACACGCAGTCGAAAAAAAGAAAGAAGAAGAAAAAAAGGGAGGGGGGTGGGCAGAGCAACGCAAGCCCTGTAAGGAGAGATTACAATTAGGAAAACTATGCAAGACCTGCCACGGAGTAGATAGACCGTACCGTGTACTAATGCTAAACAGACAGATCGCTATCTACCCTGTACACGTCTCCTCGTCAACCTGATTGGACCAAGTTCTGTTTTTGGACATATACAGTAATGATGATGATAAAATCGGATGCGAATCGGTAAGGCGCACAAGGCAGTCTAGGGAGCCGTCCGGGGGCCATGGACACTAGGAAATCACCGACCCAAGACATCTTCCCGGTGCGGCCGCTCCGTCATTGACCATGATGCTCATGTGTGTTTTGCGCGTATGTGTGCGTGTGCGTGTGTGTGTGTGTGTGTGTGTGTATGTGTGTGATAGTCATTGCCGTAAAGAGGCCGTCGTATTTTGTCATGTCTTATCGCATTCTCGGATTGGAAGAATCAGAGGTGTGTAATCTGTACAGATTATAAGTGCTGACCATACTTTTTCTTTTTCGTCCTGTCTGTTTCTTTTTTTAAACATACACACACACACACACACACACATACGCGCGCGCGCCCACGCGCAGATAAGCAGAGCCGACAGCTCGGAACGAAATTTTGGTCTTGTTTCGTCCTTCATCTTTCATTCTTTATATATATATATATATATATATAGATTTGTATATATATATATACCTTTCCAATATAGTCTCTTTGCCTTTGCTCGTATAAAAAAAACACACACACATGTAGCCTCTTACAGGTCTTTTTTTTTCTTCTACCGTTTCTTTTTGATCTGACATGCTCACACTTCCCCTCATAAAGCCACGGCCCTAGATGTACTTGTACGGGTTCATGATTCCATTCTGATCACACACGAATGACTGTCAGCAAACGATCCGAGATATCGGTGGAAAGGCCGAGAAAAGGGAGAAGAAGAGGAGGGGGGAGGGGAGCGAGGAGAGAGTAAGGAAGAAAGGAAAACAGAGGGGGAGGAAAACTGACCGGATCGTACAGATCTTTGATCTGCTTCATGAGACGGAGAGAGCTCTCATCACGGCTGTACCGGACATAATTCTTCTTGGCTACGCCGAGGCCATGCTCGGCGCTGATGCTCCCGCGGCGCTTGGCGATCCACTCGTAGACGTAGGGCTCGAGGATCTTCTCGACTGCCTCGTCGTAGCGGCGCACGGCGATGTTGAGGTGCAGGTTGGAGTCGCCCATGTGGCCGTAGCCGGAGACGCCGACTACGGGGAAGCCGTCCGAGTCGCCGACGAGCCCGGCATCGGCCAGGCGGGCCGCCACGTCGTCGACGATGTCGTACATCTCGGCGATGGGGATGGAGACGTCGTACTTGTACGTGCCGCCCCAGTGGCCCAGGCACTCGGGGATGCCCTCGCGCCAGCTCCAGAGGGCGCGGACCTGGGTCTCGTCCTGGGCCACGACGCCGTCCGAGATGACGTCGTTGGCCATGACGTCCTCGAGGAAGGCCTCGAGCTTGGCGTAGTCGTGCTCGCCGTTGGACCCGCTCGTCTCGACGAGGCAGTAGAAGGGGTGGCGGCCGTCCAGCGGCCGCTTCCGGTCCCCGCGCACCCGGTGCACCAGGTCCTGGCTCTGCGCGTCCATCAGCTCAAAGGCCGACAGGATCTCCGACAGCTGCGACTTGGCCTCGCGGAACGCCCGCTGCACCTTGTCGAACGACTCGAGCCCGAAGAAGGCCACGTTGACGGCCGACGACCGCTGCGGGCACTGCACCGACACCTTGGTCACGATGCCGATCGTCCCCTCGGCCCCGATGTGGAGCTGCTTCAGGTCGTAGCCGGTGTTGTTCTTGCGCAGCTCGCACAGGTCGTTCATCACGCTGCCGTCCGGCAGCACCGCCTCCACCCCCAGCACGCTGCCGTGCAGGCTGCCGTACCGGAGCAGTCGCAGCCCGCCCGCGTTGGTCGCCACGTTGCCGCCGATGTGGCATGACCCCTTGGCCCCCAGGTCCAGCGGGAACACGTGCCGTCGCTCCGCCAGGTACTTGTCCGCCACCTCCAGGATGCACCCGGCCTCGGCCACCAGCGTGCCGCTGACCTCGTCGAACGAGTGGATCCGGTTCATGCGGCTCATGTTGACCACGATCTCGTCAAAGACCGGCACCGACCCGCCCACCAGCCCCGTGTTGCCGCCCTGCGGCACCACCGCGAGCTTCTGCTCGTTGCAGTACCTCAGGATCCCGCTCACGTCCTCCGTCGACCCGGGCTTCAGCACCAACCGACACTGGCCCTTGTACTTGTGTAGCCAGTCCTCGTTGAAGGGCTCCATGTCCGCCTCCGTCACCCCGGTGCCCTCCGACACCCCGTCGATCACGGCCGACTCCGTCCCCAGCAGCTCCTTGAAGTATGCCACGTGCTCCGCCGTCAGCGTCGCGAACCGCGGGTCGCGCTTGATGCTGGGGTACTTCTCTGCCGTCAGTGACGCCGCCGCCCGCGCAGCCGTCACGCTCAGCATCCTGGGTGCCGAAGTCGCAATTCCTCTCGTCGTCGTCGTCGTCGTCGTCGTCGTCATCGCTGCCAAGGTTTGCTGTGCTGTCCGAGCCCGGCTGGCGTTGCGCATCGGAACACCCGCCTGCCGTACTGGTCGAGTCACCGGCCTCAACGCCCGAGTCAGGCCAATTCGGGAGGCCATCATCGTTTCTTTCTTTATCCTGTTAATGTATACATATATACATACATACATATATATATATATATATTTAGCTGTTCTCGTTTTTCCCCTCCCGTTCTTTTTCTGCTGCTGCTGCTGCTGCTCCTCCTCACTCAGTTGCGACTTGGACAGAAAGCGGATGCGGGGTGTGTCGGGGAATAAATAAAAGTAATGGAAAGGAAAGTATTGGCTGTGTTTTCTCTTTCAGGGAGGAGGAATTATACTCCGCGGATATTCGACTTTTTTTGTGGGCATAGCTCAGCTGCGTTAAACGCTTGGAGTCTTTGGCACCTCTAGACTCCGGCAATCTGCTGACAGCGGTCTGCTCAACTGCAACTGCCTACTCGTGACACATGTAGTATATTATATACTGTAATATATTATGTAATATATATAATATTCCTCATTCTCAGTATCATGACACCACAAGTGGCCAGATGGACCTCGTCCCGGGCAACCCACTCGACCCCCCCACTGTCGACAGTGGGATACCCGGGAATCTGTCCGGTCGTAATACACCGTGCTATACGTCTCCATCTCACCAATGCGAAAGACTGATGATTTTTACTCATTCTTTCAGGGAAAAGTGTTCTCCTGTCCAATTAGCTGCCACCACCTGATCATTGCTTGATAGCATCTCCGTAGCGTAGATAGTATCAATAGCCTTCAATGCAGTGAGTGTCAAGGGAATCACCCCCACTCCCGACCATCACATAGATGCACAACCATGATAGGGCTAAGAACACTATTGAATTCACCACTAGAAGTATATATACCGACCGATTGCCAAAAAGGCCCCATACATCTTCCGGAAGAAAGAGAAAGAGAATCGAGAACACCCATCAATGCACTTACCTGACGAGAAAGAGAGGGAGGGAGGGAGGGAGAGGTGGAGGAAATCGCCAACAAGTTTGCCTGATCAAAAACCAAAATAGATACTATAGAAGGGGGAAGGGGAGGAGAAGAGGATAACGCGGATGCTCTGAACAAGAGACGAATTAAGGACTCCAAAAGCACCCGACGAGACAGACGATGTAAAGAAGCAAAAAAAAAAAAATTGAACAGAGAAGGGAAAACAGAGAAGGAGAAAAGATGAAGAGAAGGATAAGAAGGAGGGAGAGTTTACCGGTCCGACCCATTGACCCCATCGGTTTCTTGTAGAGCACGCCCCCCCCTCTCACGCTCCTCGTTAATCATCTTCTCCATGAATGAGATGTAGTCGTACTGCGGCATGCCCCTGTCAGTCGACATGTCGGGCCCGTTGTGCTCGGGCATGATCTCCACGAGCTGGTCAATCACCTCGTCGGGGACCAGACTGTGTCGGAGGTCCATCTCGGTGACGTATGGCTTGCCGTCGGCCACCTCCCGGAACGACTGGAACACCTGCTCGGCCGTGTTCTGGTCTTCCGTCACGTCCACCATGAAGCGGATGAAGCCCTCAAAGGTCACGTAGTCGCGACCCTGGGCCGTCTCGACAAAGTAGTCGTGCATCTCGTCCTCGGAGAAGACGAGGCCCAGCGACGCCAGGGCGGCGCCGAACTCAAGCTCCGCCAGCGAGTTGCTGTCGTCGCGGTCAAAGTGACGGAACACGCTCTCAAACTCCTCGAGCTGGATGGGCGTCAGGTTCGTCATGCTGCGCGCCACCATCTGGTTCTCCAGGAACGCCAGCTTCTTGGACACCGACGACTTGACCAGCCCCAGCTCGTACGCCAGCTCGTCGTACGTGTACGTCGTAAAGTCATTCTCCTCAATGTTGGCCTCTTCGCACTGAGCGTCCACCGCTGCTATCGACTCCAGGTACCTGTCCATCGGCTGCAGGTTGTCGCTCAGCTTGCGCACGTGATGAAGCTGGTCCTCCACGTCTCCGTCGAGTCCTGAGATGGCCAGCTGCATCGTGTTGAGGGCCATGGCAAAGTCGTTGGCCTTGTCGGCGAATGACTTGCGGAGAGCATTCTTGATACTGTCACGAGGGTCAGCACATGCGTCATGCAACCACACACTCTCCCCCCATCCACCTCCATCCGGCTAGACTCACTCTCGAATCGTCTCGTTTATGAGCTGTGCACGGTGCATCTCCGTCTGCGACAGACTAGCCCATACACGCTCCGACGCGTCGAGCGTCAGGTCTGCAGGAGGCTCCCACGGCCTGAGGCGGTACGTGCCGAGCTTGGTCTTGATGTTTCCGAGCAGGGTGGCCAGGTCGCTCTTCTCCGCAACCCACTCGCGCTTCTGGCCCCTCTTGTAGGCGTTGAACTCGGCAGCCTGAGCCTTGGCGTCGGCGTAGGTGCCCTTGAACTCGGCGCTCTGCCACTCGTCCACCTGCTTCCTGATGGCGGCGAGGAGGGCCTTCATGCGGCGCTCGTAGGCACTCTGCATCTCCCAAGCGCCTTGCATGTTGTTGACAAACTTCTCGACGCGGCGCCCGGCGTTTTCCACCTTTTCCATCTGTGAGAAGGCGTGGAACCAGTAGGCGATATACGTCATGAGACTGCGCTCGTCGGGCTTGGGCACGTCGCAGACGTCCTCGACATCGAGCAGCTTGGGGATGCCAATCTCCTCGTGGGCGATGTCAAAGGCTAGCTGCATGTTTCCGCGATGGTCCGACTTGTCGAGCGAGTCGTAGTCGATGAGATCCGGGCGGTGGATGTCGAGTAGGGCGCAGAAGGCCAGGCCGTCGTTCCAGCTCGTACTGAAATCCCTGACCTCGACCTCGTCGTAGCAGGCAGTCTTCCTCTGGCACCACAGAAGCAGACCCTCCTTGGCCGACATCCCCTCCTGGTTGATGTCGCTGATGGTGAAGCGTAGGATCAGCGTCCATATCAGTCCGAGGATGATCTTGCGGTTGCCGTCGACGACATCTTCGGCTCCGATGTTGGTCATCTGGATCCCTCGTAGCTTGATGAAGTCGAGCGCCAGATTTGCATTCTCGAACTTTTGCACGCGAAGCTTCGGTTTCGACGCATACCGGCCGAGCGACTCGTTGGACAGGCATTCTAAAAGGTGGATGAGCATAACCTGGAGAGGGAGGAAGTGGCAAGAGACACTGTCAGCCGATTTCGTCTGTCCTCAGCGGGTTTCCCCATGTGCACATCTGTATTCACATATACATGCATACGTGCATAGCGTCTCGACTAAGATTGGGGGGCGGCCGGTTGGGGGCGGTTGGGCGTACGTACTCCATCACTGAGGTCGGCCACGAGGTCTTTGACGACGAGGTGCCTCACTTCGATCTTTGTATTGAGCCTACATAGGATAAATGTCAGAGCCAGCCAACGGCTAGATGGCACAGGCAAAGAACATACCATTTCGTAAATGTCTTTTGCTGCACCGTGACCCACCGGTGCTGCTCCGCAAATGCCATCCTCACCGAAGCTTGGTCATGCGGGAGGGCTCAACGGCCTTTGGTCTGGACGATTGCTTGTCTTCGTCGGCAGCAACCTAGCAGTATGCGAGGAGTGTGTTAGGAGCGTGTTGGAGGGGGATAGAGGGCCCTTGAGGTGCCCAGCGGGTTCGGGATGCATGCAATATCCGGCCGAGCCCTGGTTGTTGCCGTTCGTCAGGGATGGAGAGGGGGGGCGGAGGTTGGGAGAGGTTTGGAGTTGAAGCTTGGATTTTGGCAGCAGCAGTATGGAGCCGACCGTAATGGCTGTGGTGGTGGTGGTGGGGGGGGACGGCAATGGCGGGGTTTAAGGATTGGGTCAAGGAGAGAGGTACGATACCCCGAGACTCGACTGGTCAATATTATGTGATTTGTACTCGAAGACGATAGTAGTAGTAGTGGACTGTAGTAGACAAATAAAAAGGCCAGCGACAAGGGAGTTGAGGGGTTATTCTTGTTTACAGCATCAACTATCAGTATTATTTACTACTCGTAAGAGGGGAGGTAGGAAAAGAGTCCGGGGGAAGGACCCTTTTTGTTGGCAGGTACTTGGAGGCTGGAGGCTGGAGGCTGGAGGCTGGAGTCCCGGGACTCGTAATGCTCCTTGCCTCCCACCGTCTCTACCACTAAGTTTATTTAACTATTAATACGGATGAGTGCTCAACTCCAGTATTAATGCCCGGCGTAAACAAATCTCAGATTCTGATGGGCTCACCGTTGCCCGGCTGCCACCGTTTTACCCTGAAAAAGCCCTTGGGCTCTTCCCGCTGTTTCCACGTCTCCAGCGCTTGTCGGCCCATTTTTAGTGGCTGTAATACCTGTAGCTTAGCTCTTAGCGCATGAGCCCTTGGGCCCTTCCTTTGGGCCCTCGGGTCTAGACTTTTAATGCTTTCAATGCTCAGTGTTTGGTCCATGCACTCTTCCGCACCGTTACATGAGTATGCGTACACTGTAATCTGTACTCATCTCAGTCATACTAGTAGTATAATGGCATGAGATGCTCTCAACGAGGACGGCAATGCTGGCCAGTGGAAGGACTGAAATACAAAGATAAAGCCCGTCCTCGATTCCCACACTGTACTCGTGGTGACTTTCGTAATATATCACACACGACCACCGCTGATACATAATATAGTAGTAGCTCGTGTAGCGAACCACATCCCCTGATCAGCATCAATCCACCGCTCCTACCACCTAGCGGTGTTGACGGCACGTTGCCGGCTACCATACAGTGGGACTTGACCAGCCATGGACATGCATCACATGATATTAGAGTATGGGAGAGCATACTATCAGTGGCAGTTTGGCCGGAAGGAGATTTTCTGGGTAGACATGTCGATCGCGCAGGGTACGTTCATTTGAAGGATAATACTAGTAGTAGTATTGTCGTATTGGTACATTGATTTTTGCCTTCTCCTTCACCCATACTTCAATAGATACGGGACTCTCAACACATAATGTACACGCTCTCTAATCCAGAGGAAACCCCAAGCCGATCCAAGGAAGAATCCCTGCCCCCCATCCGCAAAGCCCCCTTACCTGGACCTGTGCTTTCCACGCAGGGCGTGACGCTCCTTCTTCCACGCAAACACGAGGTTGTCGACGTTTCCCATGTCATGCTGGGGCTTGCGGAGGTACGTGAGCCTGGCGCGCCTGGCCCTCTTGGGACGGCGCCAGATGATGTCGATGGCCGTGACTGTCGGGCTGTAGATCTTGTACCACATCTCGGTGCTGACGCGCATGAGCTGGCCGCGCAACTGGATGGCCGTGTCGACTCCCCGCCGGCGGATCTGCATCAGCACGCCCGCGAATGGCTCGCCCGACCTGGGCGTCACCATCAGCACGTCACCCACGTTGGCGCTGTCCGGGTACTTCTTGGAGAATAGGCGCGTGCGGGCGCCCGTCGGGTCCAGCTTGGCAATCTGCTGCTCGTGGATGGCCGGCATCGGGTTCGGGTGCGTCTTCCGGACGGAGGGCACCTGAGGCCACACCTTGAAGTTGCTGACCTTCTCAATCTCCTCGCCTGCTTGCGTGTCAGCCGTGTACCATACCGTACCGGACAAGGTCGAAGGAGAAGGGGTTCAGTTCGGATTCTCGTACGCTGACGTCCGCTAAAGGCGCTGGGGGTGTTGCCGGCCCAGGTCGTAGAGGTGGAGGTGAAGGATCGCACATTGGCCCTTTGCCATCGGACTTGCCGTAGTGCCGCCTTTAGGCAGCCAGTGGAATGCCTCATGCCGGCGACATTCATCTTCAGTTATGTGTGCTGGCCTGGCCTTTGTCGTCGAGGGGATATTATGTCGTGGTCTCCTTTGAATATCGAAAAAGGGCTGCAGCCGGGGAATTTGTCGACGTGACGCTCAATTCTGGGTCAGTCAGCAAATTCGGTCATCCCATTGGCTCGACATAATTTCTCCCACCCGAGCCCCCCAAAAACAGGCCTCGACTTTTCTGGCACTCAAACATAAGGCCATTCTACGTCGTTGGTAGAACCGCAGCACATCACGCCATCTTCCAAAATGTACAGCAGGACAGTGCCGTCGGCCCTCAGGGGCATGGGCCGTCTCACGGCTCCGGCAGCCGCGGGCACCAGCTCGCGGCCATTCAGCTCGACGCCAGGCTTCGGTATGATCTGAGAGTCCCGACGACCATGACGATAGGAGCAGTGCTGACAGAAGGGGGTGGGGCTTTGGAATCTAGGCTTCAGGGCGATATACTCGGAGACGGACAACCACGAGCTCAACTCGATCCTAGGCGAGATCCAGGAAAAGATAATCCTGCCGGCGTACCTGCCGCAGAAGCAGCGCGGCATCGTCTTCGACCCGACCAAACGCATGTACCTCGAGTCGAACCCCATCGACATTGAGGTCGAGGGCCACGAGCACCGCTTCAAGACTATGGACCGGACCAAGGACGTCCCCAAATCTCGCGACATCATGTGGAAGGCGCTGCGCAACATGAAGACCCACGAGGATTGGCAGAACCTGGGCACGCTGCTCTCGGGCTTTAGGAAGGCCGGCATCAGCCTGTCGGCCGACCAGCAGGGCAAGCTGATGCGCCTGGCCACCGAGGCCGGACAGCTGGGGCTCGTCATCGAATGCCTTAAGCAGGCCCAGGAGACGGGCCTGCACATCGTCAACAAGGAGCAGTTTGCCCGCCTGTACCTGGCCGTCAGCGCCAAGGTCGATGCCGCCGCCGGCGATGCCGCCCAGGTCCGCCAGGCCACGCGCTGGGGCGAGATCATCCTCGACCTCGCCCAGCGGCCCGCCAATCTCAAGAAAATGCCCACCCACTCACCCCTCAACTTCTCCACCCTGTCCCGCGGCATGCTCCTCTATGCTCGCGCCTCCCTCGTCCAAGCCAAGCAGGCCGCCGAGGAGCCTGTCGACGAGGAGCTGGTCACGGTCAAGGACGACATTGCCCTCCTCCAGGCCCTCTGGTCCCCGCACCTCCAGGACGGCGTCTCCATCACCCAGATCACCGACGTTGCCGATCTTATGCCCCTCCAGGAGGGTAGCGGGATTGACGCTGCTGCTGTCAAGAAGCGAAACCGCTCCCTCTGCGGCAGCGCCTACGTCCAGAGCATCGCTTGGAACATCCGTGCTGTCCGCGCCGCCCAGGAGGTCCTCCCGGCTGAGTCGACTGCCCTCGTGCCCCTCCTTGAGTCCCTTGACAAGCACGTGGCCGAGTTCCTCCAGTCGGCCACCAAGCGCGGCAACATCTGGACCCAAGACTACAACAAGATTGTCGGCAAGGCATGAATGAAGACGCTATGATACATTACTGGAGGAAGTGAGGGATCATGTAATATCATTATAAAAACATTTTTATGGAAGGCAAAGAAGAAAAGAGCAGGGTTGCATCTGTTGTACAATAGCACTGGAGTAGCACAGGGGTTGGATTTATACTCCTTTCTTTTTTTCTCTCTTTTTTTTTATAGATTTGTACAATAACTACATCCATCACCACTGTTAGTACTAGACGACGTACCTATCTAGGGCAGCACAATGTACTTCTCCAGGTGCTCGGGAATGGCGCCGATGAGCTTCTTCTCTTCGAGCCACTTGCGGGAGAACAGGCGGTCAGCGTAGCGGTAGGCGCCATCGCAGAGCATGGTGACGACGGTGTGGCCGGCGCCCAGCTTCTCGGCAACCTCCTTGGCGGCGACTACGTTGAGCGAGGAGCTGGCGCCGAGGTAGAGGCCCTCCTCGTCGAGGCAGCGGTAGACCATCTCGAGGCTCTTCTCGTCCGGGATGGTGAGCGAGCCGTCCATCAGGTCGATGTCGGGCTTGAGGTTGTCGGTGACGCGGCCCTGACCGATGCCCTCTGTGATGCTGGACCCGGTGCGCTCGACGAGCTTACCACCGGAGCTGATGTAGGAGTGCAGCACGCTGCCCGGCGGGTCGGCGAGGAAGCATTTGACACGGCCGTTGGACACGTCCTTGAGGTAGCGCGACGTGCCGGCCAGGGTGCCCCCGGTGCCGGTGGCGCAGGTGAAGGCGTCGACCTTCCCGCGCGTCTGGGTCCAGATCTCCGGACCCGTCGTCTCGATGTGCGCCCTCCGGTTGGCCGTGTTGTCGAACTGGTCCGTCCACACGGCGTTGTCGAGTCTCTCGGCGTGCCGCCGCGCCTGGTGGTTGTAGTTGTCCGGGTTGTCAAACGCCACCGCCGGCACGGGGTGCACCTCGGCCCCCAGCAGCCGCAGCAGGTCGATCTTTCCCTGCGACTGCGTGTTGGGCATATAGATGACCAGCTTGTACCCGCGCGACCGGCACACGTGCGCCAGCCCGATACCCGTGTTGCCCGCCGTGCCCTCCACCACCGTGCCACCCGCGCGGAGGAGCCCCCGCTCCTCCGCGTCCTTGACCACATACAGCGCTGCGCGGTCCTTGACAGATCCTCCGGGATTCATGAACTCGGCCTTGCCCAACACCTCGCACCCGGTCTGGTCGGAGATATGGTTCAGTCGGATGAGCGGCGTGTTGCCAATGGCTACCTCCTTCTGTTAGCCCTCATGCATATACACATTGATACATACTTATGACTAGTAGGTCACAGCAGCAGTAGCAGCAGCTGGTAGCGAGACTCACCTCCCGTCAGACCCCTAGCAATTCCCTGCGCCTTGGAAACGTGCAGTGTGTGCAGAGTAGGCTCGGCGGCCGCCTTGACCGATGCCGCAGCGAGTCGATACGCAGTACGCCGAAACATGATGTCTTTGCTCCGTTCCGGTTGTAGAGACGGGGCTGGAAAAAGATGTCAATGCTGTCGTCGTCGAGACGTTAAGAGGAGAGGGAATTGGATTTAGTAAGCTGTCAATCGGTAGCTCTTTTTTTTTTTTTTTTTTTTTGGGGGGGGGGGGGGGGGGGGGAAGCGAAAACAGCCGAAGTGCGGGACATGATGGACAGGTTTTTGTGGGCCGAGCGCCGCTTAATCACGTCAACCGGCCGCCGACACTCGGACCATGCCATCAATCCCCGTGTAACACCTTTGAATGATCCATGATCAATGGTCGGTAATAATACCATTCAATTCTAAATCAATGTTAAATATAGAAGGTCTTTTGAATAAGTAAGAACATGTGTGTGCCGTTTCTATCTCATATCTCATGATAGATAGAACATATATATAATACGTGCATATGCAGGTATGCGTGTCATCATCAATTCGTCTCGTCTCGTCTCATCTCATCTCATCATGCCGACTCTTCCTCGAGCTGTATATACTTTGCGGGAAATAGGCCCCTGTCAGCCATGTACGAACCCAGGTACCACTCTCCACTGATAAGCTTGATATCCGTAATCTCAGCTCCGCGCGGGAACAAGAGCTCATTATCCACTCCAGGTCGTGGATACCACGGCCAGCGGGCGAAACCCGTCCGGCCTGCTCCTCCATCAGGCGGGAACTCTTCGCTATTGGCGGTGGCGGGAGCCGTACCCCTGACATCCCTCGTGACGAGGCGCTCACATTTCGTGGCACCGGGCTCCTTCTCCCACGACCACTTCTCGTAGAGCTGGACCCCTCCCTTTCCATCCCCGTCTCCGTCGTCTCCATAGTAGGGTTCCTGCCGCAGCGCCCTCCCGCCCACGAGATCGGAGTCAATGTAACGCCACTGGCCAATCTTGCCCTCTGTGAAGCCCACTATCACCATCCTGTGTCCGCTGAGGCACCTCCTCCACCCCGAATGCCCGTTCTCGGGGCTGATCTCGTCGTGCTCAACGAGGTTGCCGTAGCACGTGTAGCAAATGTCGTAGTCTCCCGGGGTGGCGTCTGGAATTAGGGCACTCGTGCAGCTGTAGCAGTGGTACCGTGGCTCTAAGGGCGGGATGGTATCTTGGCAGACGTCGCAGCTGGTGTTGAACGTGAGGGGCTTAAAGGGTCCTATATTAGAGGACGTGGGGCCGGTGAGGATGCTGGCCGAAGACGGCATGCTGTGTGGCCGGGTGTTGGGGGATGAAGGATGCCGCTGCTGCATTTGTTGCAGTTCCTCTTCATGTGTTAGGGGGAGTAACGGGTGCGAGCAAGACTTCCCCTGATTGACGCAGTTGTTGCAGAAGCCCCAGTCTCCGTCGTTGCACACATTGCACCGCCAGTAGCACTCGTTTGTCCACACCAGGCAGCGGGCACAGAAGGTCCCGGTCTCGAGGCGCTTTTTGGGGTCGTCCGTAGTAAGAGTCTTCCTCCCGTTGGCTCCACCAGGTGTCGACGGCGGAGGTGTGTACCGGCAGGCCGTCAGCATGTGCGGTTTGGGGAGTGGCTTGTCACCCTTGTGCTGCTGGCGCGCTCTCTCCCACTTATTCCACGCGGCGTACCCGAAGCCGAACCAATACTGGCACCCCTTGCCGGTGCGGTAGCAGTCAAGACAGATGTTCCATTGGCCATCGTTGCACACGTAGCAGTTGTAGTGAAGCTCGTACTCGATGTGCGTCTTGCGGCACCGTGTGCACGAGATGGACGGCTCAGGAAAAAGCTGCGACCGCGAGCGCTGGTGGTTTCCTCGTCCGTTTGGCGATCGGCTACCCGTCCTGGAAACGGAGGAGTGTACCACGGCTAGGTCTACTGGACTGTGCGCTATCGCCGCCGTTGGCGCTGCCGCAAGGGATGATTCATGATGGCCAGACGGCTCAGGCGGCGTTGCTGGTTGACGGGATGTCGGAGATGTGCCCCGGAACTCGGCAGGTGCCTCGCGTGGCATCCTGTTAGCAAAGGATTGAAGGTTGGCTGCGGGAAGCTCCAGCGGCTGCTGCGGTGCTGGTGCAGGCGGTGGGTTCGACACCGGGACGTTGGGCGTGCTGGAGCTTCGTCGGCCGCCTTGAGCGGGCCCCGGGACGAGACCGAGCCTAGACGATGATGCCTCGCCATCACCTAGGAGCAAGTCCGTCTGGGACCGTGCGGCTGGTCGGGTATCAGGGGCGGAAAGCATAGAGGGCGGTGGGGCAGTTATGCTCCGTCCGCCACTCCGGGTCCTCCTTCTTGTACGGGGCGCACCGGCATCCCTAATGTCGAGACTAGCTGACATAGACGGCGGAGGCCTGCTCCTATCCTCTGACGGACGCGAGGCACTCGCCGACCTCGAATGGACGCGACGTTGCTGGCTGCTAGATCTGCTACTGCTACCCCGCTGAGCTGACATCGCCGTCCCCGGTCTCGAGTCTGACGTCGGCTCGGGGGACGGGCGGTACGACCCGCTCTGTCCACTGGCGTTGCTCCTTCTCGTCATATCGCTGTGGATTTTCTCCCTCTGCCGACGCCTATAGGCTTCGGTGATGCGGCGGCTGAGCTCATCGTCGCGTGCAAGATCGATGTTGTCAAGGTCGAGGCCTTCAAGCAGGCCTTCCTCCTGAATCTGGCGGGCGAAATCCTCGATTTCCCTCTCGATGTCACGCTCGCTCATGTCAGCCGAGCTGATGAGCGACCGTAGGGACGACTGGTGCTCGACTTGGCGGTCGCGGTCGGTGCGCGTCCTTCGCGACCTGCGGTCGCCGCTCTCGGGATCTAGGTAATCAATACTACGACGTGGCGCGGTGGGTGGCCGACGACTGCTGCTGCTGCTGCTCCCCTCTCGCTCGTGGGCCCTGCGACGACGGGCATCAAACTCGCTGCTGCCGTCCCCGCCAGTCGAGGTAGAGCGTTGTCTCGCTGAATCGGGTGTGGCCTCTTGCAGGCTAATCAGTCTGACTTCTTCGACTAGTCTCTGTTCCTCCTCGTCGGCCCGCCTCTCATCCTCTGTTCTCTGCCGGGTGGCAATCTTCGGCAGCACCTGGTCGCCCGGTTTGTACTTGAGGCCCATCTCTTCCTTTTCCTCTTTCGAACGGCCTTTTTCCGGCTGGGCCGTGATAAACATGTCGAGCAGGGTCACGACAGTAGCATTGTGTCTCGTGTCCCGGACAGGGGCGCGACATGACGGGCAGGTGAAGAGGACGGCATCGGGCGTTGGTGGAATGGGGTTTCGTTCAATCGTCGCCGCCTGGAAGCCGAACCACTCCTTGAGGCAGGAACCGCAAAAGGTGTGGAGGCAGTCAAGAAGCGTAAGGGGCTGGTATAGGAGATCGGTGCATATCTATGTTTCGTTCTTGTTATCAGCCATCTGTAACCTTCTTTTCCTGTTTCATCCTTTGCTGAATATCCCATGACTTGTGTCCGATGGCGGAGAGAGGAAGAGAGTCGGAAGTGTGGGGGAGGGGGGTTAGAGTACATACAGAGCACGTCAACTCCTTTTCCAGGTCCAGGCCTGCCTTTGGGGAATCCATTCATGATACTGCTAAAGGGATCAAATCCTTGACAGAAATGCAGTGGCACTTTTTGTCGATATGGAGACAAAAAAAAGAGGAGTCGCTAAAGAAGATGAAAAGATGGAGAATACGAGGATGCTGGTCATCGGGCTCCCACCAAGTGCGTGCGGTGAAGTGTGGTATTTTGTAATATGGCGGGGCACATGGTACAGCTGCAGCCTGCAGGTTGTCGCCTCGTCAAGCGGTCAAGTGCTTCATCTTTTCTCTGCCTTGTCGAGGATGCAGAACAATAAGCGATGAAAATTTCCCGTTTCAATCTATTGTTGAGCGGTTGTCTTGATACTCGTGCTCACTCTATCCTCTGTTTCTCCAGCACTCGTATCCGTTCTGTCCAAGATATACCCGCTTGGCTGTACGGCAATTCCTGTGCAAGGCGATACGACGCGATACTGAGCTACCTTGACATCAGATGACAGAGGCTACAATGGTGGATGGTAGCTTTGATGCAGTAACATGACGTATGGCTTGGAAATGTACAAGCCAACACAAGTCGCCCATTAGACAGGACAATGTTCTTTATTACCAAACTCGACCCGACGCTCAGGATGTGTACACGATCCCTAAGAGTGCGTCCACTCGGCCTTCTTCTTCTCAGCAAAAGCCTTCATACCAATTTTCTGGTCCTGGCTACCAAACGTGCTGTGGAAGACACGCCTCTCATACTCAACGCCGTCGCGCAGGGGCAGGTCCTGGCTCTTGTTGACCACCTCCTTGGCAGCCTGGACGGCGACGCGAGAGTATCCGGCAATAGTCTCGGCCGTCTTGAGGGTCTCCTCCATGAGAGCCTCGTAGGTAGGGAAGACCCTAGCAGCAACCCCCCACTTCTCAGCATCGACACCGGAGAAGGATTTACCCGTGAGGATGAGGTCCATGGCTTTAGCCTTTCCTATGATGCGGGTGAGGCGCTGGCTGCCGCCGGCCCCAGGAATAGTGCCCAGCTTGACCTCTGGCTGGCCGAAATTGGCCTTCTCGGTACAGTAGATGAGGTCACACATCATGGCCAGTTCGCATCCGCCGCCCAGGGCATGGCCCGACACGGCGGCGATGATGGGCTTCTTGATCTGCGTCGTGAGCTGGGACCACGACTCGATGAAGGAGCCGGTATAGGCTTCGGAGAAGGTGAGAGAGGCCATCTCCTTGATGTCGGCGCCAGCAGCAAACGCCTTTTCGGAGCCCGTCAGCACGATGACATTGGTGTCGGACGATGCGTTCAGGTCGCCTAGCGCATCGTTGAGCTCGGCGATGAGAGGGCTACACAGGGCGTTGAGGGCCTTGGGACGGTTCAATGTCACTGCAGGGTGTCAGTCGTATCCCAAATAATCATCAGACTGCAAGCTTGTTGTGTCTCCGGCTCTTCACTATGGGGCTCATGACCAGGTTAGACCAAACGCACCTTGTCCGACACCGGGCTTGGGCTTGGATACTTGGATGAACTCGTAATCCTTAGACGAGCTGTAGGCCCGGACGAACTGGGGGAGGGTGGAGTTTTGAAACGGCACGGCACGCATACGTGAGACTGCCGGCCTCATGTATCGCAATGTGTTCATCATCGTCATCGTCATGTCGGGCTGTGTGTAGGCAAGAGCTATGTGCAAGCTCTGTCAGATCAAGCAAGCTCGCTCATCAATCGACGGACGGATTTGAACGGTAGATGGGGAGGGCACAAGCTTCTCTTCCAGGTTTGAACAGTGCTGTGCGTAAAAAGGTCTTTTGAGATGAGGTTGCGTGTGAGAAAAAGCTGCGGACGATGAGAAGCGACCTCGGTTGAAGCTCAAGCAAGGTATTACCATGGCAAGTGTCGGCTTTGGTAGAGAGCCGATGGTGATGACATATGACATCCGGAGAAGCTGTCTGTGGTCTCTGATTGGTCACATGTGGCTTGTCAGATGATTTCTTTAGAGACGACTCTTTTGTATGATCCATGCTAGTCAGATCACCCCAAGATCCCTCGTATGCTACTATGTTCATAGTATGAGATGACGACTACCTTGATGACCCAACAACTCAGTATCGGGCGCCGCTCCCGTTGTTTTACTACGCAGACTTACACTCCTACGTCGAGTTTTGTGGTCCAAGCGGGAATGTATGGGCTGTGGGTTAGTAGCATTGTTACTACGAGTACGGGAGTAGTACCTGTAGTCATGGTTAGGTGTCCACATCAGTGGAGGCTGTGTTCTCCATTAAAAAGCCAAGGAAGCCAAGGGATGGAGGTCTCTGGCCAGTGGCCACCTGCGCGCGCAGTCTCTGCACATGCCAGATGGCCTACAGATTACAGATACAGCAGATACAGACCACTACATCATCCACTAACAACGCCCTTATAGAGTATTACAGTGGATGTGTCCTCAGGGGCATCGGTAAATAGTCGGTCGATCCCCGCCAAACTCAAGGGGTTTGAGTGATTCTAGTGGCGTTTTGCGTTTTGCGTTCTGTGTAGGGAAATACGTGGCGCGGGCATTTTGGGGCATTTATCGGGGGCGATTAATTACAGTCAGCTCACTGGGGGGGGGGGGGGGGGTCTTTGCGACGTTTACGTTTTGCTTTTAAATTTAGGTCTGTAGAGAGTCCCTTCCACTGTCTACAACCCTCCTTACATTCATTTTGGGCCCCTTGATAATTTTTTAATACTTTGCCTCTTTTATTGGCACTCTCTTCTTTTTTGCCGTCTCTTCTTCTTCCTCTTTGCTCTATTGCAACAACCTGCCCATCATGGACGCCGCCGAACCCGAACAGACCCCTTTCGAAGCCGTGACGACCCAGACGTCCAGGCTCAACATGGTGCGATAAAACCCTAGACCTCGTCTCCCTCTGGCCTTTGCGCATGCACGCGCGCGATTCCATGGCCTTACTGCCCTGCTGCTCTCGTTCCGTCGATGCTGACTGGCGTCATGCTACATAGAAATACCAAGCGCTGCTTGATCAGTCGACGCCCTACGTCCTATACCGATGGGTCGGCACCGGTGCCATCCTCTTCCTCTTCTTTTTGCGCGTCTTCATCGCCCAGGGCTGGTACATCGGTTAGTCTCTCGGGATCCCGCTCCTTGATTGGAGATGGTGTAATATCTGACTATGTGCTGACGGCCATGACGCAGTCGCGTATGCCCTTGGCATCTACCTTCTGAACCTGTTCCTCGCCTTCCTGTCGCCCAAGTTCGACCCATCAAACGAGGCCGCCGACAATGAGATGGAGGATGGCTCTGTGGGCACCCTCCCCACGCGCCAGGACGAGGAATTCAAGCCCTTCATCCGTCGCCTACCCGAGTTCAAGTTCTGGTACTGGACCACCAGGGCCGTCGTCATCTCCTTTGCCTGCACCTGGTCCCAGATCTTTAACGTGCCCGTCTTCTGGCCCGTTCTCCTCATGTACTGGTTCATGCTCTTCGCCCTCACCAGTACGTTACTTTCTCGGCTTGTCCTATCGCTCGCCCGCTCCCTTCTCTTATCTCTCCCTCTCTCTCCACTCTTCGTGCAGCCAGATAGCTAATCTCGTTACAACTATAGTGCGCAAGCAGATCCAGCACATGATCAAGTACCGCTACGTTCCTTTCACCCTCGGAAAGAAGACGTATGCCAAGAACAGCTCTTAAGAAGGGGGTTGCAGCAACAACAGCAACGACGACGACAATCAAAACGAGTCATTAACCGGAGATTCGTTCGACAAATGGTGTCGCGGCAGAGGCACAAGGCGCTTGGGGGGAAAGAGGCATCTGGCACCTCAGAAATTCATCGTGTACACTACTACTACGTGGAAAAGGCAATGTGCTCTTTCTAGGGCGTTGCCCGTTCAGTAATCTGTTTGCTATACACGCCGTCTACGATAGACGCGCGTGGGCTTGGAATGCATGATGGGAAAGGGAATTGTTGGGAATGGGCTTCTGCTACGAGGTCGTAATGAAGACACATATGACGAGACTCCTGAAGTGCTGAAGGGGTCCCTGTAATACCTAATGACAAGGGTGACTCTACTGTATTTGAGAGGCACAACGGAGAGAGGCCTTTGATGATGGTCTGGGGACGAAGAGCATCAGGTGCGTCTTACTCAGAGGCCATCGAAGCTAGGTCAACAAACCGAATTGACGGGCATGACAATTACGATTCTCAGTCGCCATCCTTTCGAATATATTTGACTATTCAATACAATTGTCCAGGTGTCGCGGCGAAGACCCTACGTGCACATAGAATGGCCGTACCCTTATTCTGAGTGGTGGCATCAGAGTGTGGAGACGAGGCTACCGTGCAGTATTGACTTTTCCCACTGCACCTTTACCTAATACCACGCTCAGCAGAAGACAAGCGCCCCGGTCTCTTATTCTTTCTCTTCCCCTGCGCCATCAACCTCCGGAAGCCATCAGCATCAGAGCACGTAGCTCGTCTCCTCTGCGTTCTCCTTACCGACTATATTGAAGGATACCATTCAATCCTCTTCTCTCATTTCGTTTTCCTCTCCCAGGCACCTCTCCCTCCCGCCGACAGCTTCCTGCCCAAGTTGGCCGCGCGCGTCCTCGTTCGCTCCCCGAACAAAATGTCGTCGCGTCCCGGCGAGCGCATGATCCACCAGGACTTCATCGCACGCATTCGCTATTCCAATGCCCTACCTCCGCCTCCGAACCCGCCCAAGCTGCTCGACATCCCCAACACGGGCCTGTCGAGTGGGCAGTACACCAACCCCAGCTTCGCCTCCCGACTGGCCAGGGAGCAGCCTCTGAACATTGAGGCCGACGCCGAGCTAGGCATGCCCCTTGACCTGGTGGGCATGCCAGGCGTATTCGACGGAGACGAACGATGTGAGTCCGCGACACCCTCTCTTGTTCTTTTCCCTTCGCGTATCTGACCGTTGCTTCCCCTTCCAGCCATCCAAGCACCCACACATACACCGCCCGTGCACCCTCACGACAGGGCACTCCTCCGACCTCTCACGGCGCTGGGCAAGCGTAAGGTCGCTGAGGCCAACGTGTCCTTTCTCCGACGAACCGAGTACATCTCATCACTGACGTCGAAGCGCTTCGAGTCGTCCAACCCCCGGGCGATGCTGACGGGCGTGCGCAAGCCCGCGCGGCGGTCACCAGAGCGCGCCGCCGACTCTCCCCAGGTCATCAAGCGCAAGATAGACCGAAGCTTCGAGCTGGCAGGGGAGGAGTTGGACGAGCGGAACCGCAAGCGCGTGCGGCACCCGTCGCGCAAAGACCTGGAGCTGGTGGAGGCGACCCCCCTGCTGCCCGACCTGGAGGCGTTCCCGGATTCGGGTGCCTTTGTCACCATCAAGTTTGGCGTCAACCCCGTGCCCAAGAGCGGAGAGTACGACCGCCGGCTGCTCACCTCGCTCTTCAAGCCCATTGACCGTACCGAGGCCGAGGACGCCGCCTACGATGCCGCCCTCGAGGCGCACACCCGCGACCCCGAGCGCTTCCCCCGCCCCCAGAACCTCATGAACTACGACTTCTTCCTGCCCAGCTCCAAGGCCACGGGCACAAACTTCCGACGCATGTTCGACGTCGAAGACGACCAGCGCGAGGACCCGACCCTGTACACGCACGAGTCCGGATCAGGAGGCTGCTTCCAGTTCAACCGCGTCCGTGGCTACGAAACCACCCAGGAGACGGAGCTGGATCACACTACAAAGTACTCCAACGAGGTGCTCCTCGCTCAGAACGACGGTGGGAGCCGCCAAAAGGCAGTCTACTACTACCCGGTCCTGCAGAAGTCTACCATCCGACCTCAGCGCATGAAGAACATTGCCCGCACCATCGGCTTCCCCGGCGACGACGAGGAGAAGGTTGTCGAGCGCATGGACGTCACTGTCGAGGACCCCAACGAGGAGATGCTCGACGCCATGAAGAAGTACTCGGAGCATCCGCTTGGCTGGGAGGGTGATGAGGAGGAGCACGAACATGACAACGATGATGAGGACAAGCATCTTCGTGGAAACAGTGAGGAGCCCAGAGAGGCCAGTCCAGAAGAGAGCAAGGATGCAGAGGGTGAAGATGAGGATGAGGACTGAAGAAGCCTTTGATCTTTCCTCTGTCTTTAATTTTGCATTTTCAACGCTTGTTTTCCCTTTTTTTTGGGTTGTACAATATAACGGAAATAAGCGACACGCGTTCCCCTTGAAGAAGTGAATGAGAACATATCAATATATAGCTGCAACGTAAAAGAAGAAGGGAAAAAGAAACATCTGCTGAATATGCGCCATCCAAACCGGTCCATAGAACCTAATAATATGAGATCCTATCTCCTGCCAAAAAGTCTTGACAACCCCCAATGTTGCGTGTATATATACTTGGAAACGAGGCAACTGTCTCATGCCAACACAGGGCCGGGAGTTTCTCTAGGTTGTAAGGGGAGTCTCTTGTCTGCACTCGAAGGGTCGAAGCCGATGATTTCGCGGTTGTCATCAATGACTCGGGCATATCTAGACATGTATGTCAGCAAGACGTGACTGTTGTTCGGGTATGGGCTGGGTACGGGGAAAAAAAAGGAAAGAGGATGAGCTAAGTTGGCCAAGATGGATGGAACATACTCGAGAAGTAGACGGAAGAACCAAGCCTCGAGGTCCTCGTTGCGAAGAACCTTGTTAGCCCAGGTACGCCCATCGTTGGCAATGTTGCGTCCCAGGGCCTGCCCCGTTTCCTTGTCGCGGGCGAAGTAACGGATAGCCTCGAGCCACTCGTCCCCGCGGAGGGTGAGCGGAACGTAGTGGATCCAGGGGCGAAGCCACTCGTAGTGCCACTCGCGGAAGAGGGCCATCTTAAAGACGAGGCTGCGGCTCTGGAGGAAGGCGTAGAAACGGCCGGAGAAGGCGTTGCCGTCAAGGTCGACGAGGTACTTGTACGCCCAGGCGGCGTGCTGCATGGCCTGTTCGGCCAGGCCGAAGAAGTTTATCTGGGCGTCACAGTCGCCTGGGTCGCACTGGCCGACGTGGGAGAACTTGACGTCTATGAGGTCGCGGTAGTCGCCGCGCGAGACGGTCTTGGTACGCCAGTTGTGCTGGGAGGCCGAGGTGGCGGCGGCGGTGCCGTCGTCCTGGGGCACATCAGTCATGATGGTGGTCTCGTCAGGGCTGTTGATCTTCTGGACAAAATGCTGGCGGTGCTGGCGCCTCCAGCCCCCGTTACGGCTGAAGCCTCCGGTCGTCGACCCGCGCCAGTAGAGCTGGTCGCGCTTGTCGGCCCACGCGATGTCCTGGGACTCGTCGTAGCTGACCTTACCATACCAGTACCAAGGCGATGGGTAGATGATGTCGGCGTACGACGAGATCTTGGACTGCGAGAAGATGGGGAACAGGTCGTGCACGATGTCGTACGAGTTGGGGCGGTCGAAGAAGCCATACGTCGTGCTGAGCGACGGCGACAGACATATATCGCTCAGGGCGGTGGCGTTGTACACGAAGCCCAGGTCGCCATAGCCGTAGTCGCTCATGGCGTCGACGCGGTCGTCCTCCTCGAGAACGCGCGCCGGGCTGTCGGGCGGGCACGACATGCGCGAGTGTGTCCACGTGGGCTGGTGCGCAAACACGTTGAACCGGGTCACCTTTGTTTCGTCAAAGGTCATGCTGCCCTTGGCGATCTCAGCGGGCGTAGGGCTGAACTCGTTGACCGGCTTCGCCACGGCGTTGGCGGCCGGCATGTTGACCCCGCGCGCCTTGCCGACCAACCGTGTCATGTCGTCGTGCGGCACCACCACGCGCGGCTCGTCGTGGACGTTGAAGGCCAGGTCCATGTCGGGCAGGTACTCGACGAACTTGTCCAGCATGCCCTGAGTGGCCTCGCGCTGCCAGTCGTCGCCCTGGCCCTCCATGAAAGCCACCTTGCCGTCGCGGATGGCGACACCCAGCAGGAAGTTGTCGCCGCCCAGAGCCTCCTTGGCCCTCTCCCGCGTCGTCTTGGGCTTGAGCCCCCAAAACGGCGTCATGAGCTCGTAGATCGTGTCGAACTCGTCAATCAGCTGAACGTTATTCTTTCTCGCAAACTCGAACCACTTGTCAAAGTGCGGTGGTGGCGGCATCTTGTATCGTCGTCGGTACTCGTCCACGGCTTGCCGCAGCGTCGTCGACTGCCGGCTCTTGGTCGCATCGAACTCCCGTTGCGCATCGCCCACCAGCTCCTCAATCGGATGTATCCCCGTCGACGTCGCCTTCTTCGGTGTGTTGGCACCGTTTCCGTGTACTGCCGGGGGGTCGTCCCATGTCGTGCGACTCGGTAGTGGCGGTGGTGGTGGTGCTGCTGCTGCATCCGGTCCGCTTGGATCGCCTGCCCCTGCTAATGCTGCTTGCTCCGCCCGAGTCCTCATTGACAGCGTGCACACGCAGTAGACGCAGAACATGAAGAGGGCTACCACTACCGCGGAGCCCCTGGTCCGTCTGCGCATAGTTGTGAGCGGGAGGGCGTCAGCGGCGCCGGTTGTCGATTGAGTAGGTATGATTCAACACGTCGATCAGCAGCAGGTCGTCGGGCTGAGTCCCCCCAAAAGGGTCGGAGATGGCCAGGTGTTGTCTTCTTATCGGAAGTGCCACGACGCTGCCATGGGCGCTGGCGTAGCGATGAAATAGCGGTTCGTTTGTCGTAGAGCTTGGGTTCGCTTGTCGTTGGTTATTACGCCATTTCCCTCATGTCTCTATTACAGGGGGGTGGGAGTTGAAGTCAGTCAGGCCGGGTTTTTGAGATGGCGCGTCGTCAGCTTCCGTCTAATTAATAGGGGGGAGATTATATTCATGGTAATCTGTACTGTCTGGTCGGATCCAGCTATGTAAGATCAAAGTATTATTACCGCTCCATCACACAAAAAAATCATCAAAAACCTCGTCAAATTTTTGTTTCTTCCATTTCGCCAAACCCTTGAATCTATCACTTTGTCTGTCTTCGCCTTTTTAAGCTTATTCCCCCAACGTTCTTCTTCTAGTTTTCTTGGCATCCCTGCGTGACGTCTTACCTAGCAGCAAACAATGGTACTTTTGCACTGGTGATTGACTCCCGCCCCCGTAATTACGAGTGCTAGTACGAAAGAACATCTCGTATTATTGGCAATACCTGTATTGTAGGCCACAAAAACAACCTATACAGATCTTGCATGGTAGGTTGTAGTATTACATCTCACCTAGCCTAGATGGATGTTGGATGGTGGAAGACACAGCAGGAGAGACAGCATGTATGGATGGGCCAGGCAAAGGGGATCCATTGATTTAACAATGCATACAAGACCATTACAGTCTTGGGTATATCATCCTAAAACACAATCGACATCCTTATTAACGCCCGATATTGCCCGCTGTTGAAAAACAAAGACTTTTTTGTTCATTTCTGCTCTCTCAAAATTTTGACTTCGTTGAACCCTTCGTAAAGCGTTACATCAAAACAATTGACTGTCTAGTAGCAAAAGCCAATGATCTTGCCGGCAACGTGCTTGCGGCGGGCCTCCTCGTGGTCCATGATACCAGCAGAGGTGGTGAGGATAATGTAGCCGAACTGACGGGCTGGGAGCAGCTTGACCACCCACTTCTCGAGGTCGGCGAGGCGGACGTTGTAGCGGGGAGAGATGACACCGGTCTTGTTGAGGCTGCGGAGAGGATGATGGTCAACATCTGATGAAGGCGGGTTGTGGGCAAGAGATCATTGGGAGAATTGAACTTACCGGCCGTTGAGCTGGACAACGATCTTGCCGGAGCGGTGGTCGTCGACCTCCTCGAACTCGCCAATGTAGCCTGGAAATGAGTATCAGTAAGAATGTCGGGTAAAGCCACCACGTCAAATGCCACAGAAAATAGGGCAGAAGACGACTATGCAAGGGCCCCCATGCTAATCTTTCGGCAACTTATAGGGGCTGGGGCCGTGGAGGCAGTATCGACCGCCGCCCTAGTTATCATGCCGAGGGGGTTGTCCAAGCAAAGCCGCCGTCTTCTTGTCCTTGATTGTATGGCATGGCATGTGGACGGTGGTGTAGTCTGGCCACGAATATACAGGGTAGAAAATAAAAACATACCGTGCTTCTGCATGACCTGGAGGAACTTGACAATAACCTTGGAGCTGGGGCGAATCAGGACCTGGCGCTTGCCAGCCTTCTGGGCATTGTTGATGCTGTTGAGGGCATCGTGGAGGACGGAAGTGCGGACCATTTTGGCGGTTGTTTTGTAGGGAGATTCTCAAGTCGAGTCTGGAAATGAGGTGTCTGCCCGGGTTAGCCTTTCTATTTGGAGATGGCCTATGAGCAAGGAAGAGTGCCCTCTGGCGATTCGGTCCAAGAGGGTTCTGCCACTCAGAATTGTCGAAAGAGGAGGAGCGTATCTCGACGGACAAAGCATGGTGCATGGGCCCACGGAGTTGGAAAAAAGAAAGCTAGATCGAGACGAATATCCAGCCCCATCAAATCTTCCCTTCATGGGACACCATGCTCGTCGAGATTGCCCTCCCCTGCCATGGTGAAAGGCATCGTCCTGCAAGGAACCGACATCGCCATCGGCCAGCTGGGAGCGAGATACATACCTCTGATGATGGTTGAGGAAGAGGTCAGCAAGAAAAGGAGAAGAGAGGCCAAAAAGAACTAAATGAGAAAGAAAAGTGGTATTATCAAGCTGGTGGGCCGTGGCCGGTGGAAAAGTGGGGCACCACCACACGATTGAGAGTTTCGTGTGCCCTGGTGGTCCGTGCACGTAAAAATGCCCTAATGGTGTGCGCACTCGCTGTTGCATTTTCGGCAACCACCTGGCCGATAGCGAGGACTATCTCGAATCGAATCCTAACTTACGAACAACCAACAATCACTTTCCCCCCCCTTCCCCCCCAACTTTCCCTGCACAACAACGGAATCTTCGAGGATCGCCCGACGAAAGAAATCAACAAAAATGGTGAGTCATTGCACGATCACCTCCCCTCTCAACGTCAAGTCTTGTTTTCCCCCGCGGTGTCGCACACGCGCGCGCATACGACCCCTCCGACATCACGCAATTGGAAACGAAGTTGTGTGCGCACGTGGGAGCTATATACAGGGGGGGAGGGAAGCGACGGATCGATCAGATGAATAGAAGAGGAACATGTGACTGATCTGAATATTTATTGCGATAGTCGGACGTAGAAGACAACGCTCCCGAGGTCGAGGTCGCCGACGAGGTCGAGGTCTCTGGCGATGCCCCCAAGGGTCAGATGTCGGTCCTCGACGCCCTCAAGGGTGTTCTGAAGCTGGCTCTCATCCACGACGGTCTTGCCCGTGGCCTCCGTGAGGCTTCCAAGGCCCTCGACCGCCGCCAGGCCCATATGTGCGTTCTGAACGAGAACTGCGAGGAGGAGGCCTACAAGAAGCTCGTCATCGCTCTCTGCTCCGAACACAAGATCCCCCTCATCAAGGTCCCTGATGGCAAGCAGCTCGGCGAGTGGGCCGGTCTCTGTACGTTTATTTACTCCATTCCTCACCTTTGAAAATTCTCTTCTTTTTTTTAAAGAGATGTTTGAATCCCTGAACATGCTTACTGATACTCTATCAACAGGCGTTCTCGACCGTGAGGGCAACGCCCGCAAGGTGGTCAACTGCTCTTGCGTCGTCGTCAAGGACTGGGGTGAGGAGTCGCAGGAGCGCTCTATCCTCCTCAACTACTTCCAGACCGAGCAGTAAATTCACTCCTCCCTCTGGGACGTAGTTGACTTGCATGGCTCATGACTATAAAAAGCGTCTGGGATGGATAAAAAAGGATCAAAAAATAGAGTGAGGCGCGGGTCTGGCTTACAAGTTTATCTAGAGCCGCATTAATCGATCTAGTCACTTGTACAAGGGAATAAAAAGGAAAACAAATTCACAACCAACGCATTCCAACTTCACGTCTTGAATCATGTCTCTTCTCCGTGACCTATGTGACCTATTTACGCCCCTCGACCTATCACGCATTCTTTGTCAGCTGAACAGATTCGATATATACCATGTGAGACGCACGGTGCAGTATGGTTCCTGCAACCTACCATGATGATGTGGTATCCAAATCCCGTCTTGGCCTCACCAATCTTGGGGCTGCTCGTAGTACTCGGTTCAAGAGCAAACGCCACCTCTTCAAACTTGGGATCCAGACTGCCCTTGGACTTCCATCCCAACGATCCGCCTTTACATGTTCCATTCCCGTGGTCAGCGTGTGAAAATACTCAAGCCAGGCTCGTGGCTTGGCCCGCCAGGAAACAAAGAAGAAGAGAAACGCAAGTTTCTCACCTTGCCTAGCCTTGTCCTCGGAAAAGGTGCGCGCGACCTCGTCAAACTTGATACCATTGTTGAGCTTCTCCAGTGCCTCTTCCTTTTTCGAATGCTTCTCACACTAGGGTATCATAGTTAGACATCCCCCCCTCGCTATGGGAATGAAGATTTATCTCTCTCCTTCCTGGCCCCGGCGGTGGTGTCTCAACGTACCAAAATGTGACGGACATTGATGGATTGGGCGCCCTTGGTCTTGCCACCTCCAGCGGCGTCCTTGTCACCGCCGCCGCCGCCCTTGCCGCCTCCTTTCTTGTCGTTTCTGCCCATGTTTGGTTGCTCTCGTGGAGGCTTTTCTAGCCTGGGTTGCTGTGTAGATTCCCTGAACAGAGGTGAGATTGTGGGATGAACCATCTTGGCGGGGCGCTCAACTTTGCATATGCCCCGCCTCTGGACTGGACCCTTCCTTGGTCTATGTCATCACGGTTGTCTACTACTGCCTATTCTTGGAGACAGGAGCAGTTCCATCAACAATGTTTCTTCAAGTCCCTTCTACTATCGGACATATTCAACATGTCCCATGATACCATTCAAGACCCGAAATTATTCTTTCAGCGAGATGCATTAGTAGTGTTGCTGCCTCTACTTCCTTACCCTACATACGTACGACATTACCAGAATCTCTTGCCCACCACATCACCTCTCCCATACAAGGTCCCCTGTCTTGCAAACTGTTTCGAGCTGTTTTACGTCTCCTCCCTTCCTCTTCATTTGGGAAACCCACTCGTGAAGTGCCGCGGTAGAGGCAAGGTGCATGAACCGTTCGAACCGTTCCTTCTTCACAATATCACCTGCTTTGTCCATAAACCACCTGACAAAGTTTGCTTCACTAAGCTGGCATTGCATCAGACGTTCTTCGATATCCTCAAACATCTTCCAGTCATCCATTTGTGATGGTCTAGGTATGCTTATGAGCTTGTGCATAGGTATTTGGCCCTCGACACGGCCCAGGACCAGGCTGAGTCGGTGAGCCCCCGTCATTGGGTTGACCTTCTGGCCATATTGGATAAGTGTGTATCTGCAACGGTGGAAGGGCGTTAGTGCGATCATATTTCATCGTAAACAGTGACGTATCAGTGCACCTTACTCTCCGTCATATCTCACGCCTGCCTTGGGCGCAAACATGCTTTCTAGCAGCGGCCCCCTGACGACGCGGATCCTGCGTCCGATGTGGCCCAAGAGCGAGAGGCACATGTCCTGCATGGTGCCCTCGCGCGTATACGTGATCTGGGCGATGGGCCACTGCACCAGTTCAGCGCCTGCCAGTAATAAAAGGGTGGGTATGTCGTCGCCAACGGGGATACCGTCGGCGTGAGCGCACGAAAGACTCGGCCACCAGCTACGTTTCCCGTGTCAACTTGTGAAATACTGCTTCGGAGAGGAGACTTCACTACTACTTACTGTCCTTCCTCGAGCCTTGGACGGTACCGCGTGCTCTGTGGTTGGGTAGGCGGAGTAGGGCTAGTCATATTAATCCTTGATAGCCCCATGCGCCTCTCATGGTCAAGTCCAAAGTATTCTCGGCGAAAACGTACTCTCCATACTCTTCGTAGGCTTTCGGCTACCGCTGAGAGGTTGCGGAGTAGCTTCGAGGCTGAGTGATGTGCCATGTCTGTTAATTCATCTAGGAGTTTGTCGATACGAGCCGTACGGATCGTTCGGAGCGAGATGGAGAGTGTATAGTGATCGAATTCGCTGCGGAGCATGGCATGTAGGACTACCGTCAGTACGTCGGCTCTAGGTCCGAGATGGCCTCCTTGTCGAATATTCTCTCGGACTTCGTCGCACAGGTCTAACAGGGCATTATCGTCGTAAAGTAAGCGTTGTATATACCCATCCTCTTTGACCAGTGGTCTCAACATAGTCCCTGGAGGCGGAGGGGCACGTTTCCTGAATGAAGGAGAAGTACAGAAGGACTCTGAGCTCCTGTTCTTCCTCAGACGAGAGTGCTTTGAGGCAAAGTAGGCTTCTACCGGATTTGATTGACTTTCAGGCTCTGATTCCATGGTAAATTGGCGGAGGAGAAGAAAAATGCGAGGGAACAGGGCCGGACTCTTGCCACGCTTAGGCATATGATATAATTGAAGAAAGAGAACCACGATATGGGGCGAAGATAGATAAAAGAGCTGGCCTTGAAAGAGTCATGGATCGCTCGAGGCAGCAGAACGCACGGATACGAGCCCTTCATTGTAGACCGTTCTTTGTTGGCTTACTGCGTATAGGATCGTTGCCCATCGACTACTACTAATACGTGATGAATGAAGCGTCGAGACAAAGGAGCGCCGTGCCAAGAATATATTGGTTTGCCGTAGACGTCCGTCGACAAAGAGGCAGTGGCTGAGTAGACATTCAAAGGCCATATCTGCAGGATTGTCCATGAGGGCTGCCGTCGACTGCAGCGGGAAGTGACGTCTGTTCGTTTGTACCCTGAGCATATATGGAGGCGAAGTAGTATGGAGGAGTGATGCCTATGTCATCAGTACTACTACACATATTAGCAATGTTGCAGGCGCCGGATGGATGGATGGATAGATATGCTCATAGATATATATATAGATAGAGAGAGACAGAGATAGGGAGAGAAGGAGAGACAAGGGGAGAGACAGAGATAGGTGGGAATCATTTTCCGCCTGATAGACAATGAAACTAGCCGGTCCGCTCCTCAGACAAACCATGCCAACGTCGGTGTAATGCTGCCGAGGCTGCCGAGGTACATTGACGGGAACAAATACTCATCCTTCCTCTCAAAGGTGAAACCCGATGTTTCTTCGGGTTTTCACCGTATAATGCTGTATACTTGAAAGATCAACCGATACCATGGCCCTCATCGACCTGACGGCCATTATCACGCCCAAATCACCCGAGAAGGGCCTGAGAGTAAGTCCCACGCCTGATACACGTGAGACGGAGGTATTAGAAAAGGAGCTGATACTAATAAAAGTTTCTTGCCCTCTTCGAGGCATGTGTATCCTATACCGAGAAGTACGAACGCGGCTACGTGTACCGTTACGAACTGCACAAGGGCATCCCGGATAAGAACGGAAAGGAACAGTTTGTCGTGCTTGAAAGGTAAAGACCAAGAGGAGCGGAGAGCTGGATAGCAAGAGGAGAGCAGGTGACATGAAGACGAAGTGCTGATGAGTGTGTTTGCTGATTCTGCCCGGTCCGATACTGCAGTTACAAGGACGAGGATGGAATGCAAAAGCACATGAAGTCGCCGCCGGTGCTGGAGCTGGTCGAGCGCGGTGCAAAGGAGGACCTGACGGATGTGCAAGTCATACTGACGACCAAAGGAGCAGGTATTTCGTCCAAGCTCTGATAGGGGAAGCGATGAATGCAGTATTCCCAATCTCGAAATCGCCAAGATGAGTATGAGAGAAGGAGGAAGACAAAAGGAGTCTCACCGCCTTTCCTAATCGGGAGTCACCGCCTTCCAATCTCAAAATGATCATTCTGCCGTACTTATTGTTTCTCATCTGCTTGTCCCCGCCTCCGAGATGTTTGACTCTTGAAAAAATTTGATTTAAATGGGTTGACGAAAATAATCAATTCTCACTATTCAGTACGGTTTCATTTATTTGGCGAGCTTGATTCCAAAATACCTAGCAAATTATGTGATGAATGGCGGTACTCCTGCGTTGAGACGCTGTCCAACATCAGATCGCATAGTAGATGTGCGCCGAGATTTCGCAGGCAGCTTTCTGAAATTTCAAAACCCACCATGCAACCCTCATCCTCCTAACTACATCTACACACACAAACACACACGCACAAAACACACACCCGCTCAACGTAACAGAGAAATGTGTGATAGGGGGAATACCTCTCGCATTAGGGAGCTAGGCATAACCCAGCGGGCTACTCCCCTCAACGCATCATGGACCGGTGAATTGCGCGTGCGGTACGTTCCCCGCCCCGTTCCATTGACCTTCCCCCCCCCCATTGACAAACTAATGGGTAAATACAGATTCACAGACTTCCAGGTCAACGAGATCGGACCAGACGGAAAAGTTCTCCACCTTCGTACAATCGGACTAGGCGAGACTAAAGACGACAAGAAGAATGGCGACGACGGTTCCGCAGCAGCAGCAGCAGCAGCAGTAGAGGAGGAGGAGACGTTTGAAGTACCAGAGGAGGACGTGACTACCTTGTCTAACATCGCCGGTGAGAAATTCACCCAGGACCTGGTAGCTATGCTCAAGGCATCTGGAGAGCCTGACGCGCACAGGAAGAGGGTGACGGGCGAGGCCGACACGGACCGGTCCAAGCGTGGACAGATTCACCAGGAAGTGCGACGGATCTTCCAGTCCCGCATTGACACTAGCACGTCCGACACGGGAGCCATCGTGGCCAGCCTCGTCACCCGTCGGGGCAAGAAGCGCAGCCGTGGGGGTCGCGATGGGGGGCGGGACAGCGGACCCAAGCTCCCCGGGGCGGGCGACTACCTCCACTTCACGCTGTACAAGGACAACCGCGACACCATGGAAGCCGTCAACCAGGTGGCGCGCATGCTCCGCGTGAAGCCCCAGGTGATAGGGTACGCGGGGACCAAGGATCGGCGTGCGTCGACCGTGCAGCGCTGCTCGGTGCGGTACGCGCGCCCCGCCGCCCTGGCAGGCGCCAACGCTAAGCTGCGCGGCGTCGTGACGGGCGACTACGCCTTTGCCCAGAGCCCCATCCACCTCGGCAGTCTGAAGGGCAACGAGTTCGTCATCACCATCAAGGACTGCCACCTGGATGACGGTGTCAGTGACACTCCCACCAAGACCCTGGACCAGAGACTCGAGGACCTGCGCTCTAACGCCCAGGCCGCACTCGACCACATGGCCCGGCACGGCTGGATCAACTACTTTGGCCATCAGCGCTTCGGCACCCACCGCATCGGCACCCACGAGGTAGGCCGCCTCATCCTGTCAGAGAGGTACAAGGAGGCGGTCGAGTCCCTACTCTCCTACGACGCAGAGGTAGCAGAACGTGCCGAGTCGGCGGCGGCAGCAGCAGCCGCGACAGGAACAGAAGCGATGGCCCCTCCCTCTTCAGAGACTGCTGCTGCTGCTGCTGCTGCTGTTTCATCACCCCCCATGCGCGACGACGAGCAGGCCCGCCACAGAGCATGCATGCTCTTCATGACGGGCAAGGACCACTCGCTCGCCGAGCAGTTGATGCCCCGCCGCTTCGGCGCGGAGACGTGCATCCTGCGCCACCTGAACCGCGCGGGTGCCAAGTCCCGCGGCGACCACGTCGGTGCCCTGATACACATCACCCGCGGCCTGCGGTCCATGTACCTCCACGCGTACCAATCTCACGTGTGGAACCACGTCGCCAGTCGACGCTGGGAGCTGTACGGCGACAAGGTCGTCAAGGGCGATCTAGTCCAGGTCGACGACAACGACGCTGCTGCAGATGCCGCCGCAGCAGAGCCGGAGCGGGACCAAGACGGCCACGAGATAATCACGCCAGCTGCTGCTGACATCGCTGCCGACGATGACGACCAGTCTTCCCCCATGCGCGCCCGCCCGCTCACCCAGGCCGAGGCTGACAGCGGCAGGTACACCATCCACGATGTCTTCCTGCCCTCCCCAGGCTACGAAGTCGTGTACCCGGACAACGACATCGGCGCCTACTACGCCGAGTTTATGGGTCGACCGGAGAACGGTTCGCTCGACCCGCATTCCATGCGTCGTATCCGTCGCGAGTTCAGCCTGCCCGGTCGGTACCGCCGCCTCGTCAACTGCTTCCTCGCTGAGCCGTCCGTCGAGTTCAGGACCTACGCCAGGGACACGGAACAGATGCATCCCACTGATCTCGATGTCGTGCGTGCTTCTCTGCCTAAAAGGGTCAGGAAGACTGAGGGTGCGGATGAGAGGAACGATGAGGTTGCTCGGGAAGAGGGGAAGGAGGAGGAGGAGGAGCAGCTACCCGACAAGATTGCTGCTATTGTCAGGTTCCAGCTCGGGAGTAGTGCGTATGCTACCGTCACTCTGAGGGAGTTGATGGGTGATGGTCTGGATAAGGAGTAGCGTTTCCCTCACCGTTCTCCTCCCATGACCTTCTCTCGTCATTTTTCGCCTCCGTTCCCCTCCCCTACATGGTAGATCAATTCGCATCGCCTTTCTTGCAATACTCGTTCGTATTTCTGCTCCATAAACGAAGGGTTGTTGCATGATTTCCTGTATTCGAAGCCTCTTTGCTGTTCTGTTTCTCGTTGTTTTGCCTATATATAAATAAATAAAAAGAGGTAGAAAAATGCGTGCAAGCGTGCGCCAGAATATGCCGATACGGACGTCTTGAAAAATGAAGAAGAAATGTGTCTGTGTCCGCCATGTGCTTCCCGACCAGCGGCCTGCCATATATACATCTCCAAATACATCGGTATCATTCTCCCGTAGAAAGATACAAGGAAATGTACAACATTTTCCGTTCCCAAATAATTCATCATGTGCCGAAGAAGTCGGTCTGATTGTGGTTCTTGCGTGGGGGTTTATTTTGTCGGTCGTTCTGCGGTCGTGCACTGCATAGACTACGACTTGGACATATCTTCGTCCCAGCCCCATACATAGGAGAGGTACTTGGCCATGTTGACCCTCTTGGCGCGCATCTCGACCATCCAGGGGTGCTCGAGCATCTTCCATGGGCTGGCACGTCTGTTGGGTTGCTTTTCCAGGCTGTTTCTTGAGTGTCAGTGCATGTATAAGAAGAGGGCGAGAGTAGAATTGGGGGGGGGGGGGGGGGGGGGGGGGGGGGGGGGNTGCTTTTCCAGGCTGTTTCTTGAGTGTCAGTGCATGTATAAGAAGAGGGCGAGAGTAGAATTGGGGGGGGGGGGGGGGGGGGGGGGGGGGGGGGGAGAGAGGAGGGGGAAGGGGACGTACGAAGATTCGATAAAGTACTTGAAATTATCACTCCAGTAGACATTCATGTCGGGCTCGTCCTTGAGCCTGGGAACGGGCTGCTGGACAATGTAGGTGAGGAGGTCGATGAGACCGGCCTTGGGCTGGGATTCGGTGCCGTCAGCCGGGAAGGGGAAGCGGTGCTGGGCAACCTCGAGGAGGGTGACGCCGGTGGACCAGACGTCCGAGGTGATGGTGTAGGCCTGGCCGGTAATACGCTCGGGTGCCATGTAGTAGCTCGTGCCGATGAAGGTGTTGGCCTCGCCCTTTGTGCCGAAGTCACCCGAGACGCCAAAGTCGCAGAGCTTGACGGCGCCGTCGCGGCAGAGGAGGATGTTGGAGGGTTTGATGTCGCGGTGGATGATGCGCCTGGTGTGTAGGTACGTCAGGCCGCGGAGGACGCCCTCGGCGATCTTTCCGAGGACCTTCTCGCCGGTGCGACCGCCCAGGCGCTTCACCTCCTTGTAGATACTGTCGAGCGAGCCGCCCTCGCAGTACTCCATGGCGATGGAGATGGTGGCAGTCGAGGGGTCGACAAAGGCGCCGTAGTAGCGGCAGATGTGCTCCGAGGCGCAGTCCTTGTTGAAGCCCAGCTCACGCACAATCTGCCTCTTGACGTCCGGGTCCGGGTTGGTGGTGATGATCTTGAGGGCGAAGACGGTCTTGCCGCCCCTGAGCCTGGCCCTGGTGACGGCGCCTCCGGCTCCCTCGCCCAGGCTGCCAATCTCTTCGATCCTCTTCTCCATGCTGGCTATCCTCCAGCTCTCGTCGTCCATGTCCTCGACGTCCTTCGTCCTAGCCTTCTCCAGGGTCAGCTTGTCAAAGGCCTCGAGGCCCTGCAGGCTGCCGTCCCTCTCCATCTGGACGCCACCCTCGCTCCGCTCCGAGTACAAGGAGCCGACTGCGGAGACGGGATCTGGCGTGCCGTGCGTCCGGGGCACGCCAATTCCGTACTGGGAGGCGAATGACAGAGCCGAGTATTGCGAGCCGGCGGATGTGGGGTTGCTGGCGCGACCGTCGAGGGGACCGAAGCTCCCCGACCTCGAGTGGTCAGCGCTGCTCTCGCTGCCGCCGCCTGCCGACTGGCCCGGTTGGACGCCGGCGGGCCTCGAAGGCTGCTCCAGCGGCGTCACCTGGCTGCCCATGGGAGTGGCCAGGTGCAATGTGGGTAGTGGGGGCCTCGAAGGGGCACCGCCGCCGGCATTTCCGATGGGCTTTCCACTGGCGGATGAGGGTATGGATAAGCCAAGTCTCGGTGTGCGGGCAGCTCCGGGGCGCCCGCCTCCGATGGCAGGGCGGAGGGACGGCGGTGCAGATGGTAGCTGTGGGATAGACATTGTGGGTGGTTGCTAGGGGGGGGGGGAGATGTCAGCAACGAGGGTATCGTGGGCAAAACTGCAAGGTGATTCAGAGACGTATAGCATACCGGTTGAAGAGGAGCAGGATGAGGATCTTGGGACGGGTTAGACATTGCGACGGTGGCAATATCACACGACGTTACGAGAGTGATACCGCAGTCGGGGAGAGGCTGGTCGAGTGGGGAGTGTTTTGAGATGTAGCGAAACGTGTCGGATTGTGGGGGGGAGGGGGGGAGGATGTGTTCATCGACAGCTAATAACGGTCCATATGATACATGTGCAAACGTAGAGCCGGCCTGCCGACGGGAAGAAGGAAGAAGAAGGGAAGGAGCTATTGGATTTCGCGTCACGTTGGAGCTCACAACGTATCGAGACCAAGGTGTGGTTGAGCACTAGTAGTAGATAGTGGTGATAGGATATGGTATCGTGACAATGTGGTAGTAGAGTATGGCGTAATGGTGTATGGCAGAGGGTGGTCGGGTTTATGGATGTTGGGCTCGCAGCAAGTCGGAGGAAGAGTAAGGGATTGGAGCGAGCGTGTTTGGTGGGGGGGGGGGGGGGGGGGGGGGGGGGGGGGGAGGGAGCAGACGGGCAAGGTGGAGATGTCACGGTACTCGTACGTATGTACGGAGTATTACAGGCTAGAGGTTACAGGCAGGCAGGCNGGGGGGGGGAGGGAGCAGACGGGCAAGGTGGAGATGTCACGGTACTCGTACGTATGTACGGAGTATTACAGGCTAGAGGTTACAGGCAGGCAGGCAGGCAGGCAGGCTACTACTGTGCAGGCCTTGTAGGGGTGTGCACTCAACCATACAAGGTATTATCGCGAGCACAGCGTATCTGTAAGTATGTAAATAACTGCACAGTATTATCCGTACATATCCGTACGTATATGTATACCAAGTACGAGTACTGCCATGACTCCGACTGCGAAAAAGTGTCGAAGTAATATCTGCAGCCGCCGACGCCCATGTGGAATCGTGAGCTTGACAAGGAACCAGGGTTTACTCTGCAATCATCGATCAATACCATCTGCTTCTCGGTCCGTCCATCTGCGGGTGACAGGCGGGAGAGCAGAGAGGAGGAGGGATGGATGAATCACAGGGTCGGCGACGGGATGGAGTCCGTAGGAGACTCTTGCAGGGCTGTCGTAGGGCGCTCGCTCTCTATCGCTCCATCGTTCCACGGTGGCATGGTCCGTGGAACGCAGCGCCAGAGCACTGGCCGTCCAGTGGCCATGGTGGAGTGACTGCAGATATCCGTACTTGTTCCGGCGTCCCCGCCGCCCCCTGGGAACTTGGGTGATATTCCCTGCAGGCCTTCGCTGTAGCCAGTAGCAGCACGATACGTACACGGTACGGGTGGGCAGTCGCCCGGCCTCAACCTCCGCCATCCATGGAACACCCTTCCAACGCCCTGAGCTGTGAGCACGTTCACGTCCACTCTCATTGACGAATCTCGCAACGGGCTGAAACGGCGGGGCAGTCATCGACTATTACATGCAATCATACATGTACGGGTACGAAGTAATCTGTATGTTGCTCCAGGTCTACCACTCATCCCGGTCAGTGGCATTTGATAATATACCTAGACTACTCACTCCGTACTCGCTCGAAAACTTCTACAGGTATACGAGCATACTCATCATTTCCCAGCAGGTATAACTCATAAACCTGCGGTGACCAGATCCGACAATCAATCTCGCTTATGTGCTACAATCCATGCCATGTCTCGCTCCTCCTGCTCCGTCCTACGCTGCATTCAGCACACGTAACACTTCTGCGACAAGCTCAACTACCTACCAAATCATCTCATCGTCGTCACATTCTCACGAGGCCATCGGCCATCGTAGGCCTATTGCTGCTTTACGAGTGGTGCGAATACTATTATTCCTTGCTCGTACATCATACGGGTTAGACCATAGACCACGGACCGTGGACCAGGAATTCGGACTGTCCTGCCCTGACCCCTGCTGGCCCTGCCGCCCGCATGAGAAGCGGCGCAAGCAGAAAGTGACAACCTTGGACATCCCCCGTGTCGTCCCATCGTCACCCCTTGTCATCTTACTTGGGGGGCGAAAAACAAGGGCTTGTCATTGAGAGCAGGATCCTCCCCCATGTTCTGATCGCCTACTGGTTCCTTGAAATGTGCAAGCGCGCGTCTACAAGTTACAGGTTATGACCCGGGGGCTTGCATCTTTTAATTCCTCTTCTTCCTCTCTGTACCAGACTACTACCTACTGTACCACCTTTGATACACACACACACACACACACAATCATACGGCCCGGGAAGGAGGGGGGGGGGAGGGAAGGGGGAGAGAAGAAAAGAGAATTCTCTGTGTACATGTACCATCCCTGTACTGGTACGGAGTAGTAGCGTTGCTAGAGTCTAGAGTCTAGTGCTGGTACTCGTATGTTCCAATGCCTCAATATGACGAGTATCATCAGCAAGTTGCAACCAGTCTTGGCCATTACGCGTACCTTTCCTGGCGGATAGACATCCACCAACTAACACCATATGTGCCAACTATCAGTATGGAGTAACTCGTACGGCCGATGTACTCCGTACTCGTACCGCGCGCAGGTAGTCTACCTGTACAGATATACACGCGCAGCATAACACAGACCAGGGGGGCGGGGGACAATCAGCTGGGACGGGTAAAGGTATCTTGGCTAACAGGAGAAAGTGACCTACCTCTCTAGTGTGCCTAGAAACGGGAACATCCATTCATTCTGGGTAGGAAGAAGAGTGACTCTTGTCGCGGCCATCCTCATCTTCAACTCCCTCCCCAAGTCACATCCTTCCAATACTCACCCTTTCGAGACCCTCCCCGCCCATATTCCTACTCTCAAGGGCAGTACTAGTACTTGATCCATAGCAGGATTCCCTTCTTTCATCACAGCCCTTACCTGGCGTGTACCCCGTAAACAACCTGTTTTAGTCTACAATGGCGCATAATTCATGCTCTAAACTCCGAGACCTCGATGTTTTATACACACGACACGGTATAGCTTGGCACATGCCATTGTTCCCGTTTCGAGCATATAACTAATGCATTGTATATTCTATGTCTATGGCTCAAGTGACTATCTAAGCTTGTATATTATATGTGTGTGTCCTAGCACTAGGAAGTGTCTACCTAGAGTTGTATATTCTATGTGTGTGATAATGTCAGTGGTGAAGTGGACTCGATATCCGAGGGACTTGATACCAAGGAAGAAAGAAAAACAGAAGAAGGAGAGAAGAAAATCAAAGGCCTGTGTATCCAATGTCTAACGAAATCTAGTGTAGAAAAAACGAGTGATGTGCATGTGTGTAGACCGAGTTGTCGTCCTTTATTCCATCCTGGCACTCTTGGTCTTCTTGCTCCTCAGCTTCATCATGAGGAACACAAGGCCATACGATGACAGGCAGAAGAGAGCCGTGATACCAGTCTGTTACCACACGTTAGTTACTTGTAATCATACAAGCGTATCCGTGCAAGGATACACAATAGAGAATGGGGGGGGGTCAAGAAGGATACTCACATCGCGCCACGGGTAGTAAGCCTCCTTGAGGTTGAACGTCTGTGCATACTCTGCACCGGTAGCGAACGGGCAGTAGCTGCACTCGCCCACGGCCTGACGGTCCACCACGTACCCGGCGTTATCCCGCAGGAAGTCGGCCATGTACTGACCACACGTCTGTCCGCTGGGGACCTTGAACGTGGTGAGCTCCTCGGCTTTGCAGGTCACGTCGACGTCCCAGACGACGGTGCCGAACAGGCCGCCCATCAGGTAGTGGAACGGGTCGAGCCAATACAGCCAGTACTTCCAGAACGGCTGCATGTCAGAGTAAGGGGCCACGACACCGGCAAACGACACGAGGCCGGCTCCCAGGATGAGGGGGTTCATGACGGCCGCGAAGTAGTCATTGATGGCGTAGGCAGCAATGGCCTGGCCGATGGACGTGTATAAGAATTCGTAGACTTTTGGTGGTCAGCACTTTCATTGCATAAGGAACATGGAAAGGCAAAAAGGGACGTAATCTATGAACGATGAGAAGAACAGGCGGAAGCAGGAAAACTCACAGATCATTTGCAGATACACATGCCCAGAAACGTGTGCTGCAACGGGGAACCCGCAGGTAAAGTACCAGCAGCCAAAGTACACGGTGGCGCAGATGATTAGGTACGGAATCTCAGACAGGGCCTGGGCGCCGATAAAGGCCACCCAGTGGTACGTCTTGGACTTCTTCTCGCGGGTCTCGAAGATGTCGCGGTTGCGCAGGAAGTAAGGCTGCATCTGGCTGATGCAGCCGGGGCACACGAAGATGAAGTTGAAGATGGAGAAGAGGCGGAGCTGCAGCGAAAAGGTACCGTCGTCCAGCATCCAGAAGGTAAAGCCGCTGAAGAGGGCCGTGAAGGCGTGCAGTGTGATCTTGTTCCACACGTAGTCGGGGGACCTCCAGAGCTGCACCATGGACCGGTGCAACACTGTCCTGAGCTGGAACAATTTGGGCGCCGCGAAGCTGGGGCCTTCGTCAGCCTCGGCCTCCGTGGACGCCTGCCGGTTCAGCGACTCGAGAGTCGCAAACGCCTTCTCCCTCTCGGGTGACTTGTTCCACACGTCCACCCAGTCGACCTGGCTGCCCTTCATGCCCTGGATTACCTCGACCATGTGCTCGGCCGGGTTGACGTCCTCGGCGCACGGGGCACCGTTCCTGGCGAAGTAGTCGAGGAGGGTGCAAGAGTCCTTGCCGGCTAAAGGAAGGGATTGTGTTAGTCACCATAGGACATGTATCAAGGTTGTGTGTGTGTGTGGGGGGGGGGGGGGGGGTATAAATAGACCTACTTTCTCCAAAGTATGCCATCCTGCCACCCTTGGCAAGCAGCAGAACAGAATCAAACGCCTCAAACAGGACGGCCGAAGGCTGGTGGATGGTACATAGGACAGCCTGGCCGCCCTCGACGAGCTTGCGCAGGAATCGGATGATGTTGTAGGCCGACTGGCCGTCCAGACCTGATGTCGGTTCGTCGAGGAATAGGAGCGTAGGCTTAGCCACGAGTTCGACTCCCAGGGTCACGCGCTTCCTCTGTTCGACACTGAGACCAGCGCCGGGGACTGTAATAGATGTCAGTTAGAATTAGGAAGGAAAAAGATGATGACAGCTTTGTGCGTGTGTGTATGTGAAGAGAATGAGACTCACCTCCGATAAGGGCATCGCAAAGATCACGCAGCTCCAAAAGGTCAATGATGCGCTCGACATAGTCCAGTTTGTCACTATAAGGCACATCGTAGGGCTGGCGGAGGACGGCTGAGAAGATGAGAGCTTCCTTGACCGTGGCCGTGGGCTCGTGAACGTCCATTTGCTCGCAGTAACCCGTTGTCCTCTGGAAGGAAATGCCCTGAGGCTTGCCGTCGACGAGGATAGAGCCGCGAATCTCACCAGCGTCCTTGCGCTGGGCCAGTACATCCAGGAGGCTGTCCGAGAATCAATATTAGCCATGCCGTTCTGCGTGCACCCTAGCCTCTCTTCCAGGCGATGATGGCGATGTGATGATAACTTACGTAGTCTTTCCCGCACCGGAAGCGCCCATCAGGGCGGTGAGGTTACCAGGCTTGACAAAACCAAAGATCTTGTTGAGGAGCTGCTTCTGCGACCCGCCAGCCTTGACATAGTAGTCGAGGTCGTGCCAGGTAAAGGTGGACTGACGACCGGTCTGGTTGGGGGCGCCGAGGGACTTGCTCGACTCGGAGTCGGAGGCCTTCTCGGGGTCCTGGATCCTGTGGGATTCGTGCTTGCCCCTCTTGTAGAGCAGAACGGAGGAGCCGCCGTGGGAGCTCTTGAGCTCGAAGGCCAGGGAGGTGAGGGCGATAAAGAAGATCCACAGTGCGACGATGACGCCGAAGCCACGCCAGACGTGGCTGTAGGAGAAGCCGTACTGCAGGCGGATGTACTCGAGGCCGTCGATGACGCCCGAGGCGTCGCTGCCGGCGACGGTGCAGCCGGCGAACTCGGTGTCGTTTCCGTAGCCGTCGCCGAAGGGGACGAGCTGCGGAGCAACACACTGAAGCTTCAGGCCCTGGAACTCGTTGGCCATGAGGGACTCGAAGGCGTACGAGGCCGGGTTGAGGTAGAAGATCCACTTGAACCAAGGGTGCATCTTGTCAAAAGGGATGAGGTAGCCGCCGTAGACGAAGGCCACTGTCGACAGCAGGCCCGACAGCTGGCTGGCCGTGCCGAAAGAGCTGAACAGCGCGCCGATGCACCGGAACATCTGCGCGAACGACACGTTGTTGACGAAGACGATGATGAAGAAGGTAAAGAACTTGCCCGCGTTCATCTGCAGGCTCGCCATGAAGTACAGGATCAGCGAAAAGCACGTCACCTGCACGAAGACTACAGGCAGATCCGTAATGGCGTTGGCGATGCAGAAGGCAGTCGGCCGGAAGAAGGCCAACCGCTTCTGCCGGGCGAGAATCGGCCGTCCCTTGAAGGAGCCCACAGTTTCGGAGAGACCCTCGAGGAGGAAATATAGAACGGGAAAGTATAGCACGCCGGGTCGTCGAAAAATAGACTCGCTCGTCGAGGGGAGGTCATAGAACAGGCTACCGCACACGAGAGCCTGGATGATGGCCGAGACGATTTTGATAGCAAGCGACATCGGGTCACCCATCATGATTTGGAATTGTCTGGAAGGAAAGGGAAAAAAGAATGTTAGTCCGTCTCTTGTTTAGTTTGATTCCTTCCAAGGAAGATGGAGAGAGAGGAGGAAAACGTACCGGATGGTGGCATTGTAGACCTGCTCTGTCATACCAGCCGTGTACACGCTGCGCGGCAGCAGCCCAAGGCTTCTGAGCCTCTTCTCCTTCTCTGTGGCAATACGTAGATCGTCAACCTGGGCGCCGAGTTCGGCCGGGCTCTGGAACGAGGCGGCCATCTGCGCGCATAAGGAACTGGCCTGGTAGGCGGCCTCGAATTCCTGCGGGGTCTCGGGCACGCGGCCCTCGTATCCGGGGGCGACGATTCGTTCGGTCTTGACAGTCATGGATGTGAGGAAGTCGGCAATGTTGGCGCCCTTGGGGCACACGAAGCCCATCTGTTCAAAGTATTGCCTCGACGCGGCGCGTGGACCGTAGTAGGTGACGCGGCCGTCGGCCAGGACGAGGACCTTGTCGAACTGGTCGAAGATGCCGTTGCCGGCCTGGTACGTCGTTAGGACTATGGTCTTGCCGTCCTCGTCTGCGTAGCGGCGCAGCGTCTTGGAGAACTCGAGGGCCGTCTTGGAGTCGAGCCCTCGCGTCGGCTGGTCCCAGAGCTGGACGGGGCTCTGGCTGGCCATGACCTCGGCGAGGGACACTCGCTTCCTCTCCCCGCCGGACACACCGCGTATAAACTCGTCGCCAACGCGCGTCTTTCTGGTGTGGTGGATCCCCAGGGATTCTAGGATGGAGTCCCTTGTCTTGCTGATATAGGTGCCCTTGTTGGCCAACTCCTCGGGCCTGTCACGAGGAACCTTGTTTCTGAGGGCGAACTTCATGGCCCGGTTGACTGTCAATGACGGGAAGTGGATGTCATCTATATACATATCATTGTCAGTACTGGTCAGTCGAGAAGAACCCTGGAGGGGGGCAGAGAGAAGCGTACCTTCGGTGTTCATGACGATGTGCTGGCGAAACTTCTTGGCCTCGACATGGTTCATGCTGCCATAGTGTGTCTCGCCCGTCACTTCCTGGAAAGATTCCCTGTGGTTGGAGAGAACCCGAAGTAGAGACGTACATCCTGATCCCGGGCGGCCAAGAACAAGAAGCTGTTGGTGTTTTGTCTTGTTACTAAAGAGTCGTTTGCAAGTGAAGTTCAGGGGGGGGAGAGGAGAACCCACCATTTCTCCAGGTTGAACCTGGCCACTAACGTTGCGCAGGATAGTCTATATTTGTCCGGTCAGCGTTTTTTTCTTTCGGATCTTCTCTCCTATCCTTGCCCCTACATAAAAGAAAGGAGCAAGAAACCACTTACTCTGAGCGAAGGCTTTCCTGGAGCAACAAGCCTGATCAACTGCCTAGGATCGACTGAAGACCAGAGGTTGTCTCCCAGAGCCTGGTCGGGAGCAGTGACTCCAACCGTCAAACCCTTGAAGGACAGGGTGAGTCTCTTGGACAAGGCTGTTTCGGCATCGTCAAGTTCCTCATCGGCTTCGCCGCTAGGAGGGGAAACATCACCATCATTCTTCTCATTCCCCGCGTCGGTTGAGCCCTCGGGGTAGTAGTGTTCGACAGGTTCCTCTGCTCGTGCGACAGCTCCCGGAACGGCGTTTCCACCCATCTTTTTTCTTCTTTTTTTTGCTGTCCTTGCCGACACTGCACTATGGAGGGAAGAAAAGTGAGCTTGAACCAGTTTCTTCTTCTCTTCTCAACGAGCAACCGACATCCCAAACTGTAACGGTCCCTTATTAAGAGCGAAGGAAGAGAAGAAACAATACAGAACTGAAACGGGCATATAAAATTAGATATCTTCCCCCAAGTCCGTATTTCCCTTAAGTAATCCACCCAACCACGGTACCTCCGTAGAATAACTCCGTAGAATGACATCTTAGTAAAAGGGTCTCGATCTCGTTATTACACCATAGGGTTACTCCGTACACCGCATCCGTAATTCCGTAATTCCGTTATCCCTGCTCCGTCTCCCGTACATCCGAAAAAACCACCACATGTAAGCGAGAAGATGCACGATACAAGGCCCCCTTCACAACCAAACAAAGCTCAAGATTCTGATAGCTCCCCCCTTTGCTACTAAGCAGAAAGATGGAACCCACTAGGGTGGACCTACCCCATTCGGAGGACTAACTGGCGGCAAGGCGGAACTATCCTCTCTGTGCTGCGGGCGATGTTGGGTTATTAAGGGTTTATTAATTCGTTATCCCACTTTGGCAAGCAGATCTTTTCTCCCACTTAGATTAGAGGTGCTAAGTAACACGTGCCAGTTCCGAAAACTAATCTCGAGTGCCGGATGCAGCCACGGGGCAATATCCTCCGTGGTTGGCCCTTGACGGGCCCCATCGTTGGGATCCGGCAGTCTTGCGCAATGGCAACGACCAACCCGTGTAACAAGTGCGTGCATCAAAATCGCCTCCCCGCACAGCAGAAGGACGGGGTATCGTGACGACGCATAGGCCCCATGGTAATATGTCGTATTCGTACGCTGAAAATCAAGGCCTAAACACCCAATTTTGATTCGGATCAATAGACAGAAATGCGTCCATGTCGGTGACGCCGAAGTCAAAGTCTAGGCCCATGTTCATCGCTGCGAAGTCGTCCATCTGTGCATCACCCGTCTGCGGCTGATAGTGGTGATCGTTGTTGGTGTTGGCGTTTGTGCTGTTTGCACTGGTGGTGTCGCCCACGTCACCGCCGCCTCCACCTACGTAAGGAAAAGGCGGGTAACTCCTATCCGTCAGCGGTGTGGACGCCGCATCATTTCCGCCAAAAGGCCTCACAGACGCCGGGTCGTAGTCTGGCTGGCGTTGCTTGTTGAACGAGATGATCTTCTCGTCCAGCTCGGTCGTGGCACTGTCCACGGAGAATTCAGGTATCACCGTGCGGACCATGCGCACGAGGGCGGCGATGGTGATAGGCGTCTGTAGGCTTTCCGACGATAGCGACTTGCCTGGTAGCAGCAGCTGCAGACACTTGATGGACGATCGGATCCAGGGTAAGCTACGGTGGCTGCCATCAGTCTCCTGGAGGAGGTCGAGGGCAAACGTGTAGCAGGCTCCCTCCACAAAGAGGTTGAAATATTTTAGTTCCTGCAACACACAGAACGTTGCATTAGCGTTTCAGGTTTCGGAGCACAGGCACCAGACCAAGTGCGAGCTGAGGGCGTGCAGAGCTTGTAAGATTTTACAATAGGGTTGAGACACTTACTCTGCAAAGGACATTATCTCGGCATGCGCCAACCAGGAAGCTCATCAAATCCTTGGCTGCCTCCAGGCAGTAGTCGCAGGCCTTGTCCAGCCAGACAGGCGGCGTGTAGACAGGACGGCCTGGGCCGCCCTGCTTCCTCATCTTTGCCCGGAGAATGAGAAATGGTCGGAATGTGAGCTGGAGTGTATGGTGGTAGACTGTGCCGAGGAGAGTCAGCAGGTTGCCCCCGGGTATGAGCAGCAAGGATGTGAGTTACATGACGACAACAGAGCTTGAGAAAATCCAAGATGGCCGGGCTGGACACTGCCAGTCATCTTGACGCCGACTTTGCGTGGCTCCTTCTCCGCGAACTGGAGGAGCTCTTGCCGTATCTCGTTTGCAGAGGTCCACACGGGCAGTAGAGAGCTGTGACGGGGTGCGTAGATGCCCTGGACGCACATGGATATGATGCGACTTAGACGGGCCATGACACGTAGGAGCTCGTATTCTTTTGGTATGCTGTTTATATCACCTGGATCGCGCAATGAGCTTGGCCTTCCAAGCGAGAAGCCAGTCCACCTGCGGCAAGTCAGAATTTCTTGATCTCATGGAAATAGCAATGGGGGCAAGAACGGAGCGATGAAGACTTACGTCTCCCAAAAGTACAATGCCCAGACTGTGACAATCTTCTGCTCGCTGTCCTCCCTAGTATCCTGTCGACGAGAGAGGGTCTCCTTGTGAAGACCTGCGGCGATGGCACGCCGCACAGCAGACCCTATGTGAAGAAAGCCCGAATTAGGGCGTGCCCTCTCGGTGTGGATCTGGCCCAGCATGAAGTAGACCTGCACCATCTGCACATTGACCATCTCGTCGAGCTTCTCTATCCCCTGCTTCGCCCGTTGAAGGAGGTAGGTACACGCACCCTCCTCGCCCATGAGTTCGGCACCGAGGGCCAGCGCTAGAGCGACAATGATGTTGTCCGGAGTATCGAAGCTGAAGAGAGTCAAAGGTTTGAACATGGCATTCAGGCGCTGGCGGAACGTGGCTTTCGATATGCTGGGGAAGAACTGCCAGTACGTATCAAGGTACCTCTGCAGAAACTTCTGGGCGGCGTCCTTGTCGAGGAAGATGGCCGAGTTATCTCGGTTCCCCTGCGGCGAGGATGTCGCGCTGGCGAGATCGCCAAAGAAGAGGCGTCTGTGGCTGAAGAGGTCCAAGCCAGGGCCGACCTCCTCGAGGGACTGACGCGACAGGGATGCGGAGCAGGTGCCCTCTATCTGGTGGTAGATGGAATTCATGAGCGAGAAGATGGACGACGGGCCGTAGTATACCTGCACGAGCATGGAGGGCGAGGCGCCGTGGATGGCAGCCACGCTGGGGATGTTGATGTCCGGCCCACCACCGTCGTCGTCGTCATCGTCGGGCTGCTGGGCTGGGCCGACGTCGTCGTCAGTGCTGCCGCGATTGTTGTTGATGTGGGCCACCACGCCGGATGACGATACATGAGACCGCGGTTCCTTCATCGAATCCTGGACAGGCGTGACGTTCCTGCGCATCCGGTTGCGCGCCTTGGCCCGGTAGACGCAGGTCGATCCCCGAGCCGTACAGTGAGCACAAGGCTGGAGCCCGTCGCAGCGGATCTTGCGTGCACGGCACTCGTGGCACGCCTTGGATATGCGCGTCGTCATTGGCAATTGTGAGGCATTCCCGCCCGATGCCGAATTGAGTGGGTTGTGAGCAAGGAGCGATTCAGTGAGAGGGTTACTGCTTAGGCCAACTAAAGCTTGCTATGGGTGGAGAGTCGAGAGCGTGAGATACTGAAGTTGAAGGTCTCACCAGCTTCTCTAGTTCTCTTTTTCATCACCGATGAGTGTGTCACGGCCGTTATCCGTACCGGGGCCTTACCTAGTTGCACAACTTTTGCTTTCGCACTCCCTTTGGTACATAGTCGTATATATACTCGTACTCGTAGTTCTGCTTACCATTAGCGCCCCACTATCTTTTTATCCAGGGCTACAATTGCTTTCGCTTTGTTGTTTGAACAGTTGCTTATAGCATTGCTGTGTGTGCCGTGCGACGAGAACATTTACATTCCCTCCACGACTGTAAATCATTGGAAGTACACATGATAATATTGCTACTTGCACATGGGACAACAAGAAACCACTGTAGGCAAGAAATGTTCCAGCATAATAGTCAATCCTGAATAAGCACAGCATGTTTGGGTGTGCAGGGTGGCTCGGAATTACGGCAACGACGACGAATCTTCAGGTCTAACCGGGGTATCCATTTTTACCATATTAAACCCTGGGGACCGCTAAAGACCAGTACCTACAGCAGGTAGGTTAGCGGGCCTAAGGTCCCTGTAATTGACGTTGACAAAACTTTTTTTTTTTTTTTTTTACGTCTCGATCATGATCTAAAATTCACACATGTGATGTTATCTAGAGGGGGATAAACGCACACAAGACAACAATGCCTTCACTCGAATCAACTGGCCTCTCGGCTATGCCTGACAACAAGATCCAGGACGATGTAGACTCTTCATCCGACGAGTCAGACTACCTCGACAGCGCTGGCTCTCGCAAGCGTCGCCGGACGACGTCTACTACAAGCGGCAAGAAGGAGGATGGCGGCCAAGCCAACGACGACGACGATGGAAATGATTCCGAGGATGACGCTGAGCTGAAAGCTGCCGTGGCCATGATCAAGGCACCCTCGCGAGTCAAGATCCCGTCAGCATCCGAGAAGAGTAGCACGACCAGGACGGCTACTGCTGCTGTCCCTGTCGCCGAGCCCATACCGCAGAACCCGATACTGGCCGCTACAGACGCCGCGGCCACGTTTGCCGATATCGAGGTGCGGCCGTGGCTGGTGCAGTCGCTGAGCAACATGGCCATCCGGCGGCCGACGAGCATTCAGAAGGCCTGCATCCCGGAGATCCTGAAGGGGCGAGACTGCATAGGCGGCAGCCGGACGGGATCTGGAAAGACGGTGGCGTTTGCGGTGCCAATCCTGCAGCGGTGGGCGGAGGACCCGAGCGCCATCTTCGCGGTGGTGCTGACGCCGACGCGCGAGCTGGCGCTGCAGATATTCGAGCAGTTCAAGGCGATATCGTCCCCGCAGTCGCTCAAGGTGATACTGGTGACGGGCGGGGCGGACATGAAGACGCAGGCCATCGAGCTGGGGCGGCGGCCGCACGTGGTCATCGCCACGCCCGGCCGGCTGGCCGACCACATCCGCACGTCGGGGGAGGACACCATCTGCGGGCTGCGGCGGGTGCGCTTCGTCGTGCTGGACGAGGCGGACAGGCTGCTGGCCGACTCGGGCCACGGCAGCATGCTCCCCGACGTGGGGGAGTGCTTGTCGGTGCTCCCCGAGGCGTCAGAGCGGCAGACGCTCCTGTTCACGGCCACCATGACGCCCGAGGTGCGCGCCCTCAAAGACATGCCTCAGAAACCCGGCAAGCTGCCCGTGTTCGTGTGCGAGGTGGACACCAACATGCTCGCCATCCCCCCGACGCTCGACCAGAGGCACCTGCAGATCAACGTCACCCACAAGGAGCACTACCTGCACGCCTTCCTCCTGACCGAGGCCAACGCCGACAAGACCGTCATCCTCTTCTGCAACCGCACCGAGACGGCCAGCTACCTTCACCACCTGCTCCGCCTGCTCGACCACCGCGTCACGTCGCTGCACTCGAAGCTGCCGCAGCGCCAGCGGATCGACAATCTCGGCCGCTTCCGCGCCTCGGCCGCCCGCATCCTCGTCGCCACCGACGTCGCCGCCCGTGGCCTCGACATCCCGGAGGTCAGCCTCGTCATCAACTACGATATCCCCCGCGACCCGGACGACTACATCCACCGCGTCGGCCGTACCGCCCGTGCCGGACGTAAAGGCGAGGCCGTCACCTTTGTCGGCCAGCGCGACGTCGAGCTCGTCCTGGCCATCGAGAAGCGCGTGGGCAGGGAGATGGTCGCATGGGAGGAGGAGGGCGTCAACCTCGAGACCCGCGTCGTCAGGGACGCCCTCAGACCCGTCAGCGAGAAGAAGCGCGAGGCCCTGCTCGAGCTCGAGGAGGGTCGCGAGGTCGGGGGCAAGAGGAAGAGGACCAAGGAGAAGCTACGCGCTGAATAGACTGTCACCTGCCACTGTCACCTGGCCAACCGTGTCAGCTGGGGACTCGTTTCCACTCCGCCGCCCTTTTTCTTCTTTCTCATGTGTGGCATCTGTGTACCCCCCTTAGTGGGTGGGAAGATGGGGTAGATTGGAGAACATGATACATAATTCCACAATGAATTTCCCTAGTTGACGCGTACGCTACCCGTAGACGTAACTCTCTACTCCTCACCCGCCTTCGGCCTTCGGTCTTCGGCCTCTCCACCTCCCACCCGATTTTTTAAGGTTTGCCTTACCGAGACTCCTTGAATCGAATAGGCGGGGCTTCACTGGACAACATCATGTGCAAAAGTGAAAGCCCACGATTCAACTTGTTGGGAGGGAGGGTGCCGATCCGGGACTAAGAAGTCATGACGGATATACCACGACGGATATACCATGATTGGCCGACCCGAACACCTGGTCTCACGCCAAGTGTGTAATACACGTATGAGGTAGATGTGTGTGTGCGTGTGTGTGTGTGCCCCGATACTCTGGATCCTACCTACCGAGGGAGGGGAGCATCATATCAGCCGAAGATTGCACATGAATATTTTACTTTTGGCTAGATCGAAGTGCTCCTTTTGTCATCATTGATGACCATGTGGCCCGTTTGCCCTTATGAAGCGCCCGCGTGGTGACATCGGTGACTTCCCGCTTAGCGTCTTACACACATTAGATAAATCTTGGTAATCAACAAATGTCCAAGCTCGTTCCATATATGCGGTTGCCGTTGGTGTGAGCGCCGCAGGGCTTAGTGTAGAAATTCCACATAATAATAATACCTGTACACGAACACATATCCCCGGATAGGCTCTGAGATGTGATGACAGCTATCATCTGTAGAGTAGTACTGTACTAGGTAATAACGCGACAGTCATCCTAGCCTGACAGCCTTTGGAGCCGCGCAGACCTTTGAATGTACGCGGGGTCGCGTGTCGGTGTGCTGACGGGTTCTCTGCGGGGTTGCTGTGGCTTTCACGATAGGATATATCGTGTACCACGTATACAACCTCACACACACACACACACTCTCTCTCTCTCATACACACAAACAACTCTCTCTCAACGGACATCTCACACTAACACACGCACTCTCACGCACACCCTCTCCGCGGCTACACAGGGCCCGAGAAAAAAAAAGCACGCAACAGAAGCAATTCAAACATGGGAAGGATGATATCGCAAGAACGGAAAAATTCGGAAATGCAGAAATCATCTGGTCGTGGAACAGTGTGCCATGTGACGATGTCGAGAAGGAATACACGTACCGGATGATTCGGTCACTGGTGATATAATGTGGGATAAGGAGGGAAGGAAACTCTCGGAGCGCCGTATATGCCGTAAAGACCGAGTAGCGCGGACGTCGATAGGCTCCGCAACGGTTCAACCACTTTTTTCCCCCTCTATATCCTTGGACCTATGAGAATCGAGCGAGAGAAACGCGAGCCTCAATTTATTACTAAGTACACACCTCTTCGATATGAATCCCGTCTGAGACGGAATTGGGAGCTGGGAATGGCGCGAGGGGTGTGTGTGTATGCGTGCAATCCCGTCAATCCTGCCGGGGTGGAAGTAAACGGGAGCCCAGACGCGATAGCGGTCTAATCATTTACGGTACGGTACGGAGCTTTCGTATTGGCATCCCTACTAATACGTACGGAATGATAATCACCGTAATCGAGCTCCGTTTTATAGGCCTCATGCGTCTCGAAAAAGAAAAAAAAACTTGCCAATCAATCTCTACAGCCCCCCCACCTGGGCAATGCGGAATTACGGTACGGCGTACGGAACGAGGAGTAGCAAAGCAATGTTCTGTGATAGCCAATATACGGAGTACTAACCTCCGTATCACTCGTACATTTCTCGGCAGTGACAGGGGAGGGCGTGCTTTTTTCTCTTCCCTGATGATTGATCCCCTTTCACACCTTCAAGATTTCACTATCACCCCGGAAAGAGAGCACAGGCGCATTGCTCAAAAACACGCCGTGAAATTGACCGGGCCCTTTGTCTCTCCTACCCCCCCCGGGCCCATCTGCTTTCAGCCCTTTCAGGCTTCTGACACCCTGACAGGGGGCGGCGGGTGGGGGGAGGGGGGAAAGATGGTCAGGGGAGTGGTGGGGGGCTTTTCCTCTTCTTGAAATTCTTTTCTTTCCTCCTTGTTCAAAATTTTTTTTCTCTACCTCTCACATTTTCTGTATCTTCCTTCTTCTTTTGTGGAGTAATAATATGCAAAATAAATTAATGTCGCTGGGTCGGGCACGCGTGCAGCCTGCAGAACCTTTTTTAGACTGGTCCAGCCTTAAATATCTCGGCAGGGCAAGGTCCCCTGCGCGGCACTGGAGGCTCTTGGCGCCGTATTCGACGAACATGCGGCTCCATGTGTGGCAAATAGAAAAGATCTTCGGATATTCCGATATTGACAGCTTCTTTTCTTCTTCTTCTTCTTCGGAGTACAAGTATCCGTATTGATACCCCTGTATGATTTTCTTTCTATTTCTAGATATCCGACACTGGCTTCTTTCCTCTTTCTTCTCCTCCTTCGGAGTCCAAGTTTCCGTATTGATACCCCTGTGCAATCTTCTCTCCATTCCTAGATACGAGCGGCGGATCTATATACTCGTGGAATCGCTCCATTGGCAGACAAGGGGCTCCAAGTCGGTGGATTTACATGCACGTGGTAAAAAGTACCTTAAGACTGCCGCAGGTTGGGGGCCTTTATCTGGTTCATTCCTATTTTGCTCGTGATATCAGAGACAAGGCCTAAGTCGTGCTCAACTCCACTTCGCAAGAAGCCGTACCGTACGTTGTGAAGAATACGGACCGCGACGGTATCACCAGCAATGAGCTTCCGTTTCCAATCACGTGACCTACACATGTCGGATTAGTACTCGTATTCACCATCATTAACATGACTACGTGCAAAGCAGCTCCATGGTTGTCAGCACCTCAACTGCGGGAATTTCGTCTTTACGAGATCAGTGAGATCCTTTGAGATGGAAATGGCATGTAATGGCATGTTGATGACGATGAAAGCTATTTTGGAAGACGGTGAGATGGATTATTGTCATATAGACGTGAGAAAGAAAATCGCAAGAGTCGTCAATTGAATGAATCAAATAACAAGAGACGATTGAACTGAAAGAAAGAAAGAAAGAGAGGGGGGGGGAGAACAAGAGAGAAAGAAACACCATCAATCGCGCTGATTTCAAGTAATACATGCAGTATATACACTCGTCGCAATGCCATTATATACCATCAAGCGCTGTTCTACAATAGTCAACAACACCAAGGCGGGGGGGGGGGGGGGGGGGGGGCGTCTTAGGAAAAAAAAAAAAACAGCCACAACAAACCTCATATTTTGCGCGTCTTTAGAACCTCTCATCACCAACAGGCAACACTACCCACCACAGCACACACACAATGACACGCTTCCGCCCCTGCATCGACCTCCACGCCGGCGAGGTCAAGCAGATTGTCGGCGGCACGTTGGACAGCACCTCCCAGGCTCTGCAGACGAACTACGTGTCCAAGTACCCGTCGTCCCACTACGCCTCGCTCTACCGGGACAGCAACCTGACGGGTTCGCACGTCATAATGTTGGGGCCGGGTAACGACGTGGCCGCCCGCTCGGCCCTGGCCGCCTGGCCCTCCGGCCTCCAGGTGGGCGGCGGCATCACCGCTGCCAACGCCCGAGAGTGGGTCGATGCCGGGGCCGACAAGGTCATCATCACGTCCTACCTCTTCCCTGACGGCAGGTTCAGCCAGCAGAGGCTCGACGCCGTGCTCGAGTCCCTCGGTGGCGACACGGGTAGGCTGGTCATCGATCTGTCCTGCCGGAGAACCGGCGACGACAAGTGGCATGTCGCTATGAATAAGTGGCAGACTCTTACTGATATGGAGGTTAACCAAGGTGAGCCGCTCTCTCCCCCTCCTTCTCTCTCGTCTCGTTATTATCCACATGAGGTCATTTTCATCAACTAGAGTTGAAAACAAGGAGAGATCGTTACTGACAGTGGCGCGGGAAAACAGAATCAATCAAGTCTCTCGAGCCTTATTGCTCCGAGTTTCTCATCCACGCTGCTGACAATGAAGGCCTGCAAAAGGGTATCGACGAGAAGCTAGTAGAGAGGCTGTCGGAATGGTGCTCTATACCCGTCACGTATGCCGGTGGTGGTCGTCACCTCGGCGACCTCGACACCGTCAAGCGCATCAGCCGCGGAAAGGTCGACCTCACCATCGGCAGTGCGCTTGACTGCTTTGGTGGCTCGGGTGTCAAGTTTGATGACTGCGTTGAGTGGAATAGGCGACAGACGTCATAATGTGACTACATGTATCACTTAACACATATACCCATACACTACACACACACAACATGCCCGTGTCCATGTGGAAGACATATATATTGTACGCACACGCACAGCATATTACAAATGGTCGCTTGCGGTTGTGGATTTTATATAGGGAATTGACATCTGACAAAGAGTTCTTGTGAAACTGACAGGTTGTGAGACATGCTCGTAAAACAACTCTTTTCTTGTTTTTATTTCTTGCTCATGCCAATCTACATATCGAAATTCGCTCAAACCCCGTGACACGCCTTCAAAAAGAAGCAACAAACAAAAAAAATCTTTCATCGACTCGTCTATCCCACCCATACGCCGCCGCTTTCTATGTCATCATCTTGATATATGTCCTTTTTCTTTTGTTTCTTCCTTTCGATATTTTGTCCCCCCCCCCCCCCCCCCCAGAAAAAAACACATGGTGTTTTATTGATTGGTGCTTTATTCCTGGACTCCTCGCTTGAGACCCTTGACAAGCAGGCTCTGACCCGTCATGTCCTCGGGCTGGGGTAGACCCATGGCAGCGAGGATGGTGGGGGCGACATCTCCGAGGACACCCTCGTGCTCGGTGGTGCTCTTGAGGCCCCATCCCTCGGGAGCGTTGGCGATAATGAAGGGCACCTTGTTGGTGGTATGGCTGGTCTTGGGCTTGCCATCCGCAAACTTCATCTCCTCAGCGTTGCCGTGGTCGGCCGTAACGAACAGGACGTAGCCCTCCTTCTTGCAGCCCTCGTAGATCTTGGCAATGGCCTTGTCGCAGGCCTCAACGGCCGGAATGGCGGCCTCGTACACACCCGTGTGGCCGACCATGTCGGGGGCGGCCAGGTTGCACATAACAAAGGGGAACTTCTGCTCGGCCATGCGCTTGTTGACCTGGTTGGCGACACCGTCCTGCGACATCTCGGGGGCCTGGTCGTAGGTGGCGACGGACTTGTTAGAGGGCACAAGGTCCTGCTCCATGTCGCGAGTCTCCAGCGGGAAGGCCTTCTCCACACCACCGTTGAAGAAGAAGGTGACGTGGGCGTACTTCTCCGTCTCGGCGACGTGCACCTGCTCGACGTTCTGCTTGCCCAGCCACTCGGCAAGAACGTCCGTCATGACCTGCGGGGGGGACACGACGGGGAAGGGGTAGTCACTCTTGTACTGCGTCATGGTGGCCAGGCTGATCTTGGGGAAGGGGAAGTCGGGAAGGACGGAGCGGTCAACGTCGCCAAGAACCTGGGTTATCTGACGAACACGGTCTGACGGGACACACAACATTTAGTAGCGAAACATAAAAAGATAAGAGGAAGAAGTTTGTGGGACTTACCAGACCGGTAGTTGAAGAAGAGGACCGTGTCGTCATCTATGTCATACACAGACGTTAGCGCAACCCGATCAAATCAATCCTGGTAGCACGTCTATGAACGCACCCTTGATCCTGCGCTCGTCACCGCCGACGATGATGGGGGTGAGGAACTCGTCGCCGCTCTTGTTGCCCTCCTTGGCGTAGCTGTCCTTGATAGTCTGGACGGGGTCCTCGGAAGCGGTACCCTCCCCGAGGATCAGGCCCTTGAGGGCGCTGTACAGAAAAAAACGTCAAGTCAGCAAAGATGGGCAATGCCAGGTTGTAGTGTAAAACATACAGCTCAATTCGATCCCAGCGTTTGTCGCGGTCCATGGCGTAGTAACGGCCGACAATGGTGGCAATCTCACCAATGCCAATGTCCTTGGCTGTGTCGAGGAGCTCCTGGAGATATCCGGCACCGCTCTTGGGGTCGGTGTCACGACCGTCGCCGAAGAAGTGGATGAAGACCTTGGGGATCTCCATCTCCTTAGCGAGACGGAGGAGAGCATAGAGGTGAGTCTGCTTAGAGTGGACACCACCATGGCTGACAAGGCCCTATACAATCACATGTCACATTAGCCATCTACAAGGTGGGTTTGAGAGGAGAGAGACCAGAAGCGTCCCAAATAATTACTCACAGCAAGGTGAAGACGTCCGTTTCCATTCTTGGCACGCTCAAACGTTTCAACGAGGACCTTGTTCTTGTTGAGCTCATTCTTCTTGACAGTCTGGTCTGTTTTTTTTTTTTTTTTTTTCATGTCTCAGCCGTCGGGTATCCTTTTTCCTCCTTCGCTTGAGGAATTCGACCGGGGGGGAGGAAGGGGGAGTTGGGTGGGGGTTGGGGTCGGGGTCGGACAGTATACTGACCAATGCGAACGACATCCTGGTAGACAACACGACCAGCACCGATATTGAGGTGGCCGACCTCCGAGTTACCCATCAGACCCTCGGGGAGACCGACGGCGGTGGAAGAGGCTTCGAGCTGGGTGTAGCCGTCCTCGCTCTTGGCGAAGCCGCTCATGACGGGGCAGTTGGCGTTGGTGATGGCATCGCCATCCTTGGGGGAGTTCTCGCCGGGAATACCCCAGCCGTCAATGACGACTGGAATGTCAGAGTTAGCCTGGGTAGGTGTGGCGGGAGAGGCTGATAGCTCGCTGATAGCTCGTTGTTTGAAGCTCTCCCGGAGAGACAGGGGCAAAATGCAGGAGCTTAAAAGCTGCGGCGGGGTGGCGGGGCTGGAGGGGAAGGAGGGGGGAGGTGAACTCACCAAGGCAAGCCTTGGTCTCGGTCTTGGTCATCTTTACAGTTTGTACTTTGGACGATGTGAAAAAAGGAGGAAAGACGATAGGTAAGTTTCTCTGTAATTGTAGATGGGAAAGAGATGTTTTTAAGAAAAATCGCGTAGGAGGGTTTAAAGGAGGGGCAGCAGTAAAGCGCGGCGGCACCGCGGGGCTGTTTTCGATGTGGGTCTGCTGAGTTTCGCCAACGTCGTATGAGTACTCGTACGAGTAGTGGCATTACTCTGCTTTAATCGCGAATTTTTTGATGGCAATTTTTCCTTCATATCGTGACCACTCATGATAATGCTACATGATTCATAATTTAGAATACTACCAGTGGTCTCCATGCATTCTAGCAGTCGTGGTGTAGTGTAGTATGTAGAACAAGATAGCGTTGCGTGGTATTAATACTGGTTCCTGGTATCAAACGGGACGGCGCCGGCTTACATAACCATTGCTACTTGGGCGCCAGGTGCCCGTCACCAAGCTCGTCTGCTCAAAAACCAAAGCATGACGCTTAGATTGCCTATCTCTTATCGATACAGATATGGCATAGTGGGCTGATTGAGAAGACTCTACACTACTCCAATGCAAATGACGATGGTGTCCTGGGGCTGGCATTGACGCTTCTCCTTCTTTTCATCTTGAGCATTGATAGATCTTGGCTGTGGCTTATTGCGATGGAACTATACTCTATTCAAATGTGATCCTAGTGGTGAATAATCTTTATTCTCTGCTCCCCCCAAGATGGAGGCCCTGACCATCCATCCTCTACGGGAAGCGGTGTGCTTGGGAGAGACATGCATAATGGTGGTATCAACATTGCTGTTACAAGTCACGTAGTGTTGAGGGATGCACTTGCCTGCACGCTGGCTGTTCCCCAGATTAGGTGAAGAGGTCAAGGCGTTGAATCCCTCCATGTCTCTGGTTAAGATCAACGCCAATGAAGGTGCTGTGTTACCGAGTACGAACACACAAAGATGCGCGTACAAAAAACATGTACAGTGTACGGAGTATTGTAGAGGCCAAACAACGGTTGATATTAAGAAAGAAGGGAAAGGAAGAAGAAAGAATCCAAGGTTCGGTGTTATGAATGTCCTAAAAGTCCGCACATCCTAGATCTTGATAACGGTGCACCGTCGGGGCGAATGGCGAAATGGTCACGGCTATCGCCAAACAAGGGTTTCGACATATCTGGAACGTATAAAAAGGCATGCTTGTCCGGATAGATTATTGCTGGGAAATGCCAACTGTCAGATACTGCGGCAAGGAGTCAAGTGGCAAGATCGGTATCAGTAGTTTGGCGAGATGCGATGATTGATGACAGTGTTGACAATACGGAGTTAAAACCGCTAAGAGCGTAATATCAGTAATACGAAGTACCAGTAGGCCACTGGATTACGGGGTTAGTGTTACTGTGGTAACTCCGTAGTAGTATGCTGTCAGCCAGGCAATACGGTTTATGTCGAATAGTGACTCCGCATCACAGATCACAGGGCGTGAGTGACATTATAATTGGAATATCCTTCAACGGACAAAAGGGAGGGACAGAACGGGCCAAAGGGAGAGACGGAACGGGACAGGTGATTATGGAATCAGGATGAGTAACGGTGATGGAGGACGGAAAGTTTCTTTCACAGAAGGGTGCAGAAACGGAGAGAGACGGAGTTGGGGGTCATCGACTATGAAGCATGTACGGCTTACGAGAACAGGGCGCTAAACGAACGGAGGCCTAACCCCCCCCCCCCCCCCCCCCCGAGGTATCTAAATGCCGAAAGGTGCAAAGACGCACAGCCGTAATCATGCGGTGGACCAGGTAGTTTCACAACGCGAGGTACTTGAAAACTCTTTTTTTTTTTTTTTGCTGACTTATGAGCAGCGCACATGTCTATAGCGAAAGGGAAAAAAGAAAAGAAAAAAAGGTTGGGCGGAGACAAGCGGAGTTACCGACCGAGAGTGGGCTTGAAGGGGCGTGTGCGTTTGTAATGATGAGAGCGGGGACCGTTAATGGATGACTCCTTCCCTGTCTTAGCGGGGTGCCCTGGCCTGGACTGTGCCGTGCGCTGTCCGTGCTCACTAATGGGTGCCTGCTCACGTAAAACTGCTCACGTAAACCCGCTCACCCCCCCCCTCCCCCCTTTTCCCTGTCCCTGGTAGATCCCCACCATCTCGGATGTGGTGGATGACAAAAAAGAATGCCGCCAACTTCGCGCTCCTGTTCGGGTCCGTATCTCAGTCCGTTTAGGCGGAGCGAGCGGGCTTCACACAACTGCTTTCCACTTCGGGCTTTCCGGAACAAGGCAAACTCTCAGTCCAATACTGACTGCCGAACTTCACAATTACAAAAGCATCTCCATCCCCCCCTTTCCCACCCTTTCGTGTTTCTTGGCTCTTTACTTCAGATTCAACTCGACATTCATCAAAGCGCCTTATTCTCAAGCAAAGCAACTACCAACTTCATCTACGCACCAACAAGTGCGAACGACTCCTCCTTTTGGACAATACTATACACGCCCCCCATCTCCACCGCCCCGTCACACACCCCGGCATCGGTCCCATAACAAAAAAAAAAAAAAAGAGGCCTACATTGACTCACATCCAGCGGAACGGAGACGAGGGACAAAGCAGAAAATTCAGACACTGGAAAAAAAAAAAAAAAAAAAAAGGGACACATCCCTGCCGCACCTCTACCTCGCCAAACGAACACTATTATAAAGCACATCCTGCTCCTCATACACACACACACACTCGCACACACTCACACAAGTACAATGACTACTACAATGTCTGCTACTACAACTACAACTACTCCACCGCAACACGTCAGCTTCCACACACCTACCGATACCCTTCGCCAGTCGACACTCAAGAAGAGCATGTCTATCACGCAGACATACTACCTGGCCCACAAGGCACGGGCCAAGCTGTCCCGCGAGGCTGCCCAGGCCGATCACGACCTTCGTCTCCTGGTCGGACACGCCAACCTCCTCGACACCCTCATGGTCGAGCTGGCTGATGCCGAGCGTGAGCAGGAACGCTGGTTCAACCAGTCCGTCCGCACCGCCGATCACAAGCAGGAGCGCCAGGTGCAGTGGGATAACAACCAACACCTGAGCGAGGTCGCCGAGGAGGAGGAGGACGAGGTCGACGACACCGACTCCGAATCCGAATCTGACTATGACTCCGATGACGAGTTCTACGAGGAGTCCGCCACCGCGGCCTTCACCACCCTCCGTCCCAAGTCCACCATCAAGGCGGTCGAGGCCGAGGACGACGAGATGATGGAGGACAACCTCGAGGAGGACTACGCACAGCTCGAACTCGTCCGTACCCCTTCGCACACCAACAGCGCTCCTCCCGGCCTCGTCGACGAGACAGGCGAGACCGACGAGTCTGAAGACGAGTCCATGCCTCCATCCCCCGCCACCCCCACTGCCACCCTCGCTTCCATGCCCGATGCAATCAACCAGGAGACACGAGAAGAGTACGACGACTACCTTTCTCAAGACACAAAGCAGTCGACGACAGCGACGACGATGGTGACAGCCATCCCTGTCTGCTAAAAAAAAAAAGATAACATACGACAATCTCTTCTCTCCTGTCTTTCACACAGCATCTTATGAGCATATTACGAGCATTTACACTGGGAATTGGGCTTGGCATTCCTTATGAGGCGTCTTCTATTTTTATACTGTTACAATATACCTGGGGTCGGCGTTTTTATATATCAGGAACAATCATTTCTTTTCGTTATTATCTGGGATAAGGGGAAAAACACCACTCTGCAAAGAACCATGTTTCCGCTCCCACAATCAGTGGTTGAGTGGCATGGAAGGGCTTGGAATATATGGGGCACCGGACATGGGATCCGATGCATATAAATGACAAAAAAATTCTTGACAAAAATCCAATGTCTATTGAAATCTAAAATATCACCTCTTCATTGTGTGTTAATCTCTGCCATGTCTATAGCAAGGTCAAAGTTACTGGATGTCGCCCAAGAAGCTCGAACCTTGAGGGTTTCCTCGCGACCGGTAAAGAACGGGCCAAACCAATGCTCTCGGAAGCCGATCGGAAAGTCTGAAAAGAGCGGAAGCAAGGAAGAGAGACAGTCAAAGAGTCAAAGAGTGGGTACATGCACGCGACAGACTGCGCGGGCGGGAGTCAATCATGTGAATCAAGTAGAGTGGATACAGAGTTGTGCCTGATGGTGATCAGTGATCGGGCCTGCGGGCGAATTTGGTCTGCGGACGGGGTTTATCTACTCGTACGAGTATATAGTCGTATGTAGTACGGAGTACGTAGCTGAGCCTCTATACACTACGGATACAGTGATTGAAATTGAAGAGAGAAAGATGTGGAAAGATAAAAAAACAAGAGATTATTAATAATAATAAAAAGGAAAAAAAAGGAAGAAAAAAAAAAGAATGTTGTCAAAAGCTGAAGATTTTACCGAGTAGTTAGTTGTTGGCTATAACTCATTTCTTCTTTTACCGCTCCAAAGACTTGGGACTCGCAATATGCTATCAGAGCTGAGACATGAATGATAGGCTATAGCCAAGACAAAAAGAAAAAGAAAAGAGGGGGGGCGGGGGGGGGGAGATACGGATGAATGCGGGTATTTTAGGCGGTGACAATCGCTGCATAATCAACTTTGACTTATACTAATAGATGTGGAAAAGCACACAAGGTCGATGGTGTGCTGTGTTGTGTGATTTCTGTGGCTGCTTGCACTGCACACTTCAACATGAAACTGCTGCGCTGTAACACTGCAAGTATGAATCAGAGACATTCATGGAGGGGGGAGGGGGGAGGTTGACGAGGCGCATGTGTGTGTGTGCGTGTGTGTGTATGTGTGTGTGTGTGGTTGGATATATGGATTTCGTTCTGTTTGTCTGACGAATCCAGAAATCTTGCAGCTAATCGATCAAGGTGCGGTAGTGCTCAACAATCTGACGGTACTCGCTATTACTGGTACTCGCTGTTGTACTGGCACTCGCTATTACTGGCACTCGCTACTCGTAACCTATTACTGGCTACAATACTGGCTATAACTGGTACTCACTTGATACTAATACTCACTATTCTTAGCACTCGTTTGAGGATCATTCAAGAATTACTTCAATAACAAAACAATGCTCTGGTAGTCAGTCAATCATCTCATCCCTATTTCTCTTTTGCTGGGATGCGAGCATTTTTGCTGACAAGTCTGTGGTGTCCGCCTTCTCTCTCCCCACTCCGATATGCAAGGCGTGTTGGGAAAAAAAATTGAAGGAGAAAAAAATTGACAATGTTCAAGAGAGAGAAAAGAGAGAGAGAGGCCCCCACTGCCGAGTCCGAGCCCGGTCAGTCGGACAGTGGTAACTTGGCTTGGCCCGGAGACTCTTATTTTATTTTTACTCTTACTTTTATTTCTATATTATATCTAATCTTTTATGACAGGGGGGGTATCTGTAAAGCGGTAAGTTACTGTAGGTACAGCCCCGAGGCGAAACGGGATTCGGATTTCTCGTATTGACCGTTTCACCCGTGTTCGCGAAACAGCGACATACCGAGGGGGGGGGTGTAGATCTATCACCGGGGTGCGCTGCTACTCTCAGCTCCGTACCGTACCGTCTTGTCTGCATTACATAATCGTTCTCTTCTGCCAAACACCGAGGCGGTCCTGCTAGCACCGTAACCCATCATCATTTTCGACGTCGGGGCGCTTCGGATCAACGGCAGACTCCCCGGAACGACACCCGTGTAAGAGGGGTAAGGAGGCTCAGACCGCGGGGCTGATGGGATATATGGAGAAAGATGTGTATAACCAGCATTTATCGCATCATCACCATGACTAGAGAGGAAGATGCAGCCTACGATACTTTGGCGTACAGCTGTCTCGTACGAGACGAACTACCTCAGGTCGTCTGGCTGCCTGTCTGTTGGATTATCTATTCTGAAGCGTCGAGACATGCTTTTTGATGCTTGGTGCTGAATAACAGTCTAGAAATCTTTATTCCTTTCCGCAAAAAAAGGCAAGACGACGCTTTGGTGGCTTAGACGTCCTGTCATTATTGGGCTGTGCTACGCCACGTTTAATTCTCCCCCAAGCTATATGATGGTGGTAAGTAGACGGAACCATTCGTTTCAACGTCCTTCTTCCTTTTTTGATACGTTCTGGCCAGTGGCTTAGCCAATATTACACGCGTAAAACCTGTACCGTTGTCGGTTCGCTATGCAGGTCATAGTGTTTGTATTGCACAGCCGAGATCTTAGTCCGCTTGGCTTGCTTTATCCCGATGAGAGATAGTTCGAACAAGAATGCCGAAAGAAAGGAAATAGAGCAATGAAAGCTAATACAATACCAGCAAAAAGAGAAAGTAAGAGACGATCCAAGGCTTTGAATCATCCATTGCGGTCGCCCAATCATGTTGTAACGAAGCAGCTTCGTAATCCGAGTCCATGTACGGATCAACCAAGGAGGCACCGTCTCCACACTAGCTCGGTCCATCGATTTCTCTCTACCGACCTCCGAACCTGGATGGAGCAACCACCACACAAACACCCTGACCAATCCACCACCACAACTCCGTGAGCTCCCCCCCCCCCGCATTACAACACCCCATCACGGTGTCAATGAGACCCATAACGAAACGCTCCTTCGCAAGAGGCAGCAGCAGGGTCTCCCCCCCCTCCTCCTCCTCAATCTGCCCTAGCTGCCAGCACCGCAGAGCTTTCTCCTCATCAACGTCGTCATCGACACCGCCGCCGCCGCCGCCGTCATCGGGCATTGCGCCTCTACCCTCCCGACAGCTCCTATCCGTCGCCGGACCCGATGCCGCCAAATTTCTCCAGGGCATCGTGACAGCCAATGTCCTGGGCGCCGACGGCCACGGCACGCGCGCCGACCCGTGCTACGCCGGCTTCCTCAACGCCACGGGGCGCGTCATGCACGACGTCTTCATATACCCATCCGGACGGGGCTTCGCGGGCCGGCAGGAGGACGACGCGTTCCTGATAGAGGCCGACGCCGACAAGATAGACCAGCTGGCCCGGCTGGTCCGGCGGTACAAGCTGCGTGCCAAGGTGGACATGCGGCGCATCCAACCCGGCGAGATGACGGTGTGGCAGGCATGGGACGATGCGGCGGCGGCAGCAGCGACACCGGCGGGGATCCCGCAATCGACCAGCTCGACTATACTCTTCCACGACCACCGCGCACCCGGCATGGGCCATCGGATAGTGCAACTCGGCGACGCTCCGCCCCCGCAGGTGCAGCTCGACCGCAGCACCGAGGACGCTTACACAATCCGTCGGTACCTGCGTGGCGTGGCCGAGGGCCAGTCTGAGATCATACGCGAAGCCGCCCTCCCGCAGGAAAGCAACATGGACCTCATGGGCGGCATCGACTTCCGCAAGGGCTGCTACGTGGGACAGGAGCTTACCATCCGCACGCGCCACCGCGGTGTCGTCCGCAAGCGAATCCTTCCCTGCGTCATCTACGACAAAGACTCCGGCTCCCCGCCGCCAGATACGCTCGCCTACCGGCCCGAGGATGCGCCCGTCCTCGCCGAAACTGTCCCCGCCGAGACGAGCATCGCCCGCTTCCAGAAGCGCGGCCGCAGCGCCGGCAAATGGCTTCGCGGCGTCGGCAACATCGGCCTCGGGCTGTGTCGCCTAGAAATCATGGCGGGTGTTGAACTCCCCGGTGAGACGGCCGCCATGTCGTTTGACCCGTCGCACGAGTTCTTGCTCGAGTGGGGCACTGATGATGCCCGTGAGAGCGTCAAGGTCAAGGCCTTCCTGCCTGATTGGGTCCAGGCTGGGTTGGACGGGGCGGCGAAGCGGTGACGTCGCCCGGGAATTGCATAATCAACCATATTTGTTGTAACATCATCATCTAGTCTAAAAATTAATTCCCCAAAATGTATGTCATATCAACCTTGCACGCAACGCGTCTCTCCAATACTGTGTGAAAGCTGTTCCTTTCTTTCCGTCAGATATGGGTAGTGGGGTTGTCAGACGGAGCGGCGGAATAACCTCTTCCGGTGGATGACCCAGCTCCTTATTCCAACAGTGGTGTCAATCACGTGACCGTATGCTCTGCTATGCGTTCATGAAAACACATCAACGCCTGTATAAACTTGACAACAGCACAACCACAACGGGCGACTAGCGGAGGGGCGATAGAAGAACAGAGGAAATACTTTGTCAAAAGATTGTTTTCCTTCCTCTTACACGGAGAAATCTTGGACCACTAATCCTCAGGCCACACGAAACCTGATTTTCGTCAATCTCAACATCAGGCCTCTTGTACCCTTAGACTTTCCGCAGCACAGCCCGCCATCATGGCCGACGACAACAAGGCGGACCTTGTCCGGTTTGCCAGCGAGTATGCAGACAAAGACATCGACCTCTTCGATCTTCTAGGCATCGATGCACTGACGCCCAAGGCGGATATCCACCGTGCATGGCGCAAACGGTCCCTAAAGTACCACCCTGACAAGGCGGGTGAGGCCTTCGACGCGTCGAAATGGGAGCTTTTCGAGCGCGCGCGCGACGTGCTGTCAGACGAGTCGGCGCGGTTGGCGTACGAGCAGGCCACCAAGTCTAAGCTCCTTCGGCGTCAGGAGCGTGACGCCCTGGACCGAGACCGCCGCCGGTATGCCGACGAGCTCGAGGCGGCCGAGCGGGCGGCCAGGCAGGAGCGAGAGGCTAAAACGCAGAAGGATCGCGAGGCAATGGACAGGGAGAGGGCCCGGCTCGCCGAAGCCCAGCGCATGCGCGACCAGGAGATCAAGCGCCAGGCCGAGGCGGAGCAGGAACACGACATGCTCGCCGAGGCCAGGCGGAGGGTCAGGGAGAGGAAGGAGGAGAAGGCCAGGAGGAAGATGGCAAAGGAGACCAACAAAGCTGCTGGACGGCCTGCGGGGGTCCCGGTCAATGGCGTCGTCCTAGTTCCCGGAGACTACGTGGCTGACCTCCCTGACGGCGATGCTTCCAAGAAGCAGTACTGGGAGCTTGTGTGCGACAAGCTCCGTGCTGTGCAGGCTGCCAGGAACTTGGCGGGCTCGGAAGCTGCTGCCGACGACATCCGTTCTGCTGAGGCGAGTGTTCACGAGGCGAGGCAGCGTATTTCCCTGGCCGAGGACAAATACCGACAGGAGACGGCTGCTTAATGCTCCCTTTTGATTTTGCGGGGAGGGGGGAGGAAGGTGAATACATAATGATGCCTGATTTTTCTTTTGTCTTGATGCAATATTGATTTATTTGTACTTTCCGTTTCTGACCTTTTCAAAGCTACGGATCCTCGTCAAGGCGCAACACCTTGATTGCATTGTCTCCCATGATGGCAGCTGCCCCAGACGAGCCCTTCCCGACAGCCCTCTCCACTGCCTCAGCGTTCATGCTGACACTCTCCCACTTGCCCTGCTCGTCAGATGTTAGCGGTGGGAAGAAGGGGTGATCCGTTCCAAACATGAGCCTGTCAGCGCCGCTGGCGTCAATGGCAGCCTTGAGCCCGACCTCGGAATATACGACAGCGTCAAGGTACACCTGCTCCTTGAGGACGTCCCATACGGTACGGCGACCGCTTCCAACCTTGCCCTCGGCGACCAGCTGCCCGTCATGCAGAATGCAGCTCTCGATCCTGCCAGCCAGGAAGGGTAGGGTGCCGCCGCTGTGGGCTAGTATCATACGCAGTCGGGGTACCTTTTCGAACACGCCAGACAGGTACATGCGCGTGACGGCGATGGTGGTCTCCATGGGGAAACCCAGGGCCAACGGCAGCACATGGCCGTATTCCGCGCTCGCGCGGGGGCCCCACATCTCGACGGGAAGTCCGTAGTGAGGATGGAGGAAAACGGGCAGCGCAGCGGCGGCCAGGGCCTCGAAGATGGGCACCAGGTCCGGGTCATCTAACCCTTTGCCCAGCCCTGATGTGCCCAGGATGACACCTCGGCAGTACTTGAGCCCCTTGGCGTATTCGACGGCGGAACGTATCGTTGCCAACGGTGCCGTCAGCGGCAGCGTCGCAAAGAAGAATAGCCGGCCCGGGTGCTTAGCGCACATGGACGAGAAATCCCGGTTGACCGACTCGGCCATAGGACCCGACTCGTTCGCGCTCAGGAAGTCGAGCCACGGGTTGGCAAGCGACACAACGGACGTGTGGATACCATGCGTGTCCATGAAGTGCATCTTCTGCTCGAGGGACGCATAGTGCGACGTCAGCGGTCGGCCGGGAAGCTTCTTGCTGGTAGACGACGGGTCGGCGGTCGCGTCCTCTAGCGACTCGACTTCAGCCTTGAGCAGGATCAGACGCGGGTCGGCTGCCTGCGGGAATGACCGCACGAGGGGGATCGTGGTTCGCGACTCGAGAATTTTGATGTACGATGGGGGGTACATGTGCGTGTGAATGTCGACAATGCGCCGTTTCGACGACGGTATCGAGCCCGACATGGTGAGGACTCCTGCTGCGCTACCGATGGTTCGGCCCGCGTCTTGGAGGATGTTTCACGGGAGAGAACAGATGCGCAGACACCCACCCCCGCGGTTGATCACTTCACGGGGATTTATTCTGGCAGGTTTGCCGACGTCGGCTACGCGCATATCCACCTGTACGATTCAGGAAGGTGTTGTAATGGCTGTGGGATAATGGGCTGACTGGCACCCCGCCTGTTATCAACGTTATCTTGATGGCACCTCGAGATATGCCGTGTACATCCTCGTAATACAATGCTATTACCGCCTTTGCCCATATGTGGGACGCACCGGCGTTAAATATACAAACAAAAAAAACCACCAGTAGCTTATCATTCTATTACCCGAGCTAAATGGTCTTGGTAAAAGCTCTTATCATTCGTTCCGTACACTCTGCTATCATGACTTATCCCCGCACTATCTCCTCCATATCTACATGACTCCCGCTTCTATACGAGTTACTATCTACAGTATCTGGGGATGTCGTATCTGGCGGGGTACTAATACCACCACCACCACTGGATAGTACTTTGATGAATCCATCCCGCATTGTTATCTGGCTCGGCTCTGTATTCCAACCGAGAAGAGGCGGCACAGTCCGATATATACGATGCCAAGGAGAGGAGAGATAATCATCACATAGGCTTCTTTGAGCATCACCACCACCGACTACACAGACACTGTCACCCCACCATAACACAACCATCACCATCTCTTTCTCTCTCTCGCATAATACTGCCTCACAGGTGAAGCCTTAACAGAATGGCTTCAGAGACAGCTGTCAGCCGTGAGGGGCTCAGCATCCCGGTGAGCCCTCCCATCCTCTTCTTGTCCGTGCACGCAGCTAAACATGTCTCCTGCCAACTACAGCTCATCGACTTTTCCAAATTCCTCCGCGGCACCCACGATGAGCGCAAGAAGACGGCAGATGCCATTCTTTCGGGCTTCCAGACGGCCGGCTTCATCTACCTCCGCAACCACGACATCGCACCGGACCTGGTGAAGCACACGTTCAAGCGGTCGGCCGACTTCTTCGCGCAGGAGGACCAGGCCAAGATGGACGTGTGCTGGACCACGCCCCAGGCCAACAGGGGATACTCGGCCCCCGGCCGGGAGAAGGTGTCGCAGCTCAAGGACGCGAGCGACGTGGAAAAGGTACGGTCGGCGGCTCCCGATCTCAAGGAGAGCTACGAGATCGGACGCGAGAGCGAAGCCGGCCTCCCGAATCAGTGGCCAGTCGAGGACGGCGGCCGCAACGCCGAGATGGTGGGCTTCAAGACCGACATGCTGCGCTTCTTTGATGCCTGCAAGGCCATGCACGTCGAGGTCATGAGGGCCATTGCCGTGGGCATGGGCCTTGACGAGACCTTCTTCGACCACTTTGTTGATGTGGGAGACAATACGTTGCGTCTGCTGCATTACCCGGCCGTCGACTCGGACACGTGGAAGCTCAAGCCGAACACGGTCCGGGCTGGCGAGCATAGTGTATGTTTCCCCTCTTGTCTTTCCTTCCTCCCTCCCCCCTATCACTCGCTCCCTTACGGGTAAGCATGAACCTGCCTGACTAACTCCTCCCGACAGGACTACGGCTCCATCACGCTGCTCTTCCAGGATAGTCGCGGAGGTCTGCAGGTCAAGAGCCCGACTGGCAAGTTTGTCGACGCCACGCCCATAGAGGGCACCATTGTCGTTAACGCCGGCGACCTGCTCGCGCGATGGAGCAACGACACCATCAAGAGCACCATTCACCGCGTCGTCGAGCCCCCGCGAAAGGAGGGCGCTCAGTATCCGCCTCGGTACTCCATCGCGTAAGTAGAGTCCATCGTACCCTACGGCTGCTTACCACGTTCGAAGGACACTATAGACTGACAAAAGGAATAACAGATACTTCTGCAACCCCAACTTCAAAGACTTTATCGAGGTCCTGCCGGGGACGTATTCTTCAGAGGAGGAAAAGAAGTACAAGGGCATCACGAGCGGCGATTATCTTGTCCAGCGACTTGCTGCCACGTATTAGCACAAGGGTCAATAATATCAATTCGTGAGTCGTAGACGATTGTATGTATCGTAATGGTTGGTGGCTTCCAGCTGAAGCTCGAGTCTCCACAGCGTGAGACAATTGACCATCCTCCCAAGACATTCCATCCAACGAACTGCCGGCTCTCCTCTATTCTTTTCTTTTTTCTCTTCGTACTTTGGAATTCTGTGCCGTAGCATATCAGCGCCTCGTCTAGCTGTTGTTGCGCTGTCCAACAAGTTGTTTAATCCCTGCTTGTTGAGGAGCTCCCCATTCAAGCTACATGGGGAGAGTCCCCACTCCACCCACGCACGACCTGGAGTAGAACAAAACACCAAATCTGTCGCCCGCCCTTTCTGAACAGCTCCCTTCTCCTCTCCCTATCATCACCATTTCTTTTTCTTCCTTTCTTGTTTTTCTTTCTTCCCCTCCATATCCCGATTCCGTAATTCCTGGGACACTCAGCCATGGCTTCTTCTCGCGCAGGACAGACCACCCAGAGCGGAGGCAAGAAGCAGCCCAAGCCTTCGTCACCCGTCAAGACGGCCTACCTAGTTCTGTACAACACCTTGTCAGCGGCCGCATGGTCCGTCGTGCTGTTCCGCACCCTGTCCATTGCCATCCAGCAGGATCCCAAGCTCGTCCACGTCGGGGTGGGGGAGTGGACAAAGTGGACGCAGACGGGTGCTCTTCTCGAGGTCCTGCACTCTCTTCTGGGTATGCACGCGCACACACATCCCTGTTCTGCACGAGCCGCGGCCCATCGCTAACGAAAAGATCGCCGTCCCCCTCTCCCCCAGGCATCGTTCGCGCTCCCCTGATGACGACGGTCATGCAGGTCGCATCCCGTATCCTGCTTGTCTGGGGCGTCGTCCACCCGTTCCCCGAGGTAGCCCTCTCGACAAACTTCTACTCGTCCATGCTCATCGCCTGGTCCGTCACCGAAGTCATCCGCTACTCCTTCTTCGCCTTCTCGCTCAGCCTCGGCTCGACCCCGGGCCTCCTCACATGGCTGCGCTACAATACCTTCTTCGTGCTGTATCCTCTCGGCATCACGAGCGAGTGCGCCCTCATCTGGTTCGCCACCGGTCCTGCCGCCCACCTCCATCAGCTGTACCAATATGCTCTCTATGCTATCCTGGCCATCTACGTTCCCGGTAAGGACCCTACCCCCCGAACCTGTCGTCACCCTGTCCTGATCGTTGTGATAAACCAGGCTCCTACACTCTGTATACGTACATGATGAAGCAGCGTGGCAAGGTCATGCGCGACCTCAAGGTCAAGAAGACGCAGTAAAGAGACGACTAGGAAAGAATCCTGCTTGCCCTGTCCGATCAATACCGAACCGAGATATCATTCTTTCGGCTCAGGCTCATGGATTACGATGTCATGCCAAAGCGTCTGCTATCATAGCAATTAAAACCAGAGCGCAGAAAACAATATTAATGTTAATACCAACCCCCGTCAATGGCGACGTATGTAAAGATGGCAGGCACCAAACGCCCTCACGGTTTTCAAGAAATCATATTAGGCCTCGTCCACACTGCTCTCGTACCAGTCATTCTGCAACCATGCGATGACGAAATCTCTTGCATCCCGAGTCAACGTCTCGTAGCCAGGGTTCTCCTTTTCCTCAAACATGGCTGTTGCAGGCAAGACGCATGTACATAGTCAGATTCACCGTCGCAGTTGTGGAAGAAAGAAGGGGGCAAAATAAAGATAACTCACACATATGTGCCACCGTCTCATCCTTCGCCTTGTCATTGACAGCAGGCTTCCACACCCCGGCAGCACCGTCCAAGTTCTTGGGGAGATTGCAAAAGGTGCGATCCCCTCCGAGGATGGTGACCGAGACGCTGCCGCTCGTCGCTACGGACGGCGCAGCCCGTCCCAGCCTGGTGTACAGGTTGGCAAAGCCCACGTCCATCTCGCGCCGCAGCCTGTCCATGATGGCGACGCGCTTCTTGAGCTCCTCGCCCCGCGCTAGACAGCCTACGAACTCGAGGTGCGACGAAGCCCAACCGAACCCCTGGCTGATGTCGTCGCGCTTGAGCCACGCCGCTGCACCGCCGACGGCCACGGCTCCCGCCGCACCCACCCCGACGGCCACCTTTGCCCACTTGCCCCATCCCCCTCCACCACCGCCTCCGCCTCCGCCTCCAGACGTTCCCGGAGCCGGTAGGGCACCGGCAGACCTGCCGCCGGTCTGCTTGGCGGCCGTCGTGGCCCCCCAGAGGCTGCTGAGCTGCGCTATCGCCGTCGCAGCAGTCTGGTAGTGCTCTTCTGCCCCGTGGGCCACGACTCCCGGCGATATGCCGAGGAAGGGCGTGTCGAAGGCCAGCACGCCCTGGATGTAGGGGAACATGAGGGAGCTGATGTGCTGCGAGCTGGGGTCGTCGTTCTTCTCGATGCCGTCGGCGTCGGAGTAGACGGGCTGGTCTGACGTGAGCGCGATGGCCGTCTCGGCGGCTACTATGCCACCCATCGAATGGCCGACCAGAATGGTGCGTACGGACGGATCCACGGTCGGGGACGCCGTGCCGGCTTCCACTTCCATATCTATCACCTTGTCTTCAAGCCTTTTTTTGGGGGAGGGACAGGTGTGGGGAGGGAGGGGGGGGGGAGTTGTCAGTACAAGTCCCAGGATCAGAATCCCCAAGCTTCAGCGCTTCTCCAGCAACACGTACCATGTGCGGAATCGGCTGACTGTGTCCCCTAGACTCCCCCTCGTCTCATACTTGGGATACACGAGGAACCGGACGTTTATCTTGTCGAGACGTTCTGCCACCAGGTCCCGAAGGTGCTGGGCGAAGCGGTAGCTGTCGCCAAACGTGTCGTCGCCACCCTGTGCCACGTACTGTGAGCTCCGCATCCATCAAATTTCCTCTTGAGAGAAGCGTGCTATAAAGCGGAATTGAAACGAACCTGAAATCCGTGAATAAAGCATAGCACCAGCGTCTTTTTCATGATTGTACCTTTGGTTCGTGGTCGATGAACCCTGGACGTTGGATGAGAGCGGTGCATTTACTTCACATCATCTATAGCAGTTGAGATCATACTACCAAGTATTACCCGTACACTGAATACTAGAACTGAATGGAGACCGAAAAGTCACATGTACATAGCGCAGCAAGGTAAATACAAGTCGCAGAGCCGCCCACAAGTATCATTACTCTCTACGCATTCAACATTACCGTCACTATCGAACATGTTTAAACATAACCATTCTCCGCATCTATTAGAGTACATTTTGTAGATACAATTCTAGGCATGTAGGAAAGTAAGCCAGACTCTCTCTCCTTGGCAGATTTCCTCTTTCTAGAAGACCGTCCTCTACCACCGTCTGGTAATTCGAAGCTCCCCCCGCTTTACCTCGTTTCCCGTCCTCGCGCCCTTCCAAAGTTACAAAAATGGGGGGGTGTTCCATGTTCGTAAGAGAAGAAAAAAGAAGAGAAAGAATAACAAATATAACGCCCTAAGCAGCCAAAGTAAGTGAAAAAAAAAGGTGAAAAAAAACCCCAAATCAGAGGATTGAATCCAAACAAAACCCCGCTCGCCCTCTTTTTCTTCCAATATACACCTCTTCCATCACCTCTCTCTCTCTCTTTAAGTGTTGATTCGTGATTTGAGAGGGCTCCTGAGGAACTCAACTTTCAAAGACTCATTCCTCGTCACTGTGACCTGCTGCACTCGTGTTGGTCGTGTCGGTCCGCGAGTTACTAGATGTGAGCTTGATGCGTGTTCCGCTAGGCTGGGGTGTGTCACCACCGCCGGACGGTGCCACTGATGAGGCCTTTTCACCGCCTTCCTCCAGCTCCAGAAGTTCGGGATGGGCCTCTGACTCTTCTCGGTATCTCTTTTTGAAGAATTCCTATTGATTGGTCAGATCTTCTGTACTATTCACGTAAATGTGCGGCAGAGGTAAGAGTGCGAGGGAAGAAACTTACATCCATCGTCTTTGCATCTTGGTACAAGATGCTGCCGTCCTCGTTGAATGTCTGGCAGTTACTAATCATCAGGTCGATGTCCTTGCGCAAGTCGCCCAGGCAATTATATTGCTCCTTCTTGATGCGTGTTTGGATGTGGTTCATGCAAATGGGATTCTGGATGATGACGTAGTAGTTGGGGAAGTCTCGCTTCGGCGGCAGCTTGATGAAGGGTCCGATGACGAGACGCTTGCTGGCATCCGACTCGTCATCGTCCTCTGGCGGCTCGATGTCATCTACCTCGAGCGTCATGAGGGAGTCGTATAGTGACCGCAGACTCTTCTGCAGCGTCTCGCGTTGCTGTGGGCTCACGCGTGCGTCAGCCGCTGCTGCGCCGTTGAGACTGGCCTTGCTGGGACGACCCAGGGGGCCGCGTCTCTTCTTGGCCGGCGGCTCCTCATCCCCGTCCTCAGCCTTGCGCTTCTCGTTCTTGCTTCCAGGCTTGCGGCCGCGCTTCTTCGGTGTCTCAATCTCCTCGGTGCTGGCGCGACTGGCAGACGGCGATTCGTCAGCGGGCAAGCCGAGACCCATCCTCTTGAGCCTATTGGTCTCACGCCTGTCCTTCCTCGCCTGCTTGCGCGAAGCCGCAGCTTCGGGTGAGTCGTCATCGTCGTCGACCGCCATCAGCCACTGCTCCTCGGTCAGGCCGTCGTCATACTTGACCTTGGTGCGCTCACGGGCACCGCGACCAAGGACCACCTCCTCAGTGTCGTCAATTTCATCGTTGCCATCGTTCAAGTAGATCTCAGGGAGCTCGGCATCTTGAATCAAGCGAGGCTTACTACCGGCCTTGCGTCCATAGGTTGGATCGCGCGAGCGCTCTTCGTCGAGTTTCTGGAAGACGGCCAATTCTTCGTCGCTGCGTGCCAGCATCATGTTCAGCTCTTCGTCCTCGAGCTCCTCTTGATCGCCGGACTCCGCCATGTCTGCTGTCTCCAGCAGTGTCCGAAGCATAGCATCACGATCGGTTTCGGATGACTTGTTGTCGAAACGACCAGCTTGGATGACCTTGCCGTCCATGTCCAGCTTGAACCTAGCACGCTCGAGAATTTTCTCCTCGACGGAGTTGGACGTGACCAGACGGAGGATTCGCACCTCGTTCTTTTGGCCGATACGGTGAGCACGGTCCTGAGCTTGGAGATCCTGGTGAGGGTTCCAGTCAGAGTCGTAGATGATGACTGTGTCTGCTGTCTGCAGGTTGAGACCCAGACCGCCGGCACGCGTCGACAGCAAAAACATGAAATACTTGGAGTCGGGGGCGTTGAACTCGCGTAGCAGGTCAGAACGCTCATCAGACTTGGTCGTACCATCCAGACGCAGATACTCGAGACCGCGGTAGCGAAGGTAGTCCTCCATTATGTCCATGATGGCTGTCATCTGGAAGAACATGAGGACACGGTGACCGGTCGCCTTGTATTTGGGCAGGATGCGGTCGAGCAGCTCAAACTTGCCGGCCGTTCGCCACAGGAGGTCGTTGCTGATATTGAGAGGATTCATGAGATTCTCGACCTCGTCAAACACGAATGGGTGGTTACAGAGCTTGCGCAGCTGCATAATCATGTTGCTCAGCCCACGGGCATTGGTCTTGCCACCCTTGCCATCGCTGACGATGAGCCTGTTGTGCGTTGACATCTGCTTGTGCAGGCGAGCCTGCAGGGCCGAGAACTTGCACTTGATGACCTTTTCTGTCTTGTCGGGGAGGTCCTTTTCGACATCTTTCTTGAGACGGCGCAGCAGGAACGGCCTGAGCACCTTGTGGAGACGACGAATGACGAGAATCTGCTCTTCTTCCGTGAGCTCCATCTTGTCCTGACCTCCAGTGTTGGCAAATGGCGTGTTGAACCACTCGTCAAATGTGGACACCGACTTGAAGATATTGGGCAGCACAAAATTGAGCATAGCCCACAGTTCGGAGAGGTTGTTCTGAAGAGGGGTACCGGTAAGAATGAGTCGGAAGCGGGTCATGTAGTAATTTGATATGGTGGCGCTGAGCTTAGAATTGGAGTTCTTCATTCGGTGGCCTTCGTCGATAATCATGTGGAACCACTTGATCTTGCTCAGGATCGGGCGGTCCTTGATGATGTACTCATACGTCGTCAGGAGAACCTGGAAGTCTCCCCGGCGGATCCTCTCCTGCTGCGTCTTTCGCGCATTAGGCGGTCCCTTGTAGACGACGCGGCTAATAGAGGGCGCCCACTTCTCAAACTCCAAGTTCCAGTTGGTCAGCGTACTGAGGGGTACAATGACTAGGTACGGGCCGGGCTGCTTCTTGCGCTCGATGAGGTACGTGATGAGACTGATGGTCTGAATCGTCTTTCCGAGACCCATTTCATCAGCAAGGATACCGTTTAGGTTGTTGTTGTAGAGCGAAATCATCCACTGGAGACCCTTGATCTGATACTCCTTGAGAGTGCCTCCAACCAGTATGCTAGCCTGCTCGGTGACCTCCTCGCGGACGCGATGTGCCACAGCATAGTAGTCAATCTTCTTGTTGCTACCCTCCTCCTCCGGCTCACTCTCCTCAGCAACGAGATTGTCGGGGTCGCCGTACTTCTCAGCCGCCTGTCGCTGCTGAGTCTTGACGGACGACGCGAGCTGGTGCAGGAAGCCATCGGTCTGGCGAAGCAGGTGGGTGATACGGGTGTCCTTGGCCTGGTCGAGAAGCTTAAGATAGGCCTCCTCGTCGTTGGCCTTGAGCGCCTGTAGACGCTGCTTGGCCGTGCGCTCGATACGCTTCTGTTCCTCCTTCTCAATGTTGAAGTGCTGGTTGTACATGAGACGGCTGAGTTTATGAAACTTGGTCTTCTGTGACGAGGCAGCCTCGTGGATCTCGGTCCTGTGGTTGGTGATGGCATGAAGAAAGTCGATGTGTTTCTTCTTCTCGCGGTTCTCACGGGCGTCACGCTGCTGCTTCTCGAGCTTCTCAGTAATGCGGGCCTCGCGAACGCTCTGTTTCTTCATGCGCCTGTAGTTGCTGCGGTTCGTCGTCATGGCCAGGTTGTCATAGTGGAGCATCTGGCGACCGAGCCTTTCGCGCAGGGCGCGCTGCTTGGCATACAAGCCAAGGCCCTTCATCTCGATAATGGCCTTGCGCTTGAGCGAATCGTCGGCCTCGACGCTCTCCTTGGTCGTGTCCCAGTGGGCGATGTTGGCAGGGAGGTCCTTGAGCTCGTTGTAACGCTGGCTCATGCGGTTGAAGATGACAACCTCCCTCTCGTATCGGACGTGGTCGAAGTCGATTCCGGTTGGGAAGACACCGGGTACAAACCACCGGTTCTTGCGGTGAGAGTGATCCATATATTTGATGGAAGGTCGTATCATGCCGTCGTAGGGCGACTTGACAGTCTTGTAAGTGTGCGGCTTCGGGGCGGCATTGGGGTCGTTCTGTCCCGATGCATCAGCGTCTGGAGCACCGGCAGCCTTGGCCTCGTCCTGGCCCTGCTGACCAGCCTTGGCAGCAGCCGCTGATACAGCCAACGAAGCAGCTTGGCGCTTCTGGCGCTGGTTGAAGATGGCCTGCTGCAGAGGTGCAGAAATTCCGGCATTCTTTCCCAGGAGTTTGAATGCCTGTATCTGCTGCCTGAGGAGCTGCAGCTGCTGCTGAGAGAATTGGCTCGAAGAAGCGCCAACGGGAGGGGCACCAGAGGTTGGTGTAGTCACACCACCCTTATTCGGTGTTTGGGCGTTGTATTGGCTCGGATTAGGTTGCGGCGTTCCCTGCTGGGGACGAGCCTGGGGCGCTCCGGTGACAGTTCCATTAGCGGCATGTTGTTGCTGTTGTTGCTGTTGTTGCTGTTGTTGCTGCTGTTGCTGAAGGTACTGTTGCTGTTTTGTGCGCATCTGGTGCTGCTGTTGGAAGCTAACCAAGAACTGCTGTGCCTTTATGTACTCAGGATCCGACGGTGGAACGCCCGACTCCTTCATTTGCATCAGTTTCTGTACACAGAGTGAGGTCAATATCGTCCGATGTCAAACATTAAGGGGGTCAGGTGGTCGCGACTATGCCGCATTGATGGCATTGCAACGAGCTGCTGTGCAGGGGGCGCAGAGCGGTCTCGATAGATGGGAAGAAGATCATACCCTGAAAACCTCCTCTGCCTGCTGCTTGGTCACGCTGGCTGGCAAAGGCGCGCCAGGGTGTTGGACCGGGGGGGCCGCTTGCACTGAGGCCATGTTGACTGAGTTCTATCGACAGGACTTCGGCAGCCTGTAGCCCAATGTATTATCTCGATAAGAAAGGAAAAAGGGGAGTCGTGTAAAGTTATCGACAGTGCATATCGATGTCGAATCGCAACGGTCGTCAAAGGTAGTCGACGAGCGACGCGCTCAGGGGGTTTGTGGTGATGAGTTGATGGAGCGGGAAAAAAAACCCAGCCAAGTACCGCGCAAAGTCGCGTCGAGAGAGCGTGATGCGCAAAGCGGGTGGACGGCCGGAGGGGGGGGGATACTGCTGTGGGCCGAGAGTTTTCGTCGTGATGGCGCGTTGATGAGGGCGTGACGAGTTGGTTGGTCGCGAGTATTCGCGGGTTGTAGGTAGTACAAGATAGCCAGTGAGGTGTGGGTGTGGGGAGGGGAGGAGAGAGGGAGCGAAGTGAGAGTGTGAGGGAGACACGCCAGGGAGGGCGAAATCAAGGCGAGGGAGAGAAGGGTGCGGGAAAGGGAAAAAAAAAAAAGTGCAGGTTTGCAGCTTGGGCGCGTCGGGAGTGGTGTCGTCGGCACTGGATGGGGTGGAAATCGCGTGCAACACCAATTTGGCGAGGCTTGGAGATGGCTGCCGATGGTTTGAGAGGGGACCAGGCGATTTTTTTGGATACGCGCGCGCTTCACCCGGATTGCCTTGATGATGGGGAGTGGTGAAGACACAAGGACAAGATTCGCCGTGACGGTTGGTGCAGTCGTGATGGCTCCTCCCACAGTAAATTTCAGCACGGCCTCTGCGAAAACAGAGGACTGTGCGCCTCAGGCACTGAAGTGCTTATTATTGGCCATAATGTCACTATTTATGGGGAACGGGGCCTCTATCTTGTGATTATCTAATCCATCGCTCCACTTTCGACGCGTCTGTGTGTTATTCTCGGATAGTGCCGCACGTGACTTCCATCCCACATATCCCTGGAGCCTATTGTGCTTGTGCAGCCAGCCCTTCAAGCCTGTATACATATACAAATGCACATGGTACGGATGTACCATGATACAAGACCATCTGGATGGAATATAGAAATCTGCTTTCCATCTGCCGTACTGCAGCATATGCAAGGCACCCGTCGATGCGGCTCAGTACGTGATATTGTACGTAGTACTGGCGGGGCACAGAAGTGCATCGTGCATTGGATGATAATTCATACTTAAAATCGTCATCCCAAATCCTGTCTCACCTCTTAGTCTTTTTCTTGTCCGGGCCCTGGTCTTCGTCGTCGCTCAGCTCGGAGTACTGTGTCTGAGGCTGCGTCTTGCTCCAGGCCTTTGTGAACATAGGATCACTATCGGCCTTCTCGGCATACTTGAGGAGAGCCTCGCGCGGATCCTCGTGCAGCATGCGTGACAAGGGAATGTTTTCGGCAATGTGCTTCTCGTCTGGCTGTGACTTTTGGAACGGCGTTTGCTGTGGCTGCTCGGGCCTCCGCGGGTCCTTTGACTTGCCGCCCGCCTTGCTCTTGTTCCTGGGCATGGCGCCGGGAGTCACGATGGAGTCGCCCGAGATCCCAAGCGATTGGTCCATGGTGAAGTCGGGGTTGTCGTCGACATGGCGCTTCTTCGGGGCGCGTGAGACCACATCGACGGCGCCGCGCGACGATCTCTCAGGGTTGAAGAGCACGTGCGTCTCGCCGTTGGCCGACCCCGTGAGCACCTGGTTCAGCTTGGGATGCCATTCTACCGTAATGATGGGCGACCCAGGCGTTACGGGCGTCACATGCTCCGGTTGCAGATTTCCGGGGTTCAAGATGTGGAGCTCTCCCGTCGCAGAGCCAGTAATGATGCTCGCCGAGTTCGGTGCGTAGCGGATGTTGCTCGTGGGGAAGTGGTCCGACGTAGAGGGATGCGACGCCGTGACGAGCGACTTGGTGAATTTGCGTGTGTCCCAAAGCTTTACCGTGTCATCGCCTCCCCTCGTCACAATCATTCGGCCGTCTGACGACACGTCGATCCCGCCAGTCCATGTCTGAGGCTTGTGAGCGTTGCGGACTTCGCCAGACGGTCTCGTGAAAGGCCCGTTGCCGCCGTACATGACGAGCGATCCGTCCAGGGCAGCGCCCACCAGTAGGTTGCTACCTTGAACGCCACCGCTCCAGGCCACAGCTGTCATCTTTGTGCGGCCTGCGGACCCTGCGGCTTTGGACTTGAAGACAATCACATCCTTCTGAGACCGCTTATTGTTGATGTCCCAGATACGTAGCGTGCTGTCGGTACCGGCCGTTACACAGAGATTCCTGTCGTTGGGGTGCCATGCCCCCGCCGTAACCTCCGATATGTGACCCTTTGTATTGTTCATGTCCCGCAGATACATGTCGCCCTTGACGAACTCTGTCAAGACGTCTCCGTCGCGCGATATGATCCTGGCTTGCGGGTGCGCCGCCACGCAGAGGAAGACGCTGCCCGAGAGAGGGTTGAACTGGACGAGGTGCATCGGGTGTGACTCCGAGGCAGCCGCCTGCTTCTTGACAAACGGATCTACCGAACGGAAGGCGCGTAGTGTGGTCGGCGTCATTGACGCAAAGTCGTGTAGGTTCACATTACCGTCTAGCGATCCTGAGGCCAACCTACCACCGGCCGGGTCCAGAGATATTGTCGTCACGGCGCGCTCGTGTGTCTTGATGATGAGCTCGTGCGATATGGGGTAGTCATCTCCGTCATCCGAACCGTCCGAGTCGTCGCTGTTGTCGCTGTCGTCGGGCTCTTTTGCTTGCTTAAGCTCTTTGGTAGGCACCTTTCTGCGGGATCGTTCAATTTGGGCTTCGATGTCGGTTCCCTTGGACTTTTTGCCAAAGGAAGTTGGCAAAAATGACTTCAGGGGGTCATCGTCTGCCACTTCTGGAAGCTCAACTTGAAAGTCCTCGTCGGAGCTCATCGTGATGAGCGACTGCGTATGTGATTGAGAGGGGCAAAAGGTGTTTGTCGCGGACAGACTAGCCGGTGTGGCCTCGAGGTCTGTTCCCCTGCGGCTTCGGCTTTTTTGGAAGGGGCTGACGTGATGTGGAACCTGCACCTTCAACCAGGACCCTTGACGTACTGACCTCCAACTCTTTTTTTCCCCCAACGACATCAGTCTAGTATCCTTTCCTGTTTTTTTTCTGTCCCTCTTCACTCTCAACAAGTGAGTCCTTTGTATGATTGAGCCCGTCTATCGGGTGCAGCTTCGAGGTCGGATCGACGCCAGCTCCCAAACCTCAATTAAGTTGGTCTCGCGACATGCATTGATCATCTTTTGAACATTGAAGTCATGGATCGTTACGCTCGAATTCCAAATCCATGAAAACGATTACCTGAAAATTCTACTCGGGGTGCTCCAACTCGTGTACTTCTTCCTACAAGCACTACTATGCGGTTTCAAAGGCCATCCCTCTTAAGCCATCATCAAATTCCCAACAAAGCGCCTTGTACCGGGGAATCTAGCTGAACGGACCAGATGCAATGCTCATTGAGGATAAACATGCGACCATTGCGCCCGAAGCAGAAGTTGGCGGCACCGCCGTCGATGAGGATCTTACCAAGGAGAACACCACCGGGCGACCAGACATTAACACCGTCGCCGCAGCCGCTGTAGACATTACCGGCAAGATCACACTTGATTCCGTCGGGATATCCCGTATCAGCGAGAGCAAAGAGTCGCCTGTTGATGAGACTAGGCTCCCCATGGTAGTAAACCAGGTCAAAGGCATATCTGTGAGGGTGTGAAGCCGCCGGTCAGTTAGCACCATCGCACTCAATCAACTGATTGTGCATCATCTTTTTCTTACATGGAAGCCGACCGGCTGTGGTCCTTCGAGTCGCCATGTTGCTGGTCTGTATCGGTAATGTAGACCGTCTTCTCATCCGGCGAGAAGCATATGCCGTTGGGCCGGCCGAAGCCATCAGCCACAGCGCGGATGGCCTTGGTGGTGGGCTCATAGCGGTACACGCAGTTGGGCAGACTCGGCCTCGGCCGGAAGGACTGGTCGTACCCGTAGCACGGGTCGGTGAACCAGATGCTCCCGTCGCTGTGAATGACGACGTCGTTGACCGAGTTGAAGGGTCGGCCGAGGAAATTGTCGACGACGGACTCGACCCTGTACGGCGGCCGGATTTCCATGCTCACGAGACCACTGGGCCGTGTCAGGGAGCCCTGGGAGCAGAACAGGACGTGACCGTCTCCGTAGTTGACGCCACCATTGCCCATGGGGATATCGTCGCAGGGTATCTCCTCGTGCTGCGCAGGCTGTGAGCTACCGTGGTCTCCTACCACCAGCTTGGACACCTGCACGCGCTTGCTGGGGTGCACACCATCCTTGAACTGTCCACTGGTTACGAAGAGCTCGTTTGTCTTGTCGATCCATACACCTGCCTCATGGGCAAAAGGATAGGCGTCTACCTGGTGTAGGATCTCAATCGACGGGTCAGTGCCGATGATTCCACGAAAGCTGTCGTGGAAGACCTGAAATGTCTCTTGGGTGCGAACCATGTTTTCACCGGGTAATACCGCCTTGTGGTATATAGCTTCTACGTTATCACCCTTGATGATCATGCGTTTGGGAAGTTGGCAAGTCTGCTCATGCGCCGCATCTAATAGCCCCTCATCCTCTCGCCGATATTACGTGAAGATAACGCCGATCATTGTGGGGTTCTACTATCTCCAACCCAGGGTGGACCCCGCGTCTCGCAACGCACGTATATAACTGCTTTGCTATCCTCGTGTTCACAAGAGCCATTCAAGCTACATACTGTAAGTGCGGAGAAGATGAGATGGACGGCGACGGGAGCATTAGCGTCGTGGGTTCGATCAAGGCCCTTCTCCCCCCCAGTGAGGATACATGATGCAAGCAAAAGTTTCCCTATGGGAGGAACAGATGCTAGTTCAATAATTGCCAACGATCTACTCACAACTCATACAAATCATCGCAACGTTGCGCCTCCTACATGCTACATGTTTACTATGCACATTCTACTATCGGCACCTATGTGCTTGCCTATACACAGTCCACGGAGAGCCCAATTCTAGCCCGACGTTCTCGAATGATCCCTACCTCGTCAAACGACTTAGCATCGCCGCTTCCATATGCCTCGGCCATGTTGAGATCACACAGTCTACGGTAGAGCTGGTTCTTTCCTTCTTCGGGGCAGCAGAATGACTCCCATCCACAGCGGAGTATTACGAAATCACATGCTTGTCACAGTGTTGACCAGGCGTGCTAGAAGGCACGCCTGCAAAACTCAAACGTGACATGGACCTAGGAGTTGTCTTGTCCATTTCACTAGGAGTTTCTTCCTCTTCATATTTTCTCTTCTTTTTTCCTTCTTCCGCCACCTTCCTCATTTGCAGGATTGCGCATCCCTCTCGACTCCAGTCAGACCTCTCGTACCTGCGTGATTCCAGAGCTCTCCGGCACCCCTCTCTCCAATGACCAGCTCCAACACCATGGGAAATAGATCGATTGAACGGGTCCTCGACGGGTCTGACCTTTTGACAGACGCGTCGACCGCGTCGACGAACTTGTCCGCCCGCAAACAATTCATGCAGCCCAGCCTCGACCAGGCCCCGACAGCCGACATCGTGTTCTCGACTATCGACAAGCTCCGAGAATTCATCGACAAGTGCCATCCCACGGTCGACGCCGTCGTCGTCGCCAATGTCACGAGGTCCGCCTTTCGAGAAATATCCAAGCTACGAGATAGGACCGGCCACAGATGGCGTCTCCTCTACCTGAACACATGTCATCTATCCATTGTCACACTGCCGACGTACTCCCACGAACAACTCCATGTGTACCTCAACGAGTGCCTGAAAGACGGTCTCGCAGATATGGGTCAAGGGAAGGAGGAGTGGACCATGACTAGCTCATCCAGATACCCCCCCGACGGTAACGGCTCCAGTGGGGAGGGGGACTCGGGCGGCAAGCCATTTCATAAGCGACTTGGACACGACCAATGGCCAACGATTGTTTTTGAGGCTGGGTTTACCCAGTCTCTCATGAGCCTGCGTACCAAGATAAGATTTTGGTTTTCACGTTCCAACCACCAAGTGAAGATTGTCGTCATTGTTAAAGCCTACCCCGGTGACAGTGCCCAAAAGAAAATCCTTGTTGAACAATGGCTCGAGCAGTTGATTTCGGGATCGTCAGCACGCCGCGGTGCAACGACAACACGCATGTTGTCCGCCGCTACCACATTGCAGCCGGTTTGTATTCAGACAATCAACGTTATGTGGTCTCTGCCAGGCGTGCCCTTTGAGCAAGCCACAATGTCTCAGAAGACCGATAGAGACTCATACAGCGTAGCTAGGGGACCGTTGTCTTTATCCTTCGAATCCCTGCTCCTCCGTGAGCCCAACGCATCTACGGAACAGGACGTCATAATTCCGGACCGCGACCTTAAAAACTGCGCTATAAGAGTCTGGGCGGCATGAAACATTTCGCTTCGTGGGGAGGGTGTTGATCTTCTCAGCAGAATGGTGGAGGGGGCCGGAAGTGAAAGGAAAGACGTGCGGCAACGGATGGGGGGTATTGCAAGGATATCGAGGCATACTCTCGCGGATGGAACTGTAAGCTGGCGAAGAGGTAGTAGGCAAGGTCTTCCGGCCACTCAATGAAGAGGAGTCGGCGCACGTTTTCGAAAGAAATGAAGAATAGAGGGAAGAGAATACGAACTGAATGAATGGATTAAAAGAACTACTATAAGCGCAGTACGGCTGATATATATATGTATATATCAATCTGAAAGGAAGGAAAGGATACAGGAGGGAGTGTGCGTAGTAGAACAACAAGACCCCATGATAGCAGCAAGCAAAAAGGAGGTAGCTGCGGGCCTCCAACTCAACATCACCCTCTCCATTGATAGGATCGGGGTCAGTGACTAATACTCATCCACCACTTTGGGGTTCTTGTCGCCCCACTTCCGTACAATTCCCCGAATAAGTCCTAGCACAATTAACTCGGAACAGATATCGCGACGAGTTAGAAAGCGGGATCAAACGAGAGCGAACAAGAAGACTAGAAGGAAAAATTGGCGTCGGGCCAGGTGGCCAAAGCCTAGGTGTACATTGCTGTTTCCAATCCCACTATCCACCGGCAAGCGCAACCCGATCTCGCAGCCTGATGGAGAATTGCTGCATCCGAACATCTGGCGATGGTCGGCATCAACCTTGCACTGGGTGTTGGTTTGTCGTAGGCAATTGCTCGCTTAGAAGCGGACGAAGTGCTGGGCCTGAAGAGGCAAACTGTTAGCTGCTGACCTGTATAATGCTATTAGAGTGTGATATCTACTTACCTTGGCCTTGGTAGGCTTGGGAGGAGGAGCGGCACCAGCAGGGGGAGGAGGAGGAAC